ATGAGCCTGTAGATCCTTTCCAACACATAGCACGAGCAGGATCTGTTGTGGCTCCGCAAAAGAAGGTGGAGCAAATACACCCAGGTACACGACCATTCGCAGCCCCAGAGGTTCTCCGCGGGGAGTGTCAGGATCCGCTACTGGCTGATGCCTACAGTTTCGGGATGATACTCGTTGCGATTGACCGCGTTGAGGTGGTGGACCTCAAGCCTTGGGAGCAACGGAAGGATGTGGTGCCTGAGAGCCTTTTTGAGGGATGCGAGGTGTTCGAGGAGTCTTCACGTCAATATTTGAGGCGGTGGGACTCCAGGAGGAGGCTTTCAAAGCACGATATGATGATGTTGGTGGATGAATGAGTTTCTGGGCGATTTCTGCGGCTCTCGTATCTTTTCAACACCCCTCACTCCAACACGGACGACATCGAGCTCCACGAGACGATACCCCCGCAATGACATCGCAGTTCAATCGGATCTTCGGTGTACTTGTGCATTTCCATTCTCGATGGGCAATATGCCAATATCCTTCTCAAATTTCCATCCCTGTACGACTACTTATCTCTAATCTCTGGACACCGCTCAATCCACACACACCTATCATTGTATGTATCATATTGATTAGCTACGTTCCGATACCAAGTAATGGAATTTCCCTACTTTACATGCGTTTTCCTTGTTGGCAATAGGAGAAGGCTTTGATAAAAGAGGACATCTAAATTGATTCCCACGCTTTTCTTCCACAGCCGCTCACCACATCCAGTGACATCTTCCTTAACTTTCCTTTCCCTGCACTGCATACTTACTGAACATGGCGACTGTACATCCCTCACGCATGGGCTTGGTTCCACAAGATCCCAAAGATACTTACCTCTCCCGCCGACGTGCCCGCTCTCCGTCACCACGAGCGCGCAGCCCACCACGACAGAGTGAACGAGAGAGAGACAATGGCCGAAACCGAGGAGCGCGGGACCGTAGCAGAGAACGCGAAAGAGACAAAAGGCGGGATGATAGTAGGCACAAGGACAGGGATGGAGGGGATGACAGGAAAAGAGACGATGATAGACAGCAGCGCGACAAGAGCGTTGATCGAGGACGAGATCGTGACAGGGAGCGAAGCAAAGAACGGCGTCGGGGAAGTCCTGAATATTACAAGCGCCCTGCGACACCTCCGCCTTCTGAAGCCCCGTGGCGGAATCAGGAAAATGTGTACCCCAACCGACAAGGGAGGGATAGACCACCGCATGCTGGTGGGTCGTACGGAGGCGGGGGGAGTGAATATTTGGAGAGGTACGTTTGCAGTTATTTAAATTAGTAGATATATACTAATTGTCATACAGTCGTCGAGCCCAAAGAGACGCATCGACACTAAACATTTGGCCTGCTTCTCCCAAGGCTGCAACAAGAACACTGTATGTGTTCATTTCACCTGCTGACATTTGTTGCGTACTCAAATAACTTGCAGTTCACCTTCCCGCGACACAAAATCACGCGGAAAATCTAAGCGTGACCGGGCAGAGACTCCCACAGACTCTTCTGACAGTGAGGATGAGCGCAGGCGGAAGGAGCGTAAAGACCGAAAACGGGCGCGAAAAGAGAAGGACAGGGCCGAACGGAGGGAGAGAAAGGAAAAGAAGAGCCGAGCGCCTAGCAGACATCGGAGCTACGATAGTGAGGAAGATGACAGAGAGAGAAGCAGACGAAGCAAGAGCAAGAGCCATCTTCACAGCCCAAGCCCAAGTCCTGTTCGTGCCCCGTCGCCCCCTCGTGCAGTCGAAGAAGACGAGTGGGTGGAGAAACCTGCAGCTGCAACATTTGCTTCTTCGTCTTTGGCCGCTCAGAGTATTGGCTCCATGCCGCCACCAACCACTATCCCTTCGCACTCTGGAGAGGCGGCGGACGAGGATTCTGATGAAGATCTCGGGCCCCAACCGCTATACAAGGTTATCGCTAAGAAGTTCGATGAACGTGCTTATGGTAGCGCTCTGCTTCGCGGTGAAGGTAGCGCCATGGCCGCCTTCTTGCAAGACGACACGGATTCACGTATTCCACGACGTGGTGAAATCGGTCTAACCTCGGACGAAATTGCTCAGTTCGAGTCGGTTGGCTATGTAATGAGTGGAAGCAGGCACAAGCGCATGAACGCAGTGCGTATGAGGAAGGAGAACCAGGTTATTAGCGCGGAGGAGAAGAGGGGTATCTTGAAGTTGCAGAAAGATGAGAGGCAGAGACGGGAGGCCATCCTCAGGGAGGAATTCAGTGAACTTGTGACAGAGAAGCTCAAGGGGCCGCAAGTGCAGCCAAAGTGAAAGCTATTGGCTAGCTCGTCCAATTGTTTTCGAGTATACGTATTTAATCCACTGACACGACTAATATCCATAAATGCTATTGCATGACCATCAATTGTCTACAGTTCGTCGCGTTTCTGAAGGCTAACGAGCTCGACGTCGAAGACCAAGGCAGAATTCGCAGGAATCTTATTGCCCATCGCACGCGAACCTGTTTAACTATTATTGAGTATGTGCCTCGTAGATTGCCAGAATAAACCAACCGTAGGCCATGTGTGAAGGAATTGTCAAGGTGCGCTTCTCGTTGAGGCACATGCCTTGGAGACCTTCGTCCCATCCTTTGATTACCTGACCCACACCGACTAGATAAACGTACGGTCAGTACGGCACCTTGGACGCAAATTAAACTGCTCACGTTTGATAGGCAATGGTTGGCCTCGGTCGAGACTGCAACAAATGTCACTGAATTTACTCGGTCCAAAAACAAAGAAAGTGTGTATACTGACCTTGAATCAAACTTGCTACCGTCAGAGAACAGCGTTCCAGTCTGCATTTCATGCCCCATGTGAATTCACGCAACACAGACAGGCCGTGACTCAAAACTCACGTAGTGGACCTTAATGGCGTCCCCAGTCGTCGCGGTTGTGGGGCAGTCATCAGGCAAGTAGGTGACTGCGATTTGCAGTTCCTTCGGCGGCTCGGCGGCCAGCGCGCACACCGCCAAAGCCAGGATGGAGAGCCAAAATTTGAGGAACTGCATAGTCAAGATTCAAGAACGCTAACTTCGGTGTTCGACCACGTATGTCAGAGCCGTTCAGACACCGGAAGTGTGGGAACAAAAGTAACGTGCGTGCCGCTGAGTCAGCAACTGTACAGTGAATCCATCTCGATAACCTTATTTTTCATCACATCTCATCACAGCGAGGAACGACCCCGACATCGACAAAAATGGTGAGTTTTGCTGCTGGATGTTGTTCCATGTACATACTGACTGGTTTATTTCCTTGAAGCCTTCCCAAAAGTCCTTCAGAACGAAGCGTATCCTCGCCAAGGCCGGCCGCCAGAACAGGTGAGTGGGGTGTATTGATGCCAATACACCCTAGTCATAAACCACTTCCAGGCCCATTCCTCAGTGGTTCCGCCTAAAGACGGACACTAAGATCCAAGTAAGTGCTGAGGATCCTGGGAACCGAGAGCGTTGCTGATCCGGGTATTACTTTACAGTACAACGCTAAACGCCGTCACTGGAGGCGCACAAAGCTCAACATCTGAGCAGCCTTTTCTTTCATTCTCGATGTTTTTGGCGCTGTGGAGTTGAGTGGGAGAGGCGGGGACAACACAGAGAGACGCACCACACCAATGCAACGCAGCATGTATCACCCCTTAATGGCATATTATGGCTATACAACCACCTCCGCATGCAACTATGACCTTTCTTTCTTGATCAAGCCATTCCTGTCCCCTTGAGACCCCATCGCCTAGAGTGCACTATCGTACTCGTTGTTTCAACTTCGCAACACAGAACTCAGATATGATGTCCACATTTTTTACGCATTTTGATGTGATTGTCACATTCTGACGAGCGTGCTGCACAACTTTCGATTAAAGACTGGACTTGTCACAAGCGTTTGAGTCTAAGTCCTTTGACTTGCTGTGTTGCAATCGGCCAATTAGTGAACACGATGATCCGGCGCCAAAGCCGCGAGCACCGTGATGCCAGTACCAACGTGTTCGGCTGTATGCTATGCAGTGTTGAGTCGTGACGTTCAATTGACGTTTCTCCAAAACTTGCCGAGCACTGAGCAGCTCAATTCCTTCCCTTGTACTTACACTGCGAGTTCCCTCTGCAAGGCTTATCCGTATCCACCATGTCACTCATCTTCACAATTTTCGCGCTTGTCTTTCTCACTGAGCTCATCTCATGGATTGGCAAAACTGTCCTGCTTGAATTTGTTGGTGTTCTTCCAAATGCTTCATACACAAGATTTACAGGCTCTTTCATCTAGGCATGGGGTCTCTACTGCAGAATCTTCATGAATGCCTCATACGCTCGACAACGCCAGCTGAAAGTCGAGCTTCTTACGGCGAAGAAAGAGCTGCTGCAAACGAGCGCGCAAGATCAATTTGCCAAGTGGGCGAAGCTGAGAAGGAGTGTTGACAAAAGACTAGCAGAGCTCGAGAAGCTCAGTACGTGGCCTCCACGACACGTTGGCGCCTGCCGACGAACTGACGTGTTTCATAGATGGGGACCTTGCATCCAGCAAGACTGCATTCTCAGTCAAGTTCAATACTCTGATGTGGGTCTTTACGACAGGACTGTCGTTCTTCGTTGGTTGGTGGTACAGAAAGGCTGCAGTATTCTACTTGCCTTCTGGTTGGCTTGGCCCACTTGCCTGGTGGATGTCATTCCCTTTCGCACCTAAAGGTAAGCATTCCCACAGTCATTAGCGCGATCAGCTCGCAAAGGCTCAATGAATGATCTAGGCTCTGTGAGCGTAGGGGTGTGGCAAATGGCGTGCCGTAGAGTGATTAAAGTTGGAGAGCGCACGGTGAAAAATATCCTTGGTGAGTTCAGTCTACTTATATCTATCGCTATAGGATACTTATCCCAACGTTCCCTCGAGCAGCGCCTTCGGAACCCGTCGCTGTCCCAGTTGGAATGGAGACCAGCTCTAAGACCTCGTGATAAGGAGTATGAGCGGATCCCCGTAGGAGATCCAGCAACAATGTTCTTATGGTGATCTGTAGGCTTTATGTGTCGTGGATCCGACCGTTTGTACTCCGCGTTCAATTTCAGTTTCACGTAATTGCGTGGTTGTTGCAGAAATAAACACATGCTCAGAATGACGTCGGCTCGGAACGACCAGCGGTATGTCGGAGTCCCGAGACTAGTACATAACACACAATCTAATCTCTTTCCTTACTTACCACAACTCCACTCATCTTTCTCAAACATGGCCCCAGGCGTTCAGATTCACACAAAGGACAATCAGCTTGCCCAAGTTGACATTCTTACCGACGGTGCACTTTCCTTCCTCGCTGCACTTCATAGGACGTTTGAGTCTACCAGACATAACCTCCTAATCGCGCGCGACGTTGCACAGCGCAGGTTTGACTCGGGAGTGCCTCTTGACTTTCCTCCTGAAACAGCTCACATCCGTGCTGAGCCCTCATGGCACTGCGCGCCCCCTGCACCTGGTCTTCAAGACAGACGCGTTGAGATCACCGGTCCTACTGACCGTAAGATGGTCATCAATGCTCTGAACAGTGGCGCGAAAACCTTCATGGCAGATTTTGAAGGTTCGCAGACCATTCATGATACTAAGAATTGCGCTAATATAAGATCTTCAGACTCCAGTGCTCCTACGTTTGCAAACATGATTAACGGGCAAGTCAACTTGCGGGACGCAATCAAGCGTCAGATCGACTTCGAGTCTGGTGGGAAGCAATACAAGCTGTCTGCGAATCCAGCTGTGCTTATCGTTCGGTACGAATATATTCTTTCCGCTCCGCATGCAATTGTTCATATTTTGGTCTAGGCCTAGGGGCTGGCACCTGGACGAGACGCGTGTCACGGTCGACAACACCCCTGTCTCGGGCTCTCTCTTCGACTTTGGACTCTACTTCTACCATAATGCCCGCGAGCTCATCAAGGGGGGCTCGGGCCCTTACTTTTATCTTCCCAAGATGGAGCACTATCTCGAGGCCCGTCTATGGAACGACGTCTTCCTATTTTCTCAGTCCTACATTGGAATACCCCACAATACCATTAGGGCGACTGTCCTCATCGAGACACTTCCCGCGGCATTCCAAATGGAAGAAATTCTCTTTGAGCTTAGAAACCACTCTGCTGGATTGAATTGCGGAAGGTGAGGAGCACCCTATATGCGTATACTGCTCGCTCACTTCCGTGTGTATTTTTAGATGGGACTATATTTTCAGTGCCATCAAGAAGCGGAGGGCGGACAGAAGCGCCGTCTTACCAGACAGGAAGGATGTTACTATGACAGTACCTTTTATGGATTCGTATGTGCGTCTTTTAATCCAAACTTGTCACAGGTAATGCCACGTTTCGTGTATGTTGATAAGTACTCATAATGTTTTAGGAGGAAGGTTGCTGCTATGGGCGGCATGTCTGCTCAAATTCCTATCAAGGATGACCTTCAAGCCAACGAGGTGGCGATGGACAAGGTTCGAGAAGACAAGCTCCGCGAGGTCACAGCTGGCCATGATGGCACCTGGATTGCGCACCCCTTAATCAATCACATTGCTCGCAAGGTGTTCGACGAAAATATGCTCGGTCCTAACCAGGTTCGCATCGGCGGTACCGTTTTGCCTGTTCCTATTGCTCACGCATTGGTTATAGTATCACGTCAGACGTGAGGATGTGAAAGTTGCTGCCGCGGACTTGTTGAGTGCCAGCGTTCCTGGAAAGATCACCGAGGACGGCATCCGCTCCAATGTCTCTGTGGCTCTTGCCTACTGTGCAGCCTGGATCGGCGGCAATGGCTGCATTCCTGTCAACTATTTAATGGAGGATGCGGCTACTGCTGAGATCGCACGTGTGCAGCTCTGGCAGTGGGTTAAATACAGCGCACGTATTGACACTGGCGTGGAGATTACCACACAGTATGTCGACCGCATCATCGCAGAGCAAACGCCCGGGATCAAGAAGATCGCCCCGGGCGTCAAGGACAACCACTTAAAAATTGCCACCAAGTATCTCATGGGTCAAATCAGGCAACAGTGGCCAAGCGAATTTTTGACGAGTGACTTGATGCCATACTTGACGAAGGCTGATGGTGTCGAGGAGAAGTGGTACAGGAGCTCTTTGTAAAAGCGCTGCAGACGCGCGTAATCCTGTTTTGTCGGTTCTGTCAACCCTCTGTTGTTAGTTTATGCTTCACGAACCCCGAAATATACTTGCCCAGTGTACTTGTAGTATCATACGGACTGGTTGATGGGCTGAACGTTGAATCACCAAAGTATTATGTATGCTATGGTTAGCATGCACTATCTCTCAGCCTGCAGTGACACTCTCAAGGACTGTGATACGCGCGAACAATAAGTCACATGAAAACTATGAAGTCAATTCCTGAGGCCCGAGGCCTAAAAGTGTACCTATGCCTTAGAAACATTCACAACTGCGCCATGCACAAGTGCACGACTGTAGGGACAAGCCTGGGAGGAGTACCACAGTCAGCGGGACACAATATATGCGTGTGTACCGGAGGCCACGCGTGAGTAGGGGAAACGTACCTCGTGTCCAGCCTTGATCAGTTCCTCATCTTCCACACCCTCGACCTTAATATCCACGGCAAGCCCGAACCCCCCCAGCCCTTCCGCTTCTCCGAGATGTACGGTTGTGTGGATCACGGCGTTCCTTGCGGCATCCTTCTTTCCCATTTTGCCCGCCATCATCTGCAGGGCTCCTAGGAAACACGCTACATTCGTGACGCATATATTCAGTGCAAGCCACGCGATTTTAAAGTAATAATACTATACGCACATGCGTAGCCCATGGCAAATAGTTGCTCAGGATTTGTCCCGTCGCCCTTGCCACCCAATACCTTGGGCATCGCGAGGTGCAGAGAGAAAGGGGTCTCGTCTAATGACCCGACTTCACCCTTACGACCCTGCCCGGCAGCGATAGCATGGACGGTATACTAGACACGAGAATACGCGTTGAAAATACGCGCCATTGTCAGAGGGGATTAGCATTCAGTCTGTCGATAGCACCTTGTGGTTCTTGAGGGTCACGGGGGCTGCCTCCTTGGTCGCGTACGACCGCGTTGCCTGGATTGCCCGCACGCGGGACGTGTTCACAATACTACGTGCACCAATGTTCAACATCCTGGCTTTGTTCTGGCTTTTGAAAAGGTTTAGGATGACGAAGGAGGCTGAAGGAAGGAAGCGGGTGGGAGTTTAGATCGTGCGGAGGTATTTCAAGCTTGCCACAATTGTCAGAATTTCGGGTCACCTGCAATGAGCTGCAACGTCATTCTACCTCTTTCTGTTTTCGTTGATTGAATTCAGTGAATGGAATCACAAGAAAGAAAGATATTCAGTTTGAGTACAATACAATGATCAGTCTACAATATGACTGCACATAAACACCTAGAAACCACTAGCAGTCACACGCAACTGCTCCAGCTTTTTGAGCACCTCTCCTACTGAGCGGTCAAGTTCTCCAGCAATCGCACTCTGCTTCGACCCTGGCAGCCGAGCATATGTCTCGCACAAATCTCCATCAACAACTGCCTTCACTGGCACATAATACCCTCTCCAACTCAAGTGATCCCGGCCTACAAGACTGCCCTGCTCCGTGCGCATGTGTTGCTCCAGCGTTGAGATGAAATCTACATCCTCCTTGGACACGAAAGGCACGAGTATCCCGATGGTTCCGTGAATGCCAGTGTAGAGCAACACCTCACGACCACCAGCAACAAGTGACACTTTGTGTATCGAGGTGACAAGATCACCAACGTGGAAGTGACACAACATGTTGGTTTTGTGAGGGGCACCCATCAATATGCCCTTCTCATGGAGGATACCAGCACCTGTGGGGTCATCATCTACTTGGTCAGAGACCTTTGCATCAAGGCGGTTGACAAAGACGTTGCCGAAGCGATCACTTGCGGCGACGGTATTGTAATCCACCATCGTCGCTGCAGCAATCCATCTGGGTTGAGTGTCATCAGCGAAGATGAGCAGGCGGTTCTCTGGTGCCTTGTATACTGCGTAATGTATTGACTCTTGCATGTCGCCAACAATTATGCGGGAACCCTGGGTGTTGAGGGTAACAATGGCAGTAGAAAATGTCTGAAATACGAAGGTAAGCAAACCAAAGGTACAATGTTGGTGTGTGCTTACTTTGTTCTCCGCTTTCCGTAGGAGCTTCTTCTTACCAATCTCATATATCCGAAGAGCCTTTCCAACCCCAGCAACCAAACGTCCTTGGAATCCCATGACAGCCAGGGGGACATCGTCTGTCTCTGTCTAAATGAAAGCGTCAGAGAACTGAAGTATTCATCAAGATATCACTGCACCTTGTGAAGAAGCTCCAATCCCACGCCATCCTCGGTGAAACGATACGTTCGCAAGAAACCACTGGTACACGACCGCGGAGACAATAAGGTATCCTGCGCAGTGCCTACGACAAGATGTAGATCGTTGTTTCGTGCAGCAAATTGTACGAAAGCAAGGCTGAAGGCTGCCTCGTTGTTGTCTAGTGTTATAACCGCAACGGTCTTGCCCTAGAAAACGTAGATGTGAGCCCTCACGCATCGACCAGTTACAATACGGCCTTACCTCAACAGGATCGATAATGCGGATTGCGGATGCCCAATTCCCTGCTGCCGCTTTCGGCCGTCCAAAGATCTCGGGAGGTAGATCAAGCATTTCTTGATCAACATGCTGTCCTGCTTCCCTCTGAAAAAAGGATAAGCCCAGGATAGTCGCAAGATAATGGATAAGACTCACCATCGCCTGTAACCGTGTGTTGGCGGCCTCATCGCCCAAGACACGGTGGTCGCCCTCAATAAGATAAAAGTGGCGATTTTTGGGGTGTGATATAAACCTTCGAGGGGTCAAGGATAGCGGAATTGAATCTTGCTTCAATTTCATGCCCAATTTTGGTATCTGAAAGATGCTGACAAGGAAACGGCAATCAGCGTTAATTCGAAAAACAACGGAAGAAGGAAGTCTCAGTAGGAACAATTGGTATTCAAAAATTTTCGGCATGTCCTCCTCAGAGGTTCATCCGGTATCTCTATTCGCATCTTCGACAGGACGTGATGAATAGGATCACTTACCGAAGGACACTGCCGGCTATGCCAATGAGGCCCTCAGGACTGAGCTCAGCGGAGAAACTCCACGCGTAGTCCAAGTTATCGAAAATCAAAGGAGTGAAATGCATGAGATTTTGATGCGTGTAATTCAACCAGGATCTGGACGAGAGCGCTAGGATGGCTGGATTCCCCTGGATTTGAACACGAACCAGTCTGACTGGCCGATTCCCGAGGAACCTAATTGAAAACAGTTAGCTAAAATTCTCCAATTGGCGAAACAACCCACCGAGTCCGAGTATCAGTTAGCTGCCCGTTGATAGGATCAAGTACGGTTCGCAGGAGAACGCCATTTTGGAGACCAATGTTAACAAACATGGTAGGCTGCGTCTTGTTGATACTCGCATCCAGCATGTCAGCAATGCAAATAGTTGACGGTGGTGCTGTCAACGCCTGCAAACTAATGGTTTCCAGTGTACTCTCTGGGTCAAGCGACACTATTCGAACGGTTTGATCCTCGCATCCGACAGCCTAGTAAGATATGAGTAAGTAATTTATTTCTAACTCGATGTAGTACGGCTTACCAGGTAGGGTGTTCTTTGGCGCCCCTCAGGCACCTCAGCTATGCTTAGAGCTGTGATAGTTGAACCCATCGCTTTCCTATCTTGATATTCGTTCAGCTGACCATCAAGATCGAGTTCGAAGTAAACAAGCTCAGCAGAGCTCAGGGCAACAACCACTTGGCGTTTGTTTGTCGTAGCGGTGACGATAGTCTTTCCTTGAGGCGCTGACCACTGATTGACGCGGTGGTCCGCAAGGATATGACGAATGCCATGTGGATGCACCTGCAGGAGGGCGTCAGCACCAATTTGCTGGACAGCAAGAGTGGGCGCTGATGACAGGATACCGGTGTCCTGCACTTCTTCAATTGTTTCTCCGATGGAAAGGACAAGAGTTCCATTGACGAATGAGAGAATAATGTAGGTATCAAACTCATCTGCAAGTAGCCATCAGCGGATGTTGTTAAGAAATACTATGAAAAAAAAGACATACCGTCCTCGCGCCGCTTGGTTGTCCAAACCGCATTGGGAATACCCGGCAACTCTGAACTGACGGATTCTTCGACGTCAAGACCGTGGCGAAGTGTTCTGAAAGAACTCCGTGCTCCACGTCCACAGGCGGTAAAAATCTGGGGCGTATCTGAGTTTGGTAATAGGTTCATCACCTTGGAGTCTATTATCGGGTCTAGAGATTCCATTTCGTCTGCAAGAGCAAGATTGTCCAGTGGTCGTGGCCGGAAGTGTGCATGAGGTAAAGAAATGGTGGGATTTGCCATTCCGGTGGCTGGATACGACGTCGAGCTAAACTCAGGTTCATTGTCATCGTCACCCAATTTCTGGAACTGGTACAAATAACTGAAATCGAAGTCAGAAAACTTCTTGCGAGAAGATAAATTGAGACTCACTGATTCCCGAACTCGGATGCAACGAAAAGGAAACCAGATTTAAGAATACAAAGACTGGATGCCACAGGGACAGTGTCAAAATACTTGATTTTTAATGCCTTAACTTCGTCTTCTTCATGGTCAATCGTGACCTTAAAGAGGTCACCATCCTCGCTTTGAAGGAGGAAGAAGAAAGCACCCTACGGGAACATATTAATCAAGATATGGTAACAAGCTGCGAAGGACTAACCTTCATTTTGTGCATGACGGCCGTAACGATGATGACGCCTCGCTGACGATCTTCGAGTGGGTGTTGTCTTCGTGGGATGGGGACACGATGTTGCGGTCGGTCCATGTGTCGGTAGATGATATGGTCTTCACAGCAAACAAGAACACCAGACGGTCCGTCGAAACGATCTGTGGATGCGACTTGGCCACCGGGGACTTGAACCAGTAAATTGGCACGTGGATCTGTAGCTTCGCTCCATTTTCGAACGACGTGGTTAAGGCCCAAATCAAGTTCGTAGTATGTCAGCATCTAGGAACTCATCAGTCATTACACGAAAAATGATCACAAAACACACCTTCTCCGCATTGTTGAACGTTTCCCCTGTAGGATCTTGATCAGACTCAGAGTAGTCGACTTCAAGAGCAGCAAACAATGGGTTCTCAAAGCCCACGTCAAGGCCCACGATATGGTGAATGATCGCATTGTTCTTGTGCGCTTCGAGAGGCGACGAAATCGTGAGATTAGCTGCAGCATCTCGGTTCAAGATGTATACAAGTTTAGCTTTCTCTACTGATGAGATCATCACGCTACGGCCCTTGGGGTCCGTCGCGAGGTATTGTCCGGGTACAATGCGTCGCGCTCCAGACTTGCCAAAGGTTTCTTGATGCAGCTTCACGAAACTGCTCGACTTCGGATCATAGTCGAGAATGATGATGCGACCAGAATCCGAGCCTACGATTGCGTAGTCTGAGAACAGAGTATGAATAAGAAGGAACAAAAGAAGATACGTACGAGGGGCTCACCCTTGGTACTGCCTGTCAAACGAAAAGCTGCTAGAGAACGAATAGAGCCAAAGACATCAGAGGCAATAACTGTTGATAGTTTGCCAGTTTGAACATCTGGGCGCAAGAGCTCCAGTCGAGTGCCACGGGAGATGATGATTTCCTGAGTTCGAGCGCCAGAAAAATTACCAACGATAGCTTGCGTAGCTGCCGCCGGGGGCTGCAGCGTTAGGTTGTATAGATGCATTCTAAAGTCGATATGGTCGAAGCCAACTTGCAAACTGTTGACAATATCTTTAGGTGTTTGGTTTGTGGCTGAACATCACTTGAGCTGACATAATTGTCTGATTTTGGCAAGTCCTGTTGTTTGCGAAAACTACAATTGGACGATTCAGAAGTTCGAACCAAGAAATACACTGGGCGACACGTTTGCTGGTAGTTGAGTCTCCCGCTGCTCAGGAAAACACGACAACTCGATCAACGGTAGACATGTTGCCCAGGTATCGTAAAGACTAATGTGCTACTAATTGTCCTTGTTCCAGGTCGCATTCACTCTCTTCATCACTCATTGTAACGTCTGCCGCGTTCAGCTATATCATCTGAATTCCGTCTCATACACCCGCAAACCATTCCTGGTGTTTCAGTGACACTTTCAGTCATCCTTCCCCCCAATATTTGTTGATGCTAGACAGTATCAGTCTCCTCAGTCAGATAGAACGGACTGAGGGAAAGCGGGGAACAATAAGTAAGTGATATATATATGCGCCGTCCGTGGTTGGCAACGTTGGTATTCCAACCTAACTCCGACGGTTCGTGATTCGTATTGCAACTCAACAATATTTGGCATCGTTTTCACCGGTTTGTATTTAACTTGGGAAATAAACTCGATTCTTCATTTTTCCTTCGTGTGCCAAATGAGTCGTATCGTCCAGGAGTAGCAAACATCATAGAACGCTCAGTCTCGCATAACGTTGGCGTGCCACTTTTTCTGATGTGTCTGACCTCCACATTGCCCACCCACAGGTTCTCCCGTTAATTCTACTCGGTCATCTTTGTCAATGGTCTCAGCGCTTAGTCTAATTATACCAGCGTCTATCCTGCCGAACAGCCCTCAACAACATGGAAATACACGTGTCATCACCTATTACTAGCCTATCCTCTCCTACCGCTCATTCTGTACGCCACTCAATCTCCGATGCACCGTGCTGTTCGTCGTTTGTTTCGTCGCACCATCACGCCTACTACTAGCATTGCAAGGCAATACATCAGACTTGAAGGTGGGTCACTCCGCACCACCTTCGTATCTCTTTGAGATCCTCACACTCTATCTACAGTCAGAAGCGCAAAAAACCTTCAAGTCCCTTCTGAGCGCATACCCGCAGGCATTTACGTGTCCATCAATGTCAACTCAAGGAAGCGCTGGAAATCAACCGTCAGAGTCTTGTCATCCGATAAATCTGTCGCATGGGGAGATTCCATGACCCTGTAAAGTCCCTGAAAACTTTCGGACGCGATTCGAGTACTCATCCTCGGCTTATAGAACACAGGCATCACCTTCATTATCAGTGGAGATCAGAGCGTCCTTTGAGCTCGATCGAATGCTGGGCAATGGTGAAATCGTAGGAAAACTTCAAACATCGTGGGATGAGTTACTCGATCATGGAGATGAACCATTCGGTGAGTAACCTACTTCTCATTCATGCGTATCTACTCATATCCTGTAGAACTGTCCTTCCCACCCATCCGCGGTGTCACTCCCTCACTCATGCTGAAGGCCGCTGTTGTAGATGCTTGTGATAATCAGGAAAGTGCTCTATTTGACGTGGGTGACGCTAGCCTCTGCGGTTAGCTTTTGCTGACGGAATGTCAACTGTAGCCCCTCGTAGATTGCGAGATTGCTCGAGAAACAGATGCGGGCCACGCACGATATACCGAATACATGACCAGGAAGACAGTCTCTCGCCTGAACGATGCTTTACAGCATTTTCGGTCGGTTCTGCACCGCTGTCCGGTCGACCATCCTGACCACGCAGCAGCTCTCACCAACCTCGCGCGGGCCCGCCTTCAAGGCTACATTCAAAACGATCTTCAAGACATTGATACCACCACTTCCCTCTTCCGCGAAGCCCTTGCATTGCGTCCGCAGGGCCATCCCAACCACACATTATCTCTCTTTCAACTCATTTTCGCATTAACCTGGCGCCACAACAAGGAGCGCACCGCCGTCTTCATTCATGAATCCCTGCAGCTGTGCTGCAAGCTACTGCCCCTCTGTCCAGAGGGGATCTACCTTCGTAGCATCGGCGTAGACAGTGAGGTCGATTATGTGATTGCCGAATGCAACAAACTTCCGATCGATGCATCTGACGAAGGGATCCACCTTCGACGAGTCGTGGTCGAGCTCTGCCCTCTGGGCCACAAATACCGTCCCAGGGCCCTCGACATCCTTGCACAGGCAGTTGAGGCACGCTTTAACCAGCATGGCAGCATTGATGATCTAGAAGAGTGCATACAACTTGGTCGTGAAGCCGTTTCTCTGTGCCCCGAGGGGCATTCTGACCGTGATACCTACCTGAACAACTTGTTTCTCACTCCGATCCCGCTTTGATCACCAAGGCAAATCTCATGACCTTGACGAGGCCATCTCCATGCACGAAGAAGCGCTGCGTCTGCGGCCTGTTGGGCACAACAAACGTGATTTCTCATTGGACAACCTAGGGCAAGTCCTCCGCACCCGTTTCAACAAACACGGTGACGTTGATAACATCAACCGAGCTGTCAGCCTCCATCGCGAGGCACTGACGTTGCTCCCACCTGGGCATCCACGTCGTGACACCACGCTTCACAACCTTGCCCTCACGCTCAAAGAGAGAGATGACAAACTGCATGTCATCCAGGATCTTAATGAGGCCATTGATCTGTATCGCGAATCTCTTCGGTCAAAGCAGCTTGATGATCCACAGCGCCATAGACATCTTTACAATTTGAGCTCGGCGCTGTGTTCTCGTTTCACGCAAACTCAGAATGATGAAGATATTGAGGAGGCTATTCGACTCTGCCAAGAATCATTGGAGGCATTGCCTTCACTGCACCCAGATAGATGCTCCAGTCATGCATGGCTGCAACAGGCTTATCTATCTCGTTATAGCATACAACACAAACCCACTGATTTGTCATCTGCAATGGAGCACTCCAGACTTGCATCAATGCACCCTACCCAAGGCTTTCCAAATCGCATTCTATCAGCGTGGCGCTGGATTATTGATGCTGAGGCTTCTGGTCATGAATCTGCGCTCGAGGCATATGCGGTGTTTTTCGAGCTTCTTGACGCACATATCTCAACACGATCATCCACCACTTCGCGGCGTGAAGCTGTCGCCGCCTTCCAAGATGCCAGATCACTGCCTGTGGATGCAGCATCATGTGCCATCCGCAGTGACAATCTCCGATGCGCAGTCGAACTTGCGGAGCAGGGACGTGGCCAACAGTGGTCATTGGCCTCTCGCCTGAGGAGTCCACTCGAAGGCCTCCAGTCCACGAATCCCAACCTAGCTCACAAGTTCTCGGAGCTCAGCAAACATCTTTCTGACGCCCAGGGTTCCGCGGGTAGCACAGACCGAGCCGCTGCGGATCGAGCAGCAACGGAGTATCGGAGACTTACAAGGCAATGGGAAGTTGCAGTAGCTGAAATACGTAATATTCAAGCTTTCTCGCGGTTCCTACTTCCACCTTTGTACGAAGACTTGCAAGTAGCGGCACGCAATGGCCCAGTAATCATCCTCATTGCCAGCCAATACTCATGCAGCGCCATTGTTGTCCCGACGTCAGGGGAGGCCTACCATGTTCACCTCCTGCGCATGACTCTACCACATCTAGAGAAGCTCAAAGACGATTTTGCTACGGCAATCCTGCATACAGTTCGTATGCGCCCAGAGCAGCCAAGGAAGAAGTTGCAAGTGCTCTTGCGGGTAGTGTGGGACGAGATCATGCTACCCATCATTAATGTCCTCCAGCATGACCTGAAATTGCGGCATCGCTCTCGAATATGGCTGTGTCCGACGGCAGCCTTCATGTCCATCCCTCTCCATGCAGCTAACCCCTTCCGAATGAATGCAGATCGCTCTGGGAGCGAGTCATGCCTGGAGGATCTCTACGTCTGCTCTTATACACCCACACTTTCAGCTCTTATTAGAGCTCGGCAGGCGATGAAGACGCGTGCGACTCCGTCCTTCGCGGCGATCGGACAAAGTCAACCAGGCGCAGGGCAAGGTGACGTGCTCCCGGCTGTTGACAGTGAGCTTGAGCTTGTCCATACACTCGTTCCTCCCAACATCAAGTTCACTAACATTTCGAAAGACGAAGCCACACAAGCAGGTGCGCTCAACGCTTTGCAGCGCAACACCTGGGTGCACCTCGCTTGTCACGGCAAGCAAGATCTTGAGCAGCCTTATAACTCATATTTCGCCATGAGAGACAAACCTGTTACGCTGCTCGACATCATGGAGAACAATTCCCCACAAGCTGAATTTGCATTCTTGTCAGCATGTCATACCGCCGTCGGCGATAAGGACACACCCGACGAAGCTATCCACCTCGCAGCTGGACTCCAGTTTTCGGGGTTCAAGAGCGTCGTTGGCACGCTGTGGGGGGTCAGTGACGCTCTCGTAAAACATGTCGTGGAAGCTTTTTACGAGAAGATGTTTGAAGACCTGGAGGATGGTGTCATAGACTGTACGAAGGCGGCCTGGGCACTCAACCGTGCTACACACACCGTGATGACAAAAGTGCCGCTCGAGCAGAGGATGGTTTTCATTCATATCGGTGTGTAGTTCTACGTACGTCGTATTGCTGCGTCTCGTACATATTCACAAGTTGATTATCTGTGATCCACTTTTATCCTGTTTTTTGTAGACATGTCCCTGATACTCTTGCATTCTTGATATCTCGCTTTTATATCCTCTCTCGTGTTATTTTCCCCTAGAATATTTACCTGAGGTTTTGTGTACCCTGGTCGTTCGCAGCTTCGTCTTCTACTTGAGTACATCGTACGAGCCGACTCAGGCCTACTCACGCTTTCTAGTCACCTTCTGCACCATGGAACGAGTACCTTCAACTAACATGCGCACCCATCGTCAATAGCTTCATCAATCCTGGGGCCTTTTCTTGATGTGGCCCATCTGTGCATGGCTAATATCTGAAGCTTGAGACCGAGGATGAGAAAAGTCGTGGATTTGAGCCGCCTAGGACCTGGGTTGATTTACCAGAGACAAGGTAGCCGTAGCCTGAAATAGGCACAATGTTGAATGAACCAGATATTGTCGTTTGCATTTACACGTCATGTCGACTACTGTACCCCAAAACTCTTCGTCTACTCTTCTCTATGAAAGCAGCGCCTCGTGCAAAAATCGGTCAACGACTTGGAGATCGGCCAGATGCGGATTCGGAATCGATCCTTTGGTGGAGGGCAGTTTGGCTGCTCGGGCCACCATCATTAGTACGAACTTTTGGAACTTGTTCTTGAAAAAAGTGGATTGAAACCTAAGTGAGCCTGCCTTACACACTACCAATCGGTCCTTACGGTTTAACGCTACCGTGACAGATTCACTTACATTGCCGAAGAGAACTGATCTTTATCTGATCATCTTTCAAAGTCGCAAGAGCAGTATCATGTTCTTAGTAGATGTTTAATACGAAGTAGCCATAAAAATTGTGCAATTTCAACTGTTATTTAAATTTTAAACCACAAATGAATGGTAGATATTTATTACTCCAGAAGTTAACATATATTCAATTAAGCGACTTGCAATTGGTCAGGCGTATGTTTTAGATGGCATATCTTGTATATTCAGATCAGCGAAGGTTGTGGATGAGTTATGGAGCTCACCTAAACAGCGGACTGGCATCGCCCATGTCCTTAAATTCAGCTCTTCTGCTGTCAGTAATGCCTTCCGCCTGACACTGCGCTTGCTTCTTTTTGTTAAGCCGGCTATAGTCCCACATAGCGAACAGGCTCAGGGAAATTCTGTAGCGGAAACTCGTTAAATGATATTGCAGTCCGAAAAACTGGGGAGGCATACGAGAGAAAGAGGAATCCAATGATAGTGCCATGGCCAATGTGGAAATTTGGTGGGTCAATGTAAATGAATGACGAGCAGATACTAAGACAGGGTTTGAGCGGACGATGTATATTTGTGATGACATGACGTACCCTCCCAGGTTTCCAAGGCCAATGACCATCGCTATCACAACTCCACGCTTCAAGTCGCCTCCTGCATTCGAGCCTGCCCAAGCAAGGTCAACCGCGATGGTTGGATAGACACCAATAGCAGCTAGACAAGCTCCAGTATATGACATGCCCGCATGTCCGCCACAATAAAGCAAGATATATCCCACAATAGACACGAAAGCGCCACCGATGATAAATGGGCCACGAATATTGTACTTGTCAGAGTAGACTCCAACTAGGATTGTGGTAATACAGCCAGCAATAAATGGTGGGGCTGAGAGCAACTGAGCAGCGGTAGCGGAATAGCCAAGCTCGTGGATGATAGTCGGCGTAAAGAGAGCGATAGCGTAAACAGGGACGAGCAGCCTAACAAAGGACTCAGCTCGTGAATGAAAAATAACAGAAGGCAGGGAGTACCCAATATAGATAAGAACTTGAATGTAAGTCTTGTAATCCTTCATGGCCTGCATGACAAATCGAATATGATAGTGAGTGGCGAGATTATTCGCATCCCGTTTGAGCATATCTATCACGAATGCTCTCTCTGTCTCGGTCAAAAATTTGGCCGTTTCGGGATACTAAGAAGTCCAAATAATCAGTGAAATGCACAATAAATGCGTGAACCCACATCATGCATGAAGAAAAAGGAGAGACATGCCACGAGCAGGGTGGCTGATGGAAGATGAATGTCTGAATTGCCTCTGAGATTCAACAGACTGACCAATGCCCTCTAGGAGAAACTAGTAGTGCACGTAAAATGAGTGACAATTCAGCCTGAAAACACGCAAACATACAATCCATTGCCAACCATGCAATCCTCCGACACTAATCAACGAATCACTGATGGCCTATCAATGACCATAAATTACTTACCCCTCCAAATGCTCGATACAATACCTGTATGCATGAACAGGTCAAGCACGACAGCGGGTTGAAACTTTGAAGACTCACGCAAGGAGTCCGCCGAAAGCGCCTGACGACCAAAGAAAACTTAAATAAAATGGAACTCTATGCTTATAATGAAATATTACTCACCTGCGACTGTTGCTGCAGAAAAGAATATGGCAATGCGCTTGGACTGTTCAGAGCGTGGATACCAGAGAGATATGTAGTAGGTCACTCCAGGGAATAATCCCGCTTCTGTCAAGCCAAGGAACAGCCGAGCTCTACCGTCGCATACTTTAATGCGTCAATTTTCACCAGATAGGTACAATCTACGCACACGACTAGAGATCGAAATGAATCAACGAGACACATAAGGGTCATCACAAGACCCCACGCGACCATGATAACCGGTACTAGACTATTGTCAGGCGGTGGGGATAACAGGGCAGAGGTAAACGTACTCCAGCGCGATGGTCTGAATAGCTTCAGCGCAATATTCCTATCCAAACATTGAGAACGAATACGCTGCTTTTGATTTTAAACATACGAGGGGACCTCGGCAAAGCTGTACAGAATCTAGAGGAGGCGCGTTGATATTGCATAGAACAAAAGCACGACATATTACGTACAAAAAAGACGGCCGCAGCAATGTTGTACTTGAAGCCGGTCAAATGCAGGTCTTTAGACATGCCAGCGACTTTCGCGTTTCCTGCCAGTGGTGATGGTGATGAATAGAAAGTATGATGTACATATCCCACCACTTACCGACATTGGCCCGGTCTCTGAAGGCAGCGCGAAATAAGAAGCACCACTAGAGAAGGAGGTATTAAACAGACTCACAAGAATGACAGCATGTACAATAACGACACGAATGGTAACAGATGCCAATCGAGCTTGCGCAGAATGCGTGCTCGTTCTCCTGGGTTGAGCTCCTCGACAATTTGTTTCTCCTCGACACTTTGTTTTTCCTCTATATCAAAGTTTGTCTCGATGCTACCCTTGCGCAATGAGCTCGTGCTACCCTGTGTTAAAGTAATTGAAAGGAAGGACTGGTTAAATGAGTGGCTTGTCATCGGGAGTGTTTATATAAAAGTTTTAACTCGTTCGAATGACTTTAGTGAGCGGTCAGTATGGTGGTGCTGGAGAAAGAAAAAACATGAAACGGAAAACTTGAGACGGAAATATAACGTTACCGTGTGGTCAGACTATCAGGGTAGCCATTCCTTCCTGTACTTGGTCACAGACCGAAGCCTCTTCGGTTTCACTGATTCGGACAAAGTCAAAACATTGCTTCATGGATAACGAACGATTCAATGCTAGTTATATAGCACCAGTCCATGATATCCACAGTGCGTTCCACGTCCATGAAGTTCTAACCAGCTGGAATTTACTGCAGGAGTGCTCATGGGTTGAAATGAAGCAGTGGGTGGGATGAGTGACGTAAATTGTGCCACTGGTCCCGATCGTGAGGAACAGCCGAGTCTGCCGCTGCCCTCCAGTGCCATTTTCCTCTATTGCGATGACCTTGAGGGGACTGACAACACATCGTGGATATTGATTTGTGCGCTCGCCGTTCGCCGACGCGGACAGATACCTATACAGCCTTTGCCATCTTGAGAGGGCCTGGCCATGGAATCTTCTTGGAAAGACTTCGCGAATTCTGAATCTCGTTCTTTCACGATGCACGACTCATCGTCGTGATGAGATTGATGGATTACATCGATTCGCCACCGCCGACCTACGAATTCGGAGAGCCATACTCAGACTTAGGCTACGTAGCGCTCATTCTGGCAAACACTGGGCGCAGTTTTGTCACGCTGGTTTTCACGATCAGGCATGAAGTTTCGTCAAGGACTTAAGGTACATCTTGCTTACGGGCGTATGGCACTCGTAGTACTAAGTATGACTCCGGTCTCACCACATGATTGCTTGATGACGAAGCCATTGCGGATCACTTTCTGTCCGTTTTTTCACCGGGGTCGCATTTTCTAACTACCATGTCTGGAGCCCAAGCAGAGATCGAAAAACTTGACAGCAGCAGCAAAGACCCCGCTTCTCAACACGTAGAGGTCTTTGACCGTCCGACGGGATGGAGGAAATACTACTACCACCCCATCGCCCAGGTGTCGATGCTGGGACTTGTGTGTTTCATGTGCCCCGGCATGTTCGTTGCGCTTACTGGTCTTGGCGGCGGCGGCCAAGTCAACGGTTCTATTCAGGCTAACGCTAGCGCAATTTTGTATTCGACTTTTGCGTTTTTTGGGTTCTTCTCTGGGCAAGATAACATCGTCACTTTTGGCTGCGGGGGCTAATGTTGTCGTAGTTCCATTAACAATGTCCTTGGTCCTCGGCGGACTTTGATGCTTGGAACTTGGGGCTACTCGTTGTACATTGCATCGTTCCTGTAAGTTGATCTGTTAGTCGATCATGTGATTTTACTGAAACATTGCATCTCAGTGCTATTAGCATCCATCCTGGTGCGGGTGCGAGTGCTTTCGTTGTCGTGGCCGGTGCTATCCTTGGTATCTGCGCAGCTTTGCTTTGGACCGCGCAGGGCTCTCTGATGATGGCGTACCCTACTGAGGCTCAGAAGGGCATGTTCATATGTATCAGTTGGGCCATCTTGAGTCTTGGGGGGGTTGTGGGCTCAGCTGTAGCATTCGGGACCAATTTCAAGAGTACGGCGAGTAACATGTTACGTTCATGAGTAGGAGGATATGCTCATATTTTGTACCATCAGTCCAACAGCGGTAAGGAGCCAGGACACATGGCTATGAGCCTGACAGTGGAACTGACCGATTTCGTCATCGTCAGTTAGCAACGGCACTTATGTAAGTCATACGATAGTCTCTTTCACCGGATATTGACGCTTGATTAGGTTTGTTTCCTGATTTTGACCCTCATTGGTGTATTCCTCCCGCTTTTAATGGCAAACCCAGACAAGATGATTCGTACGGATGGGACTCGCGTGGCCCAGGTCCGGCACCCATCTTGGAAGGCAGAGTTTTTCAGCTTGTATGTTGCCCTCAAGACCGACCCCTGGATTATCCTTCTCTTCCCGATATTTTTTGCCAGTAATTACTTTTACACCTGGCGTTCGTACTGTTCTTGGTGTCAATGTGGTTGCTGACAGATCGTGCAGAATACAATGACTACAACGGCGCCATATTTACGATCCGTGCACGGGGTCTCAATAACATCATGTCCTGGACAGCGCAGATCTTTGGGTCCATCTTTATAGGTTGCTTCGTCCTTGATCAGAAAAGGGTCCGACGCAGAGTCCGCGCATTCTATGGATGGATCCTCGTGTTTCTCATGATTTTCGTCGTCCATGTCTGGGCGTTTTTCTATCAAAAGTAAGTCCTCATGCCACACTACAGGTTCAAATATAAAATGAAAGCGCTCCTAGGACATATACCCGCACTGAAGAGGCTGTGAGGAATGCTGACAGGATCGACATCATGGACGACACCTACGCTGCCCATGTCTGGGTCATGATCTTTTATGGCTTCCTAGATTCAATGTGGCAGACATATGCATACTGGCTGATGGGTGCGATGTCAAACGACCCCGCGAAGCTGGCTGTGTTCACTGGCTTCTGTGGGTATCTGAAAGTACGAGTTCGATCCATCTTTCTGACCAAGAACCATGCAGACAAGTCCGTGCAATCAGCGGGCGCGGCAGGCGTCTGGCGTGCTGATGCCGTTGGAATCCCGTGAGTTCATCATTACTACCTATGCGAACAAGCTGCTATACTAGCGCTCCAGATATATGAACATCTTCCTGTCGACGTGGTGCCTGATGGTCGCTGGCATGGTCTTCTCTGCGCCGATGGTATACCTTCGCGTCACCGAACACACGTACGTCGAGGATGAGGGTCTGTGAATGCCCATAATGATTAAGGCATCTATCGTTGGATCACAAGCAGGTTGTAAACCGCGGGCGTGAAACAGATTGAACTTCCAGCGGTTGCGATAAATGACGTGGGCCAACTAGCCCTATTGGCACTGTCAGGGTAGCGATTCATTCCTAGGTCATGATACTGTAGCTTCTTCAGCTTCACTGACAAATATTACATCAATAGCACTGCTTGCCTAGAGTTCATGGATAATGATTCGATGCTGGTTACATACGCCAGTCAGTGGTGACCACTGGGCAGCCCACGTCCTGGACCTCGAGATTTCGTCGAAAACTACTGCACGAGGGTTGCATGAAGTGTGGAAATCAGTAATGTACATCGTGCGAACCGGTCTCAACAAGGTTACAGTAACCCCCCGCCAGATTTACGGAAATGGCCCCATGCCAAGGGGAAGAAGGAAGGCTCATGATCATCGAACTTCAAGTTGGTCAAAACCGGTCGAGACCAAAATTTGACTCTGCAAGTTTCAACTACTGCGAATGCCTAATTGGCTTGTTCCCCGCCCCTCTATCAAAGTTTGACCTTACCGAGTGCGGCTGTAAGGGAAATCAAGCGCTTCCTGTCCCAGCTGCAGAGTACACAGATGATCATTATGATGAGACATCGTCTCACTAGTACTTCTGTGCAGCACCCAACCCCGTTCGAAGGTATCAAAACGATTCGCTGTGACTTAGTACTACTAATACAGAACAATCCGAGCATACACAGCCTTGTAAATCATATCCTCTATCACTAATGTGTCCCAATTGTGCATTCGCTGAAAGCCGAATTCTATTGAACGTGGCGCGCGAAGAAGTGGGCCCAGATGACAACATCCCGATCCATCTCCAACTTGAACGCGACAAACATCGTAAACATCGCAAATATGTCCCGTCTCATGGCATAGCTGACTATGAGCGCCGTCAATGCATCGCCAGCCCGCCTGACATGAATTTAGGTCCTATATTTGAAAAGGGTAAGTTAAGGAATGTCTGCAAAGCAAGGACCTCTCACGAGACGGAATGATGTGACCCGACGCTGGTGCCAGCATAAACACAGTCCATCTTCACAGCCGGCAGCGGCTGACCACTCGTCCCTGTTTAAAAGCTTCAATGCACCGTCATCGTGACCATTCAAGTACCCTACCAGCATGACAATACGGGGTTCCATCTTCCTTGTGGCCCCACCACATCACAGGCGACCACTCATCCACGAGGTTGGCCAGTGTCTGAAGGTGACCATATGCAGCTGGCTGGGGTCCGCGCCGTTGGCGTAGTGCCACGAGAGTGAAGAAACAAGCGAATACAAACAGCACTATCCATAAGTTCAAGATCTGCACGAGTATATAAGGATGCTGCAGCGCCTGCACTTAGATAGTGAATACGAACCTGCATTGGGAACGTATATACATCGATGTTGACATATGCAAGGTCGATGGTGGCGAAGAGCACGAAACAAAGCCCAAATATCCAGTCTATATCGTTAATAATATTTGTTCAGGGACATACATCTAAAGCTAGGTGCGAGTGACTTACGCAGGACAGGCTTTGCAACAAAAAGTGCAAGACAGAGTGGATTGGCGAAAACCGAATTCAGCGGGTTTACCGCCGATGGAATCCCTTTTCGTCCAGTAGCGCATCTCCAATGCCCTTCGTCCCGAATGACGTTTGCGATGAGCTCAGAGCAGTGTAGACAAAGTGTCAACGGTCCCTGGATAGCAGCCAGGTTGACATAAGGCATAATCCACCAATGAGACGTGCCCCCTCCGAACCAGTAATAAAGGCTGTATGAAAAATTGTAATCGTCAGGGAAGAACGACCACGATTTCCAGGTTATGTGATCGAGGATTTCATGCGTATCGTGCGTGTCCTGGATGCGCAGGATGAGGACACCCCATCCAGCGCATGCTACGACAAGACACCAAAGGGAGATGATAACTTTCCGAATGCTAGGGTGCGCATGCCATGCAGAAGGCTGTTTCTCTGATGGCTTCGCTGGTCCTCCATCCATGTCCAAGTCGGACACACCACGCATGCACCGGAAAAGAGCTGGGGTCAATTGCGCGTGGTGGACCAGAGCAGCGGTCAAATCGAAAGGTGAAGAACTCCACGTTAATATCTTGATAGCTCGCATCCCTGACAATGCGATCACCACCTGGAGAAGAAGTGCGACTCCCAAAATCAGGAGAGGTATCCCCATGATAATATTAGTCGCGGGGGTGTCGAGATATTCATTTAAATAGCCGTAGGAAGGTATTGCGACCAGTGAAGCTGAGCTATAGGATATGACGAGGAGGACAACCATGATACCATTAAGAAGAGAACCATTGGGGTTGCTCCATCCACGAGTTGCAGTCAGAAGGCGCAGATTAGAGTTGAAACGAAGCCGAGACTCTGAAGCCAGCGCAGAGCGCAATGAGATGTTGTGTACGAAACCTATGGCTTCGGTGCATAATGTGACGATCAAATTTAGTGATATGACCACCATCTCTTTCCGCAGCGCAGTGCCGCTCTGTCCTGCTGATGTCAAAGTGACCGCACCTTCAGGAGCGGCCGTGATGACAGCGCCTGCAACGATGCAACAGCAGCTGACAATAATTGAGCATGCCACACCAGCGAGGGCATACCTACGACTTGTTAGACTGCGGTCGTAGAAATTGGTCGCAGACTTCAGGTCAGATGTGACCGAGTCAGAGTCATCCAGGTGATTCGGGAGTGCATCATATGCAAGAAGACTAAACGGATCCCAGGTTTTTTTCCTCGGTTTGGGAGCAGTTGCCATGCGGGAGGTGGAGAATGGAGGGGGGAGCACATCATGTACTTGAAGACCGAGTAGTATATAATAACCCTTGGCACAGCCCGATCTGCCTGTGCACGGTGTATGTAAAAAGTCTGATGGGAGGACGATAGGGCTGCTCGATTCTAAAAAGTCGTTGTCAATGGAGTCGTAGGTGCCCTGTTACCGTTCCGAAGTACTTCCACATCGTGGTTTGCGTACAGAACCATGACATGGTTAAAACTTAAAACATGTTATACAGTCTGAAGTTTGAACAACGGTAGACCTTGGGTAGACCCATAAGTTAAGTTGTACTACATACAATTGAGTACCACTGGCACTGTCACGCCACTCCGAGATCGCCAGGCTGGTAACGAGCCTAGACGACAAAACAGTGTAAAGTATTTAGTGTTTATTTTTCGCAAGTTCAATATTAGGTAATGTGCAAACTACGTTTTAGGTAGGGTGTGTTGTGTGCGAAGGGGTCATAGGCGTGGGCGACCTGTGCGCCCCCGAACTTTCAAGAGCGTCCCTAATAAAAATGCAACAATCCATCACTGTACAATTAGATATCAAACCTTCGGAATTCCTCGATGCCCCGTACACCAGCATTGACGATTCTTCGCTCGTCAAATGCAACGGCACCATAATTACTTACACTGTTTGTTCCTGCAAAGCTGCCCTTGACAGGCCTAGCGACCTCAGGAAGTTCCATCTCCACCCTCGAGGTCCCATACCCAAATCGTTCCATTTGCATTCAAACTGACACACCGCCCGTCTGCAAGAGAAAGCGCAGAAGCAGAACCCAAAGGTCCATGCAGAGTCCGCACAAATGTCAATCTCGGTGTATGGACCGATGAATTCGAGATTGGGGGTACGTGAAGACGGTATAATTGACGGTGGCTCAATGAGTGGCTCGGGTGACTGGGCCACCTGGCGAACTTCAAATTCGTGTCACAATCTTGACACGACCACCTTCTTTTGGTGATCTATTACTCACCATTCATCTTTGGGGCTCACCGATGGGACAGTTATCCACATACCAACAAATATTGTGATGGATTCAATAGAATCATATCGGTTTCTTCCGCGCCTACCAATGCTACTAATGAAATATGTAGGCTTTTGTTCCATTTCAAGTTCCAGCCATGTATTTGTTTGTTCATTGACGAGGTATGTGCATCCTGCCTACGGAGTTCGGATACCTGCAATTCATACGAGCCCTTAGTTTCCCACCATATAGAAGGAAGACAATCGCTCATTCGTGCTAATGAGCCCTCGTACCATCATCTTCTAATCACCATGTCCGAGGTGCACGTAGAGATCGACAAACTTGACAGCAGCCGCAAGGACTCCACGTCTCCCCACGCAGAGGTCCAGGTCCTTGACCGTCCGACAGGATGGAGGAGGTATTACTACCACCCTGTCACCCAAGTGTCAATGTTGGGACTCGTGTGTTTCATGGGCCCTGGCATCTTCGTTGCGCTTACTGGTCTCGGTGGCGGAGGCCAGGTCAATAGTACAGTCCAAGCTAACGCCAGCGCGATTTTGTACGCGACTTTTGCGTTTTTTGGGTTAATCTCTGGGTGAGTCAAGGTTGACAATTTGATTTATGACGACTAATATCGCTGCAGTTCCATTAATAATGTCCTTGGTCCTCGGCGCACTCTGACACTTGGAACTTTGGGCTACTCGTTGTACATTGCCTCGTTCCTGTAAGTTAACTTGTTCATCGATCGTGTGGTTTTACTTGAAAATTTGCACTTCAGTGTTATCAACATCCATCCTGATGCGAGTGCTTTCGTAGTCGCGGCTGGTGCCATCCTTGGTGTCTGTGCAGCTTTGCTTTGGACCGCACAGGGTTCTTTGATGATGGCATACCCTACAGAGGCTCAGAAGGGCATGTTCATCTCTATCTTTTGGGCCATCTTCAATCTTGGAGGGGTTCTGGGTTCTGCTGTAGCATTTGGAACCAATTTTAAGAGTACCGTGAGTGAAACATATGTTTCGTCTGTGAATGGGAAGCCGTGCTCATATCCTCTACCGTCAGGCCAACAGCAGTAAGGACCAATGCATAGTATAGCTATGAGTCTGACGTGATTGATTTTGTCACCCTCAGTTGGCAATGGCACATATGTATGTCATTCGATAGTATCTTGTCACCAAAGATTGACACTGAACTAGGTTGGCTTCCTAATTTTGACCCTCATCGGCGTATTCCTCCCGCTGTTAATGGTAAACCCAGACAAGGTGATTCGTACGGACGGGACTCGCGTCACTGAAGTCCGCCACCCATCATGGAAGACAGAATTGTTTCGCCTGTACGTGGCCCTGAAGACTGACCCTTGGATCATCCTCCTCTTCCCGATGTTCTTTGCCAGTAATTACTGCTATACCTGGGGTCCGTACTGTTCCTGGGATCAACATGGTTGCTGATAGGTTACGCAGAATATAATGGTTACAACGGCGCGATATTCACTATCCGTGCACGGGGCCTCAACAGTTTAATGACCTACACAGCGCAAATCCTTGGATCTGTCTTCCTCGGTTACTTTATTCTTGACCAGAAAATGGTCAGCCGCAGAGTCCGTGCCTTCTACGGCTGGATCCTCGTGTTCCTTGTAGCTTTCGCTGCCCACGTCTGGGCATATTTCTACCAGAAGTAAGTCATCTTGTCACACTACACGCCAAAATCACAATGGAAGTTAGGACATATACCCGCGCTGATACTTACAAGATCGACATCACGGACGAAACCTACGCTGCTCATGTCTGGGTTATGATGGTTCATGGCTTCCTGGATTCAATGTGGCAGACATATGCATACTGGCTAATGGGCGCGATGTCGAACGACCCCGCCAAGCTGGCCGTGTTTACTGGCTTCTGTGCGTATTGACCTTGAAACGAAGGGTTGAGTTCAATACTGATAAAACCCCATACAGACAAGTCCCTGCAATCAGCGGGTGCGGCAAGTGCCTGGAGTACTGATGCCGCTAGAATCCCGTGAGTTCTTCATTCCTCTGTAAACATACTACTGGACCAGCGCTCCAGATACATGAACATCTTCCTGTCGACGTGGTGCCTAATGGTCGCTAGCATGATCTTTGCCGCACCGATGGTGTACCTTCGCGTCACCGATCACACGTACGTGGAGGATGAGACTATGTGAGTATTCATGATGCCCAATTCACCGGTCATTGGCGTTGATGTCTACCACAGTGTGCGAGTCGCGGATGTGGAAAAGACCGAGCCTCCAGCGACTGGACGGAGAAAGAATAAACAAACAGACGTTAGTTTGGAAGTTAGATAGGTTACTATTGAGACCGCACAATTCTCAGATTGACTCGCCGTTGGTGGGGTCTGAAAATGCTGTAACAGTAACTGACAGTTATGAATACTACAATCAAGTTGGTTTCCCATTTCGAGCGGCACGAAAACCATAGCACATTCGCCACATAATATTGCCTTAGAAATCATCTGGAGCTCCAAATGTTCCACCTTTCGTCTTGCAGGCTCCCTTCTTCCCACCTCTTTTCCCACCTCTCCCTCTGGAAGTGGTATTCGACGAGGACTTCAAACCTCTTGAAGTAGATTTTGCGCGCTTGGATGGCCCAGGTCCACCATTATCGGGACATTCTATCATACCATGAGTGAATGGGGCGCCTATGGTAGAGATACAGCATCATACCAGAAGTCCAATGTCCTGTCTGTCCACACTTGAAGCAAGCATCACTAGACGCCGATCCTCCAGCCTTTGATGCCGGTTTCGAGCGACTAGTCATGTCACCATTTGGACACGCTACATGTACTTAGTGGCCTCTGTCAACGGCACATAATATTACTCACCAGACGCCCAATGACCTTCTTGATCACACTATATGGAAGTTCAGTCTCTCATGACATTGTCGTTATGCCCGCACACAAACCTTGAAACACTTTCCGCCACTGGAACTTGGATCATTTTGGCTTGCTGATCGAGTCGACATGGGGCGTGAAGGAGCAGCGCTCTTAGGTTTGGGCGGTTCATCGTCCCACTCGAAGAACCCACAACCACCGTCCTTTCCTTTGGGACATCCCCAGAATATTCGTCCTTTATTTGACCCTTCTTTAGTGACAGTACGTCTTGCCGCGTCCTCACGACATTGACATTGACGTGCGAGGGCATCGACCTGGTTAAGCTCACAAAGCTCTGTATGAAACAAGACGTAGTACAAAACATAAACTCACTGAACGTTCGCTAGCCAATGCGCGCTTTGCTGGAACGAGGGGCATAGGATTTGCAGGCATAGCAACCGGTCCATCATCGCACCATTTGAAGAACCCGCAGCCGTCACCGACTCCGCAGGCATAGAACTGCTTGCCTTCGCGAGCTGATTTTTGCGTTACTGTTTTGCACTGAGATGGAATGCCGCATTCACATTCGGGCGTCGTGCTTGAAGAAGGCAAGGGGTTGGGTCGTGGAATAGCTGCCGGGGCATTCACCCGCGACGAGGAGGGTTTACTTCCCGAAGAGGTTGTCCGTGAGACAGGAGCACTGGGTTTTGATGCTCCATTGGATGCTCGTGAACGGCTTCGAGGCGGTGGGGGAGGCGGGGGCATATTAATATTCAAGTCTAGAGAACCATGTCAACGCTCATCCTTCATAACGTTAATTTGCGTACCATCAGTGTCGCTGGCAGGTGGCGGTGAGGCTGCCCTAGCAGCGCCTCGTCCACGCCCTCTGGATGCTGGGGCTGCAGCGCCCCGTCCCCGTCCCCGACCACGGCCACGTCCGGCACTTCCTGGTGGGGGTCCTCCATTGTCGTTATCATTATTATCATTGTTGTTTCCACGACCAGTGCCTCTTCCGGCACCCCTACCCCTTCCACCGCCGCCGCCGCCGCCACCACCACCACCACCACCACCACCACCACCACCACCACCACCACCATTGTTTGCACCTGCATTGCGTTCAATGTACCTGCGCACACTCTAACGTCGTCGTGCAATGTGAATGTGACGACACCCGTGCGTTCGAAGACCACCTACAGAGACAACCTTGTCGAACTCTCTCTTTGCGAGAACATACATCTCCCTGTATTGTTCGATGCTCTCGGTGAGCATATCTGCTTTGGACTTCGTGCCTTCGCAAATTCGGACCATGCCGCGTTCGGTTTCGCGCCTAAGCTGCGGCTTTGATAAACTTCTCTCAAACCCAATTTCATTGTACCCTTCTATAAGCCCAATACCAAGTGTCGAGGGCATGAGATGCTTTGTTGCACCATCCATCCGTTCGATGACATACTCGCGGTCGACAATCGTCTGGATGTGTTGAGCAATCGTAGCATCAGTGCCTGCAGAATGGCAGATAATCAGATTAGGAGGAATAACAACGATGTGTGCGGAAACGCACCAATACCGTTCTTGTCCATGAGGGTAACCAAGTCCGCCTCGGTGAGGAGTGACGGTGAGGAAGTTTGACCATCTTTGACTTCGCATGTCGTAGGTACGAACTGCTCGCCTTCCTCGAAGTTCGGTATCTCTTTTGCCGACCACTTGTCATATGGGTATACTTCAAGATAATTTCTCCGAAGGACGATCAATCCTACAAGGGCGTGAGCATATGTTGGAGTCGTAGCAGAATTACTAACCGGTTGCGTTAAACTCTTCACCACCATAATCTACTTGCACAATTGTTTCTTTGCCTTCCGCATCTGTGCTACAACTTGCAAGAAAGCGGCGGGTGATGAACTCGTATACCTTCTTCTCATCGCCAGCAAGATTCCCCGCATGAGCGGTGGGGTGGATGGGCGGATGAGCCTTGTCGTTGTTTTTGCCCCGCCTGGGAGCATTGAAATTGCCTCCATGCAGACTGAAGGTATAACGTAAGTCTGCGATCACAAAACTCTTGCGCGAAGCATACCCAGTGGCGAATCCTCCCCAAGCAGGATCGGCAGTTTGCTTTTCGATGAGTGTCATGAAATTGAACTGAGGATCGTATTGATCTGTTTCTGTGCGTGGATATGATAAAAAGCCTTGTTGGTAAAGCTTCTCCGCAATCTGAATGAGTACGACCACAGTCAGCTGGGAAGCAAGAAACGCATTAATATTGATTCAGCTCACATCGAGGACCTTCTTGGGAGCTAGCCTCAACAATCTAGATCCAGCCTTCTGCAGCTCTACGGTTGTTAGTGGGAGTGGTTTGCTAGAATGTTCAACCTGGTCTAGTGCAGTTCAGAAAACTAAGAAGAAAACTCACTATTTCTTGACATCTTTCTGTGTCACCTTCACCACTCTAGCAGTGGGACTCTGCAAAACCTCCTCGTGTATCTCAGCAACCACATCATTTTCGAATAAGTGTCCCCTTTTCCAGTTGAAGTCGACCTTCATGTCATCACGATCCACAGAAAAGTGTATGTACCAGAAGTCTTCAGGAACGAAGGACTTGACTTGATTATATCTTTGGACGACAAACCCGAGCGTCGGAAATTGACAAGGACCTGCTCAGAGATGTATCATGGGCAAACAAGTGGCTCGGTGATGGACGAACCATATGAAACGACTTCTCTCTTTTCACGAAACTGGGCGAGCCGTGTCTGCAGTGTAAGAGTTTGCATACGCGTGAATGCAGCACCTATTCTTAGGTCAAGGAAGATGCGCGCCTCGACAGCGTGGGCCTGAGCCATGTCGAGATCGACGGGGTGCTGAGCAGCACGATGAATTTGTCTGTTATCGCGAATACCTATTAGCTGAAAGAAATCTGGCCAAAGAACAGGATACTCGCTGAGGAATGATGGCGCTAAACCTAGCCCTTTTCACAACGATTTGTGGCCGTGATTTCCTGCATACCTTGACAATCTCGCTCCCAATGTTCTCTCCTTCGCGATCACAATCTGTCCAAATCATAAGGGTATCTGCTCTACGCGCTTCAGTCAAGAGATTGCGTTCGATACTCTTGCTGTCTGCAGGTACAGCAGTGTGAATGGGCGCATCGAACAGTGTAATGGGGTCACAAGAGTTCCACTGCCTATACTCCTCGGGAAAGTCATGGGCTAGTAAATGACCAGAGACGGAGGTCACTGTAAATTGTGAGTTGGTCTGTGGGTAATCGAAATCAAAGTTCTTGATGAATCTATTGGACGTTGGACGCTGGAAGTAGAATGTATGAATACAAGAATTGGAGGGCCCAGAAAGCTCCAGCTCACTGTTTCCAGATGACCACCAGAGAGAATTGAGCTGATTGAACGAGCTATGGAAGGCTTCTCTGCTACACAAAGAACTCGCATGCTGCAGGTGAAGAACGATTCTGTGTGTCGGAAGAGTGCGGAAAAGCCTGGCTCTTAATTTGTTGAAAGCTTGTAACAGAATGGGATGAATCCAGGTTTGATTGGCAGACTCCCTCTTGAGAAACAGAGTTGCACCCTGAGCACTTTGACCGGACAAAACGCGACGCGGTCGGCACGCGTCGTGAATTTGAACTCCGCGAAGCAGTGCTGGCGCCAATCAAAAATCAACTTGATTCTTTTGTGATTCTTTGCAGCACACATCTGATCAGGCTCGGGCATGCACTGGTATGTCTCAATAACTTCGTCCCACTGTATCAATCAGCAACAAACGTTGCTCGACGAGATGGATATGTCCGGATCTGTTTCATCCAGATCACGACCTGAGGTTGGCGGAAAGAAGCACAGTGACAATGACGCGTTCACTGAACGCTCTACGGTGTCTCTGGAGTCTGAGGCACCAGATCAAGAAGACATGCTCAGATGGGATTGCTCTCACCATGTGGCTATTGAATATTGAATAATCGCGATCAGGTGGCTACATTCAAGGATATCTTTGCAATGCCACATGTGGACCAGGATGCGGCCAACCACACACTCGGAGCTGCTCTGGAATGTATATGTTTCGTCGAATACCTGCTGCCCACTGGCAGTGCATCGATAAGATCAGCAGTACCAGTACCAGTACCGAACTTGACGATCCCATCCGATCGATCTTGAAGTTTGCCTGATGTGGTACCAAAATTTGTATGTTTGCATTCCTTATCTTCCTCATACAGCCGCAGTGTCCGCACCAGGATGAATAATCCAAAAGGTTAGACGTGAATAATTAAATCTAGGGCCTGCGTTGTGGATGGCTCATTCAGACCATTTTGCACATCGATAATTGGAGATATTTTACAGCCAATTTCTCGATTGTTATGTTGGGTGCTTTGATATTAACTCGCGCAGGTGTCTCCCGCTAAATACTAGCTCCAAACGCCTGGCGCATAGATGACGGTGTCCACTGGCATCTTCGTCCTATACTACTGCAGGACGAAAATGATTATCCCGAAGACTGATTTTGACCTCTTCACATCATCGTGTGGCGATGAAGACCCTCAGCTTTGTTCCACAAATCTGTCTTCTCGTTCCATAAACCATCCGCCCACCTCGCCCGTGAACGGTGCCAACCCACGACCACGACGCGGGGATCTACGATGGAATTGGCAATCACAGCATCCTGCCCAAACCGAAGTTCATCCTCACTGAGCATGCAACGAAGCACGCAGACCTTCAGCTTGCTGCAATTCGCCAATATGGCGTTTAGGCCATAGCTAGCTACAGAGCCGCACGAGAATGGGGAACCAAACACCAGAGCGAGGTGTGTCAGATGCGGGAGCATTGCAAAGTTTGGTGCCCAGGTCATTAACTGCCCCCAGGTATCATGTAATTCCATATGCGTAAGTTCTTGGTAAAATGGGAGGGCAAAGTTGGGACCGCGACCACGGGCTGCAAGGTGCTCGGCAGAAAAAGACAGATGAGTGGGGCGGATGGAGCTGGTAACTACAAAGTGCGTGACGGGTGACGGCGTGTGTGGCCAGATTCTAAGATCTGTAAGGCCAGTGCAGACTGCAAGAATCTCCATCATGTAACATGCAGGAATGTCAGAGAGGAGAAGCGTCTTGACATATCTAGCAAAAAACGAGGCGGGCCTGGTCTTGAGGGCAGAAATAAATCCCTCGAGGACTCTTGCTGATTCACTACCTCCGTATTTCAGTGCAACGCACTTGTAAACCACAGGTTCTACCCTGCGGTTAAAAATTATCGTTCGTGTTCGTTTCCTCGGTAACCAGCTCACCAGAACTGTACCCGCCGAGCCACCAAGACCAGGCTCAAGGCCGACCGACGATCACTGTTGGCAGCGTTTTCGAAAATGCCTTGCTCCAGCTCGAAAGGAAGAGCAGCCATGGAAGTAGTGCTCATCACTGGCAGATAACAGAAACGCAGGAAAGCACACCTTCTGGACTTTATAGCTACTTATGCGAATCCCACTTCACTCCCATGCGACTAAACCAAGCCTAAAGAGGGATACCGATAACGATAAAGAACATTCCAAGCTCATCGGGAGCGAGCGCGGCCGGTGGCTTGGATTCGGAAGAGAGCTACTAGTAACGACTTCACTTCAACCTGGAAGTGGACAGTGGACCACACTGCTAGAGACCAACAGGTGAAGGTTGGCAATGTGTGCACGCTCTCAAGAAAAACGTTGGATACTTATCGACGCTCGGCTGCATTAAAGATGCGGATGAGGCTCCTGAAAATTCTATGACGAGAACATGATGGGCCACGGCATGTACGGTATAAGTAACTCTCATAATGCTGTTCGGCCATAATCGGAGGCGATAGCCACTTGCATAATGCCGAGAATGATAATTTCTGCGAGTTGACGAAGACACTTCAAGCCATGAGACAGCAGTTTCCGTTAATAAAGAAGGGCGTTTTCAGATTACTTATCAGATAAGCAGAATAAATGAAAGTTGCAGCCTGGGCGCGTCGTAGTCACATGACTGATCACGTGATCGTGTTTTTTCACGTTCCTTTACAATTACATTGAACTGTAATCCTGGATTCCTTGTCAAAATCACAATACCATGGACCTCGGCGACAACGTAAACACCCCCACGACTCGTCTCCTGACGCTACTCAATGTCTCTGCTCTGAAAAGCAGAAAGAGACCACGGGATGAGGATTTGCCAGCACCCGAGAAGTTGAACAAGCGGAAGACGGTTAAGCTTGCAGAAGATATTACCTTGGACCCAGGCCCCTCGATATTATTCGATAAAACCAACAATGCCGCAGATGAAGAGGTCACTGGAGGTAACGAAGAAAATGACGGTGTGGATGTACAAGGTACGTTATCAGTATGGTCTAGAGACGTGTATTCCAGCGCACTTTGTCAGATATCACTTCGCTATACGAACAGCACTACGGACCAAATACCGATCTTGTATCAGACGCATCAAGAAGCTCTGTGGATCAACGACGCTGGACGTCTTCGAGGGAGAAAATTGGCAAATTACCAACAGTGTTTAGTTTACGAAGCGAAGATATCACCCCTCCATCACAAAAACTGGCCAAAAAGACCGCAGTATGTTGCGTTCTGTAGTATATCACATGCTGTTGAGATATTCATGGAATAATTATTAGGTGCCGGAACGTTTGAGGAGTTCTTTTCAGGCGCGACAATCTAAGCAGTCGTCAGGTATGCTTGGCGGTGTGAAGCATACCATGATAATGATATATGTACGTTTCAGATCAGAGACAGACACAAGATGATCTACTCTCGATCTTGTCTGCCAATCTTGATCTATATAATCCTGCGCTCTCTCTCGAGGACCACCAAGGTGTACGAGAGGCCGTTGCATTGCACGCGTTGGACCACATCACAAAGTTTGTTCCCCCATATCTAGACTTTCCCGTGTTCATAGAAAATCACAGAAAGCGGAGACGTGTTCTGAAAAACAATGAACGTCTCGCACATGCGAAGGCAGCTTCAGTCTCGCCTCCAGAGGACGTTCAAGATCAAGGTTTTACTCGACCATCCGTACTCGTTCTTCTCCCGTTTCGCTCGTCGGCACTCGCTTGGCTCAATGCATTTACCACGCACACACCCTCTCCGGCATATCAGATCGAAAACCATTCCCGTTTCCTATCCGAGTACGGTCTTCCACCAGATGCAGTCGATAAGCTGGCTGTTGCAGAACCTGGGACATACCCTCGAGATCATGTCGAGACGTTCAAGGGCAACGTCGACGATAATTTCAGAGTTGGAATTAAACTCACAAGAAAAAGTGTCAAATTATTCGCCGATTTTTATGGGTGTGATCTTATTCTTGCAAGTCCGCTCGGTTTGAGGATGTCAATCGAGAAAGAAAAGTGCGTTCATCGTGCAAACCCAATGCAAAGGTCAATTGTAACTTCCCTTCAGAAGCGCAGATTTTTTGTCATCGATTGAGATATTGGTGATAGACCAAATGAACGCACTGGCAATGCAAAACTGGGAGCATGTCCAGGTGTGCCCATATCATGTTTCATGTTAATCCCCTTATCTTGATTATGTGCATGTCAGTATGTCCTTTCGAACATGAACAACCTGCCGAAAGATTCCCATGACGCGGACTTCTCGCGCATCAAGCCATGGTATTTGGACGGCCAGTAGGTTTCTTCTTGACAACCTTTCGCGCATGATGCTTAGTCTCCGCGAGTTCTGCGTACCTTCGACAATCCGTCTTCTTGTCACCGTTCGAGACGCCAGAATTGAGAGCGCTGTTTAACACCACGCTCAAAAACACTGCAGGGAAGGTCAGAGTCGAAAAAGCATGGCCTGCCATACAGGTTCCAGAGTCTATCGACCAAGTGAGTGCCTTCTTAATTGCCCGAGGGATTGTGCCTTAACAATGAAAAGATGTTTGTTCCTTTCGACTGTGCCAACCCCAAGGACGAACCAGAAAAGAGATTTGCTTATTTCACCACCCAGGTAACCTACCTCTGCAGCTCCAACCTTGACTTTTCTCATCTTACATTATGCTAAGCTACTTCCACGGGTTCTTAAATCAGCAGTACAGAGTGCCAACACAGTGATTTTTATACCTTCATCATTCGATTTCATTCGCGTGCACAACTACTTCCGGAAACAATCTTCCGTGAGCTTTGCTGTACTTTCTGAGTGAGTTCCACATAAAAAACAACACGCGAGGATATCAGCTAACTTCATGTAGGTACTCTACCAATCAGGACATTTCTCGAGCACGACAAACATTTTTCTCCGGCAAAAAGTCATTTTTGCTCGTCAGCGAGCGGTTCCATTTCTACCGCAGGTATGTCACTCTACATTTGTAAAATCCAGGTCTACATAACGAGTTCTGTATTTGCAGATACAAGATCAGAGGCATCCGTAATCTCATTTTCTACGGTCCTCCAGAACACCCTCAGTTCTTCTCGGAGTTCCTTTCTTTCCCATTCCTCGACGATGGTGTGGAGGCTTCTGATGTAATGTCAAGAGTGATTTATTCCAAGTATGACAAGTTCAGGTTGGAAAGGATCGTTGGGACAAAAGGTGTGAAAGGTCTTTTGGAAGGTCTCCAGTAGTCACAGAGCGATATTGTCTTACTGCACTACAACTTTTCCAATCGCTTTGGCTACGGGCGTGGGTCCTTGATGTTCATCCTTCGGAAAACCACCTCTCTGAGCCTACAAAATATGAAGAGTACATTCTAGTCAGCAACGAGTTTCGGCATCAGTTAAACACATTTGGATGCAAAAATACCCAGCCTAGGACTGTATTTCACTGTAGCGATGCGCTCAGAGATGTGCCAATCGTATGTCATTGGCATATTCGTTGTTGTAGATCGTCGGCCGTGCAAGCTGTGCCGCAGTCTGATTATCCATGACTTCGCGTGAAAATTTGAGTCACGGTGCTTTTACAGTGGGAGATTAGTCCTAAAGACATTGGGACTGTAACGACAAAGCGAAGCTAGGACCGCAGTTGCGAAGCTAAAGACAGCGGCGAACGGCATGACATCCACACGTGGGAACAGCCCACTATACTAGTGAGCGCGGTCCTCAGGTGAGAAGTTTGCAGTCTTTCGAGTCTCGCTCAGCAGCGCACTGCGTGTTGGTGAAACATCGTCCATGCTCTCTCCTTGAAAAAAAGCTTCGGCAGCTCTTAAAATCCGATATCGACGGACCTTAACACACAACTCAACATGCCTTATGTCAACCTACAGAATGCGAAGAGCACATGGTATCGTCGTACATTAGCCCCATGATCAGCAATGAGTTTCGTCGTTTGTTGAAACACATGCTCGCATATGGACCACTGCAGGCTTCGAAACCCGCCTTTGATCCTGATTGATCAAGCGTCCTGCTTCTTGGAATGCTTCAACATCTCGGTTCGTTAAGTTCTCTAGTGAGTCTGTCCGTGATTGCGTGGCTCCTGGACCGGCTCTGAACATAATCGCGTTCTAAAACATAATTATAATTTATACGCAATTATTCAAACAGTGCTCACCGAACCACTGTCATGACTCTGGGCATCACCTCTTGAGGCCCTCCGAAACTCTCGAAGGAGTAACCGCCGATTCAACCTGTATGTCACATTGGTAAGCTCGTTTGTTTATCATTTGTCGAGTCCATTTGGCGACTCACGAGGCTAACAATGAGTTCCCTACGACTGCATGACACGCGGGTCAATATTTTTTTTTAATTTGAAGTATTCCTTGTCATTACCATTAGGCCACATCAACCATACTCCAAACCATACAACTGCGTCATATTAGTTGTGGTAGAATGTGGTATCAACGCACTCACAGTTCTGTTTCTGGGCTAAAAACTTGAAGGTAGTTAGAGAACACTCCATTCGGGGAAGATATGGGCGGGGAAGTCCTTACCAACACTGTCACTATAATAGCCATCAAACTGACGGATCATTGATGAAAACGCCCTATAGTGAAAGAGGTAAATACCTGGTGACCAGAGCAGTTTCTGTGTAGAGGTGATGTTAAAAAGCAGTACTCAGTGGAGGCACTTCCTATCTTACCAAGTGTCCAATAAAGCAACCGGTCGATCATCGCCATCATGCTATGATAGATGTCAGGAATGGTAGGTGAGATGATGCATAATCATACTCTCTGAAATCAGAGCCTCGTTTGTTTTTCAGACTCCAAGAGATGCCAGCAGTGGTGATCAAGTCGCAGGTTCCACGTGCAATCCAAGAGAGCGCGATCAACACAATTTGACTGTCTTCAAAAGCCGTGATATCTGTCATAGAAACCGCCCTTGCTGAGAGAATGAGTGTGGATGTTTGTGCAACCACGGAGAGCATTTCGCAAAGAATGGGTAAGAAAACATTTCCAGACAACCTCCAAAGTCGAAATGCGTAAAATGACTGACATTGTAAGCACGAAATAATTGATATATATTCGAAGTCACTCACCTGCACACCAAATACTGTAAAACCGCTCAACGGGATGGCTATGTCTGCCGCTAGAGGAAGGACATCGAGTCGAGATGGGTCACCATAGGTGCTGACAGTCATTGTCCACAACGTTGATATTATGCAGGCGAAGTGGCCCAACTGGATCAATCTGCAGAGCCCGTGTCAATGTTCGAAGGAGCCAAGTCAGACATGAAGCGCACATGACTGCAGATACCTAACCATATGATGCGATCAACACGATCAATTGAGCAGTGATGAACTCACAATTGTTTTCAGGGCAATGTGATCGCTTGTGAATCTTTCAAAATACAAGTAGGACTGGCAGGCAAGGCAACCGAACAATGCAGCGCTCAACAGCCCACCGACTTGGGTCGGCCCGATGATGGCCAGCCCTTGCATCAAAATTATTTGCGGGACCTTCTAAGCTATTCATAGTACCCATACTGAGTCATGCAAAGTGATAGGAAACAGTCTGATCGTTGGATTTGACTTACCAAAGGGTTTATCAGTTTGGGATGTGGGGAGCCTGAAGAAATGCACGGTAAAGTCGAGTGCAGTGAATGGAAAACTGACGAAATTAGAGAGATCCAGCAGCTCCATTTGCGACATATATATAGCAGTGCGCTCGAGCACCATCGAACTCGGAGACTCGGAAGCAAAAGAAAGCAGTATCTGATGATGTCATTGATCAGGACAAATTTCATACACATAGCCTATTAGCGCCCACAGCATTTCTGATGAAGTTCTGTACTTTCTACTTGCAGCACACTGAGAACTATCCTGAGAAGATTGATGCAGTGCCTTCGTCATTTCGACCCACTAATGGAGTTTCGATTTTAGCGGCACGAACATAGATTCGAGAATATTCAATACGTTGGACGGGCACGATGTGCACCATTCGTACTTACTTCCTTACGTTCCCCTGGCCCCGACAATCAACTTGCCAACGGTTGTCAACAATGCTAATCTGGATTTCGCTTTTGTGATATGCTCGGAGATACGTAACTTGTGTTGGCGTTGGCGTATCCATTGTTGCGGCGCAGATAAGCTCACACAGGCTATAGCGTGTGTATGACTCGGATCAAAGTCGTCTGCGCAGACTAACTATATATGCAAGCTTATTTAGCTTGATGACGACGAACCCATATAGTAACTCACTGTCGTCGTATAATTAAGGCCGTGGTGCGCACCACATTCCACTACTACTTAGTATATCACGCATTTGAAAAAGGACAAACGAAGTAGAAGGCTTGTAGACTCTTCCAATCTAGTGTCCTCGACTCCTTCCATTCAATTAGCCCTGTTCCTCGATGAACAGAAAATCTAATACTCAACATAGTGTACAGGATTAGTATGCAGTTCCTGGGATGTCGGGAAGTGGGAGCAATACTTATCGACCAAGCAAATCAGGCCTCGCTTTAACTTTTGAGAACAAAACTGACCATTACTCCAAATTGAAATACCTGTTGGTTCGTTAACAGAATGCCGTTAACTTCTGGGACGCTGCTGCTCGATGGAGAACTCTGCTGTGCGTATCATCGAGGAGATCCGTATGCGTACAGGCAGGACCAATACATAATTCCCGACTCCCACTGCGGAGTGTCACGGTGGAGGAGCGCAAACGGGTCAATATTACATAATGTCTGGTGGAAATATATATATATATCCTTTCTTGATGTGGCAGGCCTCAAGCTGCTAGACAGACGAACTACGATTAAATTTGCGAGATGCTACATACCAGTCCAAGTATCCAAGCAGTATCCAAATAAAGCTTCGTTCATGTGCTATTTCTTAGTAGTGATACACCATGAAAACGGTTCAGACCTTTTTCTCTCTTTCAAACCAACTTAGGAATACCAAAAATTCCGCGACGAACTTCTGGCAACATCCTCATGTTCCCGAATCCCAGCAGAGCACCCAACAAGTGTTAATCCCCTGGAGCATTTCCCGCACTACACGCCACTGCCAGCTGACACATGTACGCGTTCCTGGAACCAGATTGTAGTGAAGTTAGTTCCTGCTTCAGAGTTGTCCACGAGCTCGGCGTGATATTCTCGAATACTAAGGATAAGGCGTGGACCCAGCACAAACACCTGCACAGGAGGGACAAAAACGATAATACCATAACAGATTTGGGCTCCCACAGAAGTCGAAACCTATAGAAATGATGAGAAGTGGTCAGATGTCAGGCACAAACAGCCGCACCGACAGATTTGAGGAGAAATAAATGAGGTCGAAGCAAGAAACAGCAGCAAAACTATAACGTGCAAAAGTTCAGCGAGAACGTGATCATTCAAATTACAAGCTCACGCTGTAAAGTAAAGCACCTGGCTTTTTATTAACATCGCGAAACAGTCCCCGATGGTCGACCCTGTCGATACCCCGAGTCGTTTCAGTCCACGGAAGTGTTTTATAGCAATCCAGACTGCAAGACACAGTGTGAGGGTCTCCCACGCAGTGCCGATCACCCGAGTCCAACGGATAAGTTGGGGGCGGTTTTCCCAAATAGTGCATATATAGTTGCCGGAGAGGACAAATTCATCTGGTATTCGTCACATGAGCCTAAGCTCAAGTCTTTCATCCACAAGTAAAGCTTACCTCCAATAAAAGGGTGGGATCCTACCATGTTCATCACCAAGGAGGTGATCGTAACAGCCAGGAAGGTTCCAATCAGAAAGATGAGCATCTTTTTGGATCCCTGATACATGGCGTATAATCGAGTGATTATGATGGCTTACATGATAGATTAGTCAAATCAATACCATTCAAGTATTGCAGCTGCGCAGCTCACCGCCAAGAATAATATCTGCAACGAATAACGTCCACCACTGTGCGATGGAAATGTCTCTGCCTGACAAACACAGTTACCGATGAGTGTTGGAGGACAATATGGAACAAACTTACACCTGTTTCAGTGGTAAAATTGAACCAACTTAGAAATTGCTTGAGAATCACGCACCCCTGCGCAAGGATGCAGTTAGTTAGATGAGGATAGCAGGTACACTGAATGCTCACTGTATCTGTCATAGAGACTGTCGGGATGCTTGCTACATGCCATTAGTACCGTTAAAATAAATGAACATGTATGTGAGGAGACACACCCAGCGCGTTTTCCCTGATCGTGAGAGATAGCTTATGAGCACTATGTCAACTTGTAAGTCCTTGCGAACATACACAGCAAATATTAGTCCAATGTAGCGCAGCTAGAATATCTCGAAGTCAGCCTAACTTGCCAACTAACTTACAACATAATTTGAAGCTAGTACGTACACCGAGATATAAAAAGGTCACGAGGGACCAGCGTTGCCCCTTCCACGAGTTAATCATATGTGCTCTGGTTCTTGCGATTGGACTCTGCTCACCCAGAGGAGTTCAATCTATAAGTTATAACCAGTCGCAGTCAGATAGATCCTCCGATGATGTCATCAACCTACCTCTTGTCCGAAATTCAACGCTGGAGCATATCATGTCATCAACAGCGTTTCGATGAGTACTAGTTTGCTCACCCCAATCGTATACTACTGCAACGGAGGATGCAACTGCAAGACAACAGTCAGATATAAAGTGAGATATCACCAATTTGCTCTCTACGAACCTACAAAATAGCTACCAACCCGATTAAAGGCGATTTGCGGCCAGAAACTGGGATCATTTGAGACTAAGGTCATGTTCAGGGACTGGTGTATGAGCGGATAATGTGGTGGATGTAAGAAGGAGGCGTTCGTGCTAGATATTCTAGTGCTTTAAACAAATCTCCAAATAAGTATGATGCATAGGAGTATGCCGGTTCAAGCTGATGGCCCTGTTTATCAGATATGAATAAACCTCACACGAAATGTCTGAACGCCAAAAAAGCTGTTGTGCAGCAACAAGGTAGTTGTTTTCTCTTGGTCTTCTAGGGGAGACTACCTAGCAACATTGTTATTGTTTAGTCAAGCCGTAATACAAGTAATGTGCCCGTGAATCACGTGAAATAGGGGTGTAACTTTTGGACCTGACAAAAAGACTTGTACTTACGGATGACCACAATTTTGGAGATAAGCTATACACTGTGGAAAGCCTCATGGCGGCGTGGACGAGAGAATCAGTGTGTTCTTTGTCGTGCGTTACGTGGATTGCGGTGCTTTTGCGTTGTTATGCATGAAAGCTTTATATTCCAATATCATTGGCTCGCCGGTTCTTCGATTCTAATCTAAGTCAGTCAGCGTAGAAGAGAGATAAGGCAAACTTTGTATTCCAAATACAAAGACTTCTTTTCTGTATATCGTCACATATATTATCAAGTAAGGTTATATAAGCGTCTTACCTGTTTTCTCATTCTGAATTAGCGTGCAAAAGAGATAAGGCGGGGGCCTTCATCAACGCCACCAGTCCTTGAAACATCCATCAGTATCATGACGAAGGATATTTAAGAATGGCGCGAACCGGTTGAAATGAATAGAGAACGCCTCTGCGACCATGTATTGTCTAAGTCTCAGACACTGCATGACATTTGCGGGCGCATTTAACCCAAATGAAATCAATGCAATTGCGCCCTACGAGATATCCTCGGCAGGAGGGACATCCTCTATTTTCTAGAGTGTTTCCAAGAGATTTTTTCACCCTTGCGTATAATCTTTGCGCCACTATTACCCATGGCAAATGGGGGGAAATGCCAAAAAGCGCTATCAATGAGAGCCTCGATGTGATGTACTGCGGCAGGTCAATGACAGTATGGGTCGTAGCAGCGCATAGCGAGTACTGAACACCCGGGCGTAAAGGGCGCTTGATCTCCTCTTGCACCCGAAAACGTTGGGTATAGGTAAGCTCGTTCTTGCTAATGTATAGCGTCACAATGAAGTCGGAGCCGTCTCCAACAAAGGCACTATAGAAGCTTGTGAGAGAGCAGGTTGGCTGATGGTTGGGTTGGGTCCATTGTCCAGAAACAGGCCGGGTCAGGTCTTGAAACAAAACGCGCGCGACCGTATAAGTATTGGGGGAAATTTGACGGCGCGCATCCGTGATTCCGCTTCGAATATCTGTCGCCACTGGCGAGCGATACTTAGCAGCTACTTGTCGAGATGCGAAGAACTTCAAGAATATCTTCCAGGCCCATGTCTCGGCCGCGATTGCAAAGTCGAAAAGCAGAGATCCTCCAATAAGAATGTCTTCCTTCAGTTGGTCTGGCAAGGGGAGACGTGGGTAGTAGGTACAAGCTATAGGCAAATCGGAATGTTGTGAGCCCACTTGCTTTGGCATGGACAGTCTGGTTTTGAATTTTTAGACACCGCTCATTCTCATCGGTCTGATGGCGTAGTTGGTTATCGCATCTGTCTAACACACAGAAGGTCCTCAGTTCGAGCCTGGGTCAGATCACATTTTTTATGTTTTACACTTAAGCTAGACCCTAGACCACTGGCACCAGTTGAATCGCTTGTTTCTCCTCGTCGATGAATTCACAATGACCACGTATCTTTACGAACTCCCAACCACCGGCGCCATCTCTTTTGGAGACTTTTGCGTTGACAGCACGGCCTCCAATACACATGCAAGTCACATTGCTGAAGCCACCCAGGCCCGAGCGAACCTGCGCGGTATTCTCAAAGTGACCAAACGCACTGAAATAGACGACAAGGATTATCTACGCTTGATCAAGGTGCGCATTACTGTTCCAATCCGGGGCTCGCACATAACATATCCCCTAGGTTCTCGATGACTACCTCCCGTACCTGCAGGGGATCATGGCCTGTGTCGCATCTGGAGACATTCGTCTAAAATCTGAACCCAGTGAGTCTACTGTCGACACTTGATCCGCCGTGATTTTGACTGACCAGCGTGAGATTCAAAGAATTCAGCTGGCGCACGACACTGTCCGCACATCTATTTCACACGTCCCCAAGGATCGCACTTGTATCGCTACATGCGGACCTTGCATCCTCGTTGCTCACTTACGCCTTTGCGCTGTCGAATTTCGCCCGTGTCACGGTCGCGAGTCTTGGTTCTTATGAGCATGACCGGGCGATCTCAGATATCGAGAGAAAGGCTAAGGATGAGAAGCTCAATTTTGCGGTGACCCTGCTGTGCAGAGCGAGCGGAATTTTTACCTATATGAGCGAGAAGGTCCTATTGGATTGGGATACAGCCGGGGAGGGCGCGTCGGGTAGGCCGCCCGATCTGAGCAAGGAGGTCAATGCTGCACTCGCAAAGTAAGTGCGCTACCTCATTTCATTTCATCTCATTTTGGATGTTATGTTTTAGGATGGCACTCGCTGACGCACAAACTCTGGCAATCCGCAAGTTTCTCTCCAAATCTGCATATGACAGCGCTGTATCCCCTGGCCCTCCGCTTCCCAAATCACACCCCTCCATCCCGCTCATATTTAAATTCCATCTCGAGTGTGTTTCGCTATATTCCTCTGCGCGTACACTTGCCATGACGCCCGGCTCCGCGCGCCCATCCTCCCCGTCTTCTAACCCAGACTCCAATGCAGAAGTCTGCGTAGAGCTGCGCCGCTACCTTGCAGATGCAACAGCGTTTCATGCGGCGCTCGCGCACAAGTGGCTTGGTGTTGACGCAGGAGAGAGTGGGGTGCATGAGAAGGGCGGGGAGGCTGTGGCATGGTTACTATGGGCGAAGAAGGAGCTTGAGGACATGAAGGAGGGTGGGATTGGTATTGCAGTAGGGCGGGGCCGCGAGGGGAGAGGGCGCAAAGGACGTGTCGCGGATGAATTAGAGAGTGTGGGTGTGTTTTTAAAACACTACAAGAAAATCAATGATTCGGTAAGTCAGGGTATTTTACTTATGTGAGATGTTGGGTGCTGATGGTGATTCGGGTAGTTGACATTTCAGCCTGTGCCAAAGCAGCAGGACTTGCAAGCGCAGATACCTACGGGGATTTTGGCAGTCCATGCGAAGCCCTACATACCTCCTTCTCCAGCATTCGGACCTGGATCCCTCGAGGATGCACGTTTACAGACGGAAGCACTAGCACTAGAAGAGGATGATTCATCAGGCGACGAGGTAGTTGCTAGCCGCGCCGGTCCCCGCACGTACGCAGGAGCTGGTTCGTACTTCTAACCTGTGTACAATCCAGGCTATATCGCATGTCTGGTAAGTAAAGGTATGACCAACATATAATATCCACTTGTAAATCAGGTTTCAATGGAAATGACGTCCCCTTCTGTCATTTTACAATCAGTATCGTAAGGCAAGAAGCCCCACTCCTCCGACTTGAAATGAATGTTTAATGGATGCGAGTATCTCATCTGCCAGGTATGTGTTAGTCTGGCTCCTGAAGACCGTAAACAACATCTTCAAAAACGAGGCACTTGCTCCTTTCCATGGCCTCGCTGATCTTACTTGTCGCATATCAAGCTCCCCAGTGAACATCAGCAGGTGGCAGACGGCGGACCGACATGATGGAACACCCTGAACTCGCACGCTGATTTAGGGTAGATGTGGAATCTGCTCTTGTCGGCGCGCAGTACTAGCTAATCGAGATCTCGAAGCGCACCTTTCCCTTCAAATTTCCATGGGTATCTCCAGCATGCTGTGTTTAGACTTGGCCTGGAGCGAGAAGACATGACCGCGATCGATCATCACCTGCTATAACATACACCGTCGAACCTTCCGCGGCCCAGGGTGCATCTAGTTCGTGACTGGGGACCAGGTGATCAATCACTGCTCACACTCCCACGTTCCGTTGTCTGTAGGGTTCCATTGCAGTCGATGTGCATGATCCCCAATCCAAAGCCCTGCAGTGAGTTTCTACCGCTTGCTACCAAGGTTCTGCCACCTGCCATCTGCCAATGACAACCTGTCGACGAAATGTACTGTCTGAAACGGGCGCCGCCTAAGAAGACAACAAGCTGGATTAAGAAACAAAACAAAAAACCATGTCAACGATCAATAATACCGTCATTTGTCTTCTCAAGTTCTTCGGTGATCTATTCAATTCAATCAACAGCCAGCGTCAGCACAACTTACGTACGAGAATAACTGATTCACAACAAGGCGGTCCCTTCGATGTCCACTCGCATCCAGGGTGTTGACATTTTTGATGCAGGATGGCACACTCCCAGCTTCAGGGCCCAATCGATCTATACCATAGAAGACAGCTAGATTCTGATTCAACCATAACAATCACGAGTCTCACTTACCCGCCCATCACTTCCTCAGACATGTCAAATGCGGCCGCCATTACTGTCGATGACTCAGATTACAAAGGAAGTCGCAAGCATGACATAGCATGGGGCACTTTATGGCATTATTGTGATGCAGGAGATCGCATTGGAACAAAATGCGATTGCGGTGGATGCGGAAAGGCAGCCACAAAGGACAACTTTCAATCGTGGGCCTTTGGGCTCTATTGTTGGCACCGCGATAATAGGCTCAAAACCCCACAATTGAGAGTAGCCTTTACATCCATTTGTAAATCAGTTTCGAATGGAAACAATATCCCACCTTACGCCCTCATACACCTTGGGATATATTCCTTACTGTAACGGCTCGCGCCGAAAAGCTAACAACTGGTGATGTCATTCAGCATCGTAAGGCGGAAGTCCCCACTTCTCCGGTTTAAAATGCTCGATGGACGTGAGCGTTTCATCTGCGAGGTATGGGCTGGCACTCGCAACGCTCAGAAGGCGTTCGTCAGGTACCCAGACGACTGAAAGGAACGTCAAACCCTAAATTACAACTTTGAAAGCAACAGCCTACCTGACATTCCGGCTCTTTTCCCCGCTTGAACACCGTAAACGGCGTCTTCAAAAACGAGTCCCTTGCTCCTCTCCACGGCCTCAGCCTCAGTGCAATGCTCCGAGGTACCCACTGCCTTCCCTAGGACGCCTGCAGCATGCAGGAAAATATATGGATCAGGTTTCCCCGTAGTCTTGCCTGCTACATCATCAGCGCAGACGATGTTGCCTTGAAAGTAGTCAAAGAATTCCTTGAGATTCTCAGACTTGCGGTCAAAGTTCCGTCTTGAGGAGGCAGTGGCAACTATGATTGGCACGTTGTGTTTCACTAGGTGCTGGATTAGCTTCTGTACTCCTGGGAGGAGCGGCACGGTTGGCCACCGCTCATCCAGCTTCTCTTGGGATTCTATGAGATACTGGTCGATTGTGATATCGATGCCGGGGAAACAGGAGAGCAGGTGCGTCGCGGATTCAACTCGTACTGTGATAGTGTTTACGTTGAATGAGATCAGAGGTATCGGAGAGCGTACATTTGCCCATGAGCTGAGCTTTGATGTCCCATGTCATGGTCTTGCCGTAGCGACCGAGGATATCATCTTTGAGCGATCTGTGTGAGCTGCATGGAGAAGCACAGTGATATGGAGCGTACTTGTGACTTCGGTATATATCCTCTCCGTGTCGATGAGAAGGCCTGTCGAAGACGCGTCTCGTCGCGAGTACTTGAGGAACTTGGAAGTTCTACGCACCATCCATGTCAAAGACCACATAATCTATTTTTCTTTCCATGTTGAAACCGATATCTATGATAATCTACGGATGAAATCAATCAACATCAATGAGATCGCGTGTGATACGACTCGGACTCAGTCTCGGATCCCATCGAATCGATCCTCCATGATAGTCACGTGGAGCGGTCCGGGGCTCGGCGCGGCCAAGCAACGATAATCGGCGCGCTCAATGTCATGCGTCGCGGCAGAACTGGGCAGCTTGAGCGGATCAGCGATACACCATGACGCAGACAGAAATTCGTGTATGTCGGAGTGTACGAGCTTGATAGTAATACGACATACAACTTGGTAAGTTGCTGGAATAAGCAGCTTCGTTGCGGAAAACGGAGACCGGCATGATATGGGAAGAACCTGTGTTATGAGGTACTTGTGAGGAACACCGTACCGCCCTGCGCTGTCCTGGGTGTCTGCGTATCGTGATCGACGTCAGCGCCAGGACACCTTTTGACATCGCTCCCCATCTTTCGTGGCGGGCACTTGCCTTTTTGGGCGGCGTCCAAACTAGCCGGGGCCCGGCACTCGTCCGCATCGTTCCCTCAGAGGCCTGGGTTATTTCTATGTACAGGCCGTGGCCAGCTATCTTTGCCTTGGTAGTGCGCATCTATAGTAGTCCAAGTGTAAAATTACCTTGCGACAATTTTGTGACCCCAGAGGTCGCGGAAGCTGGTTCAAAGTACTGCCACAGCTCGGAGCGCTGACAGGCGGCACCGAGCATTCAGTTCTCCCACAAGCCACAATTGAAGCTTCCAGAACGTGTTGCACAGCACTGAGCAGACCCACCTCAAATTCCACGTCACAAGCCCCGTCCATGGTTGTTCTCCTCCTCAGATAAGTAAAACATCTGAACACTGGTCCTGAGACTGCTTTTATCCCCTCGTTCATTGTGTTTCACAATCTGGTCTCGGTCAATCTTGTCCGTAAGCCTGAGAACCCGTCTCACTCTTTCAAATTCATTGCATTTCCCTGCGAGCGTGCCAGCTCGTGTCAGCCAGAGTAGTGATTCATCATACTGGAACCACCAGGCTCGCACTTGAATTCACTGCCAAGTCGTTGCAACAGGATCTGCGCCTCCCAAAACGACAAAATGGCAAGCGACTCTCCCCGCCGCTTCACATGCTCATCTTTCCGCCGTCGTCGCCTTTTCCTCCTCCCCGTACTTCTGTTTGCGTTTTTCCTGTTCTTTAGTACACCATGGTCCCTACCTCCTCTCCAGGTCTCAGGGATCTCTTCGCTTTCCCGTGCCAATATCGTTTCGCTAGTCAAGGGTCCACCAGTGGAGGAGATATATGGCTTACTGCATTTTGTGACGAGCGATGACGATCGCATACTGTCACATTCAGTAAAAGTGGACCATGTTACGCCGATCGATCTGACTGTGTATCTCGGTGGCGACCAACCGGATTGGAAATCTCATATGAGAAAGCTAAGAGAAGAATATCCCCTCATCGTATTCTCGAAGGTATGTGCGCTTCGATTCACCGGATCCTGTACGTGGTTCTGATGCTGTGTCTGTGCTAGACATTTTGCCCGTATGTCCTCTTCTATTGTGATGTGTGTGGTAGCCTCATGTATTATGCTTCCGGTTCTACGTAGGTTTTCAAAAAGAGCTAAGAAGCTATTGGAAACGTATAACCTTTCTCCTCCCCCTAAAATCATCGAAGTTGATCTTCGAGGTATGTCGTGGCTATGCTTACCTTCATGAGGCATACGGCTGATCTTTTACAGACGATGAGGATTTCATAAAACTCATTCTTACCCGTCTCACTGATCATTCCACGTTCCCCAATATCATCCTGAATGGGCAAGAACTCGGCGGAAGCGACGACTTGCACACGTTGCGTGCGCAAGGCAAGCTGAAGAAGATGTTCGAGAACGCGGGGATGACGGTAAGGGAGGATATCGTGAAGGAACAGGAGACGCAGTAGGATTCACGTCATCTCGTGTGATGGATGTCGCACACATGTTGCTTGGATGGGTTCAGGTACTGTATTGTTAACATTGTCAACCTACTTATGTGTACTGCTATTGTGTTGTCTTGTTCATCCAAGCAGGAGTTTGCGGTGGATCTATTTTTGGGTATTATGTAACTTATTATCCATGCCAATTTACCGGTTGACAGGTGTGACGAGCCCAAGAGCGTCCAAGCGGGTGCCAGCATGTGCCAGCGAATGCTCAGCAGGGGCAGGCAAAGGGCAGGAAGGGGAAGGGAAAAGTCAATAGTCTGGGCCTGGACGAAAATAGCCGAAGTGCGAGCGCTTGCGGCAGGCGGTCTCGAATGACCTTTGTTCACGGTGTCAAGGGTGTCTTGAAGTGCCGCCGTAGACGGTGGCCCGTCAAGAAACCATACGGTGAGGAATGCAAATTGATTTTCGGCAGATTGTGATCATATTGATAGGGCCTGGGCCTAACATATTATTAGAGCATTAAAGATAACGAATCTGAAGACCATAAAATTCAAGGGCGTAGTACGTCCAAGTTCTCATGCACCTTCCAAGGTGTGCCTATAGGGAACACATATGATTAACACACCCGCCCCCCTCCTGTGCACACTGACGGCAGGAAGGACAGGATTGGAAAAGAAGCTACCTGATGGCGATAATTTAGGCGCCACCGAAAAATATAAGGTACATAGGAGATAAGCGTGTGGACGGTATGAGTTAACTGGGGTAAGTAATCGTCATGATCAAAGACAGCGGCGTATCCTGTCAGGCTAGCCTTAGGTAGGACGTTCCTCTGATGAGTGTTTCCAAGCTCAGCGGCGAGTCACGGTGAAACCTTGGTGGCATCAAAGGTAATATTCACACGTTGGAGTAGGCCTCGCCGCACACCAGCCACGGTCAACGTTGTTTGAATGGGCGTTCCGTTGCACGGGGGAACTGGCAGTCGCCATCAGGGATACCCTTAGTGTGAAGATAACATCGTTACAGTTGTGCTGTCACTGTGCGATCGGCTGCTTTACGGAGCGGTATACTAAATATGGGATCAACAAAATTGCCAAATTGGTTTCAAGGGTCGAACCGAATAGAAGATCAAGAGACCTGAACACGGTTTTCATTGTCGGCCTTGCTTTTGGAATAACCGACCAAAACTTTCATTCACTTACCATTCCTTTATCATTCCTTTATATCAAGCACTCTTCCACACTCTTTTACCTTCCCCTCCCCCGATCGACCCCCTCTTTAGGTCACCATGTCGACACTCCCCGTCACCTCCCTTCTCCACTCTCTGCAGTACCAGCGAAAGCCATTGAACCACAGAGCCACGTCACTGGCTCTTCTTGGGCTTATCGTTGTATCATTCTATATCTTTTTCATCGCAAGGCCTTCATTAGACCTTGCCCCAATAGCGCTTCATTCCGACGCTCTCGGACACCCAGGTACACATGGTTCGCATCCTCAAGACAAAGACGATCATCCCCCATCGTCTAGGCTCTTCCGTCTACCTTCAAGTTCACAAAGAAAGACCGTCAGCAATGCCAACCGTCCTCAGGTCAAACTGGACGAGATGCAGGAACTTGCAGCAGTAGCTGCTTTCGTAGCAGCACTACCACAAAACATGATTCCTCGGTCAATAGACCCAAGCCAACCTATTGACCCCCAGCTCGTCCTTGACTTCGACACTCGTAGTCCGCGCGCCGCATATGAAGTAAACCAAATCGTGCAAGATGTGTGGTCTCGCTATCCTGTTATGTTGTTCACCAAGGTTCGTCGATTATTCGCCTCCCTTTGTCGTAGCGTCATCCTGATGGTCACCATGCGTTCCAGCTCCACCATGCAAATTCTAGGGAAATAAAACAAATAATTTCAAATATGGACTTACGGCCGCCTCCGGCCATTTTTGAAGTTGATCAACGAGGTAAACGGATTGCCCGACTCGAGCTTGCTAGTTGCTCATGATTTTACGTGTTCCAGAGGACGCAGATGTTCTGATTCCTTTGTTACACCGCCTCACATCTTCAACCGAGCTTCCTCTAATGCTTATTGGTGGCAAACCCGTCGGCTCGATGGATACCATCCGCGAGCTCAACGAGGCTGGCGAACTCCAGAAGCTGATTACCAATGCTGGTGGGGTCATTGGCGGTGCGAAGAAGAAGAAGGGTCACTAAAGGGCAAAGCTCTCCAATCGGACTTTCCCATCACTTCTCTCAAACGACCTAACGACCGGCATGACCTGCATGCTTTCCCGGATCGATCCTATGATCCAATTTTTTCCTGCAAATGTACATACCACATCGGATAATCCCAGGTGGATGGATATTCAATCGCTATCGCATGCCACGAAACCTTCCAACTCTTGTCCTTCGTTTATCCTCGTGGTGATATAGCGTGATTATTATAGCTCACACTTTGCTTCTTGCTTTCTTTTGCATACATAATAGACGCCATCAACATCAATATCAACATCGCCTCACAACCATAGACTTTGATGTGATTTTTATACAGCTTTCTTGTATCTACCGTGTACGTATATCCGTGATCACCAGACAGTGCCTAGTAGCTGCTCTAGTTTACACGTACTTAAGTACCGGGAGATAAAGCCAGAGGCAATCAATTGATTGAGTTTCTCCTTTTTAGTCCGAAGTTGAGAAGAGACATTAATGTTGGCATAGCTTCAGAGTGCAGGTACTTAGCATGGGAGTCTTTGACAATCGGATCTTCATCAGCGCTCGCGGAGTTATCAGGAAGGTATTCTGTATTCTAGAAGGTCTATAATTGGGTGCGCACCAATCTTCAAAGCAGTTTGTTCTCCAGCTGAGCGCTTCAGACCGCTTTGGTGATTGGAAGATGACGAATTGGCTTCACGGCAATCAGGAAGTTCATCCGGGAGATGAAGTTTTGAACCCAAAGATTCAAATAAGCACAATGGGGTTGCAATAGTGGGGCGACCTCTAGAAGCAGTGGCCAAAAAGCCAATGACCCCATGCCAGACTGCTTATCTCATATAACCGCACCTCGTGCCGCCATGATATTGGCTCCCATTGCAATACAAGGTATAAGATATCGTAAATACGCCTTGAGCACTAACCATGCATACGAGGCTGAGTGGGTCGGTCTCGGATGCGAGGAACCCTGCAGCTGGCTTCGCGGGCGATCGACTTTTTAGGAAAGCGAGACTCCATTGGCAACGGATTTAATAGATATCTGGCCACCAAAGACGGTCAGAAGCATGCAAGAATTAGTCTGCGCGGTCAACGTGAGTCAAAATGTTTTTCAAAGTGCACGACATTTAGTACGTACTAACATCGTGTATACAGACTTCCCATGGACGCGAGCACTGTAAATTAGTAGTCGACCCGTACACGTTACGCACAGTCTTGTACAGGTGTCCTTGGCGCAACAGTATACAGACGTTATCAAACGTCATGCTAATACGTATTGGTAAGTCGTCTTTTGTACTTACTCCAAGTTGTGCTGCCTGTACGTTTGAACTTTGTTTGTCGACGATAAAGCACTGCTTGAGAGGCCAGGATTAACCCCTTAGGGTCATCAAGTCAGCCTCGGACATGTTCACATGCCGAACCTGCAAATAACGTCACGGTCGGAGTGAATCTCACAGCGGGGTTGGCTTCGTCAAGATTTTATCCACCACGCCTGCAGTGCAGTGCAGTGTCGAGAATGTCGGCATGGTACCGCTCAGCTCGTGGATGCAGCTTCACTGCCTCATGTAGCTTGATGCTACATTCGATGTCACTGCTATCGGGGATTCTGGAGCATGTGACAAGTCCGCTTCCCAGGTCGTCGAGGCCCATCAGGCGCAGAAGACATAAATCTGATAGCAAAGAGATGCAGCGCTTCCTCAAAACAGAGAAATAGCTTCATCGAGGTCATCAAGTCAGTCAAGATCTGAAAAACGCAGTCAAAGTGTGAGAGCCTAGCTATCCAAAGTGCAGTGACAGTCCCTCGGACGAAAGAAAAATGCATCACGGCGGAAAAAAAGGTACATGCTTTCCTAGTGAGGTTTCTTCGATGTCGTCAGGGTCATGCTGCTGTTCAAAACAAAGTTCCCAAGCTTGTCTGTCGAGGCGATACTTACGGGCGCCGCAGGTGCAATAGAGGGTCAGGGATGAAGTACATTTCGTCGAATGCGTATGCCACCAATGGAAGAGCCCCTCTCTTGAAAGGTTGCCAAGTATAAGCCAGCTAAGCGCTTTGCCTAGCTACGAGGAATTCAGGAGGCTTTAAGACACCGGGACAACAACTTGCCGCATAAGTCCGTGACATGTAGCGCATAAGCGAGGTATAAGCGAGGCCGCCATAACGTATCCCGGCGGGCGGACGACAAGCGGGTCGCGAAGCGGATCATATCAGTATCAATGAGATGCTTTAGGTTGGCAGTTGCCAATTCAATCGAAGCGTTCGCGATCCGGGTGATGCATCAGCGCATTCACCCCTGTGCATACGCATTGGAAGTGCCGTTATTCGAATCGTTGTGCTCCACAAGGTACATCAACAACTGCCAATGTCAAATCGGAGGTAGGTAGCTTGCAATCAGATAACTTGTGGGAGATCTGACAGTGGGGACACAGGGAAGTTGAGGAAAAATCTTTTGCGTCGTACCGTTCCTCCGCAGAAGTCGCCCTTAACGTCATGGATGGGCACGAGTAGACGGGAGAAGATGATATCTGCAGCGAATCAAAAAATGAGCATGGGCCGCGCGATGGGAGATGTACCAAAGAGTCTTGCTTGACAGAGGAGTTCGGCCCATGCTGGTCTCCAGATTGCAAATAACTCCCTCCTAATTCCGAAGTAGTAGATTATGCAGTACCCTAGAATTTCCAAAGTGATGGCGCTCCTACTTTTAGTTCAAGCTTCTATCACTGTGGGACGCCTTCAGATGACATGTGCCTCGTCAATTGAGATCTGAAACTCATGAGTTGGCTGGGATCGTGCCGCATTGGTTGATTTGAATGAAAGACTACTGTCGTGAGCTTGGCGAGTCTGGATGAGATGTGTAGCCTCGGTTTATAAGTTGTGGCGTGGCGGATGAAACGAGATCCGTCCGATTCTATTATGATAGATGATCATCCGCGAGTGCGGCGGTGCGACAGGCGTGCCCTGGAGTAGCGCACACATGGGACACCGCCGCACTCGCGGGGCACGATGTGTAACGATTACTTTGGAGTCTGGCCTCGCAAAGATGTAGTAGTAGGAGTTATAGACCGTGTGATAAGGGATTGTAGCTGAGTTTGAATGTCGTTAGATGTTGAAATTGACACCTAGGCTCAGCGCTCATGCACTCATGATCAAGAGGTAATAGGACTTTTACACCTTTACTCGACAGTCTGAAATATCAACGTCAGTAGGGCCGAAACGTCAGGACCGACGTCGTCTGACAAGAGATGAACGCGAGTGGCAACCCTGGCATAATCATTGCTGTGCCGCCGCCGCCGCCGCCGCGAGTGTCTTCGACCTTGATGCTACACAGCCTAGGCGGCTGGCTATTAGAAAAGACTAGTAAGTAATGAAGTATATGCCAAAGCCTCAGACGGACAGTGTTCCATTCTGTCAAACATCAGACTTGGAAGAGGCTTTACTATAAGCTTTACTATAAGCTTTATTCACAACCAATAAACACAACTCCCTCAAGAATCTGATGCGATCTTTCGGGACAATCTTCGTGCTGAAAAGTCATGGCAGCCTCCGCCGAGCAGCTACAACATGGCTCACTGGCACAGACTCGGCATTAGTTGCCCCCGTCATCAGACCGCATGGATCAGCACGTTATTTCTTCCCACTGTTTCCGACGATGTGGTCATAGAGGCCACTTCATCCTCTACAATTAATGCCATCCCGTGCAGTGTTCGTCATGGCGCTTTGACGACTACTGTACACGGTATTCTGGACCTGGAACGCTTCCCCTTACTTCTGGGTGAACTTCCTGCATCAGGTCGGAATCCTGGACCCCAGACAGAGAGAAGGAACTTCGGTATGTCGCCGCCGAGTAAGATGTCGTCTCTCGGCGTGTCGCGCACTTCCTGAAATGTACATCGACGATGTAACAGTCCAAGGGAGCATTCCGAGTCGACTCATTAAACCGATAACAGGGGCTTCATCTGGCCTGCCATAGAATGTCGCATCGAAACAGCCGTTCGAGTCCTCCTTCATAATCCACAGCAGACTGTCAATGATCCAAGACATTATACGGACTCCCTTACAGAATCCAGAGTTTGCATTCTAGTCGTCGCCACGCCATCGTGGGCAACGACCGGATCCTCATGAGGCGGTTCAACTCGCTGCAGCCATTCAATTCTCTGGATTTCGCAGTGTAATAGCTTCTATGTGGTTCATCGACGACGATGTCTGGTCAGATAGTTTGAATTTTTATGACAATTTGGTTGATGTTTCAGGAAGATTGGACTAGACGTGCTGTCACAGCGTTAAAGATGTGAAGACATTGTGCAGGAATATTCCCTTGGAACAGCATATCGTATTTGCAGTGATTCGCATATCATAATCGATCTATGCCTTGTGGGCATCCTCGTTCACGAGGTCACGCGTCCCAAGAGTCTGTTTCTACCAAACCACACATTTCTGCACGGAGTCCTATAGCTAAGTACTTTTGTTACATGTCGAACCCCCATGTAATTTTATTTCTTGAAACAAATTGAAGTGGTTCTTGTGCCACGACGAACATTAAGATGTGGGATAAAAATGCAAATCTCAGGTACATCGACTCCTGCACCATAACTCCCCTCAAACACAACTTCCACATATTGTAAGGACGGAGTGATTTCCAATATGGCGTTGACGCCATGTGCGCGCTCCACCTGTGCTGTTTTCGTACTCCGGTTGCCCGCAGTTGAACGTTGAACGTTGAGGAGAGAGAGACTGCGAATGTTGTTTATGCTTCGTTACTAATGTAGTAAAGTGAACGCAAAGTCCGTCCGTCTAGATGCAAACCGCTCATACTAAACTTACATCTTCTTTTATAATTACTAGTTCCATACACAATTTATTATTGACCGGGATACAACACTCCTTCTATATTCCTCTCACGTATCACGGTACGTTATTCCACGCACAATCTCTCTTGCGAAAGCAAACTCATCAGCACTCAGACTAGTCATCGAGGAAAAACAGCGCTCACTTCTCACTTTCAAATGCAGTACGCCTCACCAAATTGTGTGGTGATACAGCAAGTGGGGCAGGAGCAGCCTACAACGTACACGTACTCGTATGCGGTTGGTGAACATTCATAAACGAACGGATTCCCGTCGTTCAGGCTCGCGTCCTGTCCGCAGTCAGAAACATCTGCAAGCAGCCATCAGCACTCTGTCAAATATCCGCATGCCCCGAAGTCCACGAGTCTGTGGCAAGAGCACTCACCGGGGGTGTCACAAGACTGGCCGATGGGGTTGTACGCGGTAGCCACGCCAGTCATCACCGCGACAGACACGATGAAAGAGGTGAGTGAGATGAATTTCATGTTTGTTGGGAAGAGTATGCTAAGATGATTTATCTTCTGTTGAGTTGAGTGGAAAGTTAACACCCTCCTCTTGCCTTTATACTGTAGCTCTGGCACGCGCCAGGACAATGATACATTCCTACATTTCATTGGGACAGGTTACCTTTGCACGGCTTTCCCACCAGAATTACTTCACCTGCAGATGGGCAGGACATTCGATGGCTGAGAGGCATATGGTGCTAGGAATTGGTCCTGAAATGCCGCGCATCCCTCTACACGACCAATCCGAGGCGATGGAACAGGCGTCAAACAATGGCCTTGTATGAATTAAAATGGCGGTTTGAGTGGTCCTATGCCCTCAATTCAAGTGATTAACGAAACATAACGAAGGCTTCGTCAAGGTTGTCGCTGTTGTGGAATGTATCACATCGGGCCTAAAAAGCGCATGGCGAAATTGTTCAGCATGGGTGCCTTGGTGGAGTACCTCACGGCAGAGTCGAGATGATAGCAATGTTTATCGTAATGAGGGCGGACACAGGAGGTATCATGTATGAGCTCAAGAGTGAAGAGATGCAGCACCTCATCGTATGGAGAAATGATGTCATCGAGGTCATCAGCATACAAAAGGGAGAGGGGCAATTTTCTAAAGAGCAATAACGGTTTGTGACTCGGAAGGATGAGAAAAACCCCACGGCGAAGTCGTATCGTCATTGATGTCATCGAGGCACCGTGCTGTTGAACAAGGAGATGGTGATAGAGTTCCAGAGTGACCCCACCGGGGAAATAAGGAACGTTGGTGGTGTAAAGGAGGGCAGAGAGACGTATCTCGGTGAAGGTGCGTACCTTCATGTCTGGGCGGGTGTTGCCCATGCCCTGGCCATTACCTAGTGGACAAGTAAACAACTTGACATTCGAAGAATTCAGGAACCTTTATGTATTCGTTTAATGTCAGTTGTCTGATATTAACAGCCCATGCGAGTCCTGCAGGTTCAGGGGTACAAGCGGCATTAGGCTGGTAGTCGTAATGCTGAAGTGACCACATAGATAATTCCGTAGTATGCAAGATGAGGACGTCGTGAAGGGATCTTGCTATGATACTAGTAGTTAATATTTGTGAGATACCGCGGCCCAGGTGATGATTAGTGCATTGTTCCAGCACAGACTGACTTGAAGTGCCCCATTACTTGACCTGCCTGCCTGAAGTCGCTACAATGCATGCTTTACGCAAACAAGACAACTGCTACGGCGCATCACGGCGCGTCCGTTGAGATGATGTAGGCTAGCTAGCGCTTACAAGCTTTCAATAAGGACACAAGAAGCTGAGGTAAAAACATACCATGGCATAGTGCCGCGGGGGCACGAGGGGAACGGGAAGAAGCGAATCAAGAATCACCAGCGGTGGGAGACTTAGCGAATACTGCATGACTTGGGTACTGATAAGCTTGGCCCATGCTGTCTCCGCATTGCAAATTAATCCTCCTCAGCCTTAATTCCAAGGTGGATAATGCAGTATCTCCGCCCTTCAAAGTTATTGATATGTACTGCCTTTAACTCACGTGTTTATCCCATGGTAGCGGACCTGTACCTTGATAAAAATCAACACTTGTGAGTGGGCAGGAACATGCTGCAACGGAAGTCTCACGTACTATATGACAATGAATGACAAGATATAAGCACTGCCGGCTTGCATGATGTACATAAATACTGTCCAGTGCGATACTGAATAGTCCAGTCTTCGGTATAACTAGTACCTTTGACATAACGGACGACAGTCCGACCCTCTTACACAAGAGTAATATCATGAGCATGAAGTGTTTGGTGTAATGTAACTTCGATCACCACACACCCGCATTTGTGGTATGGTCATTGAAATGAGGAGCGACACTAGCACCTATAGATGGCCCAAAAAGCACAATGTTGAATGTGGTCTTGACGCTCCTCATTCACACCCCAGAATTATCAGATATAGTCACGCAAAATGGCTGTGCTCACAAGTTAATATACAATAGGAGGACCCAACCTTCTGATATCAAAGTCTACATTTAGAGCTTCGCCATCGTCTTCGCGCCTACCACACTTTCGATGTCCCTGTACTTATAGTACAGTTCAAGCGACTCAGGGTTCGCCACCGTCCCACTCGGCTTCAGATTCGACCCCGACACAATCTGCTTCACCGCAATCTCGATTTTCTTGCCGTTTACGGTATACTGCACGGTAGTGAGAATCGTGATATTCAGCGAATATACCACCACGTACAGGGATATCCTTGGTATCGAATACATAGGCTGGGACGTGCCTCGGGCTGAGGCTAGTCCTGATCGCGCTCTTGATGCGGTCGATGAGGGCAGGCGTGAGAGTACGTCCGGAGCGCATCTTCAAAAATAGGAGGACACGCTCGTCAGGGTCCTGAGTCCTGCGTTGCCCGACACAGAGTGAATCATCGAGCTCGTCAGAGAAAGACTCTAGGACAGTGTAGATCTCCGCTGAGCCAAAACGGACACCAGAGGGGTTGAGTACGCCATCGCTGCGGGAATGGTCAGATCAGTTTGCATATAATAATACCCGAGAGTGGCTGGTACCTCCGCCCTAGGAAGAGGAACCCTGTCGTCTTCGGATTTTTGACTACAAAATCGCCTTGGCGCCAGACTCCTGTGCACCGCATAAACGTGAGCATGCACGTTGATATCTGAACGAAACCACAAGAATTTACCTGGGTACGTCTCATAATATGCTTGTCGGAACTTTTTGCCAGACTCGTCGCCCCAGAAGCAAACGGGTATAGAGGGATGCGGACGTGTGATGACAAGCTCACCAGGCTGACCTGTGTTCTCAATGTTGTTTCCCGCGGGATCGAATAATTCAACGGCCATGCCAAGACATTTGCCTTGAAGTTCTGTGTAGAACATGCAGTTAGTCCACGTTGACAGAATGGTACTCTGGACACAACCTCCAGCATGTAGCGGTAAACTTAAAACGCTTGTGATAACTGAGAAGTATTAGCTTATGGTAACAAGAGGCGATCCAATGAAAACTTACATGCACAACACACGTCTGTCCCTCCAGAAGACGAACCGATATGCAACTTCCCACCAAACGCCTTGTACGTCCACTCCATCAAAGGTGCAGTGATTACAGCTCCTGTGACTGTCATCTCACGAAGAGCTTCAAAGGATGCAATTTCAACTACAGAAGTAATTAGCATCAACCCTGAAGGCTATGATCCGACCATACGCGGTTTGATACCCCTCATCTGAACTTCGGTCAGGAAGCGTGGACTTGTGCCGAACACCGTGATACTAAAAGAGGTTTAGTAACTAATGGCCCGCGTTTGCTGGTGTTCTCGCACCCCTGGTCATGAATGAACTTGAGATAACCCCTGAGGTCGGGGTGAAATGGTGATCCGTCGTAAAGGATAATGCGTGCACCACATGCAAGACCCGAGAGCAAGAATGGCCACATCATCCAACCCGTCTTGTAGAGTGTGAACTATTCACCTCGCAGACAGAATACAATGAGATTACTCACCGTGGTATATTGGAAATAGACATCAGTCGGGAGGATGTCGAAGCCAACCATACAGTCCTTCTTGGTGTTCATGAGGACGCCCTACACATGGAGATAAATGGTAGAATATGGGACACAAGTGGGAGGCGTACTCCACCACAGTGGACTATACATTTCGGCGGCCCGCTTGTCCCCGAGGAGTATAGGATGTACAGCGGATGACTGAAAGGTAACTGTTCAAATTCCAGTGGTCGATCATCACCCGATGCAAGGAAGGAGTCCAATGTAACACTATAAACAAAGTTCAAGTGAGAACACGCGTTAATGAATATGAGTCGTGGACAAACCTATTGGGTATGTTCAGAGACTCTGGGACGGTGTTTCCCGTCTTTACACTCGGCAAGGTAATGATGCACTGTACACCAGATGTGCGGAGGTCCCGCTCCACTTCCGAAGCCCTCTGCACCATGCTGACGGTCTTCCCGGCATAAACAATCTCCGTTTCTGTAAAAATGAACTTTGGTTTGATCTGTCTGTACCTATCAAGTATGCCCTAGTCAAGGTGGAGCGTCGTGCGAATCTATGAGAAATACGATAAAGCTAACCTGAGTGCCCATGTCAGTTGCAGTACTGGAAAATATTGCCCCTACACTGGAAGTTGCAAGAGCAACTACCACAGCAGTGATGGAGTTGGCGATGATGGCTGCGACCATTCAAGGTTAACAATTCGTGGCAAACTCGACCTTCGCTCACCCGCAACCCTATCTCCAACCTTCAATCCATTCACGCGCATTGCGGCTGCCATTTTGCGCACCATCTCCCTTAGCTGGCGGAAGGTGTAATGTGTCACGACTCCGAGTTCATTACCTGCTGTGCAGGCGATACCGTCGTCGTCTCGATAGAGAAGGTTCTCCGCGTAGTTGAGGCGCGCTCCGGGAAACCATTCGGGGACCTCTTCGTATTTGCCCTTTTGGACTATCTGTAGTGATGTTCGATGTCATGAGGAAACAAGCCCGACATGAGTGGACATACCTTGGTGGGATCTGGGGGAACAGAGGACAAAATGCCCATAAATTGCCAGAGGTCGAGCCAGAAGGAGTAATTGGACACCGAGTACGCATGCAGGTCGTGGTAGTCCTCTACAGAACGAACTCCAGTCAGGTTCTCATTCTAGGTGCAGATATCGACGCACTGAGGTTTAAGCTGTGCTTGAGGTTGATCTCGCGCCTGAGTTTCTCGCTGACGGCCTGAGACGGGTAAGCAGGTGTCCGAATAAGGCGTGACTGGTCGAAATGAGAACTCATTGCAGTTTACTTTGCAGTTGGCTTGCGTGCAAGTTGACAACGTTGAGGTGTTTCAAGTCGTCCACGCTCAGCCTGAGGCGTCATCTCCCCGAATCTCCCACCGTCGGAGCGTGACCGGGAAGCCAGCAATAGATTGTGCTGTACTGCCCGGTGTTGCAAAAACGCCCGGTGTTACAGTTGGCAATTCCAAATCACGATGTAGCACACGTGCTCATCAACATCTTTCTCTCATGTCCTTCACAGAATCTACCACTTCAATTATAGCATTATTGATAGCATCTCTCAATGTTACTTAGAACAAGACTTCACAATGTCACGCAAGGCTCCAGGAACTTGAAGATGACGGGACTTTCGCAACTTTACGTGACAGTCTGAGCGACTTGGATGTTACTCAAAACGCGAGTCAGGATAGGCGGTCGTCCAAAGAGATGAAGGTGAGCAAGCTGTTGTGGGCGACTTCGGCCTTGAAGTACACGATCTAAGTAGATTCCAAATTGACGGTACTCGGATCCATCACGTCTCAGACCTTAGGACTTGCCCCATAGATGTCCTTGCCATTGTCTCTGTTCCAGCATTCGAATTTCTGGAATCTGCGCCCCCTCGGGCATGTCCCGGCAAGGCTCAAGCCAGTGATAGACTCTGCTGTAAGAGGCAACTACATACATAACAGAAGATCACAGGTGCTTGCCGTTTACGAAGCAGAAGCCTGCTATAGCTAGCAGGACTCGCGTTGGCAGTGCAGATCCTGATATGTAGCCACGGAAAGGGATCGATGTCAATATACATAGACCATCAAGTAACCATCAAATCCGGTGATCTTTTCTCGAGCTGTGCGGCCGATACCTGTTATGTGAAACAATAATCTGACAGACCATTTTGCAGACTCACTAAATGGGGGGAACAGCAGGAATCGATATTTCAGCGTTGTGGTCTGGTGGATATCAGGACACGATGATGCGGCAGGAAACAAGAAGGCGGGCGGAGAGGCAAATGTACTGGCAGCGCAAACAGAGACCACGATTAGCATGTTCATCAGTTGCGCCGAGCTGCTGTGCGGGCGGCTTCTACCTTATCGATGTACACAGCCTAAGTAAGTGTCATAGCCTCTGAAGAACGAATTCTTAAAGTTGGCACCATTTTATTAGACCTCAGGACTTACCACATCATATCCTTAGGATTGTTTTAGTGCTCGATTTTCTGCTCGTCCCGTGCGTATTTATCCTGATCTCATTGAATCTTGGACTTAGTAGACTTCTTTATATGTGCAGTCTTCTGTTAACCGCTACAACAACATGGCAGATGATGTGGAGAAGTGTCGAGCAGCCTTACATGAGTGTCCGCCTGGTCATTCTGATCGATGCAGCTCTCTCAGCAAACTTGCCGCCTCCCTTCAAGACAGATTCCGACAGGGGGGCGTGCTGTCTGACTTGGATGAGGCGATTGAGCTAGATCGAGTTGTTCTCGCCCTCCGTCCCCTTGGTCATTCTGATCGATATCAGGCTCTCCACAACCTTTCCGTCAGCCTTCATGACAAATTTGAGCTGCAGGGCATCCCATCTTACCTCGATGAAGTCATTGAACTCCGTCGAGCTGCACTTGCACTCTGTTCCGACGATCATCTTGATCGAACCAGCTCTCTCAGCAACCTTGCCTTCAGCCTTCGAGACAGATTCCAGCAGGGAGGAGTCCTGTCTGATCTCGAAGAGGCCATTGAGCTTCATCGAGCTGTTCTCACACTCTGTTCCGACGGTCATCCTGATCGAACCATCTATCTCAAACACCTTGCATTCAGCCTTGAAGACAGATTCAAGCTGCAGGGCATCATATCTGACCTCGAAGAGGCCATTGAGCTCCATCGAGCTGCACTCGCACTCTGTCCCGACGGTCATCCTGATCGAACCAACTCTCTCCACAACCTTGCCCACTGCCTTCGGGACAGATTCAAGCTGCAGGGCGTCCTGTCTGATCTGGATGAGGCCATTGAGCTCCATCGAGCTGCACTCACACTCTGTCCCAACGGTCATCCTGCTCGAACCAACTCTCTCAACAACCTTGCGTTCAGCCTTGAAGACAGATTCAAGCTGCAGGGCATCATATCTGACCTCGAAGAGGCCATTGAGCTCCATCGAGCTGCACTCACACTCTGTCCCAACGGTCATCCTGCTCGAACCAACTCTCTCCACAACCTTGCGTTCAGCCTTGAAGACAGATTCAAGCTGCAGGGCATCATATCTGACCTCGAAGAGGCCATTGAGCTCCATCGAGCTGCACTCACACTCCGTCCCCCTGGCCATTCTCATCGGTCTTTCTCTCTCGGCAGCCTTATTTGCAGCCTTGAAACTAGATACCGGCAGCGGGGTGACTTGGCCGACCTGGATGAGATAATCGAGCTCTATCAAGCTGCACTAGCCCCTGAGGATGATCTGCGATCGTCGTATTTCAATGACCTGGCTGTGTGGCTTAGCGACAGATTCGAGCAGCGGGGCGACTTGTCCGACCTGGATAAGTCCATAGAGTGTTTTCGAGCCTCACTGGCAGCCTGTCCCAATGACCATCCCCGTCGATTCTTGTCTCTACACATCCTTGCCCAAGACCTTGATACCAGGTTCCATCATCGAAACATTCGATGTGACCTGGATGAGGCCATTGACCTTCATCGAGACGCACTAGCGCTCTGTCCCGCTGGTCATCCTCATCAATCCTGTTTACTTGACACCCTTTCCCGCAGCCTTGGAGAAAGATTCCGGCAATGGCCCGTCCTTTCTGACCTGGATGAGGACATTGGGCTCCTTCGAGCTGCATTGGCACTCTGTCCCTCTGACAATCCTGCACGATCCCATTCTCTCCAAAAGCTTGCCAAAGCCCTTAGTACCAGATTCGATCACCGGCGCGTCCAGACTGACCTGGATGAAGCCATCGAACTTAACCGAGCTGCACTGGAACTCTGTGACCTTGAGCATTCTGATGCATATGCTCTCTTCAACCTTGCGCAAGACCTTCACATCAGATTCCAGCTGCAGGGCATGGTGTCTGATATTGATGAGGCCATCGAGCGTCATCGAACTGCACTTAAACACTATCCCCCTGGCCACCACTCTCATCAACCCTGTTCTCTCAACAACTTCGCCGGCAGCCTTCGGACCAGATTCGACCTGCGGGGCACCCTGTCTGACCTGGACGAGGCCATGGAACTCAGTCGAACTGCGCTGACGCGTTGTCCCCCCGACGATCCTCATCGACCCAGGTGTCTCGGCAGCCTTGCCATCAGCCTTCGCGATAGATTCGAGCTGCAGGGTGTCCAGTCTGACCTGGATGATGCCATTGAGCTCCATCGAGCTGCACTCGCGCTCTCTCCCGACGGTCATCCTTATCGATCCAGCTCTCTCAACAACCTTGCCCACTGCCTTGGAAATAGATTTGAGTTCCAGGGCGTCTTGTCTGATCTGGAAGAGGTCATTGAGCTCTATCGAGCTGAACTCGCACTCTATCCCGACGGCCACCCTGATCGAACTAACTCTCTCAGCGACATTGCTACCAGCCTTCGAACTAGGTTCGAGCAGCAGGGCGTGGTGTCCGACCTGGATGAGGCCATCGAGCTCCATCGAGCTGCACTCGCACTCTGTCTCCCTTCCGATCCATTCCGATCCCTTCTTCTTAGTGATCTTGCCCGTAGCCTTCAAACTAGATGCCAGCAGCAGGGCGTGCCGTCAGACCTGGCCGAGGCTATTGAGCTTCATCGGGCTGCGCTAGCACTCTGTCCCCATGGTCATCGTCATCGATCCTGCTCTCTCAATAACCTTGCCGTCAGCCTTCGAGACAGATTCGAGCATCAGGGTGTCCTGTCTGACCTGGAGGAGGCCATCGAGCTCCATCGAGCTGCACTGTCTCTCCGCCCCCCTGGCCATTATCTTCGGTCGTTGTCTCTTAACGACCTTACCAGTGTCCTTCAAACCAAATTCCATCAGCGGGGTCTGTCATCAGACTTGGAAGAGGTCTTCAGGCTTTATTCACAACTCCCTCAAGTATCACATGCAATCTCTCGTAGAGATCTTCGTGCTGCAAAGTCATGGGCCGCCTCCGCCGAACAGCTAAACCATAATTCTGCGTTGGTTGCGTATCAGACCACATTGAAATTCCTTGATCAACACACTGCTCTTTTATCTTCTTCCCCCCGCCATTTCGATGTCGTCAGAATGGCCACTTCATCCCTCGCAATGGACGCTTTCTCGTGTGGTATTCGTCAAGGGGCATTCACAACTGCTGTGGAACTGGTGGAGCAAGGTCGTGCAGTGTTCTGGACCCAGTTATCACGCTTCCGCACACCATTGGATGAACTGTCTGCATCAGGTGATACTGGCGTAGCCTTAGCAGAAGAGTTCAGGCAACTCAGTTTTCGTCTTCGTAACATGGTAGATGTGTCTACCAAAGACCAGTCCGCAGAAATCCGGCAACTGACCGTGCAATGGGATGATGTCATATCCCGTATCCGCATGCTGCCTGACTTTTCCCAGTTTCTCCTTCCTCCGCTATTCTCTGATCTTCGGATGGCAGCGGAAGATGGTCCAGTCGTTATTGTCAACGCAAGCCAGTATAGCTGTGATGCTTTAATCATCCTCATTGCCCAAGATCCTGTCCATGTTCCGCTTGGTCTTGCACTAACCGAGGTCTCGCAGTTGTCCTCCGAGTTCCAGTCGCTCATACATCGTGCTGGTTCTTCTGATCACCAACTTGAATCACACAAGCTTGTTGGCGTCCTACGCAAGCTGTGGGATAAGATTGTTGGTCCAATCCTTCAAATGCTCAGGAAGTTCATTCCCCGTGGCTCACGCATCTGGTGGTGTCCTACCGCCGACTTCACGCTACTTCCTCTACATGCAGCAGGACCTTATGAGCCAAACAGCCATAATTTTTCCCACTTCTACATTTCCTCTTACACCCCAACTTTGACGGCACTCATTCGCGCGAGACAACAGCCCTCTCGAGATGCCTCTGTGGAGCATTTTGTTGCCATTGGGCAAGCAAATCTGGCAGGGTGCAATGACCTTCGGTGTGTCGCTGCTGAGTTAGACGTTGTCGCTCAGCGTGTCGCGCCCTTCATATCCTTCACATCACTCGCGTGCAGCGATGCAACGGTCCAAGGGACATTGGATGCATTGAGCCAAAAACAGTGGCTTCACTTGGCTTGCCATGGATTGCCGAATCCAAAACAACCATTCGAGTCTTCTTTCGCCATGCACGACGGGCCTTTAATGATCAGCGAGATCATACGGACTCACTTGCAGAATCCAGAATTTGCATTCTTGTCGGCTTGTGACACAACTGTGGGTGATGAGTCGAGTCCCGACGAGGCGATTCATCTCGCTGCAGCGATGCAGTTCTCCGGATTTCGAAGTGTGATTGGATCTATGTGGTCTGTCGACGACGACGTTGTAGGCCAGATCGTCTCTCTTTTCTATGCAAACCTGGTTGATGATTCAGGGAGATTGGACTGTAGACGTGCTGCAGGAGCGTTGCACAAGGCTGTGAAGACGTTACGCAAAAAGATTCCATTCGAACAGCAGATTGTATTCGTTCACATAGGTGTCTAGTTTGAAGATCCATTGTATATGTATGACTCTTTTTTGCTTCCAGTCACCCAGATATGTAATCTACATGATAGACAGCTACCGTGTTCGCCATACACTCAGTGTAAATATATGATTGAAGACGAATCAATTGTTTTATAAAACAAGACGTAGCCATGGTGCGCCCTGATGAGAACATCGAGCAAACAACAGAAGGAATCGAGACAAACCTGCTCTCGTCGCACGGACATTTTGCGACAAACACAAGCTGTTTCAAGTAGTCAATGTTACCGAGATCATATTTGAACAAATCCAAGAAATGCTGCAGTATGGTCCCTAGGAAGTCAACTGTATAGCGGCGATGAGTGGTATCACAGCATGCGGAAAGCACACCAAGATTCCAGAGGGTTTATGAAGTATTAAAGTAATGAAATATAATGATAAAAAAGGCCCTCGAGAATCAACACGGCAGCCGAAAACGCGATTTGCCGAATGGTGAGACTGCCAAAGTGAGCGCTGAATCTGCTCTGGGTGTCACAGGTCATGACTGATAGCATATCTAGTACAAGCGACGTTAGAGTTGCCCTTTGGTTTACGCTATAAAAACACGTACTATTTGCTGTTGCCAGCAGCCCGCTGAGCACGTCTTTGAGCCCTCCGAGTCGGCCGCCTCGCTGATGCATGTTCTTCGTTACTGCCAGCCTGAGAAGCCGCGTCGGAGCGCTTCTTGTCAGCCTTTGCCTGCCTCTTAGCTTTGTGCTTTTTCACTGCCCGGATAAATAACATGATCATGATGGTTTGATGATGGTGTGAGGATAAAGAGAGAGGGGTAAGGAGAGTTTGGAATGCCAATCGTCAAGCCCCTTTCATTGCTACCGGGCCAATGATCAGAGTCATTGGTCAGCGCTCAGCAGCCTTGGTGGTCAGACAACGCATTAATCATCATCGGTGTGAAGCGTTTCTTGTGTCTGACAAGCAGGCATTTCGCTGCTTCATATGGCAGCGGTAGTTGGTAATAGTCAGTGCTCAAGCGCTCACTAGCACTCACTGCTCACGTCAAGCTGCATTCGACGACGATCTTGAAGAAGCATTTAAATTGTCCCGGAAGAAGCCGCTGTGTGTGAAGTCACGTGAAATATAGACCCTTTAGAAGAGTGTGTTGGACGTTCCGCTCAAAACGTTGTCAATGTCAGTTTGACTGCACGCTCACACTTCGTGTTCTTTGACTTGATTGTCTCTCATTTCCACTATATTTCATCCCGCAGTCATGTCACTCGACGGTCAACCCATGAAAATTCCTCCTCCAGTTCTTGAGCCTTCGTTACTCGCTGCACAGCTCAATGGCACCAAGCCAATAAGTAATGGACACGCGTCAGAGAGTAACGATAGTTCGTCAACCTCTGAGCGCTTACAAGTCATTAATGATGAGAAGAACTTCACGTCAGTCTGCTAGTACAACATCATTTCCCCCCAAGTGCTCAATTACACTACTTCCAACAGAACCCACTTGACATCTCAGATAGGACGATGGGGTCTGCGCGACGCTGGCTTCAATTATAACATAGTATCTGTCTTCGGGTCGCAGTCTACTGGGAAGAGTAAGCTGCGGAAATGCCAATGTCTGGAAGTGCTGTTCACTGAGTACTTTGTGGCAGGTACACTGCTAAACAGGCTATTTGGTACTACCTTTGACGTCATGGATGAGACCAGACGACAGCAGACTACGAAAGGTATATTTACTATTCAAATTTTCTTATGTGTGCTAACTCAACTTGAGGTATCTGGATGTGCCGAGGGAAGGACATGGGTGTCATGGTTATGGACGTGGAAGGCACGGATGGACGAGAACGTGGAGAGGATCAGGTATGAATGAATTCAGTTCATAGTTGTTCTTGTCATTCAACCACTTTCAGGACTTTGAACGCAAATCCGCTCTTTTCTCCCTTGCTTCGTCAGAAGTACTTCTCATCAACCTCTGGGAGCACCAAGTTGGCTTATATCAGGGTGCAAACATGGGTCTTCTGAAGACCGTGTTTGAGGTGAACCTTGGTTTGTTCGGCAAGAAAGCTCAAGATGGGTAAGCTCAATCCATTCCAATCAATTTTCATTTCCTCAAGTTCTCCCATGTGCAGTTCTCAAGGGCGTACTCTGCTACTATTCATAATTCGAGACCATATTGGGGTTACTCCCCTCGCGAACCTCCAAGCTACCCTTACTGCAGACCTTGAGAATATTTGGGATTCGCTTTCTAAACCGCAGGATCTCCAGGATCGGCGACTTTCGGATTACTTTGACCTAGCATTCACAGCACTACCTCACAAGATCCTCGCAACAGAGAAATTCGAGGCTGAAGTCCAAGAACTGCGGAAACGGTTTGTGGACAAGCAGAGAGATGATTTTGTCTTCAAGCCTGCTTACCATAAGAGAATTCCCGCTGATGGTGTGGCGTTCTACATGGAAAACATATGGGTAGGGACATCATTAGTGTCCACAAATTGCGCGCTGAAGATGAAATTGCTCAGGAACAAGTTCAAACGAACAAGGACCTTGATCTGCCTACGCAGCAAGAACTCCTCGCACAATTTCGATGTGACGAGATATCCTCCGTTGCGCTTGCAGAGTTCACGGAACAGTCGAAGTCGCAACGGAGACCCATCGAGGCAGGTCATGTTGTGGAAGGTCTCGGTGGTTTGATGCAAAACTGGAGGTCTGAAGCACTCAGTGAGGGCACTATTTACACTCAATTACATGCGTTCTTATTCACTCCGTAGGTCGCTACGACCGTGATGCATCTCGCTATCACCAAGGGGTGTACCAACGCAAGCGTACTGACCTTCTTGGGGTTCTAGAATCGGCTCTTTCTCCCCTCTTCCTTGGGCAGCTCAAGAACTTACACAAGTCATGCCTCAGCGTCTTCAAAAAGGAGCTTCTTGAGGGCTTGCGTGGTGAGGAGTATAACTTCGCGGATGTAGTTGAGAAGGCGCGAACGAAGTGCGAGACGCGGTTCGCAGATGGTGCGAAGGAAGTCTCGCTGGAGGACACTGACTGGACATGGCAGGATGAATTCGAGTCTCTCAAAGAAGAGATTGGTAATGTGGCTGACCAGTGCAGGAGGGATGAGACGAAGAAGATGGTCAACTTGATTGAGGTATGCCAACTGAACATTGTCCTCGGCGTACACCTAAAGGCTCTTCACAGAGAAACTTCAAAAAGCAAATTTCTGAACCCGTTGACATAAGTCTCAACAAAGCGACACCTGACATGTGGGACAAGGTCTTGAGCACCTTCAAACAAACGCTCGAGAAAGCCGAGTCGACCTATTTGGCAAAGGCGAAAAGTCAGTTGCTTCGCCTTCTTTACATTGTTCTCGCTGATATATGACGAAGGCTTCAACTGCACGGATGACGAGAATGTGACATCTCTCGCTGCCCTGCGGAAACGTACTTGGCTCGCTCTACGAGCCAAGATCGACGAGCAGACTGCCGATACTGTTATCCTCGGGAAGTTACGGGCTCACTTCGAAGAGCGCTTCCGCTACGACGAGAATGCTATTCCTCGGGTTTGGAGACCTGATGATGATATCGATGGGGCCTTTAAATGGGCTAAGGAGCAGGCACGTGTCCTCGCTAGTTTCTCCCTGCACATACTTACATTTGAATGGTAGACAATGGATCTCATTCCCCGCTACGCCAATATCGCCCCCGTTGATTCTTCCCTTGCATTCGTACTACCCTCTGAATCCTCAGATCCCCTCACTTCCACGGATGAATTTGATTTCCCTTCAACGCTCGTCATCTTCACTGAGACGAAGTCTCTTGACCTTGCTTCTCGCTTCCGAAAGGATGCAGATGCATACTATGTCGAAGCGAAGCGCAGCACTGTCTCAAGCATTGCACAGATTCCATACTGGATGTATATCGTCCTCGTCTTGCTTGGCTGGAATGAGTTTATGATGGTGCTGTTCAGCCCTGTGTATTTCACGTTCACATTGGTAGCATTGGTGACCTCGTACGTATATGATTTCGATTCTAGTCTTGATGGATGTTCATACGTTGCTTTCCAGTTATTTCACCGTCAAACTGGGCTTGACAGGTCCTTTGCTTCAGCTTTCGAAAACAGTCCTGACTGAGGTATGTTCTATCAATTTATTGTATCACTTTTTTGTCTTATAGATCATGGTGGTGATATAGGCGCAGACGCAAGCTACCAACCGCTTGAGGGACCACTTTTCGCAGCCTGTTTCAGCACAGCCCGCGGGAGCAAGCTCTGTCAGGGATTATAACGAGGATAGCGATCAGGAGATGAGAAGATCGAGGGCGACGCCATATATGTAACTGCCTCTTTTCTTCATTTCTCGGAGCCGTTTGTTTTTAAATTTTATCACCCGGAGCATGTTCTAGATTTGTCATTAAGCATAAATTCGTGTAATTCTCAGTTCTACCGCTCGAGGCAGGTGCGGCTATTGACAGTATTCTGTGAATGAAAAAGATGCTTGATGTGAAAAAAAATGTGATCTGACCCAGGCTCGAACTGAGGACCTTCTGTGTGTTAGACAGATGCGATAACCAACTACGCCATCAGACCGATAGGAATGGTCTCCAATGGTAACATGATACGGCCATCAGCATGTCAGGAGTACTACAGTATCATTTGAAATAAGAAAACAACTTGGTCGGTTTGCAGACCTGGGAAATGCCAAGTCGCACTGCTGGTTGTTCTTTCATGTAACGATGGCCGTCTTGATTTTTACCTCAAGAAAGGTCCGGGTATTTATTAATCACAGCGGGGGACAAAATGTTTGTCCAATCGCATGTTATTCATAATCCCCTGGGCGTGTCTTCCGTGATCTTCAGTGATGTGGGCGTCACACGTAGACCCCGGGCCCATGATGTCTAGTAGTGGCTTTTGATCAGAACCCAGATATCACACAACGGCCTCGCTTGAATTACTCTCCACTGCTCCGCGCTCCAATACCTCCACGGTTAGTGCGGACAGAGCCAGTGATATCTGATCATACCTATCGGCACTCAACGATACGCACTGTCTGCATAGGATCGCGATTCGCCAACACACATGATGTATATCTCTCTGCAAGCAGGGGCCTAGGAGACCTCACACCTCAAGGCGGGGAAGGAGAGGCTTAGCTTGCGTCCGGCAGAAGGCACTGCTGCCTCTTCATGCATAGGATCCGGTGTATGAATTGTGAGTTTGAGAGATGTTCTAACTTCTTTTGGCACTGTCTTTGTTGTTCACGGTCGTGTGCCATTGCCAAAACCCTAGTGTCAGCCGTGTAGATTCTAGAACTTGTTAAGTCAGCAAACCGGGCGTAATGGGGTTGATTTAGTGAGTTTGGTGTTTGTCATGCTCTGTCGTCTTCAAATGCAATAAACTCTGATTGTCGGCGATTTCCATCAGTCACCTAATGCATGGGATTTTTCCCGACAAACCCTTGATTCAAGTTGAATTCGGTCAATGCGGCAATTCTGCCAGCCCTTCGTTCTTATCAAACTCAGTATACTGCGATCACTGTTCACATCAGGATATATGCTAATTTACGCTTTGGGGGATTTTGTCCTCGTGTGCCACATAAACGAGACGACTGTCTTCCTGTCATCGGTCAATCAAGGGAGACTGTATGATGCACCTGCCGCTTGGAAGTGCTCGGCGCTCCGACGCCTTCGGGCACCTTCTTGCGGTTTGTTTTCAAACGGTGACATTTGAAAGTGTTCTGTTAATGGACGGCCTGACTCCGACGGCACAATTAGGTCCTATTAACTGACAACAGAAATGCAAACTGTTGTTAGTACCATATGACTAATAAGCCACCTCGCCACCAGCGCATCTAATAATGACACCCAACGAGCACCCTGATATCGCACACTAGCCCAACTTGAACTTTGTGCACCCGTGCACACACCACGCACTATCAACAGGTCAACAACTGCACTACGCGGCCCTGAACTTCTCATCGCTATACATGCGTGCAAGCCTCCAGGTTGGCTTCCACACTCGACGATCATATATTTGATACTGACATTCTGTAGAGCGCTGTACAGTCTGTACAGTCTTACCTCGCATTCTAACGCCCTCACGGGTACCAGTTAATTTTAACAAGTCGGAGTTTATTACCCTCTCACGGACAGGACAGAGGACCTGATTTTGGGTTCGAATTTGACCAAATAACGCGGTCGAGGGGATCTATAAATCAATCCGACGTTCGGGGTATCTCCATTATCGCTGGGGTGCACCCTACGGCGTCGCTGCAAATTCATTAAAACCGCTGGTTCCAAAACAGAGTCTCACGTTCCACCTTTGCCCACTCAAAAGCATGATTCATTTCGAATTCGAGCTATAATTATTTAATAAACCCGAAGCACGTTCCTGGAAGTCAATGTCATTACAGCGGGAATAAGCAAAAGATGGACAGGTATGAACAATCGTCAGGGGCTGATTATTTCGGATTGTGCGTTGTACGATACCGCCATAGTAATCGCCGTCGCATATTTACCGAGTCCTGCCTGGCGACCGAGGATGCAGCTTCTGCAGGATTAACAAAATCAGCCGCGCTTCAGACGAAAACCCCACGATACGGCACATACACCTTACCGATGAGATATAGGTCAAATCAGCTTCTTGAAGAGCGGCGCGTCTAACATGACCGGCAGGAACGGCGGACTAGCAGAGAATTCCTCACGCCGGGACATTCACGCGTTCAAAAGGTGTAACAGGGGGACAGAAGCCCCATTAGACTAGATAGTATTGTCATACATGCCTAAAGAACAAAAATCCGATTCAAACAAATCAGCATAAGGAACCTCGAACGGCATGCCGCAGGAGTACATACGCACTGTAGCCGCCAAATGTTGGCGCGGTTCGAGCAGGTACCGCGCTGTCAGCTATCAGCGCTTGAGGCGTTTTTGATGAGACTTCAAATCCCGACCAATGAACAACCTGAAGTTCCACGAGAAGCGCGTGTGTTTCGTTAATAACATACACTGTCGATCACCATTCCGTAAGTAATAATCGCACCCAGCATAGAGCCTGAAATTTTCTCACGAACAAAGTTTTGGTAGATGATATGAAGACAGTGAGATAGCGGCAGTGGAGTCGGGGATGCGATAGCCCTGCCCAGACATTATGATGATGTGAATATACGGTCGGATCAACGCTGATCACTGTCAATTGTGTGAGGACCGGTCGACGGATATGCAGCTTTGGAAGCTGCAAGGCAAGCGTCTGTTCCAAATTGCGAGCTGCAGGGGTGTTGGCGGTCGGCTTTCCGGCGATAAAATAATTCCCCCCATCCTCATCAACAACTTGAATGAGGACATCGTGTGGATCTACGGTGTGGTGTCCCTAGAAAATGATCAATGCACCGTTTCGCGGGATCATTTCAATCCGATGTCATACCTCTTGTTCGGTCCGTCGAGAGCAATTTGCAGCTCGTAGAATGTACATCGGCACGCGTTTGGAAGCCAATGTCGTTCGGGGTCACGCGACAGCTTTGGAAGCTACAAGAGGCCGTGAGGCAAGCGCCTGATCCGAGTTGCAGGGAGGACTCGCTTTTCCTTTTGGTATCGACCCTCGAGTGTCCACTGTCGACAACCTGCCGCTCGTTTACCCCTGAGTACCCTACGAGTTATGGCAACGGGCACACGCTGTCAATGTCAACTATGTCATGATCACGAACTCGTTCTTCGCGGGAGTGGGTTTCGAGCTCTCTCTCGATCCACTTTTCGACATACACAGAAGAAAGTGAAAGGCGTTCGAATTTGGGTAGATGAAAAGGCATGCCACAGCACATAGTGGAGCGAGGAGGAAATAGCCCTGCCGAGGTATTTTTTTTATCCGCAGTTGGGCCCTTGGAAACCAGTCAGCTCATTTGATAAATCCACAAAGGTAGTGCGATAAAAATTCACGACGGTGATTGTCACTCGTACGCGAAGAAATTGTAAGCTGCACAGAGGGCTAGAAGGTCGTTTAGGATCAATGTTAGTTTGAATTACGGGGCCTAAGCGTGTGAGGCTTGTGCGGAGTTGCAGGGGATACTACCGGCTGTCGGATGGGCTTGGAAGTTGATTGAATGAGCCAATATAATTCGGTGCAGGGATGCTAGATAGTAGATTGATGTTTTTTCCGCCATTAATGACTCGGGGCTACCTAGTCGTCGGAGGACGGATTTGCATTTAGTGGTTGCTTTGTATTGAAAAGTCTAACGCACACAATGTCGGCATCGCAGAAGTTAAGCTCCTTCAATAGGACCATTTGGAGGTGATGTTCAAGTGACCCTGATGGGGGGTGAGTTGGATAGTCACGTGTATGGGTTAATTCGTTTGGAAATGATCGTGAGAAATAGTGCCTCGGTGTCCACGTGGGTTGATATGATAAACCTGTTCTTGCTACGATGAATGTTTTGGTGTAGAAGAACATGTCAACTTCATTAGGATTGCACATAGTCGATCCTCGCATCCTGAGCGATCAAGTAGGCGATGTGTGAGTGCACGGACCTCTTTTCATTCCACTTAACTCACAAGAAGCAGTCATCCACCCACTTCTCTCACAGCTCCCCCTCCTCGTCTTTCTCCTCGTCCATCAAGGATGGCCTCCATCTCTCAAGATAATTTGTACTCGAATCTCGCAACTTTCACCTTTGGTGAACCTCGAACTTCAGATTCAGATGACGAGTCTCCAGATGCAATCAGCCCACTCACTCCAATAACACGAACTGGCGCTGACAGGACACCTCGTCCATCAGTTTCAGTTTCAACTTTTAGCAGTCATCCTTCGCAGGGTCCAGGACGCCCAGCTTCAACTACCTTTCCCTCATCTTCACGCTCAATTAGACGAGAGTATACAGATGGGGAAAGCAGCGAAGATCCCTCATCACCCGATCTCAACCCGAGTCGCCGATTCCACCGATCCCGTCTCATCCCAGACAACGTCAGTCAGCACACTTTCGGCCACCCTGCCTTGCGCTACTCCACCGCGTCAATCGCTTCCTCCCGCTCAAGCTCACGTGCAAGTTTCCGCTCAGAACTTCACTTCAGCAGCGACGAGGAAGTAGAGATCGCTTCTTACGACGGCTCCTCCTCGCCAGTCACTTTTGCCCGTGATCTCGACAATATCGACGAGAACGAGAACAGCCCAGTATTCCACCCCCGTCCCCTTTTCGAGCCCCGCCGTGGCAGCCTCCCAATGGCAATCCCAGGCGCATTATCAGATGCAGTCAGCAATCGCAGCCGCGAAGACAGCATTCTCACCATCCGTCGTCCATCTCGTAGTCTTGACGATGACCTCTTGTCTTCACATAGTGGCGAAGATGCCGCTGCAGTCGTACCCCGCAGCGAACCCCTCACCCGTGCTGACTTTCGTTCACTCGAGGCTCATGCAGTCCAACAGCAGTCAGAACCAGATACATGGGCATCAGGCTGGGACCTGTCCTATGTTCTCTCCAGAAAGAGCGAAGGAAGCATCCGTTCATTCCGATCAACCGCTCAGCTTTCCTTCCTCGCACCAGCCCGCAACAGCGCCGGCGCCGCCGAGCTCTCGCGTTTATCTAATATGTGGAATGGCGGGCGTCGTACCAGCACCGGCACACTGCAAACGACCAATAGCGGGGAAGACACCTTTCTCAAGCATGTCGGCATGTACGACCCACAAAACCAGTGGAGCTTTATGAAGGAAAAGGCAGATGCACAGCCCGTCCCTACTATACGCCGTCCGAATGCTCCAGGTACTCCGATAAATATGGACAAGGCAAAGCGCACCATGTACCCTGGCACCCAAGAAATATGGAGGAGCGGCCACGTCGGTCGATATAGAGTCGATAGACTCACCTTCAAACGTGCGTCACAGTATCTCTCTAATTTTACGTACTCACATCTCTCTAGCAGCGTCAACCGCAGACCCCGCCAAAGCAGCCCAGCAACGTATCAATGTCAGACACATCCCGGACCCGTTCCTTAAGGGCCCCAAGAACGGACCGAGCACCGTCATCCACAAACATTCTCGCGCGACTGCATTCTCAATATTTCGTTCCTATACGCTTTTCACAGCTAAACGCGCCGGGACTGGATCTCGCAATATCCACATGCACACAAGCGGGGGCATCATGCTCGCACCGAAGAAAGTGCAGGAACAATACACGAGCACGAAAACGACAAGCAAACTCAGCACGCACGGCTTGCTCGAGGATGGATCGCGGAAGCCTATTGGGAACGGTGATAAATCACGTCGTGGGGCGTTTGAGAAGGACAAGCGGCGGGAGAAGGAAAAGGAAGATGCAAAGAAGGCAAAGACGAAAGCAAAGGAAAAGAAGAAGGACAAGAAGAATGAGCGGATGAGTAATCCAACGGAAAGTACAGAGTCGAGCACTGCGACGAGTAGCACTGGGAGTATCAGTGGGTCACAGATCATGCCCGCTCCCGCCCGACCCACGATGTCCAAGATCACATTCGCGCCTTCGATCATGTCCCCTAGGTCTCCTACAAAACTCCAATCAACGAGTGGACCATCTTCACCAGAAACATCATCAACGCTTGACCACTCCTCCAAGAAACTCCTCCAATCCGATTCCTCGACATCCGTCGTGAGCCACATCCGCGGACACCGCGACAGCATCGATTCCGACGAACATCTCCCTACACGTACCCCCCACGCCGAAGCCTTCGGAACGCTCGATCCCAACGATATCGAGCACCTGCGCAGAGCGCAAAAACCCTCCGATGGCAGCAGTTCGTTCGCAAACCGTATATTCCGACGATTCCGCGGCACATCCTCCCGAGCAGACACTAACGCCCTCGCAGCCGTGACTCCCCAAAACGCCTACAGCCCTCCATGGATCGTCACCGCCGGACGAGACCAGAACGAAGAACACGTGCGCGTGCTTACAGATCTGAATAATTCCTTCCGGGATGTTGGGCTGCTGCATACTCAGCCTCATCATAAAGTGGGGGTGAAGAGTGTTGCGAAGAAGAGGGCGGCGCATGATATTTTTGATTATGTCCCTGAGGATTCGCTTTACATGCTGTTGCCGCTGTGGGCGGGGGAGACGGATCCGGGGAGTGGGGGGGCTGCAAGTAGCAGCATCAGTGCGAGTATCAGCGACGCTAGCACTGCCGCTACAACCGCTAGCACTGCCACGAGCGCGACGCTCCCCACGATCCCTGAAGACCGACAATATCTCCTCGTCTGGTACGTCCCCTTCGAAGACAAGAACAAAAACCCCTCCACCGCCAAGAAAAAACCGAAACAAACGCATTCCACCTCCGATCCCAACGCCGAAGCTAATCAAAAAAACGTGTTTCTCAGTAATTTCCGGGTGAATGCGAGGTTGGTGGGGTATGATGATTTGAGGGGGTCGGGGATTAGGTTGCCGAGTGATGGGTTGGCTGTTGGTGTGCCTGCTTGGGAGGTCAATGGGATTGGTGGAGGGCAGCGGGATCGGGAGGGACAATCACCAGAACCGCAACTAGGACAACAACAGGGGACAGCACTAGCACTGGACCCCCAACTCCCGGAAACGGTGATATGCATGTGCAGCAGCCGCGACAACGGCTTCCTCTTCCAACCCGAGGGGTTGACAAAGCTTGGGTTGTGTCTCCAAGAAGAGGTGGCGTTGCCTGCTGCTTCTAACCCTCTAACTGTGTATTTCAGTGAGATGGAGACGTCTGAGATGAAGCATTCGTTGACGCCTGTTGGGAGGGCTGCTGTTGAGATGGTTTGGTTGGGGTGTTTGGCTATCACCAGTTTTGGGCCTTATCAATGAGGGGAGGTGTGGTGTTGAGTCGTGCGTTATGTTTTTTCTTCGTCTTTTCTTTTTTTTCACTCATGTTCACTACAGGGGCTGGAGATTATCGTAATCGATATCTTATTTATCTCTCCCTCTCCCTTTACCCTTTGCATCTTTCCTAGTCCATTCTATCTTAGTCCTTTCCGATCTGAATCCTCAGTCCTGATTTCTTTTGATCATCCTTTCAAACTGTCTCCATATACAATCCCACCGCATCATCATATCATGATTTGTTTCTAGATTTTTTAGTTGTATACTATCATACTAGCTATGGCTGCGCATTTGGATTCAGGTTTTGTTTCTTGAGTGCATACATTTTATACTGATATTTTTTATTGCCGTGGCGCTAGTACTAGTACTTACTGTGACGGTGATGGAGATGGAGATTGTTTGCGATGCAGGAGGAGGTTGTCTGCCGCAGTGCTGGAGTCTGAGCTGGAGCTTATTTGCGGTGCTGGAGGTCATCTACAGACTGCCTTACTGGAGCCTGGGAGGTTGTCTGCAATACCACACTTTCGATATCGATGATGCGTTTAATCATTTTGTATACGTACTTGCAGGTTTTTTTTTTGTATGCATGGAATGGAATCACTGCGTTTAACGCGTGATTTGACAAAGTTGCACAAATCCACCAAAATAAACCTAGTTTACCTTAGTCATAGCCCTCGACAACATGCCTTCAACGCTGCTTCGTCTCTACACAGCTAACCTTGAATAGACAACCAGCGCCGACCAATTCACACCCCATGACTAGACGGCTGTATCAAAATGTAACTACATGTGACAACCCTCGGAATATATAGCGAGTTTCACTCACTATCTGCGAGATATTTGTGCCATATGACCACCCGAAAATTGCTGGTATGATCTCACATATGGATAGGGCGTTTAACGCCAGGGCTGAGGGTTTCGTCGCAAATATTTGCCCAAGTCCGTTCGGTTTGTTGACTGACTTGTTCTTTGACTACCACCACATCAACGAAGACTCGGAAAACCTGAACGTATGGCCAGAAACGAGGTGAGGACCATTTTATGACATGGGGTTTCAGTTACTGATCATCATTTGACATTAACTAGGCTGTCAATAAAAGTACTCTATCAAATCGTCGTGAGGTGCCATGTAAATGCGATGTGTGCCTTGCAAAAGATCCAAATGGCCAACTGGTATCGACGGCAGCCTTTCAACAACACCAGCGTGACCAGAGCATCAACCGATCTGCTCTGGCTCAGCGTGCACGCGGGGGATCAGCTCGAGGAGCAACTCGCGCTTTCACTAGAGCACCTATCTTCCAGCGTGGGCGTGGTCTCTCGCGGCCACCAGTCTCAGCTCCTGCAGTCCGTGTACTGCCTTCCACTTCCACTGGTCAAGCACCGTCGACTGGCCAAGCATCAGGAACTTCTGGACCATCTCGAGCGGGCTGCAGTCTCCCCAGAAACCTCTGGTCATTTGAGTAAGTTCTGAACCTCAATATTTGTACGCGATTTTTGATGATTGTCTCAGCGATGATAAAGAGGACTTTTCTATGGACATAGATGCCAGCATGGACTCGCATTTGCCTGACTTTGAGCCTGCAGAATTGGTTGTCGCTGCCACATCTTCTCACCTTCCGCCAGCCCCTCAAGATTCCCATATTAACTCAACCCCGTCTGTCATTCTTCCATCGTGTCTTCCTCCTGCAGCCATGACATCGAGCCTCTCTCAACAAGCACCATCACCTATGCAGTCAGATGACAGACGACTTACTTCGCCTGAGCCTCTCATACAGTCTCCACCAAAGCGCAGGAGAATGATGTCTATGCAGCCCACTATAGCTCTCGATGCCGAGTCTACCTTCGTCGCAGCTCGTGATGCAAGACCAGCATCTCCGGTTCGACAAATGACTGAGCAACGTGATCTCGGTCTTTATGATGATCCCGACGACTTTGATGACATTCATAATGATCCCCTCTCACACAACTCTGCCTTTGACGGTGATGAAGATGAGGGGGTTGATATAATAGTGCCCCCTGCAGGCATTCAGGTTTCCCATGATGAAGACACCGGTGTGAATCACGAGCGCCCTACATCGTACCCACCTCCTCAACCACTACGTGACATTTACCTAGGGTGTCATGAGACATGGTGGGCACGGGTCATCATCGCTCTCGTTGCGTTCCTGCACACAAAGCACCGGCTGTCATTCCGTGGTTGTGCGCTGCTCCTTTTTTGTCTAAACACGATCTTCACGACTCTGGCTCTCCTTCCGAGCACCCAAAACCTTCCATTGACACTTAATACTGTCATTCACAGGCTCGATCTTGACGACCGGTTTACAATTCACCCAGCATGCAAGAGCTGCCATCGGATTTTCTCTACTAATATTGATATTGATTCATCATGTCCAGATTGCAACACCAAACTATTTAAGCCTGTCTCGGATAACGTGTTCCAACGGATAACGGGTCGCCGACCCAAGCGCCCACCTCCAGTCTGTGCTACACCCATACACCTACCCTCATCACTTCTAGTCGACTTTCTCGCACGTGCGGAAATCGAGAAGGCATGCGATTCATGGAAACAACGAGCTCGTGTTCCCGGGAAAATAAATGATATTTCTGAAGGGCGTGTTTGGTCCTCTCTCAAAGACAAGGAAGGAAACCCTTTTTTCTCCAGGGACTCGACGTCTGAGGAGTTGCACCTCGGAATAACTATGAGCCTTGATTGGTGAGTGACCTTATGTTTTCGACGTAGACTGATCAGCATCGTCTGTAGGTTCACTCGCAAGACGAGTGTTTATGGCCCCAGTCACTCGTCCGGTGTCATGTCAATGTGTGTTTCCAACCTTCCTCGTGCACTCAGGTATGTGTCGAATAACCGTCTTCAACATCTGCTCAATTTCTACTATGAGACAGGTACCGCGCTGAAAACCTACTTGTGGGGTTTATGACTCCCGGGCCCACGGAACCATCAGGAGCGCAGCTCCAGAATTATATGAAGTTAATTGTTGATGATCTTTTGAACTTGTACGACAACGGAGTGGTGTACTATACACCAGCATTTCCCCAAGGTGCGTGGCGGGGCCTTGGTCTATCATCTTGCATTGTCTCACTGGCATCTTTTTAGGTCGCCGTGTTCGTGTGGCCTTGCTAGCTGTTGTTTGCGATCACCCAGCCATGTGTAAAATGGGAGGTTTCGCAGATCACAGCCACAATGAGGCACCATGCAACAAATGTCACGTCGATCAGGCATCGATTTTTTCGGACGAATCTCTTCGAAATCGTAAGGCTTTCTTATCTAATCCTAACACTTATTTTAACCTCTTCTACCCAGAGTTTCCTCCTCGAACGAGTGAGGATCACCGCCGGAATTGTTTTAAAGAACGTTCCTTGGAAACAGACGAAGAGCGTGATGAGTTCTTCAAGACGCATGGCGCACGATGGACCGAACTCGCCCGACTTCCATACTTTGACCTCGTGCGCTGTATGATTATCGACCCTATGCACAACCTATTTCTTGGTTTGTTTTTAACGTCGTTTAGGGTTGTTCTTACTGATCCAAATGGATTTCTAGGGATCGTGAAAACTCTTTGGTACTCTCAATGGATTCAGACTTCGGCACTACGAAAATCTACTGATAAGAGGGCACGAGAGCTAGATGTCATACATAGGTTCCTGGCAACGGTACGTACTTCCTTAACCTGCGCTTCGATGACCTCATCACAGAGTTAGTTTGAGGTCCCTCTCTGGGCTGGTAAACTGCCCTCTCGAGTAGGTGAACCTGCTGGTGGTTCCCTGTCAGCGGATGAGTACAAACTCGCAGCCACATATACGTGGCCGATTATCGTGAGTTCTGTTCACTTTCAAGCTAACATCTTATGGGTTTGTTTTTGGAAGATCCCGATAGTCTGGGAAACGTACCTGGCGGAAGCAACGGAGGACTATAACAACGCGAAGAAACGATTTCCGAAGGCTCAGGAGGCACACAACAAGAAGCTCGATGAGTGGAAAGCTCGGAAAGCTGGTGCAAGCTCCACGCACGCTTCGAAGAAACGGAAGGCTGATGCCGAGCCGAAGCCACCAAAAGACCCCCATCCACGCTTGCACCCCGACGAACCTATCAACCTCCTTCGCCTTTCAACAGCGCTGAAGATCTTTTGCGGAAGTTCCGTCAGCGAGGACCTTCTCCCACGAGCATCAACCCTTTTCCAAGACTTCCTGTTCGAATATCGACGAGTACGTCTACTTTCCTACCCACACTTAATATACTAACTCATATCAAACTATCATACAGCTTTATGGTGCTAAGGCTATGAAGCCAAACTTCCACTGGGCCGTCCATATCGAGGAGCAGATTCGAGATTTCGGACCCGTTTATAACTTCTGGACCTTCCTTTCCGAACGACTCAACAAACTCCTCAAGAGTTCTAACTCAAATAACTGGACTACAGGCGGGCAGCTGGAAATCTCAATGATGCGAGAATTCACCCGAGGGATGCGGATGGATGCACTTGTACGTATGCCGCTACCCGCTCTAAAACAGACTGAACAATATCGACTCCTCAGGCTCGTACGGTCCTCGATCAATCAAATATTTCAATCGAAAAGGTAATTTTCCAGAATATCCTAGGGGAAAGGGAGGAAGCAGTTGGTACCGTGCAGGATGCGAGTGCGGAAGAGGACATTATAAATGATGGTATGTTCCGCTTCTCATTAAAGTTATCTTACTCACGTCAGATATAGATTTACAAGGGTTTATGCATGTCCAAGTTGGACCAGCGACATCAAGAAATCAGGAACTGCTAACGGATTCTGCTCGCCTTGCGCTGCTCACGGCCTACAACAAAGCTCAACCTCGTGTCCATTTTCTGCTTGATCGGAACCCTCCTCCGCGCACAGTTCCTCTTCACGATCATGCTGTTTTTTATCGTTATGCAATTCTCGATGGTCGTCGTATCACTCCTACATCACAAAGCAAGCGTGATTCTTCAGGCTCGTCTCTCGTTAAGGTCAAGTGGGACGGAGAAGCATGGTATGGTGAGGTTGTTCGCATTTTTCAGCATCCACAACCTGGGCTATCAGATCCTGCAACAGAACGTCTGCTTGCAGAATTCCGTTGGATGAAGGAGGTTCCGCTCTCGCCAGTTGCTGATGACCCTTGGAGTGATTTGTGAGTATGTTGTTTATTTTTGTTATATATACCGCTCATCCTTAGTACTTCAAAGCCCTGAACTAGATGTTATGTGTTTTAAACTCAATGAATATTGGTCTCCCAATGAGCAGCCCTCTCCCCCTGCCGTCCTTCCCTTTGATCAAATCCTGTGTCAGATTGCCAGAGGTGTCGTTGAGTCATCTATCCCTCCTTTATGGATCACAACATCACTCGATCGTGTCAGTGGATTTTTACTTGATCTCTGAAGATGTTTCGAAGTCTAATAATATACACAGCATCTGTCATAGAGCGAGTCCGTGAGCTCTCAGTCTATAGTCTATTGATCCTGCATTTGAAGGTGCGCGTCCAGCCAAGTCCCAAGAAATGTTACCTCGTGCAATGACTATGCTAGTGTCCCACTCGTCATGTCCGCTTGATCACCATCGCTTCCCTCAATCGCTGCCCTCAATACCTCGCACCTCCGAGTCATCAGCAGCTTCAGGACCCTCACCTAGACTCGAGGCTACGTTTCGCCAGCTCAACTTCACCAACCACATCACGAAGCCGGATGACGATGGTGTGCTGTGATCGACTCTGAAGACTACCACCGCTTCATGGTAGCTGTCATGAAGACGATGTTTTGGTGAGTTCCTATGTGTTTCAACACCGTGAACGCTACGAAGACCTTTTCCCAGCTGTTGAAAGTCCCTCAACCGAGTGTATCAGTACCCAATTCAGTCTACAAGCCTTGCGACGCCGTGGACGACGCTGACTTCAAGGTGCTTTGGCAGAGACGTTTACGAGCATACCATTTCCATCCAGCCCGATGATGCATCCGCAGAGCCCACCCGAGTTTCTCTCAAATCCATCTCTTCAGGCCACTTCAACATAGCTCGTGTCACAGCGCCCTACTCCTTCCCTTCCTGCGTCACGCGTGATGAACACCATGGAACGCCTACACGTGTTCTCAGCGTCAGGAACCAAGACTACGTTGGCTGTCGCAGAGTCCAACGTACAGCCCGTGCGATGCCAAGTTACTGTGTGTGGTGATATCCACGGTCAATTTGTGCGTTCCTGTTTATTCTTGTAATCTGGACCGCTGATCTTGCTCTTAGTCTATAGTCTATCAATCTGGCATTTGAAGGTGCGTGTTCGGCCTTGTCCCAAGAAATGAAATGTGATCTCCGCCGTCAATACCAGTCATCAGCAGCTCCGTCTCCATCACCTGTATGGTCACCCTCACTCGTGCCATTGTCCTCAGCTCCCACATTGACATCCCCTTCAGCTTCACGTGCAGCATCAACATCCCCCTCAATTTCTGGTCCCTCACCTGCAGCATCACGATCACGTTCGGCTTCGAAGCCAGTTGGATTCCCGTATTTCCCCCAGTCCTTGAGACGTTCTTCAAGGAGACGCTCCTTTCGCGCTTCAGTGAGCCACTCGAGATCGATTCCGAAGTCGTATGGTGATACCTTCGGGATGTCGGCGTCAGTAGAGCATCGCATGGAACCTCTCACTTGGATCGAGAACTTCTCGCGTTCCTTGGCACTCTTGCCGGTCCACCAAATATTGCGTAAGTTCTCAAAAACTTTGCTTTGCTAACAAACTAATGAGTTAAATAATAAAGAAATCAAGTTCAAGACATACTGCAAGACTCCTCCACTGCGGGTGGATGACTTCAAGCAGTTTAAGGTGTGATGTTGGTGTCTCGGGACCAAATCCTGCTAAGGTTGCCATTCGACGCTTCCAGTCATCGTACGTCTCTGACTCGTCCGCGTCCTCGGGTCCAGATGCTTCATCTGACATGTGGTCAGGGATGATAAGCGGAGATGGGTCTATGCCACCATTCTGTGCCTTGTATTCTTCAATGACGACATTGGATAGCAAATTTCCTGCTTTCTGTATGCCGAAGTTGTCAGTCAATTTGACATGCAACAGTAAGCCCTTTCTTGACCTCCTTGCGACGGTTGGACCACCAAGTTGTGCGCTGATTAATCTCGAGTGCAGTTCCACGCTCGGGATCTGTCTCCGCTCTCGATTTCGACTTGAATCCTCTGAATGTTTCCTTGGCAAAATGAACGAGCGTGGATTTATTCCATCGGATCTTCTTCATTTTGAGGAACTTCGGCCAGTCGTCTTTGTCTTTCTGTTCTCGCAGCATGGTCAAGTGAGTCTTCAATGTCACATGGACAGGTACTTACTTGCATTTCGCTCCAGGTGATGTTGGCTACCTTGTGGAATATCTCAATGTTTGTAGGGTCCTGCACATCACTCGCGAAATCTGGTGTGTAGTAAACCTCGCCTGTATCTGCATTTTGACGTTCTCCTTCAGATGGTGATGGCCATTTGTCTTTTGCCTTGACGCCGCATATCCTCCGAAACGTTATCGTGATTTGCGCCTGTAAGGATGTGAGTTTTCTGAATGCTTGCACTTCGTAGGCTTACCTTTAAGTATTTCCTTGCGTCTTTGCCATCTTTTGAGAGCAGGTTCTTGGGCTTTGACACATCTTCACGAGTTTCATCCTCGTCTTCATCTTCGTCTGCCATGCCATCATGTTCTGCTTCTGTCCTGCGGTACACTCCCCGTCGTCTGGCAACAGCAGTACCCCCTCTCCCGAACCGTGCAGTAGAAGCACTGGCATGTCGGCTGGGTCGTGTTGCACCAGAACCTTCAAGTGCATCAAGTCGATCACGATCTTCGAGTTGGTCATCTCGAATACTGCGAACAAGGTCTGTGAGTTCGGCCAAGTCCGACAGCTCTGGTGGCTCAGAGGTTCGTTGTACACTGCTTGACAGTGGCCTAGATAAACTATCATCAGATTCTGACCCTGAACGTCGATGGTAGGATTCGCGTGACTGCGTGCCAGAGCGGCTGCGAGATCTTGGCCTCCTGGCATTCCTGCTCCGTACAAGGGGTGACCCAGATCGACTCTCGCGCTGCCGTCGGCCATTACTGCAGAGTATATGTGAGCCTGTAGGTGCATATATGCACAGTGTTTACTTACCTTTGCCTTACAGTGCCTCTTCCATCATTTCCTCGCCGGCCTCGAGCGTCTCGACATGCCACAACTCCTGCCCGATGTGCCCCATTTGATTGGGCAAGGAGCACAGGGTCGATCGAAGAATCGGGTATCGGTGGAGGCTGTGAGGCAGCATCTTTCCAGATCTGAAGCTGGGCTGGTTGTGGGATTTGGAGCCAACGTTGAGGGTCGTAGCCTGTTGGACATGGTAAGCCAGACATGCTGGATTGAGGGGCTCAGACGATGAGGATAGCGGATGATGGGCAGAGCTTATTTGACGCGTCGAGGGGGTGTAGCATATATGCGCGCCACGTGATTGTATTACTCTATCAAATCAGTATCCGTTTTGATCAGTATCACATGGCTTGTTTGACCTGGGTCTAGGTCACCTAAGACTGGCTAGCTATCACATAAAACGGCCACAAAATCGGAGCAAAACAAAGGTTGTACTGATGGACTTCATACATATAGTTTAGCCTTGGACTACATCACTTTGCCACAGCCAGCTAGATGTTCGAGCAAGTCAATTTGTTGTCATTTAGATAGTTCATAGTTATAGAGTTAGCCGTACATAGCTAATATGCGAGACACTGGACTTGTCATGGGTTCAAGCTGATGCAACGTGACCATGTTCTCACATTTTTTCATACTACAAATACTCGCTGGCTACACCCAGTGAATGTTTAAATTTGTATGTTTTCATGTCCCCGTGGGAATCTCACCAGATATCACGTCTGCACCACGCGCGCGAAGACGAACATGACCTTGTTTTTTCCACAACGTTGGAACTTGGAACAAAAATCCAGTAACTTTCATGTCTTGTTCATGCATCCAACTTGCGTCGCGTCGCCGCAGCTGAGCGCTGAAGTTTCAGATCCATCATCGTGCGCCAATCTGAGATAACGCAGCCTTCATCTTCCTGGACCGAGGCTGGCAGCGCTTGAGCACTCAACTCGTGTCGAAGCAATGTAGGTATTCGCGATCGCCCAGGACGTCTAAAATGCTAAATTGCTAATGATGATACAAATGCATAATGCAGAATGCAAAAAAAAATCTGAACTCTATGGTGAGCGCTCCTGTCCGATTACTCTAAACAACAACATTTATCGGATAATGATTTTGATCAGATCTCCACCTCTAAATTCGACCGAATTCCCAATCCTCCAGTAGGCAGCACATCTTCGTTTGGAGGTCCGATTGTCTAAACTCCCAGCTGATCTCAAAATGGTGTCGTAGATGGCGAAGACAATCCCACACCCAGGTCTGGGAGTTCCATGCGGGGTCGTGACGTATGATAGGGACGCTTGCGAGGTGCCTCTCGAACAGGGCCAGTTGATGCGCGGCCACTCTTCCTATGGTAAAGCTTCCGCGCCAGCCATCGGATTTGGCGTGTGGCTGGTTGCGTCTGAAGTCCATGGTGTAGGTATCGGTATTTCCTAGGATGTGGTACATGTTTCCGATACCAGGACCGGTTGGGATAAAGATAGCCCAGTGAAGGGGATGAGGCTGAAGATACTCTTGCTGGCCTTGCCAGAACTGCACGACTTCGATGTTGCAGTACGTAGTTGGGGCAGGCATATTATTATCAGAAGCCTGAGGTGGCTATGGCACTCGGTTAGTTGCAGTTCGCTGAGTTTTTTATTCGATGTGCTCACTGAGGGTGCAGACGACAGAGATATGAGGGACGGGTGGGTTTGAGGTTTGAGCTCATCGATAACCTGGATTTATATCCAAGTCGTGATGGATCTTTGTTTCGGGAACAACTTCGAAGTGTGGATGCGACACTGAATGCGACATCTCCGCTGTTGCTTGAAGAGAGTATGGTGTGCTTTGGGTGGACTACTCATTGCTTTCCGGATCGAGCCACATTCGTCCATTCAAACGCGGGTGGATGCTCCCAGCGTCCACTACGCTTAAGCAGTAAGCTTTGGTTTGACTCTATTCATTGTTGACGATTATCGCGTGGTGTATCGCATCAAAGATTAACGTGATTCATTGTATAGCGCGCAAGTGTTCTTCTGGAATTGATCCTCGTGCGGTGGCTCGGTGGAGTTCTTTATAATTACATTGTTATGTTTCGTTAATCAATCACTTGAATCAAGGGGATCAAACCACTCAGATCATCATTTGGAGAGTAACGGTGGAACTCTTAACCATGACGTTCCATCAGACGACTGAGGCTACACGGTCACCACGATCTACTACGCTTGCCAACAACACATGCCAAAATATCGTTGTACACTAGTCTTCTTAATGTACAGTCATAGAATGTGCAGGTCGGTTCTACACGCATTAATACCATATCGTCCGAAGGCAAAATCTACCTGAACAGCGTAGTATACATAGTATACATGAAATGAAGTGAAAGGATCAGTTCGCCCCACAGATGGATAGTTCTCTCATTTCCTGCAAGACTGCCTCGACCTGACCACGACCAGTGAGAACAAAACATATACGTAACAGCTGATCATACCTGTGCATCCAGCTGACCTGCAGCATAATCATCTCGCACATTGTCCGCAAAATACCTGATCATATCATAAGTCAGATTCAACACATCACGCCCCAACCCCAAAACTCACCTTTGTACAGCACTCATCTTCTCATATCCCTCCTCAGCAAACTTACATTGCATGCGAATCATAGCCTCGAAACTGGGATCAAAATATGGTATGCGCAGATCCAAGAGCTGTGGGAGCTCTGAGATGAGTTGGTCGTTCATGAGCTCGAAAACCTCTTTGGCATCGTCGTGTTCTTGTTGTGCTTTTGGAAGCTTTGTAGGGTCTTCACTTGGCTTCTCGATCACCTTTCGTAGTTTGCTGCGTGCGGCATCGTAGTCCAGGAGCTGAATCACCAGTGAGTCAAATCGCTCGGGGCCGTCGATCGATAGTAGGAAGCATCACCTTCTTGTTCCGTTTCGTGATATGTTCGTTCACAATGGGGAAGTAAGCGTTCATCTTTCCGAGGGGCTCCATGATGGTTGTACGATAAGGAGCGTCCTGTAGGAGATAATGAATAAATGGAATCAACAGAAGCAAGAATCACATACGAGTTCCCTTTGAATGCCTCCATCAAGCTCCTCCACAGCGCTCTTGAAGGCGTGACTCGCCATAGCTCCATCCGATGTACGATCTGCAGCGCCATAGAACGTCTCGACGGTCTCAGCCAAACGTGCCTGTGTGGTTGTCATCGCTGCGGCACCGTTTCAGCATCGTACATGTCATAGCGAGAGCAGATAACTCACAGCGCATGGCATCCTGATATTGCTTGGCGTCCCTCTGCAACACCTGACACTCCTTCTCGAAGCTGGGCCAAGTCAAACGACAAGGAGGAGACGGACTGCAGATGCACGTACGCTCTGTACTTGGACTCCTCGTCTGCAAATTCACGGTCTACTGTGCGTTCGATCTGCCCGGTCTTTTGCAAGACCTATGGGGTTGAAACGAATCATTGATATGCTCCACGTAGGATCGAAGATGTGTTCCTACCGTTGTACCCGCCCTATTCAATGACTTTTTGAACCTAGTGGATATTAGACTTCAGTGAGCTATCTCAAAGTGGGAGACAGACCCTGTCCAGCTCATGGTACTTTGGTGGTATCACCTCGAAGAGGTTGTTGGAAGAATCACAAGTGTTGATCAAATTGGAGACTCCGTGCGCCGTCCTCATAATGGCTTACGTAAATCACACATGATCAATGAATTAATGACTCTTTGCACTTTGTGGGCGGTAAACATGAAGAAAAAGGCATATAGCACAGAGAACATGAGACCACTGCAGGACATGAAGGAATAAACTCGAGAAAAAATATCAAACCTTTACAAAAACCAGCTCTTCACCCTATTTCGCGATGCGTTCCTCCAAGGGCCTCTGTTGTAATGGTTGTTGTCCTCGACCTCGGCCACTGGCACCACCTCTTCCTCTCCCAGCGTCACCTCTTCCGCGCCCCCTGCCGCGGACAGTGTTTCCACGTCCTCCTGGAGTCTAGAAAGTTGTTAGCTCCTTACTTCGGGTCCTACGCAGAAAACCTACTGAAATCCGCCCTAGAAGGGAGGGTTCATCGCCACGGGGATCGCGCTCTTCACGGCGAGCAGGACGCTCTTCCATGTTGTATCCCGCATCTGAGGTACGCCGGAGATCCGCGGTGTTGGTGTAATCCGGTCTATAACTGCCCTCATTCCGCCCACGCCTTTCAAGCGTATCTCTCTCAATGTGTGGCCTAGTTTGACGTGATGACGAGGGTGACCGTAATCGATCGTGAATTGAGCCGCGCGGATTCGGCGAGGTAGAACGACCCCTCCGCCACTCTGTTGCTGTAGCAGGGGAGCGACGAGTAAGTCCACGAGGATTCCGATAGTCTCGCCCTGGTGCATAGTGATCGCCTCTTGGTCGACGGCGATCACGATTGTCATCTTCGTTATCGTGTTCTGCTGCCCTCTTCCTGCCGCTATGCATGGGCGACATTGGACGGGGAGGAAGAGCAGAACCGTAAGCTCCGGCCTCATTCTTTTCAAAGTGCCGAGGATGAGACGATGTTGCAGATGTTGGAGGGGGAGTGTAATGGTCCGAATGACGGGGAACACCTCGCTGATGCTGTCTACGAGACTCGCCGCTACCACCATTACTGCGGGTAAACCCCGGGGGTTCTGGGGATCTCGTTCGTCCACTGGTATGAGAATTTTGCTGATAGTGCTGGTTGGGATCATAACGAGAGGCAGATTCCGATGGTTCAGAATAAGAATAAGGGGAGATGGGATCTGTAGTCCATTCCTGACGAACCACAGAGGCATCCATGATCCAGGGATCTGGGCTGTTTCGTATTGGTGCGAGCCCTGACATGGACACTGATGTACCTGCTGAACCAACTCGAGCATCAGCACGCAAAGTTGAATTTGGCGCTTTAATGACGAGTTCGGCAGAAGTCTGACGGGCTTCGTTCGAGTGAGATGCATTGGTGTTTGAAATGGCCTGAGGGGACGACGGATTGTGGTTTTGAATGAGAACCACGGCATCCGTAGATCGCGCGGATGCTCCCTCAGGGTGGCTGCTACTCCGTTCTTGATCATGTGACTCCCTGACCGACACTTCTTCCGTTTTGATCGTCTTCATAGGGAGTACATCAACAGGTAGCTTCACACTCCGGTCTCCAGCAGCATTCTCCTCAACGCGGTGTCTGTTCTTCTTGATGTGTCGCAAATTTGCATCTCGGTGAGCCGGTGAGAGAGTCGCCTCGGGACCGAGAGTCCATTCGATACATTCATTGATATCGCTAGCGAGGATGGTGCGTGACTTTGGAGTGCTGGGTAACGCAATCTTTTTGGAAGTCGGAAGTGATCCATTTGATGGGGGGGAGACGGACAAATGCAACTCAGAAGCCATTTGAGTTGGATGAAAAGGTGCATCCGTGTCCACCTGTCTCCCGACGTCAGTGGAAGCCGACACAAACGAAGGTGTCTTATAGGAGGTTGGGGCAGCTGATGATGTTACGGGTGTCGACATTGAGGATGAAGGGGAACCCTCTGAGAGACGAGATGCAGTGGTTGACGGCGCACCAAGCATGACTTTGCCCGATGTTCCCTGAGAACTAGAGGTCTTCTTTGTCGGCGAGGCGGGCTTCCGTGAAGCAGCACCTTTTTGACCCGGCAATGGCACAGTATGTTCGAGCGGCGATGCTAATTCATCGACGTCTATCTCCGCATCCATATCTTCCGGGCCATCACCATCTGTCGTAGGGACCACAATGTGTCCGGCACGCTCAGCGCGGATGCGAGCAGCATTTTCCGAGGTAGTCTGCTGTCTGTTCGCAAGCACTTGAGCGCGACGCCTGTTATATTCAGCCTGCGTATCGACTTGGGTTTTCTGCGACTGTATATCTGCATGTGCTGACTGCTGAGAAAGGATCTCTTTGCGCCGCAGCTGTTCTTCGTCAACCCATTTGACAGCCTGTTCAGCCAGGACTCTCTGCCTCTCTGCCTCTTCCGCAACTCGGCAACGCTCTGCTTCGGCGGCCTGCAAACGCGTCACCTTCATATGTTGGATAGTTTCGAAAGATTGACGAGTCCAAGTGATTTGCTTTTTCAGCTTCCCGACCAACTTGGCTCGATGAACCAAAGACCTGTTATGGGCGTCGACGGCCTTGATCTCTTCTTCATTCATTCCATCCTCCTTCTCGATACAAGGCTCGATATCAGCAGAAAGCTGGAGTGGCAGTGCGTCGTTTTGAGCCAGAGTCCTTTCTTGCTCTTTTTCTTCGTGCCACTGTGTCTTCACGGCCTTTGCTTGTTCGATAACGTTCATCGTGTCAGAAATCTCTTTCTGGAGGGCCACCCGTCTTGACTCGTCCTCAAGATTTCGCTGGTCATCTCGCGCACGGCGCTGAGCATCTCGAGCGCGCCTCGTCTCCTCTCGGAGTCGTGATTCCTCCTCCAGCGCCACGAGTCTCCTCTCCCTGGCGCGCAACTCCTCCATTTGCTTGTGTATTGCTTGCGTCTGTGCCTGACATTCCGCCTCCCTCGCGAGCATGCGTTCCTCGAAAGCTTTTCGGCGTTCGTCGAATGCCGTACGTTCTGCCTCAAACACTCGGTCCGCATCACGCTGCAATTTGACAGCACCTTCGGCGACGGCTTTGAGCTTATTCACGGTTTCGACAAATGATTCAATGTGGGTGCTCCGCGAAGCTGACATATTTGGAGTTTTCGAGCTTGTCAGAGCAAGTGCGTTGCCATCATTGGCCGATAATTCTTGATCCGTGGGACCATTTGATGCGGACTTGCTCTGAGGATACGGATGTCGAAGTACAATGGTGCTAAGCTCCGCAGCATTCGTGTCACTGCGAAGGCCATCAGCTAACTGGGATATATTCAGAGGCGCTGAAAATGGGGACGGGGTTCTGAAAAGCGACGTAGGAAGGGCAAATGATGCTAAAGCATTGCTCTTTTCTCGAAGTTGGGCATAAATAGCGGACGATGGGTCTTGTGCGACTTGCTGTTGAGGTGCTTTAGGCTGCGCAACATCTGGAACCTGGCTTGAATTGATCCTGGACATTTGAAGATTCGGAGAACGATATGCTGATAGCGTCGACGAGATTGGACTTGGAGTTGGTTGAGGAAGGAGCCCCGAGGAAGAATTTAGTTTGGGCGACCCAGAAAGATTGGACGATGTCGAAATGCCACTATTGGAATGTGGAGTGGTAGGAGTTACAAGTGATGGGGCGGGATAGACAAGCTCGGGTGTTAATGCCTGTCTGACTGTGTTGGGGTCAGCATTTGCAGCCTGTATTTGCGATGTGTTTGACTCGGAAGGAATCGGGAGAACCTCGATTGGAGGAATTAGATTGCCTGACGAAACGAAAGGGTTTGCGGGAACGTGACGGTTGCGATTTATTCGCGGTTCCTTTGTTGGGTGAAAACTTTGGGGTTTCGCTGACGGGTTGATCTGTGAAGGACCTGCCTGAATCCGCTCTGCTAGCGTTCGAGAGTTTGGAGCTGGGGCACGAGTGGCCACTGGGGGTGGGGGATACAACGTCACTGGTGAAAGAGAACGAAAGGACATCTGGCCCGGATCAGGCGCAGAAATGCGGCTGAGTAAACCGGGCGGTTTTCCGATGGTATCGAATTGGATATCTGTAAAACTAGGTGGTGGTTGGTGAACAGGGGCCGGCATACGGACTCCATTGCCAGTCTGCGCTGAATCAGGTGCGAGCCCGGTAGTTAAAAGATGAGAAGGTGAGCCGAAAATGGACTCGGGCATGATGTTGTATGCAGAATTGAGAATGATCAGTTGGTACGATTATGCCTGCAGCACTGATATACCGATGGGAAGAGCTTGAAGAGATAAACTGGGCGTACTTATATGAAAGAAAATGCAGTCGTGTCGCTGGTAGACAAAGGTGGTGACTAGTTTGAAATGCTCTCAATGATTCGAGTTGGTCAAAGAAAAGTATTCAGACCAAATGGTTATGAGACAAAGGACTTGAAATTACATACCGACTTTGTCGTGCTACTATATCTTTCGGCAAAACCCGTGACAAAGGGGTTCCTGAATTGGCAGCTTCATTCGGTCACCCAGTCGTTGCACTCGACAGAGTCCAGGGAGGGTGCTAGGGCTCCACCTTACTGGCCACAACTCGATCTCAGACCATAGCGCAAGGTGAAACACAGTCTAGTTGAGAACCATTGCTGATTCGTCAGGCTATGAGTAAGGTGCCGATTCGGAGCTTGCCGGAGAGTCAGCACCAAGCGTCCAACTGAGCGAAGACGCCTGGTCCTTACCGTTTTTCTCTTATCGCTATCCGATTATTAGTATCCACACATCATACCCATAGCACAGTTCCTTACTTTCACCAACTTAATCACTCTCTTACATCCATAAGACCTCGAACGCATTCATTTCTTTCTTAATACACTCAAGTATACGCGCTCAATCCTCTCGTCGCCACCAATGACTCACCAACACCTAAACCTCCAACTCCTGAGTTCTTCATCGCCTCAAGCCAGCTCTTCAGGCCCAACTGCACCACCTGAGGTTTTTCCTCCAACGGAACCAACGGAAATCCCAGCAGACCAGGGACGAAGTACAGCACGGCCCAGGGCAGCGGCAACAAGGCACTCTGCCAGAATCGCCAGCGTAGGCGCCGACGCCGAGGACACATCACCAACCCAAGGCAGCACGTCTCGAACGACACCTCTGCCCGGCGTGCCAGCAAAGTCAACGACCAAGCTGGCAGCCAAGCCGTCAGCCAAGCAGGCGGCTCATCAGGAAAATGCAAAATCTATGTAGGCAGTCATTACCTACATATACCTACATAGGCAGTGCCATCCTAGGTTAGGACCATTAGGTCACACGCGCCTAAATTGACCTATGATAGGTATTGTAGGCATTTCACTCTGTAGGCCGTGTAGGCCAGAGCTGCCAGAGTCTCTGGATTAAACTATTTGGGACAAATAGAAAGTAAAATGCAAATTCATTTTTCAAAACAACAAATCAAACAATTCAGTTGTCTTCTGATTTTGATTTGACTGTATGTGGAAACGAATCACATGGTACCGTAGCTTAGTCAGCTAGCATAGTGTAGCGCTCTCCACCTTGTTGGCGATGTCGATGAAGTCACGTTTGCCGTGGCCTGCTTAGCATTTTGGATCGCTTGGTACACCGCAACAACGGGAAATACATCATTCAGTAAATTCCGAGTCAGTTCGTCGATACAGTAGGTTTCAGAAATTATCGTGCATCAACGTCTGTAAACATTCAAAAACTTGTCATCACACCAGCTCACTTTCTCCAGTGCTAATAATTACTGTGTCAGGGCCATCTCGCGAGATCCAGAAGTCTACCCAGAGCCTGATGTATTCAAACCTCAGTGAGCCGTTGTCTTATGAAAAAAATGCGAATTTGTTTTATCCAAGTTGAGTTGTAGCAAAGGAATTTAACTTAGAAATATTTTTAATGATATTGACTCTTGTAAAATTGGTATATATATGACATTCTGAGGCCAATCCCCAAGACACTGTGGTGGAATGGTTATAGTGCTATCCTTGATTATTGTATCTCATTGAACTCCAAGCTTCGAGTTCAACGTTCGACCCCAGACATTGCCGATTGTCAGAAAGTCCGAATTTGTTTTGTCTTATTTATGTCAAGCCTACCATGCCTAACGAAAACCTAATCCTATGGGACAAAATGCCCACCATGCCTATGAGGAACCTACTGTAGACGGGGCCTGTCTACATATACAGGACTTACCTACTGGACTAACAAGCCTATGTAGGCTACATAGGCTCGCGTAGGCACCGCTCATTTTCCTGATGCTCCTAAGCAAACACCCCCAGTCAACATACCAGACGCCCCAAGTCCTCAGGCTCACCCAGCCCCGGCACCTGTGCAACAAGCAGTAGACATAGCGGCGTTGCTTGCACACATAGCGCAGCTAGAGCAAGAGCAAACAGCCAGGGCCACGCAGCCAGCGGAACCCTCCAGCAGGACAATTCCCCCCACGCTTTTCGTTTCGCCAGAAGAAGTCGAGAAAGCAAGAGCCGCCGTCGTAGCAGCCAGGAAGGACGAATCCAAAGTCACCCTCCCAGAGATAGTGCCAGGATTCAAAGCGAACCCCCTCGACACCGGTGAGATTCCTTTACCTTTCATCTCCCCATCCGATAGTTCCCCTCTTGTTTCAACACTGCATTTCACGCACACCGAGGGCAATGTTCAGCGCCTTGGGTCCCTACCCCCCAACAACCCAAGGCGCGCAGACGCATTTGCGCGCTCGCATGCACTCGTTTTGTCACCGTCGCTGAGCTAAAGGCCAGCAAACCAAAGAGCGACAGGCTCAGAGTTGCTAAAGGCACTCCCTCGTTATGTCAGGCGGCAGGCCAGACTTTAATTGCTCTGGCCATAGAGTGGCCAAAGATAGGGCTAAAGGCCACCATGAGACGTGCTGTTTCGCATGTGGCCAGCAGGCACACTCAGCCCCACCATACCCATTGCACGATGAAGCTGAGGCTAACGACGGCCCGTGCGTTTACAGCTGTCCCGCCCAAGGTGGACGAGGCCTTTAAGGCATTCAAATACGTCCCTTACAGTGCGCTTACCTCGTCGGCTCGCTGGCAAGCCATCAGAAGCGGGGAAGAAGCCTTCATCATCTCAGCGGCAGGTTCGATAACGGCCAAAGGGCTCGATCGCCGAAACGAAAGGAGCATATCCTTATCAGACTGGATAGGAGCAGCGGACGCAGCGGAAGAGCGCACTGAGCACTATCACGGGGTAGCTCGAGCCAAGGCGCTAAGAGCGCATCATAGTATCGTCCTAGGACTGAGTCGATCCCACTCTTGGGACGTGGCTGTCGAATACGACATCCAGCAACGCGAAATGGTGGCACAGCACCCTCAGCACGACCTATCGCAGCTGGATGACAAGGCCTTAACCATCATCGCAACACGCATGATAACCAGGCAACCCACCTCGACTGCCGCGTACGGCGCTACGCAAGCCAAGAGGCCGTTACCACCTTCATCATCATCCCAGCAGCCACCAAAGAAGAAGACAAGACTCCAGTGCTTTCGGTGTGGAGGAGCAGACCACCTTCCAGGCGACTGCACAGCGGAATCAACCGTCACCGGGCACCCAGCAGCCCGAATCGCGGCATCAGCCAAGAGCGCACACGCCCTTGCAGCCCCAGGCGGAAAGATTTTCTGCATTGGCTGGGCACGATTCTCCAGCTGCCATTTCGCTAACGCCTGCATTAACTACCACGGATGCAGCATATGCGGGGACACTGCCCACGGCGCAGGGACCTGCAGAGCAGCCAGACCTAGATCCTAGGCAGGTCGTAACGCCCCTCATCGCATCGAAGCTCGAGGAGCTTCTTTATAAATATGATATATACGAAGAATGGAAACATATGATATCCAGCATCAAAGAAGGATTCGACGTAGGAGTCAGAGAACACCAGAAAACCACGCAAACCTTTCGAAAACCACGCATCATCTCAACTCAATATCGACATTATAGATCAATACATAATCAGCGAGCAGAGCGCAGGGCGCTACTCACGCGCATACTCAATATCAGAATTAGAATCAATAATAGGCCCCTTCCGCACGTCCCCACTCGGCCTCGTACCGAAACCAAACTCCACGAAGTTCAGACTCGTGCAGGACATGTCCTACCCCCGCGACAATCCAGAGAACCCTTCCGTCAACACGGGAATAGACCCAGACGCATTCCCAACAGAATGGGGCACGTTCGACAGCGTTGTCGATTTAATCCTTTCACTACCAGACGGCTGCGTCGCAGCAACGTTCGACATCGTGTCAGCTTACAGGATCGTGCCAGTGCACCCCAGCCAACAATGGGCTCTATGCATCCTGTGGTGAGGTCAGGTCTACGTCGACAGGGCCCTCATGTTCGGCCTGAGCTCCAGCGCAGGAGTATTCGGCTCAATAGCAGATATGCTCGTCGCCATTTACGAGAAGGCTGGTTTCGGCCCGATTCGAAAATGGGTGGACGACTTCTTCGTCATCCGCCTACCGCACCAAGACTGGACGGAGGAAGAATTCATCGCGCTATTGTCCTTTTTCGGGGTTCCATGGAGCTTGGAGAAGCTGCGAGCCTTCGCAGCTCGACAGCGTTACATCGGCTTCGACTGGGATCTACTCCAACGGTCAGTATCGCTACCCGAGGAGAAGATGGAAAGAATCTTGTCTCTGCTACAAGCGTGGCTCACCAAAGGAGCGCGTTTCACGACGATCGAAGCGGCAAGCTTGCACGGCAAGCTAGTCCATATCTCATCAATCTTCCCGCTGATCCGCCCATTCCTCCGCTCAGTAGCCCTTTTCGCCAACAAATTCAAATCGAGGCACGCACAGCTCCACGTGCCAAGCACGCTATCGGCCGACCTGCAATGGACGACAGAGATTCTGTCAGCGTCGCCACGAGAAAGACCCTTGCGCACCCAGAAACCGATCGACCTCCTCTGGTGGGGCGATGCAAGTACGTCCTTTGGAGTAGGCGTGATAGTGGGACGGTATTGGGCAGCATGGAAGTGGAAAGAGGGATTCCTAGTAGGTCCAGGACACGAGCACGACATTGGCTGGGCCGAAGCCACAGCCGTGGAACTGGGTCTGAGGCTCGTTATACACCTGGGCCTTCACGAGCGCCCAGACGTGAAAGGCCAATCATTGTTGGTCCGATCGGACAACGCTGGCGTCGTGATGGCGATAAACAAGGGCCGATCGCGGAGCCAAGCGACGAACGTCGTGCTCAAGGAAATCTACCTGTTGCAGGTAGAGTTTTAATAGTTCCAACTAATCTTTTATCGAAAATTCATGCTCACGTCGCAGGCGCACAACGGAGTCCATCTCAGACTAGAACACGTCCCCGGTCAAATCAACATCTCAGACCCGCTGTCGCGTGGCGACATTCAAGCCTTCCTAGACGGCGTCTCGGGCCCATCATACAGGACAAACTTTCCACTCCCCACGCATCTCGATGGCAAGATGTCATTTGTTACAGCCTAACTACCACATCCACAGAAATCATTACCCCAGCATCCATCGAGCCACTATCCCTTTGAACATCACCTTTACGACCACCTTGCCCAGCCGATGAGCGCATCTTCCGCTGGCGTGGAGTCAACACTCCACCACCATCCACGATCGACAATCCCTTAATCCATTTCCTCGCTAATATATCCAACCAAGCCTCACTTCGAGAGACGGCAAGTTATGGTTCGGGCTTACGAAAGTTCCACGTCTTCTGTGACATCTTCTCCGTCCCAGAAACAAACCGTCTGCCAGCATCTTTCGAGTTATTACACTCGTTCGCCCTCTGGGCCGTATCCGACCCGTCCATAGCCGACTCATTCCTGAAGTCATCGCCGGCTGAAACGATTCCCTTCGAACCGGTGTCAGTGTCAGTAGCGAGAAAGTATCTATCCGCAGTTCGAGCGTGGCATCTAGCACAAGGGTGGCAGCCCCCGCTAACGCCAGACCATTTCACGCGCATAAATTGGTCGCTACGAGGGATGGAAAACCTGCAAGGCACACGTCGAAAACCAGTCAGGCCCCCAATTACCCTCCGCATGCTAGTAGCTATCAAAGCTACTTTGCGGATAGACCAACCTTTCGACGCGTGCATCTGGGCAATGTCGAGCTGCGCATTCTTTGGAATGATGCGATTCGGCGAGGTCGCCGTCAAATCACGCACCAGTTTCGACAAATCGAAACATATCACGCGAAAAGATGTTCACTTTGGCGTCGACCTAGCCGGTAAACCATATGCCAGACTCGACCTACCGCGAGCCAAGACAGCGAAATCAGGCGAAACGCAATCAGTATTCATAGTGGAGCAGGGAGATATCTGCCCGATCCAGGCACTACGAAACTTAGCGAGCGTAGTCCCAGCACTACCAGACGACCCGCTATTTTCATGGAGGGATGACAAAGGATGTGTTCGACCTATGGTCAAAACGCGCGCAATCGAAACAGTGAACAGTATCCTTTCCGCGTGGAACTGGGGGACAACGTTTGGTCACTCATTCAGAATCGGCGGGGCATCATTCTACTTGGCGAACAAAGTAGACCCAGAGATAGTTCGAATAGCCGGTAGGTGGAAGTCGTTGGCATATGAGACTTACATCAGGGCCTTCGAACAAATAGCAACTCAACACCTAGGAGGCTTAACGGAAACAACACGAACCGTCAATAGCTAGCTCGCTCGGTTGGGTTCAGCCGCTGGATCACAGCCGCGGTTTGAGCTCGTTAGCAGCAGGGTGAGCGGCTCATTCTCTCAGCGTCCAGCCCGAGCTTACACTCGGACTCAGCCCAACCTACGTGCCTCGCGTTCGATCGATTCGTCAAGCATTAAGTCGAAGTTGGAATGAGTAAGGTGCCGATTCGGAGCTTGCCGGAGAGTCAGCACCAAGCGTCCAACTGAGCGAAGACGCCTGGTCCTTACCGTTTTTCTCTTATCGCTATCCGATTATTAGTATCCACACATCATACCCATAGCACAGTTCCTTACTTTCACCAACTTAATCACTCTCTTACATCCATAAGACCTCGAACGCATTCATTTCGATCCATCCCACCCACCACTACATCTATTATCTACATTACCAATCACCACTAGAGCGTATCCATCATCATCGTTGCAAGGCACCAAAAATCGCTGTGTGTTTGCCCGCCCACCCAGCGGCTCATTCTCTCAGCGTCCAGCCCGAGCTTACACTCGGACTCAGCCCAACCTACGTGCCTCGCGTTCGATCGATTCGTCAAGCATTAAGTCGAAGTTGGAATACGAGGAACGTGTATGAACTTTATGCTAACCATCAGGTGTTTTCCTCCAAAAATGCTTCGACGACTCCAGCTCAAGGGCGTTACTATATGTGTTCACACATAATCCATGGAGATGCCACATATCTATCCTTCTCCAGCTGCATTGGACACAATCGTCGACCTTTCCGTACATTCCGTCAGGCTCCTCACATCCCCAACTAGTGACCGCACATTGTAAACTCTATTCCTCTACTTTCGGCACGGGCGAGTTGGCCATTTGGCGCGGCGTGCAGAAAATGGTTGTTGACTGAAGTGGATACGGCACAGGCACTTGTAATTCCAGCCCACTCACGAATCATATTTCGATGGTGTATCTTTACCCTGTCGAGTTGCCAAGGACATGTATGTCATGTTCAAAATCTATCAAGTAACTGCAAAGCTAGGTACTGCCCAAGTTCAACGTTCAACACTGGCTAGCTAATCACACTCACCAGTATGTGTTCGTCGACACCAAGCTCTAGTAGATGTTATTCCTCCGACCGATTTGATCACACACACATGCTATGTCCATCGAAAATGATGAAGTTCATACCAATGCCATACGAGTTATGTACCTCCAAGCATATTGCTAAACGGAAGTCCTGGCCGGGCATTTTTGTAAAGGAAGTAGAGAATCGTACGGAAGTACGAGTGGTGCACACTCGTGCTACTCGCGTCGTCCAGCGTACTAATTATTCTCGATTTGTCCTGCAAAGGTGGGAAACCTTTTTAAAACTGACAATCGCAGTGTCGAGAACTACATCAACCTTCAATGCGCCGCAAGCACAACTTGATAGAACATCTGATGGTCTGATTCATGCTCATGCTGCGGAAGCCGTGTGCCCCACATGTGAACTTTGTTCTAATCATGGGATACTGTTGTCTTCGGTCATTCAAATTCAAGTGCACTGCTATATATTCATGCACACGTAACCCTCCCGTGCTATTTCGGCTGGCTCCCCACATCTTCGTCGACTTAACACTTTCGTCAACCACAAACATCGATCAGACTGTCCCATATAGCCTTGCATATTGTAGTGTGGGCACGATGAATAGCTTAGCACGCTCGGCGACTGATTTCAATGCAAGGCTGGTCATCGGGCCGATCCAAGTCGGTGGACTTTTGAGCGCTGCATTATTCGGTTGTCTTGTTTGCCAGTCCTACGTGTATTTTGCAAGATGCACGAGCGATCACCTCGCCCTGAAAGCAGCTGTGAGTTGGTTAATTGTTCATTACAGTGTTGATTTATACTGATCTCTTCTTACGGCTAGGTATCTGCAGTCATGTGCGCTCCATGTTTGACTGAGTTCCTTCAAATACCGACACACGCTCTTCAGGTTGATTCAGCTGGGTCATTTTGTCTGCATGATATCAACATTGTGGACAATGACTACTAGCACCTATGGCGACCCATCTCAACTCGGGGTGCTTCCTCTAGCGGCAGACCTGGCCATTCCGTTGAGCTCTTTTACAGCATTCATTGTGCAGGTAAGTGATTCCTAATGTATTTATTCTTTGCTGCCAACTTACTAATGGGCAATATCAGACATTTTACGCATTTCGACTATGGAGGTTGAGTGAAAATATTTTCTTACCCATTCTTTGCGAAATGATCTCCGTTGTTGCACAAATTTCCACGCTGGTTTTTGTACCGAGTGCGATCACTATGACGGACCTCACGACTTTTGAACATGATCAACTTCTGCTGATTGCGCTCTCTCTCATCGCACGTGCAGCCTGTGACTTGATCACCACCACTGGGATCGCCCGGAGCTTAAAAAAGAAACGAGGCTCTGGTCTCAAAGAGTATGACTGTTCATCATCTATTTCTCAAATCAACTTAAATTTGTCATAGCACGGTGACGATGATCGACCGGTTGATTTATTGGACGATTGGTAAGATAGGAAGTGCTTTCATGGGGTGGATGCCACTGTTAATGTCACCTATACACAGAGACTGGTCTGGCCACAAGGTATTTAGCTCTTTCATGAGGTATTTCCTCCAATGACCAGCTAGTTTGATGGCCGTTACAGTGGCAGCATTGGTAAGGACTTTACCGCATAAATCTCCCATAAATGGAGCATTCTCTGACTAGCTTCCAGTTTCTAGCCCTGAAGCAGAACTGTGAGTGTAAATGTTGAAACCGCATTCTATCACAGCTGAAATGATGCAGTTGTGTGGTTTGGAGTATGGTTAATGTGGCCTAATGGTAATGATATGGATACTTCAAATTTCAATATATTGATCTTCATATTGTACAGTCGTAGGGAACTCCTTGTTAGCCTCGTCAGTCGCCAAATGGACTCAAAATGATAAACATGACAAACTTACTAATGGAACATGCAGTTTGAATCGGCGATTGCTCCTTCGGGAGAATGGGAGGGCCCAGAGTCGTGGTGGTGCTGTAGTGAGTACCGTTTGATCAACTGCATGTAAACTCTAATTTTGTTTCAGAACGCGATTGTGTTCGGAGCTGGAGTTATGCAAACGCAAGCAGACCCACTGGAGAATTTCAAGAACCGAGGCGTTGAAGTGTTCCAAGAAGCAGAACTCTAAATCAATCACGAACCAAGGCAGGTTTCCATCCCTGCGGTGGTCCATATACGAGCATGTGTTTAACAGATGATGAAACTTGTTGCCGACTATGGGGTGGATGTTCGGCGGGATGATTTGCTCTCGACATTTTGTAGGTTGAAGGCATGGATGATGTGTTAAGGTTCGTCGGTAATGATATGTGATCTAATATGCGAATAGGCGTCCTGAGGTTGTGGGCTCCCCTGGGTGCTATGTGAAGGATGTGTTACAGTGCGCCAGCAATTCGTGAACGTTGGATGCGGAGGTCTTAGACAAATGCCGTGCAATCATCCCCACAGTCAAACGGCCTCACTGAAGATCTGGGATGGTCCGTAATTTACTGTTGATGGGGTGTATATGGAGGCACTATGGCCGCTGGTACCAGACGAGTCAAAGTGGCGCGCACCACAGCTACTAAACCTCATTTTCGCGCTCGCTCGCCAGAAGCTCCACCATGGCCTCCGCATGTTCTTTTTATGGTACGCATTCAAGTTGGTGTCTCCATCTTCAGAAAAGCTGGTCATGAAGCTAATACATCCTACGTGCACAGAGAAAATGCAATTATGTTCATGCCAACAATCCAAACCTATGAGCATATCGCAAAAGTGAGATCCAGGTTGGGCAGTATAGAGTACAATTGACAGTCCATTCGCGAGGCCTAGATGTTTACGTTACTGGAGGCAGACTGTCTGTTTGGGTGGATGCCCCGATAGCGGCCCAAACCTGTGCAATAGAGAGGCGAGGTGAGCTGCAAGGGCGGGTGGGCAGCCTCAAAACTCAGCAGGTCTGGGTACCATCCGGGCCCCTGGAAGAGGTATGTACTGCTAGTATGTAGCTGAAGCTGACAGTAGTGACCAGTAGTAATGAAAGCTGCGACGATCCGAGAGACAACGAGGGCAAGAAAAAGGTGGGTGGGAAAAATAAAAGCAGAAGGCAGCAGGCAGGTTTAAGCCGCATGCTGGAGCATGGCGCGAGCAACTGTACGGTGCGGAGACAAGAGAGGCCACGTGCTGCACTACCGTTGCCACAAAGTTCTGATTCCACTACGTAGAGTATCAGCGTATACGGATCCAAGCCCTATTGTCAGTCGGGACTCGGGAACGACTACGCCGATCAGCTGGGAAGCCAAAAACAAAAACATCATTCGGCAAAAGCCGTCAGCAATACGTGAAGTTCTCTCATCGAGTGATGCGCCGTCATGCCATGATGATGGTTGAAACGTTGACATGTGACTCCATCACATAGTCTCGACCGAGATCTCCAGCATGGAGTCTGGACAACCGGAGACAGTTGGAGTGTATTCCCAAGACGTTGGTTCGAGGCTGGTCTCATCCTACCGGTGATTCCAACAGAGGGGAGCAGCATGGAACATCCCATCCAACCACTCGCGCACTCGACAGTCCACAAGTTTTCGTGATACCGGGGAGGGTACTAGGGCTCCACGATTGCGCTGGCTAGCCATAACAACAATTTCCGATTCTCTCTATTTTCGGCGCCCCGGGCACCCGTGCGAGTCCTTGGCTGCTTCAATCAAGTTGGCGACGGCTGGCCTTCTGGCGTGGCGTGCTGAGTGAGTTATGCCAATATCCGAGCGTATCACAACAGTAAAATCCCAGCTGGGCATTTTGAAAAGATTCATGAAGCTAGAGGACCGTACGGAAGTATTAGTGGTGCACACTTGTGCTACGAAAGGTCACAACTCTTTCTTAATACTACCAAGTAGTCCCCAGGACTACATCAATCTGCAAGCACAAGTCCAGAACATCAGAAGACATCGATCCGTGATCGCGCTATATACTTAGCAGCCATGTGAACTTTATTCTGATGGCATCGGATGTTGTTTTCCTGCGAACGTACTTTGTTGTTTCACAAGGTCAAGCTTCAAGAGCACTATTCTATATATTCACACATCCTGTATCTTTTCTTCTGGTTCACCGCATCTACGTCTATTTAACGCTTCTGTAAGTCACATTTAACGATCAGACTGCCTCTTATAACCTTGCATAATTTAGCGTGGGGACGATGCACAGCCTAGAACGCTCAGTGACCGATTTCAATGCAAGGCTGGTCATCGGGCCGATCCAAGTCGGTGGACTTTTGAGCGCTGCACTATTCGGTTGTCTTGCCTGCCAGTCCTACGTGTATTTTGCAAGATTCACGAACGATCACCTCACCCTGAAAGCAGCTGTGAGCCGGTCAACTGTACACTGCAGCGCTGACTCCACTAATCGCTTCATACGCTGGTTAGGTATCTGCAGTCATGTGCGCTCCATGTTTGACTGAGTTCCTTCAAATACCGACACACGCTCTGCAGGTTGATTCAGCTGGGTCACTTTGTCTGCATGATATCAACATTGTGGACAATGACTGTTAGCACCTACGGCAACCCATCTCGACTCAGGGTGCTTCCGCTAGCGGCAGACCTGGCCATTCCGTTGAGCGCTTTTACAGCATTCATTGTGCAGGTAAGTGATTCAGAATGTATTTCATTCTTTGTTGCCAACTTGCTAATGGGCAATGTCAGACATTTTACGCATTTCGACTGTGGAGGTTGAGTGAAAATATTTTCTTACCCGTTCTTTGCGAAACCCTCTCCGTTGTTGCACAAGTTTCCACACTCATTCTCTCACCGAGGGCGTTTTATATGACGGACCTCACGACTTTTGAGGACAGTCAAATTGTGCTGATTACGCTATCTTTCGTCGCACGTGCAACCTGTGACGTAGTTACCTCCGCTGCCATCGCGTGGAGCTTAAACAAGAAACGAATAAATAATTTTGGAGAGTAAGTCTGTCCATAATCTCGCCTACCGTTCCTAACATTTGTCATAGTACGATGACGATGATTGACCGGTTGGTTTATTGGACTATTGGTAAGATAGGAAGCGTCTTCATAGGGTGGATGCTCTTTTTAACATCACCTCTACACAGAAACTGGTCTGGCCACCAGGTATCTGGTTCTTTCATGAGGTGTTTCCAGTCAATGATCCGTTAGTTTGATGGCCGTTATAACAGCAGTGTTGGTAAGAACTTCACCTGTCTTCCCCCGAATGGAGCATTCTCTAACTAGCTTCAAGTTTCTAGTTCTTGAGCAGAACTGTGAGTATGTTGGTATCGCATTCTACTACAGCTGAAATGGCGCAGTTGTGTGGTTTGGAGCATGGTTGATGTTACCCAATGGTAATGATATGGAATACTTCAAATTCAATATATTGATCTTCATATTGTACAGTCGTAGGGAACTCCTTGTTAGCCTCGTCAGTCGCCAAACGGACTTGACAAGTGATAAACGTGACGAACTTACCTGTGTGGCATACAGGTTCAATCGGCGGTTGCTCCTTCGGGAGGCCCAGGGGTCCTCAAGATCTGGCGATACTCAGAGTCGTAATAGTGGTTTAGTGAGCACAACTTGAATAACTGCATATAAATTCTAATTCTGTCTCAGAACACACTTGTTTTTAAAACTGAAGCTAGGCAACCACAAGCATACATACTGGAGAACTTCAAGAACCGAGACATTGAAGTGTTCCAAGACGTCGGATGCTCAATCGACCAGGAATCAAGGCGGGTTTCCAGGCCTGCGGTGGTCCATTTGAGTGTGTAACAGATGACGGAATTTGTGACTGATCATGAGACGAATGTACGATAAGATGATTTTCTCTTCGCATTTTGGTTGACATTGGGCATGGATGGTGTGTTAAGGGTCGATAACGATGTCGGTTCCCATATACATATCCACTAGACGTCCTGAAGCTGTGAGCTTACTCGGGTGCAATGACCACATGTAGGAAAGTTCCTATACCACCCCAACAACTCGTGAAAATTGGATGTGGATGTCTTGGGCGATACTTACTATGCCCACCATTGCCATGGCCTTCAAATGCCATTAGCGATAATCTGGATAGACAGCAAACGATTATTTTTGCACCGTGGGTACATATAGAAGCAGAGATGCGCATTGTGCGTACTTCGCAGGGGCTCGACAGACTCACCCCACATCTTCGTCTTCGATGCCTAGAAAGTCCGCCATGGCTTGTGCTCGCTTGTGGTAAGATAGGTACATCGACTCATGAGCTAGATGAAGCTGAAACAAATAACTAAGCAGGGATGGTGTGACTGGCCAACGACGTGAACAGGTAGCAGTTTGAATTTTGAGAGTGAGTGCCCTGTAATAATTAACAACCTTTCAGAAAATACGACAATTTGCAAGTCTTCACTGTGGGAAGTAAATACCCTGAAAGTAAACGTGAGAAACCCTGAATGACATATCTCAGTGACTACGTCACTGAAAAAAGAATCCGTTATTTTCAGCGTTCACGTGAGAGTCACGTCCATCAGTACTTGTGACACTGATTGGTTTTTCAGTGTTCACTTGACCAGTGCCGCAAGTACTGAATCATTTCTCAGTGTTTACTGGCCAGTGGCGCAAGTACTGAATTATTTGTCAGTGTTTAATCGAACTCAATTTCAATGTTGTTTTTCCGCCAAATCTGCACGGAAACGCTGGGCGCAGACCTGGCTTGGATTCAATCCGTGATCTAGATGACATTGAATATTGGCAGCCCAACCCCCCGAAGGTGCTCAAATCCTGGAGATGTTCCGTTGGAAGTACGGTCTCAGATCCAGCATTATGCTACCACAGAGTGAGGCACCTCTCCATTCAGTTCTTACATTTGTTGATGGTTATTGTCCGCGAAGGCAATTGTCGCATCCGCTAGTCTCGCTGCACAATGGCTTCCGCGGTTTGCTTGACGATAATATTCACGAGCTTTTCTGGCTCGGTGTCGATAACTGGAGTTCCTGCGGCGGTTCTGAGCTCGGCACAATCCGTACTCTTCCAGATGTTGACCTGGGCGCTGTAGCTGCACGTTTCCAGGAGCATAATTTCCATGCACTTCTGATGATCGGCGGATTTGAGGCGTTCAATGCACTGCTGAGCGCTGATCCTTGAGACGGGGAGGAAACACTACTCTACGTTCCACATCCCAATGGCCCAGCCACGATCTCAAATAACGTGCCGATGACGGAGTTCAGTTTGGGTAGCGACACGAGCTTGAATGCACTTGTTGATGCGTGTGACTCAATCAAGCAGAGCGCCAGTGCGAGTAGGAATCGGGTGTTTGTAGCTGAAACGCAAGGTGGCCAGTGTGGGTACCTTGCCACCATGGGTGTCATGGCAGTGAGTACTCTGGCGCTGAAGTTCGTAGAATATGGGACTGATGGGTGTGCCTACTCAGACCGGTGCCAGCATCGTCTACACTCCAGAGCAGGGCATGAACCTTGACACACTTCGCCAGGACGTCAAATTCCTGAAGATCTGTTATGGTCTAGATGCGAAGGGCAAGAGTGAAGGACGCATGGTCATTCGGTCAGTTTTATGTCTCAAACTCAGTGAACCTGCTGAGATGATTTCCCAGCAATGAGTGCGCGTCGACGGTCTATGGTTCTTCAAGCTTCGTTAGGCAACCTCTGCCCATTGTACATTTTGGCAGGCGATGGGGAATTGCTTCGCGACGAAATCATATATCTAGCGCATAAGGCGGCCAACCCAGCTGAGTACCCCGTACGAGAGGGTCCATCTCCAGGTGTATGATGGTACGTCACTCCTCTCCCTCAAGACCCTCTATTGAACCGAGGACTCCAGGAATGTGTCATGTTTTGACAGTCTTCAGCTGATATTCCTCCAAGCCGGAGTGGTAGAAGGAAACAATTTCATTACCGGCCCTTTGTCTTATGCTGTTGCTGCAGCCGTACATCTACTCCGCCTCACTTTCATCTGTAATATACCCAGCACCATCGAAGGCTGGTTTTGCGAAATTGCTTCTGCGGTCAATGATAGTCCATTCCCCACGACTTTCAACCCTTCCCACAACTCCTTTGACATTTCGCAAGTCGGTGATAATGCTAGCAAGGTTTCTTGAATAACGTGTTTCCTCCTTGGTAGCATCTCTGCCTCCAGTCTGGCATGGTCGAATGAGGGCGAGCAGAAGAGTCTTGCCAGCGAGCCCTAGCCACTGAGTGTTGTTTGACAATGGGCAAACTAGTATCTTCTCGAGACGACCATACTGCACCAACCGAACTACTTGAAGAGTTCCGTTTATGTGGTCTTCGTATTCGAGTTCGTACTAATCAACTTATCAAGTTCAGATCTGGCATATGATATACATAACCAACTCACTCGAACATATGAGGAGGTTCTTTGCTTTGTGGACCTCTTGTTGGCAATGTGCGTCCGAATACTGTCTCCGCCGTTTTGAATACGAACTTTTTTCCAGAGCGCCATAACATTAGGGAGATTTGCGAGGATTACCGTGTGCCTTCCGCCAATGAGTTGCTTGATATATAACGCAACTTTCGCCCGCTCATTGTGGTCAGGACTATATGACATCACTCGAGGGGGCCGGAGAACATAGTCGTTGTCTGGTAAGAATGTTTTTAGTGCTATCTCGAGTTATTGGACGAGGACTTACAGTCTTTAATAACAGTCTCATGCGTTGTGAGCTGGGACCAATCTCGTCGGATACTTAGAGACACTTCCTCTTGGACGTCATACCGAAGGACCACTTGCTGAAGGTATGCCGTATATAAGACTTCTTTGTTGAGGTTTCCCCAAGGCTGAACTCTTGACTTCAGCGCTGTTTTGAATTTTTGACAATAGCGCTCCAGGAAAAATGTCCACGTGGTCCACACAGGTCCGCATCGACGAATGTCATCAGCAATATGAAGCATTCCGTGAACAGGAAGGGTGCAGGCTGGTAATCTTGACTCGTCGTGCTGATAGTAGTACCTTGTGGTAATATCAGTCATGTATTACCTGTCTCGCAATAAATAACTTACTTTTCATACTTGACCACCCAGTTTGCAATTCGCCGTTCCAATTCATCAATCTCTGCATGTGTGATCGAAAACTGTAGCGTTTTTTTCATGATCCACACCAACTCACAAAGGTGCTTGTGGTATTTTGCATTCGGAAAGCGACTGCGCAGGAGTGTTGGGGCAAGGTAAATGATCCAGAATGACCATGATTCAGCTGTGAAGCTCGAGTGATCATCTGCAATATTGCCGAGGACTCGGACAAATGCAGCGGGAATGTTTGCAACCGCAGCGGCTGTTTCCTCTCCAATTTCGGCCCATATATGATCAGCTATCTGATAGTCTTCTTTTCCAGTATCCATACCCTTGAATTTGCCAGTCCAGTGCTTGACGAGCATCGGGGCAATATTCTCAAGGAAGACGTGCATCCATTCCCATGGAAAGGACTTGGCGAAGTCAATCGACCCTACTCGCCACCTGTCGGAGAGATGAAGATGGCCTGCACGGAGGCCATTTTTCTTGCCGATCCTCTCCTTCTCCGCAGCAGTCTCCGCTTCGTCTATCTCCTGCAACACATGTTCGAAATGTGCATGACTGCGAAGGGGGAGATGAAGTGGGTCCCAATGTGGGTTCGGAGCATCAGGTCGAGTAGGGGGGGTTAATGGGACGTAGTAATTAGTCTTGTTTTCAGATTTATTTCGAACACCTGTTATCAGACACGACCGACATGGTGCGAAGCCATTATGGCCACGAATCTCCAGTAGTTTTTCTATTGCGAGAATGTCGCCGAGTTTGAAAATGTCGTAGGCGTGGAGCCAGAACATCTGCTTCTCAAGGCTATCGAAGGTGAGAGCACCATTGGCAAGTTTGGCGCACTCGTTCTCGAACGGGACAAGGAAAGATGCGATATCTTTTGGTGATTTTGGTCCCGGAATGACTCCAAGGCAAATAAGATGTTCGTGGTGAGTGCGTATAGTGGGGGGAAAGTTGTAGATCTGGATAAGGATTGGTGTTGCAGATGGGCCCTTGCGATATCGTCCAAACAGTAGATATCCATCAGTTGCCAAAGAAAATGCAATGTCGTTTTGTCCAGAGAAGTACTTATAGTTTTTCTGAATACCATCGACCAGCACAAACTCGTCCCGGAGAGACTGGTAGATCTCGCCATCGAACACGTCATTGATAGTACCGGGGCCGTGGTCATATTGATGGCGATATAAGAGTTTTTGCACTGTATCTTCTTGCGCAAAAAGGCCCTGCAATTGAGGGACCAGGGGCATGTAGGAAAATTGACGTCTTGGCTTCCCGTGAGCATCAAAACGTCTTTCTCTGCAGAAGTCACATAGATCGCTGTGACTGTACCTTGCAGTATACGCAATGCAGGAGTTGATGCAGCAATCTATTTTCATGGGCGTGATCGTAGTGAGTCCCTCGAGACGCTTGAGCATCTTATACTCAGAGTCGATGTCCATTTTGTGACTAAACTTCTCGCGCAGTTCGTTGAACGTTGCACGTGGCATATGACTCTTGATGCGGAGACTGTGAGCGCGGAGATTATCTCTATCCTGCTCTGTCAACAAGGTATTGCCTATATTTTCTTGATTATTTAAATACTTTCCAGTAGCGAGTGAACTTACGGAGTGAGTGATGCAGTGCCTCGACCTCAGCATCTACCTGACCACCTATCACATCAAACTCATCTACAGTATTTTCTTCTTCTTCGTCGTAGAGAACATCTTCATCCGTACGATTGCTCGCAGTGTCTTCTTCATCAGACTCACTCTGCTCCGAAAGATTTGGACTTGGGCCACCCATGCTTGCATCACTGTGACCGGATACTCCAATCTCAGGCTCTAGATCCATTGCCTGCAGATCCACTGATGATTCCGTGGGGGAAACAGAGGGTGATATATTGGCCAACTTTGCCTTTCTGTAATGACGGAGTCGCTGTCGATAGCTGAGAAGGCGCCCGCGCGCTTTGCATTCAGTAGAGCAATGGCAATATTTCCTCTTCTTGTTGGCCATCATGGAAATGTTCAAGGAGTAATCGAGGAGCAGTGGCGAATCATATATATCTTGTGACCCCGAATAAGCTTTATCGAAAGTACATAGTACAACACAATGGTTCTCGAGGCGAAATAACGAAAATTGTTCTCGACAAATGCGAAATAGAGTTCTCGCCGACAGCTGCAATCGTGGCGACATGTTCATATATGTTCTTAGTTATTAAGTCGGTCTGGAGATTTACGTCCAGTCAGTGCACGAGGCTCCAGCCAAGCCTCACGATCAGATGGCCTGTCATCAGGAAGATCACCATCACCACTTGATTCCAGTTCGGGTGGCTCGTCGTATTCAGCAGCCTGGGGAGACACCATGATTGGTTTGGACAGTAAATGTGGATAGCGTGTACCTCTCGTGGTCCCGGACGTACGTGTGTAGGAATTTTTTGCAAGTAATGTGCGGGGATGGACGTGCAGTTCCGGTTCGGTTTTGCGTGCACTACAGTGGCCTTGAGTGAACGGACAGATTGTCCAGCATCTTGTGCGCAAGGGATGAGCAGTACTCTTGGGTGTCTGGGGGTCAGGTGGAGGTAGCGACACGATAAGAATAGTGGAGAAACGAAAAGAAAATAGTACGTACCTTGCACCACTGATGACTGCAAATGTATCATCGTTTGGGCTCCAACAGACGAAGGTAGCGGCTCTGTTGATACGAAGAAGTACCAAGGTAGGCTTCCACACCAGCTTTCCAGTAAGCGGACCAGGAGAGAGGGTCCAGACGTATGCATTGCGATCTTAAGAGGCGGTGACGATGCGGTCGCGTCCATTGCTTCATCCATCATAGCCTCGAAAAGCGCGGCTGCCTGGGGCGAATCTCTGTATGACTGAGGGAGGGCATTGACGCGGTCCTGGAGTTCATGGGGAAGGTCCTTGATAGATTCGTCAAACAACCCATTCCCTTGCGATGGAGACAGGGTCAGGAGTGGGGGAAACGAATGCGAGGTAAGACACAAGTGTGTCCCAATCGGGAACGTCGAAGGGCAGGCGTCTGGTGTGCGGATACCTGAGGGAAAATCAGCAATCTTCCAGTGCAAGTAGTAGAATGTCGTGCCTCGTGGGCAAGCTCAATTTCTTCCTCACATACGGTGGTCCAGAACTCCACGGCCTGCAGTGCGACTCGTTCATCAGAATGCTTAAGCGAGGCGTCTGGGAAGAGACACGTTGGCAGTGCTCACACTAACCGTGCTAAGTTGCCAGTTACCGCAGCTCGCTCTCACTCTGAGCCAGATGATAGTAGTGAAACGGACCCTGGGTCAGATGAAGACTTCGACTCCGAGGAGATTGGGCCAGGGAGTGAAGGAGGCCTGCCTGCCGATATCGCAGAGCTCTTCAAGAAACGAGTCGATGATTATTTGAGTGAGGTTGCACTCCAATGCGTGTTACCTGCACTAAATGTTGCGTTCCAGAGTCCAAAAGACGTGTCACCCAACCCTCAGCACCTACCGGCACTAGCCAGACTGCCAAAGTGACAAAGAAGAGCACTAACACGAAGTCGCAGACAGCAACTACTTCCAGCAAGAAGATCACCACTGTCGCTGTCACACAAGTTCATAGCGAGAGGGCCAAACCACCGGCAGTTACGAAACCTCGGCCACGACCAGTGCCACGCAAGAACTTGGAGAAAGAGAAGGCCAAAGTTACCTCTTCGACTCACTACAACTCTAGATCACCCCCACCACCCCCGCTGCCTTCATCACCCCCACCGTTCCCGCGCCCTTCATTCAGCTTCTCACCACAGGATATTCCGGACACCTGTCCGAATGAGGACTGCGAAGATCTTGTTCCCTCTCCACCATCACCACAGCTGATTCATATGTTCCGCAGTCTCGCAGAACACATCCACAAGGAAGGAGAATATGGTCGCACAGTTCTCTGCATCACACTTCACATCTGTTCAGATATCGCATCTGACAACCAGCTGTCAGAACTACGTCAGCAAGTGGCAGAATGCGGTTGGCCAGTATCAGTTAATTTCATTGACCTCAACAATTTCACGTGGTCATTGACAGCTGATGTTGCTAAGATCCTCTCAGATCACAGCGCCCGAGCTAGCCACATCGTCTGGACAACCTTGTTGGATCGCATTTCCCGCCATTACCGCAACAAGGGAGTTACAGAGGAGGAGTTCCTTCTTGCTTTTGCAAGAGACAAGGGACTATACGAAGTAGTCAAACTAGCGGAGAGACACGCTCAGTAAGTCGCGTAGAACAATACTTTATTCATTGATATGTACCTAGCGGAGAGACACGCTGGTATGCTAATCAGTATGTGAGATATGAGCAAGATGAAGTCTACACACCTCAGTAAGTCGCGTAGAACAATACTGAGGTGCGTGATGCGAGACGAGCAAGATTAAATACCAGTAGCTAACGAGACCGGTGAAACAACGTGCGGAGAGTACTCGTATGGTCAAGAAGCAAAGAAGACGCCAAGTGTAATGACACATGTGGTGTTGATGGTGATAGCGTCAAGAAGGAAATTGAAAGTCTAAAGGTAAAAAGCTTACACACCCCCTCACCGAAACACCAACTGAAGGCCCGCGACGTGTTTTGCAAGTAGAGGGCGCGCGAGTGCTTTCGTAAGGATGTCGGCGACGTTCTTGTGGGACGGAAGCCAGTACGGGAGAAAGACTCCTTTCTCGATCCATTCGCGAATGAAATGGTATCTGATGTCGATGTGCTTGGATCGTATGTGGTTTTTGGCTTCCTTGGACAGCGAGATCGCACCCGTGTTGTCCATGTAGATGGCGATGGGGAAGAGCAGTGGGATGTGGAGTGCGGTGATGAACGACTTGAGCCAGAGGCCCTCCTGCAAGACATGAGTAACTGCCATATATTCGGCTTCCGTTGACGAAAGTGCGTGAGTGGTTTGCTTCTTGGAGACGTGGGCAATTAATCCTCCTGCAAAGAACCAGGCATACCCGGATATGGAGAGTCTGTCCTCTGCGCAACTTGCCCAGTCTGCATCGCAAAATGCGTGCAGGCCCTCATCTGCTCTTTCCCCTCCAAAATGCGCTCGAAGATTTAGGGTCCCGCTTAAATAACGCAGGAGACGTTTGGCCGCTGCGTAGTAGCGTGGGGCGGGTTGAGCGTTATGCTGGGCTAAGGCGTTTACTGCAAATGCGATATCTGCTCTGGTGCATACTGCGAGGTACAAGAGCTCGCCCACGATCTTCCTGTAGCGCGTGGGGAGATTGGGGATGTCGTCATAGGTATCTGAGTCGCGGCCGAAGGGATGGTGGGCGTCCAGAGGCAGTTGAACGGGATTGCAGTCGAGTAGATCATACTCGTTCAGTAGATAGCTGATGTACTCCCCTTGATGCATCCAAAGTTGGCGTGTTGCGCGGTTGCGTTCGAACTGAATTCCAAGGAAGCGTTGAATGGGACCGAGGTCTTTGATGCCGAAACGTTGGGCGATGCGACCCTTGACGTGGAGGAGGAAGGATTTAGAGTTGGAGGTGCCCATACCATCATCGACGTGCCATCCAACGACGCAGTAGATTCGTTCGCCAGTGGTGTTCTTGTCGTATATGAAGACGGCATAGTCGACGGCGCATCGTGTAAACCCGAGCTCTGTCATGACGGCGCGCACCTGTTCGTACCATTCCATGGCCGACTGTTTGAGGCCGTAGATGGTCCTCAGCATCTTCCAGACAAGCATCGCCCAGTCACCTTCCTCAAACCCCTTTGGTTGTCTCATGTATATCTCCTCTTTCAATACGCCCCATAGAAACGCTCGTCGAGCGTCGAACGTGTCCAGCTCCCAATTGTTGCGACATGCCAGTGCTGCGATGAATCTGACGGAGGCGGTTTTGATAACTGGGGCAAACGTTGCGCCGTAGTCGACTCCTGGGACCTGTGAAAATCCTTGCGCCACTAGACGCGCCTTCTGAACCGGCCCCCCCCTTATTGTCGTCCTTAAATTCTAGTACCCATCTGTTCCCTATAGCTTTGCGCCCTGCTGGAAGTGTTGTCAACTCGTAGACGTTCATGTCTTTCATCGTTTGAAGTTCGGCTTTCATTGCGGCGAGCCAGCGAGCGTGGTCTGGTCGTTTCATGGCTTCCTCGTAAGTGGCTGGAGGGATGCTTAGATCGTAGTCGGGATTATGAGGGTTCCTTCTTTGATTACTTCTGATCGCGACATGGGCCTGTTCTTCTATGACCACGTTAGCCATGAGCTCGGTGACGTCCAGGTTGGGTTCAACATCCTCAATGGGTACTTCTGCAACGTCTGAGACGACTTCAGGCACCCCCTCGCGTGAGCCATCCGGCACCCCCTCACCCAAGGCACGACCCGCACGTGCTTCACGAAGAGACAAAAGACGGGCCTTAGAGGCAGCAAGTTCCTCTGAGTATAGTTGACCTGCTCTGGTGGGTATCTTGGAGCGTGTGGAACGTCGTTGCGCCGGGGGAGGTTGAATGGAAGGTGCCGTGGGGAGAGACGCGGGAGTATGGACGGTTGCAGATGGCGATTGAGAGACATGAGGAGGGTCCTCGTCGTCGCTGTCGGAACCAGCGTGCGAGACGGACGCAAAATTCTCATCAAAGAGAACGTCGCGTGCAGTGAAGAACGTGCCAGTATCCTTGTCGCGGAGACGGTAAGCTTTGGTGCCATCTGGGTAGCCCATGAAGTAAGCACTGCGGGAGTGGGGACCTAATTTCACTTGCAGTTCGGCTGGGACACGTGCGAAGCAACGAGCGCCCCAGACGCGAAGGTGAGAAAGGTCAGGTTTGCGTCCGTTGAGAATTTGGAAGGGCGTGACGCCTGGAGGTAAGGTGGAAGACTCTGTTCTGTTCCAGAGGTAGCATATGGTGAGTGCCGCCTCGCCCCATAGGGTTTGCGGGAGTTTCGCGGTGTCCAATAGCGCAAACATGCGTCCCTCGATAGTGCGAAGTGCCCGTTCTGCCTTGCCATTTTGTTGATGGGCATACGGTGCGGAGAGCTGACGCTCGATCCCTGCAGTGACGAGAGCCTGAGTGAATGCTGCATTGAGGAATTCACCCCCATTGTCAGAACGAAAGATCTTCACTGTACGCCCTGATTTGTTCTCCCAGCGCCTCTTTGTCATCTCCCAAGCCTCTAACGCCTGATCTTTCGTCGCGAGCAACTCAAGGCCCAGTAGGTTGCTGTGGTCGTCGATAAAGATGATGAAGTATAGTTTACCGTGTGGGGTGCTGACAGGGAAGGGACCGCAAAGGTCTGAATGTATAAGGTCAAGGAGGTGAGCTGCGCGAGGCGTGCTGGATGCAGGGTAAGGCTTGCGTGGGTGTTTTCCCATAATACAAGGTTCACACGTGCGAAGCGGGTGTGTTGTATCGACTTTGGTGCCTGTTGCAAAATGGGGAAGTCGCTTAACTGCATCCCCGCCCGGGTGACCTAACCTTGCGTGCCAGAGATCCCAAGATAAGGGTACTTTAGCGAATGCCGTCAATTCGAGATGGGGTGAGGGCTTCTGCGGTGGAATGAACCGAAGATCGAGGAAAACAAGGTTTCCTTGCAAAGGAACATCACCGAGCGTGCTGTTGCGAAAGATGAGCTGGCAACGAGGTGGGGAGGGCTTAAAATTGCACTCCCAGCCTTTACTCAACATCCGGCCTACCGACATGAGATTGATTAGTGCGCCAGGTGCATGCAGGCAGTCTTTCAACCGAATGCGCTGAGTACGGCCCTCTACAACGAGGTCGGCTACACAATCACCCCTGCCCGAAGTTTGCAATGAGCCGTGATTAGCCGTTTTCACGGTTACGTTCGTGCTGGCGCTGAAGGTCCAGAAGAGCTCTCTGCGTGTGATAAGGGTGGATGTTGTACCTGAGTCGAGGATTGTGGACAGCGCTTGATTCGCTATGCAAGCCATATCATCGCTTGAAGGAGTACTGTTGGAGTCGAGCTCCTCGATTAGAGCACAAGACCAGTCACGGCTGTGTGTGGGTGCGAGTGAGAGGGCTGTCGTCTCAGGCGGAACTGAGGAGGGTGTGGAGGTGTTGGCATTGGCGACGGGCTTGGTTTCCGTTGCAGCTGCAGACGTGTCCTTCCTTCTACCTCCTCGATCACCTCGCGCTTGCCCCCATGGGGCTTTACCCTCCATACCTCCTCCCGGTTGCATACAATGCTCTCGATCGTGCGTAAGAGATCGAGGGAGTCCGTTGCAGGCAGGATTATCACAGCTCACCCCCTTGGGGTTGTGCTTGTGAATCCGTATCCCATTCGCGGGGTTCACTTTTCGTTCGAGCGAGTGGGTGGCAACAGCGTTGGCATACTCGGATCCAGGCCGAGCGAGTTTCTGCTGGCCTCGTTGCCTGTTGGCTTCTTCCGAGAATGCTGCTGCAACGTCTTCGAATGCGACTGGAGGAGGAGCAGTGGATGTGGATGTAGTGGAAGTAGGGACTTTGTAGAGTCCGAGCGTGAGGCTGCGGAATACGACCCATTGTGGGGTTTCTGGTAGTCCATGTAGTAACATCCAGACTGCTTCGGAGTCGGTGAATGCAATTCCCATTTCGGCGAATCTTCGTCGACCATTCTCGAAAACACTGATGTAACGCGAGGCGTCTTCAGCGTCCTTGAGTCGTTCTGAGAACAGTTGATCGCGAAGTTCGAATTGAGATGTTACGTCGAGTCGACCGAAGCGCTTGGAGAGAGCGTCCCACTGTTGACGAGCCGTTAGCTTTTCGCCAAGCATGTTCTGAACGATGATGGAGAGGCGTCTGCCAATGATAGCTTTGGCTTGGGCGTCCTCTTTTATCCAAGTTTTCATGGCGGTGAGTTCTGCATCAGTGGGTTGTGCGGGTGTAGCTGCCGAGGGAATGGTGCTGGCGAATTCAGCGACGTCTTTGGGGTCGGTGCCATTGCTGCAATGATTCCAGAGGCCTTCCCCAGCTAAGGCTAGCTCAACAGACCTTCGCCAGCTGGGATAGATGTCGGCGCCCGTCAATTCGACGATGTGATCATATTTACCCATACTGGAGGATAAACGAGTTGATCGATCGTGAGGGTTCGTGGTGGTCCAGCCGTTAGATGAACCTGAGTAGAGTCCTGCGAGTTTGTTCGCGTTCGTGTGGGTCTGAGCTCTAGATGAGCTCAGGGCTCATAACCTATACGAAGTAGTCAAACTAGCGGAGAGACACGCTCAGTAAGTCGCGTAGAACAATACTTTATTCATTGATATGTACCTAGCGGAGAGACACGCTGGTATGCTAATCAGTATGTGAGATATGAGCAAGATGAAGTCTACACACCTCAGTAAGTCGCGTAGAACAATACTGAGGTGCGTGATGCGAGACGAGCAAGATTAAATACCAGTAGCTAACGAGACCGGTGAAACAACGTGCGGAGAGTACTCGTATGGTCAAGAAGCAAAGAAGACGCCAAGTGTAATGACACATGTGGTGTTGATGGTGATAGCGTCAAGAAGGAAATTGAAAGTCTAAAGGTAAAAAGCTTACAGGGACCTACGACGGCTTTCATCAAGGAGTTGTCGAGCGCTGGCTTGTAAGTACTGTGTTTCTATTGATTGGCTACTGATAACTTTCTTCCAAATAGTTTCGGCTCAAAGGGCGAGCACATCATTGTGCACGCCCTAGAAGCCATGTTTCACACATCCACCATTCCTCTTGACGCTATTCGGCCGCTCGACGTCAAAAAGTTCACTCATGCTTTCCTGGTTCCATATGTTGCTACTCGTGCAATTGCCCATCAACTCAATGTCAGTATCGCAGAGGCTCACACGATCCTGTTGAAAAGCAGAGAGGCTGGGATTCGGCTACATCCTGCACTAGACTCGGACGAAGAACTGGACCAGATCTGCAGGTCGAACATTCAGCGGTCCAAGTCAAACACAATTGTCATCCGTCACAAGGAAGCTCAAGATGGTCCGCCGAGGTTTCGCAACCGGACTTGGCGCACAGAGGTACTTTCACTTCATTTGACAAGCATATACTGACCATACATTTATTCAGACCACACCGCCTCCACAACCTGGACCTTCACGCCATGCCAATGCCCTCGAGCTCTCTAACCGGCTATCTCCTCTCTCCTCGGTGCCACCAGTAAGTCCTTTTGTATTCGCATAGTAGTTTCAGGCCTGCATGTTTGAAAACTTTTCCAGTCGCCTGCTGCAAGACCTGATACACGCAGGGAGACACGGAGCAAAACTAAGGCAGTGGTTGTTCGGGATAAACTGGAAGTCAGAAGAAAACGCGCCCGGCACTGACAGTACTGACCTTTTTTCTTCGACTTGACTTGTCTTGCGAGTGGTGGCCATATACACCTTGGACTGCTGGCAACCTGCTATTTGATACACTCTGGACTCGTTCGGTACACTCTGGACTCGTTCGGTACACTCTGGACTCGTTCGATACACTCTGGACTCATTCGGTATGCCGGACCCTCAATGCCTCGCTATCATTATTTCTTTTTTTCTTGGACCAAATCATGTAATGCTTGCCCACTCTCATGTAATGCTTGCCCACTCCGCATCGTGAATGTATCATTATTCCAATCACTATGAATGTTGCGCACAGTGAATTTTCAGTGTCCTGAGCAGTGTTCCAACGGAATAGAGAATATTCAGTATTGCAGACTCTTAATTTGCAATGTCTCAAACACTGTTTTGCAGTACCGCGAACATCACAATTTCAGCGTTTTTACTTGGTGTACCAATCCCGTTTCAGTGTTTTCGATACTGAAAAATGTCACTTTCAGTATTCTAGGTACTGAATTCTCGCACAGCCTATGTTCTAGTTACAACGTAGACTGCGGTCAAAATACACAAAACCCTGAAAGTCAGTGTTCTGGACGTTGACATTCAGTATTCTATACATTCATTTTCAGTGTTTTTACTTCCCACAGTGTCTTGCAAGTCTGACTTGCCCTCCGCTAGGAACAGCGGCGGTCAAAATAATATCTTGACCACGACTGTGGAGCTCGCTTTCCTAAAGGATAAGCCCTTCATCTCGCAACTCAGCTACGGGACAACCTTCTACCGCTCGCCAACGCCAGTGAACAGCAGCAATGACTCAGACGTGTTTTCCACCTCATTTGACATGTTATACAGCGACACCTCTGTTCAACAGGATGTGGTGATCCTTCAAGTTGGTATGAAGTCGGACGAGCTTAGAACATACTACTTACGTGCTGGAGGTCTTGACCTCTGTTGTAAGTGAGATAATGCACGTACGTACCTTGTTCTTCGTGAGTTTGGGAACCGAGCCGAAGTATGCTGCCAGTGATATAACAGGGTATCATGCACTCGGCTCAGGCTTTCACACTCGCCCCCCTAGCCTGAAATCGCACAGCTGAGGCATAATGGGCAAGCTCACCACTTTCGGGTTTCTTCGCGAGCAATGGACGGACCTCCCCATCTCCACTACGGACGTCAGCGATCAGTCGCTGGTCGTGGTCGGTGCTAATGTCGGGCTTGGAAACGAAGCTGCCGTGTATTTGGCCCAGCTGAAACCCAAGAGCCTGTTGATCACCAGCAGAGACGAAGTCAAGTGCGAACAATCAAAAGCAGGTATGCGTGAACACTCTGAAGCTTACTAAGGGACTTTATGACTTGTATAGACGTGGAGACCCGGTCGGGCATGACTGATATCGAATCCTGGCCTCTTGAGTTAAGCTCATTCGACTCAGTGCGTTCTTTTGTGAACAATTTCGAGGCGAAGGGCTGCACAGCAAATGTTGTGATCGCCAACGCAGGCGTGTCGACGACGAAGTACACGAAAACTCTGGATGGCTATGAAACTTCGTGAGTGCTTGCTATCATTGCCATTTATTTTGCCTCGAGAATTTTCATAGATTGCAAGTGAATTACCTGTCAACCGCTCTGTTGAGCATATTGATGCTGCCTCACCTCATCAAGACCGGGACTCCTGAACATGCTTCAAGACTAGTTATTGTGTCTAGCGTGGCTCATTTTCAAGCCAACAGGCTAGAAGGAGCAGAGAAATGGCCTAGTATCATCGAAATGATCAACGATGAGGCGTATTGTACCTCTAGGCAAGTTTCATTGATGTATTTTCGTGCAGCAATAATGAACCCGCTGCAGCGTGATGATGAACCGATATCAACTATCCAAACGTAAGTAATAAAGTACATGCATTATTATGCTCACCACACCGTCATACGCAGTCCTCGAAGTGATGTTCATCCGTGAGCTGTCTTCTCGGCTTTCCACACCAACGTTGGTCGCAGTTTCCGCGGTCAATCCTGGTCTTTGCCACTCCCGTCTTACACGAGATGTCGATCCTTTCTCCAAGTTTTTTATGAATATTCTCCAAGGGTTACTGGCACGCACGACTGAGATGGGCAGTCGGACACTTGTCCATGCGGCAATCGAGCCAGGTGAGAGGGAACGGCATGGCCGCTACCTGTCGAGTTGCGAAGTTACCGAAGAGAGCGACTATGCTCTCAGTGCGGAAGGAAGGGAGGTGTCGAAGCGTTTGTGGGTGCGTACCTGCTCATTTTTGACTGCCATTGTGCAGACTGATATCCGACTGAACAGCATGAGACCCTCAAGATTCTTGGAGACATCGATCCAAGAGTCAACACAATTGTGTCTGAGAACCTCATCAAGGCATGATAGCATGACATAACGGCTGTGGTGTATTCTTATCTCAGTTATCTGTGGCTGTCGGTGGTACAAAGTTGAGCTCGCCCTGTTTTCAACGTTGAATATTGAATGGCGTTTGATTGTCCGAGTATCAGCGAATAACAATGCAGAGTGTAGAACAGAGCTAAATACATGTGTTCCCCGACATCGAAATGCTACAGTTAAGAATATATGAAAAGACAGGAAGAGCACGACATGCACAGTCACACTGAGAGGTATTAACAGTATCTGTGATGCCGCGTATTGGCCGCGTAGCTACAAAATGCAGAGAAAAGCGTCACGTGCGCATCTCTGGCATTACGACTCCGCTCCTTGCAGTGTTGCACAGCTGGCCAACCATACCCAACACCATACCCAATCATTTCTATCATTGACACAGTTCGGATTCGGGCTGCTTGGCCATCTGGATCCTCATACAAGACGTTCGTCAAGTTATGTGGACAGTACAAGCACTTCAAGACTGGTCCAGTGACTTGTGGATAATGTTTCAATAATCAAGGGGTCAAACTTTGTTATTGCCCCAAATATCTTTACCCTGCCACTTAAATCCTCTGGTTATGTGCACCGATAATTATAGCCATACCAATTCTGCACAATTTGCGCCTCTCCGATGATATCGAAAAGTGGTGCACCAAATGCCAGTCAAGCACACCCATTTTTCTAGATTCGTGCTGCCAAGAAAGCTGAAAATAGCTCTGCATCAATCTTCGGGAACACCAGATCGCAATCGCGAGGGCTGTGTATGAACTTTGTTTATATTGTTCGCCTCCGAAGACGGAGACTCAAGCGCATTGATTTATGTATTCACGGCAGCCACGGAGGAGCTGCATTTCTGTGCTTTCTGCAGCCCAGGTGGACGCGACTTTCGATCTTACCATGGGTTTCATCAAGCCCTTCGTTTCCCCAACTGATAAACGCATTGGTAAGTTAGACACAACCCTTCTACATGTCAACTCTACGCAGAAACTGCTCTAGTCACTAGGTAATGAATAAATGCGGCGAACTTATCGATGTGACATACAGATTGAACCTGTGGTTTGCTCAATCAGCGGTCGCTCCTTCGAGAGACTTGGAGGGCCCCAAGAGGCGATGCCCAGAGTTGTGATGGTAATTTGGTGAGCACCACTTGAACGACTGCGTGTAAATTCTATTTTGTTTCAGTATACGATTGCGTTCAGAGCCGGAGCTACGGAATCACAAATAAGCTCACTGGAGAACTTCGAGAACCGAGATGTTCATGTTCAAGTGTTCCGAGAAGCAGAACGTTCTATTAATCGGGACCAAAGTCCGGATTCCAAGCCTGCAATGGTCCTTATGCGAGTATGTGTTTAACGGATGACAAAACTTGTTGGTGATTATTGCGAACGTACGATGAGATGATTTGCTCTTCATATTTTATAGGTTGGCGTTGGGCAAGAATTGTGTATATTAAGGTCCGTCGATATCGATTTCTGGATCCAATATGCGGATCCACCAGACGTCTTGAGGCTGCGGGCCCACCTAAGTCGTGCAAATGCTTGATGTGAATGACCGTTTATGACGTTTGACATGACAGATTGGACACTGAAGGATATGCCGTACCCCCACGGGCACTATCGCTCTGCCATCGAGCTTTATGGCATCGAAGACATGCCGACGGTCGTTCCGAACGTTCGGGACGATACGGGGTCGTTAATTCACCCATCGGAGTACAGTCAGAAAATCACAACGGCTATGGTCGTAGCGGACGTCAACTTGTCACTGTAAGTACCCTCGGATCTGAGTTGGAGAGCGCTCATATTTCTCCAAACAGAGGCCTGGCTCCTATCTGGTTTTCCACCTTGCTACACTTAAGTTTCATTTTGGAAATAGTTCGGTCTGGTTTTTTTCCTTGTGCGTGGTGGTCGAGTAACAAACGATCACGTCGTGACTGTTCGTAAATTGCTATTGGTCCGCAGCTGTACTAAACAACATTGCACATCAGTGGACCAGTGAACAGATGTCAGAATGGCATTTACATAAAGTAATGTATTGTTGAGCATTAACAATCAGGGTAAATTTGTCGACCGCTTTCACATGGATGCAGGGTTCTCTGATCATCATACACACGCTACGTGCACCGAAAATATGAAAATGCAATTGCAAGAATGATCATGCTAACGAATCACAGATTTCGAAGTAACATCGCAAAAGTGATTCAAGCAGGCTGGACAATTGGTTCGAGAACAACTAACAGTCAATTTTAACGGGCCTTACGGTGATATACCTTGTAGGACAAATAATGCACCTCGTGCTAGTGACGACGCCCAGCGGCTGAGGCCGCCCGAACTAATCATTCTAGATTTCCTGCAAAGCCGTAAATAAGACAACTGGTACCACGCTTGCAACGCACTGCCATCCAAGCCACCCGATGAATCAGATTCAGTGCGGCTGTACGTAAACTTTGTTTATATTAATTGTTTGCATCTATGTAGCACACCATGACTATGCAGTATATGTATCCGCAGGCCATCAACCATGGAGAAGCTGCATTTCTATACCCTCTGCAGCCCTGGTGGACGTAACTTTCGAATTTCGCCAGGCCTCTCCCGTTCCCAATTAATTAACGCTTTCGCAAGTCAGAACACAACTTGAATGATCAAACTGTTTTCTATAACAGGTTTGCAAAACTCAGTATAGGCACGATGAGCACTTTCGATGCAAGGGTGGTGATCGGGCCAGTCCAAGTCTGTGGGCTTTTGAGCGCTGCATTATTCGGCAGCCTTGCCTGCCAGACCTACTTGTATTTTGCAAGATTCGCAAACGATCACATCGCCCTGAAAGCAACTGTGAGTCGATCAACAGCACAATTCATTGTTGTTTTTAATGATCGCTTCATACGGCTAGGTATCTGCAGTCATGTGCGCTTCATCTTTGGTTCGGTTCCTTTGAATAACACTGACACAGATTCCACAGCTTGATTCAGCTGGGCCACTTTGTCTGCGTTATATCGACGTTGTGGACGATGACTGTTAGCACCTATGGTGACCCATATCAACTCAGCGTGCTTCCTCTTGCTTTAGATCTAGCCGTTCCGTTGAGCGGTTTGACAGTATTCGTTGTGCAGGTGAGCTATTTGGAGATGTATATTCAGTATTTAGTGCTTACGGGTAAAATCAGTCATTTTACGCTTTTCGGCTTTGGAGGTTAACTAAAAATGTTTTCTTGCCCATTTTTTGTCAAATGCTCTCCGTGCTCGCACAAATTTCCACGTTCGTTGTCACGGCAAAGGCGATTTCTATGACGAACGTCGTCACTTTTGGGGAACAACAATTGGGGCTGATTGAGGTCTCTTTCATCGCACGTGCGGCCTGTGACTTGATCACCACCGTTGGTATTGCCTGGGGTCTAAAGAAGCAACGGGTCTCTGACATCAGAGGGTAAGACCATCCATAATATTGCCTGACATTCCTTTCTAATCTGCCATAGCACGAGCACGATGATTGATCGATTGATTAAATGGACAATTGGTGAGATATTAGGAAGCGCCTTCATCGGATGATTGCCTCTTGCTAATGTCACCTCTTCACAGAAACTGGTCTAATCACCAGGTATTTGACTTGTTTTGGGCATATAAGTTTTTATCAATGATCTGTCAGTGTGATGGCCTTTACATTGGCAACGTGGGTGAGGGCTTCGTCACCGATATCTTTCCCCGAAAGGAGCTTTCTCTAACTAGTTTCTAGTTTCTAGTCCTGAAGCAGCAGAACTGTGAGTTCATTGGTACCCCCGTATTCTCCCACAACTGAAATGACGCAGTTATGTGGATTGGAGTATGGTTGCTGTGGCCTGATGGTAATGATACAGAATATTTCTCATTAAACATATTGACCCACATATCGTGCAGTCGTAGGGAACACCTTGTTAGCCTCGTCAGTTGCCGAACGGAAAAATAATCAACGCGACAACGAAACTTACGAATGACATACAGGTTGAATCGTCGGTGGCTTCTTCGGGACAATGCCCCAAGAACGGGTACTCAGAGTTATGATATGGTGAGCACCAGTCATTTGAACAGCTGCGTATAAATTATAATTATATTTCAGAACACGATTGTGTTTAGCACCAGAGCTGCGCAACCACAGGCAGACCCATTGGAGAGCTTCAAGGACCGAGATATTCAAGCGTTCCAAGAAGCGGAACACGCAATCAATCCGGGACAAAAGCCGATTCATATACGAGCAATTGTTTGACAGATAACGAAACTTGTTGCTGGCTATGAGGCTCCAGAATGTACGACGAAATGATATGTAGATTGACATAGATAAGACATAAAATATATGCCCATATGTTGCCCGACCAGTGGATCCAATGGTGACTTGAATCAAAGTGCGTCCATGACTCTAGGGACATTATGTGGAGTGCCCTTACAGACGGTCGGTGCATGACTGGCGGTACATTCCATAACAGCAACTTCTTGTGTAAATGTTGGCACATTAACGCAATGACGTGGAGCACTGCGCAGCATGAGAGATGGACAAAACTCTCCTCAAGCTGCTGACAGAGATGCGCAATTCTAAATGCCAACACACTGCACGATAGGATAGTGACAGCCTCGCCGTCAACGCTGGATGGTGATACGCTCAACTGCAACATGGAACGATGATGTTCAACACATCGACATTGACCTCACTTTACAGAATTCGCCCGAGATCATCGCGAGTCGTAGGAACCCCTCAGTCATATTCGTCATCTCCTTCTATACTAAAACCCGTCCCAAGGGCGTCAGTATCGGCGTCTAGTGCTCGGTCTCCTTCAGTAGGATCCTTGTCGGAGAGGGTCTTCCTGCGAGACTTGCGGCCTTTGGTTTCCTTGCTGTGAGTGTCAGCAGGGGGTCGAAGTGATGCTAGGAAACACCCATAAGATGACAAAACATGAACTTCACATCGCACGCACAATGAATAACGGGCTGTAGATTGTATAGGCGATATAGGTGAAGGACAGCTTGCTCCTTGTCTTTAGCCTCAATCATCAAATCTGTGCTGACGTGAACTTGATAGCTCAATATTAGAAGTGTTAAGGCGCACCCATGTCATCTGGCAGGGCCTCAGGTAGCCTCTGGCATCTATCCGCATGTGCTCTACGTTCCATGACTGTGACGGCGCCTTCACGAGGTTCGCTCAAGTGCTGCTTAGGCTTGATGCCGCGCCTGGCGAAAATCATGTTGGTACGTGTAATAATATCCGAGGGAGTGAGATCAGGAGATGGATAGAGCACATCGTGATGATAGTCGAAGACGAGTGGGATGTCCAACTCTTCGCATATCGGTAGCAGATCTGCAGCATTGTAACAAAGCTGCGGAGGACAGAAGAAATCAGTCAATGAAGCATCATCTACAACGAAGGTAAGGCTGACTTCATCATTTTCTAAAACTAAGCGGTCTCTGACGTCTTTAGGAAGGTCCTCCTTGACTGTCTTGCGAATCCTAGCCAGCGCTGCCTCTTTGTCACCGTAGACCCCTCCCCCGTGGATAATCATGACGCCGTCAGGTCCAATGCCCATGAGGTTGAGCATCTGCGCGTGGTACTCAAGCTCGCGAATGCCGGCTTTGATCACTGAGTCCCTAGGAGAGCCCAACTGAGTGAATTGGCCCGGATGAACCGTGAGTCGGTGGCCATATTTGTTTGCCAGGGCGCCAACCTGGGCTAGAACGGGGGCACAATAGTCTAGGGAATACCCATAAAGTTCGTGTGATGCAAATGGAAACATGTTGGATGATCTGCGGGCAAGGGTTCAGCGCCTAATATGTCTGCAACAAGAATGAAATGCACAGTCTCATGAAGCGTATATTCTGGGGATGAACATATTAATGATTAATGAGTGACCACAGGCATGTTAAGACAGCGGAGCATACGTTTTCTTCGTTCCACTGAATTATTTTGAGCATATCCTCAATATTTCGTCGACCAAGGTCCTTGGCCCACTCTATGCCGTTCTTTTTGATTGTATCAATGCTGATTTGTATTTTAAGTAAATGTCAAAAAACAAATTACATGCGCTTACCGACAGGTCCGTGAGCAGAATACTGCCTCGTCTGCAGGCTTCCTGTTGCGCAAAATGGTGTTCAAGCAAGCGTACCCTGAGAAGGATGTAAAGGATCCAAACTTATAAGCCAGTTCACCTACCCAGACGCCCACGAAACGTGGTCTCCTTTGTCTCAACCTCAGGAATGACATATACGGGCTCTGCTTTAGAGGCACGCTTACGTTTCTTCTTTGGAGGTTGCTCATCCAAAGACTCTGCACCATCTACAGGAGCTTTTCGATTCCTAGGCCCGGTTCCTTTGGACTGTCTCTTTGTCTTAAGCAATGTAAAATCTTCATCCGAGCCAGGGCAAGTGACTTTCGTGTTTCTCTTAAGCGCCGCTTTCTTATTGTTCCGTAGGACAGTCGCACGACGAGGTTTAGGAGTCTTCATTCTGTGCTCCTCCTCTTCCTCAAGGGTGTTTTTATCCGGTTCGTCGCCTTGTTCTGTTTTCGTAACAGATGGCACCATCTTCTGCGTCTTCGCAGCTCTTGGCCTAAGAGTTCGCCCAGGCTGTAGCACTGCGGCAGCGCCGGTTACTTCCATGGTCACCTCTCGTGTGGCGGACTCAGCGGTGGCCGCAGATGAAGCTGGGGGCATTTGCATTGAGGAAGAATATACCAAAGTTCGTGTGAGATGATGGGACGTCAAGTGTGGACGATGGATAGCACGGATTGCTCTGAAACGAGGAAGGATAGAAGAGTGAGTAAAGAGAGCCTGGACGATTGCGCGCCTGCCACTGGTGGTTCGGTTCAGAATCTTGCCTGACCGGGCCCAGTATACTCCCTGGGTTAAGGCAAAAAGAAATAATGGCAGTTCTTACACGCACGACTGTTGCTGCAGTTGGCCCAGAGCAAAGTTTGCATGGAATCCTGTCGTATTCATCATCATGATAGGGGGAACTAAGAGTGTGACAAGCCAGGTGACGTGACACTTCATGCCAAGAAACTCAGCACTAGTACTTATGGAAGGAAATGAGACAACAACGCTGAATATTCGCAACTCTCAAAAGAATAATGGGATGAGCCGCTGTACTAGTGTAACGACAGAATGATACATAGGTGCATAAAAAACACTGGAGAATGTATTATCAGCTTGCTTCCATCTCAGCAAGAGCGGCTTCATTGAGCGCTTCTGCCTCCTCCATAATTTTCTCCTCCAGTGCAGCCACCCTCGATTCTGCATCCCGACGCTCGCGGTCAAGCTCTGCATACCGCTCCTGTAGCATCCGCTCTCTCCGTAATAGAACGTCCACCTCCTCATTCAGCGCCTCCAATCTCCGTGGTCCCGCAGCAGCCTCGTTGATGCTGAGTCGAGCGAAGCTCTCGTAGTCCACTTTCGTTCTCACGAGGTCATCGAAAGCTTCGACCACGCGCTTCGTAAGAGCTTTTGAACGTGCTTGATATCCACCGAGGGTGATGTCGAGCTTCTTCTCGATCTTGGTGGCTTTGCTGGCCTCTTTCGACATCTCCCCACGGCACTCCTCGAGCAGTGAGGTATAACCGGCTATTCTGGCTTCAGCGGACAGGCTGCTAGGTTCTACCCATGTTCTCGAGGCGCTATCAAAGGCAAGTTGTTGGCGAATACTTGCCCAAGACACACTCTCGTCGATCTCTTCGCTGCCCGACAGCGTTGCCAGTCCCTCCTTAACTTGGGCTTCATTGGCATCAGGGAATCCTATTGATGAGGCAAGTTCAAGATGAACCTGAGCCTTAGCAGCAGCGAGGTCCTCATCTGGCGGTATTTGATAAGTTGACGGTGTGCCGCCAGGAATATTTGTGCCGGGGAGGGGATACGCTATCGAGTCGTGCAGCAGGAGATCCGCGATCTCCGCATTGAGGAGTCTCCTGACCTCGGCCATGTCGTCATCTTCTTCCCCAAGGTTCAAGTCCCCCATCAGCTGCTGCACGTCAACCCGTGCAGGACGAGGAAGACCACGGGCAACAACCTGCGTTCGTCTTGCCAGAGCTTTTCTCTCCTCCTCTTCGCGTATTCGCTGCAAACGTGCATCTCGTTCGGCAGCATCTTCCTCTGACATTGGGCCCGTGGTAGCCTCTTCATCTTCATCTTCGGGAACCAAAAGCTCGAAGTTGTTTTCAGGCTTGGGAAGACTCATGAATCCAGCCTTCAAAGCACGCTTGGCGGAGTCGGCACGCAACCGCAGGTCGCGTGGTGTGTCGCCAACTGGCATGCCCGTAGCAGGATTGATGCTGAGGGTATCGCGCATAGGTGTCCGCAGCGGGGTTGCGCCCCATGATGCACCATCCCGCGGCGTTGCAGAAACATCACCTGCGCCGCCATGTATAGGAGTCGCGAGAGGATTTGGGGTAAAGGCAACTTGATGCCGAGGAGTTGCACTTTCGAAACCAGTTCCTCCCCCTGGCCCAACATGAAGGGGAGTATTCTCATCTCCCAACAAAGGCGTCTGAGCCATGGTCATGTTCCGTAAATTACGTGCTTCCAACATGACATTATCCTCTGCGATAAAGCTCAGTCGCCGCGATGGAAGCGAGTATTAAAGAAGACTCACGTTGGGGTGCAGTACGAGGTGTTCGTGCCATCCTTGCGCCCTCCAGACCCTCGTAGTCACTCAACAGCTTAGCAGTTGCCTCGCTTCCGCCACCAACCAACGCCTTGGCATTTTCCCCCGTCTGTCCGATCTTGACAATGTCTTCTAGCTCCGCCTCCCCAACTTGCGCATTCGGCAACACGAGCTTCCGTCGTCGACCAATGCTCTCAGCCTCTTTCAGCTTCTGTATCTGCGCATCACGAGCGGCAATGAATTTCGTTTGGTGGCCGTCATTCTCGCCTTTAGCCTCTGCTGCACGACGCTGTCGCTTCCTCCGCTCAGCTTCCTCTTCATCAGGCTTACGCTTGTTTTCCAGACGGCGGAGAGATTGGCCGACTGGCGCAGAGGTAATGCGCGCCTGTTCCTCCGACGTGTCGTAGAAGCCCGCCGCCGGCTTCTTTTCGAAGGGAATGTCAGCATTGTAGTCCATACCCTTATTTTTCGTTTTGTGTCGCATACTGGAGCATATAACATGAAGAAGGTAGCCAAACGAAGGAAATATATTGACGTACATGATTCCAGCAGCCTTCAGCTCACGCTTTTTTTGCAAGACTGCGAGTCGTCTTGCTTCCTCGAGCTGACGTTCGCGAGCCTTCCGCTTAGCTTTCTTTCCCTGCGTATTTGCGAGACGAGCACGGGCTTCGGATAACATTTCCTTCTCTGTATGCAAAATCAATAAAAGCCTGCCTCCTGAACAGGAGGAAACGCACCGTCTTCGTCCATGTCAATAGGATCGGGACGTGCAGGCTTGGTTTCAGGGTCAGGGTCAATCTCTCCTGGCCGCAGGCGCCTGATGTCGTCTGCACTCGGCGCCGACTCTCCCTCTGGTCCCGTCAGTCCCAACTCCTCGTTTTCTTTCGCCTCAGCCTCATCTAGTAACTTCTGATATCGTTCAAGACATTGCGTAGCTGTACGACCAACTGCGGGAGCTATTGTCCGCCACTGCGTGGGCATGATTTTCGCGAGATGCATCAACTTTTCATCCTCGGTCTGGGTAGCAAATTATAGGTTTTAGTATCCAAACAGGGTCTGCGGCACACACCTTTGACCATTCCGTCTTCTTGATAGACGGATCTAGCCACTCGTACCACCGCGCTTTACATTGTTTGGGTGTCTTCCGGACCAGCAACGACGAAATACGGGCCCTGGTAATACTTAGTACCAGAGCGGAGCAATTGACTATGAGATGAAAACTCACCATTGATTCTTCCCGTACTTGGCTATCGCAGCCTTGAGAACTTCGTCCTCCGTGTTCTGGATGACGTGTGTCAGATTGGGATTCCAGAAATGTTCAAACCGAAGTTGTAATGTACCTTCCAAACACCTGGAAACAAAGTTACGATTAAGATACGTGCAAAAGCATGGATAGAATCACACTTGCCTCCTTTGATAATAATTCGAACCATGGCTGCTGGTGGACGGGCTTCAACCAAGTACTGCTGTACAAGCTGTTTTGACGACAATGAAGTGTTGCAGTAGCTTAGTAAGCTTGACGGATCGCCCAACCTCTCGATTGCTGAATGAACCAGCCTGTGACACCAAATATATATTAACAGGGACCTATACCATGGCCTTGTAGTCTAGAGGTACGATACTTGCTTTGGGTGATTCACAATTGCAAGTGGCCTGGGTTCGATTCCCAGCAAGGCCCTTCTTTTTCTTCTTTTGCTCACCATCCCAATCTAACGTTTGGCATTCTCCATTCTTTTGACTGTCGACCTCAGGGCTTATCCGTCTCAGGTTTCAGGACATTTCAGACTCATTTTCTGGCTCGCTAGAGTTGGTGAATGCTGTCCATACTAACTAGAGCCTGTGGCAACTTTGCAGCAAGCAATTGGCTGCCAAAAATCATTTGATACATCACATTGCAGGCGGCGACCCTGGACTAGCATGATGTGCTACCATACATCCGCAAGGAAGAAAAGCGGGGAGGGTAGATTTATACCTAACAAGTTTAACGATATAAAGGCGAGGACGAACTTGTGGGAGACCTCGGCGGTTTGAAGGGTCTCGACCATGAAGATCTTGATGCGGCAAGGACGGCGAGTATCGATGTCCGGAAGCTAGTCAAACGATGATGTGACGAGTCTGACGACCGTTTCTGATGGATCTGTTCCATGGTCCACGGGGCTATGCAGCGGTCCTCAATTCGGAAGAATGGCAGCGACAATTCGGTTGTTGACTCTGCACCCGAATTTGATGATGCCTGGACGAGTTAATTGATAATTGCAATCTATAGTGTTCGTCGTAAATTATTTTACATACTAGTAGGACTGTACATCAAGTTAGGAGCAGTGACTGTGGAAATCGGGATATATGCATGGCAATATTGTCGAATAACAAGAAGAATACATCCGTGCGTTGAGCAAGTCCGCGAGAATAAACAGGAGAAAGGCCGAGGGCATGCAATACGCATTAACCACACATACCGTGATCTATGACCTTCCCGCAGCGAGTGCATATGACCCTGCGGTCAAGAAGGCAACAACTAATGCCCAACGGGAACCAAACTATTGCGAGCAAAATACCTAAAGAAAGGTACGGATCAGCTTCTTGCCTGCTGGCACGAGCTTATCCTTACCTAGAATGCCGAACTTGGTTTCAGTTGTATGTCCCCCTTGCTGTAAGCATATCATTTCTGGGTGGTTTGGGGGCAGTAGTGAGGCGATCTGTTCGCCAGTCAAGGGATTCTGATAGTGGTAGATTGTAGGATCCTGCATCTTAGGCATAGGACGAGCGTGAAAAGGAGTCACAGTATTAGGAGGCATTGTGGGTGGGTTCGCGGCCCCATTGGACGTCGAAGGTTGATATGGCTGTTCATCTGAGGTCACAGTAAATCATTGAACATTCAGGGTGGTAACAATGTGAAGACAGACTTGAACCATTCTGAGTTGCGACGTATTCGTAGGCAGGTGGGTTATCTGCACTATGCTTGATCACCTGAGGGGTTCATTAACACCAAAGTCATCGAACTTGCATATATGCGACAGGGACTCACCATGTTTGACTGAGAATCAATTATCATCGATGTTCTGCTACGTGGCTCTTATAAGAGGGAAGGAGCTGCGCACTGCGACACATGACTCAGGCGCTGAAGGGCACTGCAGTGCTCAATATGCAGATAGGGCGGTCCATCACGTCAGCTGCGGGGGTATTTGTTTTCCATTGTTTATTTCGATCAGTGCGTCTATTGTTAGAACCTAGCTGAATTGAGGAACAGATTTGACCTTTAAGGAACTCTGCAGCCCCCTTCTGTTGCTGAGTAAGCCGAGACGCCGTCTCGAACTGTATAGTTCATCAGAATTGTTCTCACGGGTCAGGTCTGACAGAATCCGGATCTCTTTCGATCGTGGGAAGGGAATTTTTATCTGCAAACACAACTCGATCTTTTGCACTTCACAGCTTCACCCAACTGCTTCGGTTCAAGATGGAAAGTGCAGGACCATCCACCCACCATATCGCCTCCGATGTCCAGTCGGAAAGTGCAGGACCATCCACACATCACATCGCTCCCGATGTTCCATCGGACTCGATGACCTCTAGAGACTAGTTCGCACATTCGCGCACCTCTTCTCAGGGAAATTCTAATATTAATTTTGCTTATTTCTTCCAGTTATGCGGATTCATACGCGCATTTTGGTTTGTTAATATATCTAGTCGCGTTTCAATGTTTACTCAGTCATATTCTGTCAGGTATTCACGAGGAAATGCTCAAGGACACTGTCCGCACAGGATCCTATCGTAGTGCGATCGTCAACAACGCGCACCTCTTCAAGGGTAAAACAGTCCTAGATGTTGGTTGCGGAACTGGCATCTTGAGTATGTTTGCTGCAAAAGCAGGCGCTTCACATGTAGTCGGTGTAAGTACCACATGTCTATCTCGCTCGTATCATTTCCTGCATGCCTTTGAAGATCGACATGTCAAATATTATCGATCAAGCTCAAAAAATTATAGAAGCAAACGGCTTCAAAGACAGTACGTCTGACTGCATCCTGCTGATACCGTCTGTAGTAACATTACATCAGCCATTACCCTTGTTAAGGGAAAACTTGAGGAATCCCAACTTCCTATCGATCAATTCGACATCATCATTTCCGAGTGGATGGGTTATTTCCTGCTCTACGAATCTATGTTAGACACCGTGTTGCTTGCAAGAGACAAATACCTCAAGCCGGGAGGATTGATATTCCCCGACACCGCAAGATTACTTTTTGCTGCCATTGAAGATCAGGACTACAAAGAGGAGAAGATCAATTGTACGTATATTTTTAGTTGTACGCGCGCTTGGCTGAAAATAGTATCTGTAGTCTGGGATAACGTGTATGGCTTTGACTACTCGTGTATCAAAGACATCGCACTACGCGAACCTTTGGTGGATACCGTTGAACTTAAAGCGGTCGTAACCGATCCTCGTGTTATCAAAGTTTGTTGCCATCAAGTCATCAATAATTCTTGTCTGACTCCATACAGGAAATCAACCTCTTGACAGCGACGAAGGAGGATCTGACTTTCACAACACCTTTTTCCCTTGTTGCTACACGGGATGACTGTGAGTGTAACGCATTAGGTATAATCGCAGCATTCATACGCATTTTTATAGACATTCATGCATTCCTCGCTTGGTTCGACATCGTCTTCGATTGCACACATAAGAAAGTCAAGTTCTCAACTGGTCCTCACGCGCAATACACCCACTGGAAGTACGTCTTCAACCCAGTTTCTGTTGCTCGGATATTTATTTCCCCAAAACAGGCAAACAGTTTTCTACACCCCCTCTACAATCACTGTCAAACAAGGGCAAGGAATCACTGGCAAAGTCACTTGCGCACCGAACGCGCGGAACAACCGCGATCTTGACATTGCCATTTCGTATGCAGTTGTCAATGGGGAAGAAGAGTCAGAAGAGACGACAGTAGAATATAAAATGTGCGTGATTCTATTCTTTCCGCATCTCCTTTCTCCTCCAGTCCGATTCGTGGTATTAATGACTGTACGCTGACCGGTGATAGGTCCTGATCGACAAACAACTCACCATCGGTTTTCTACGCTTCACTGCGCTGTCATATACATTCCCCATATACCGTCGTTTACCTGCAACCGGACCTCTGGATTGAACATCAACAGGTATTAGCTTGGATACACTGACATTGCAGCCCATCTGGCTTAGCTCTTGTGTTACACATATCTGCATCAAACTTAATGTTGTTTGTTGCATCATTAGATTACACCATCTCATCTATCAGTTGACTATGTGCAAATTACGCCCGTCGCCGAAACAATCGTTTTTCTCGAATTTACAGATTCAGCGACAGCATCAACAGCCAACATTAACTCATTCCTCAGCAAATGTGAGCATTTTGATGAACTCAAGTTTTTGGCTAGTTCGGTGCTAGTAATTCGGGCATTGTCTTGTCCTCATCGCCCTCGCGCTCATGCGCAACCAGAAATCACTCTAATTCACAGTTTATGATACAAAGCTGATATTCAAAAGCTTTCGTGGATGGCAGGCAGCCTCCGTTCTTCAACAACTTTGTTGTAATGTATTGCCAATCCAACCCTCAAGCTCTCTGTTGAACATCTCTGGTTCTTCCAAATGAACCCAGTGCCCTCCTTGGAACTCTACCATCTTGAGACCTCCCGTAGCGTATTTCTTCATCAGTGGCACGGCATAATCATACACGCATACGTGGTCTTTCCTCGCGACCGCGAAGAACGCGGGTTTCCTGATAAACTGATCTTCTTCTGACATCTCTGTCGCCGCAGCAAAACGAGATCAGACACTGCAATATAGAGGAATGAGCTTAATATCGTACCTTCCATGATGCGGGAATTGACGCCCTTGAGCATGCATTGGTACCAGTTCAGGGCACTCGTTAAGCCACTTTGCTTCAGTGACTCCAACAAGCGTGAGTGGTGCTACATTTCAGGGATACAGTCAATTTTGACAAGCCCGACAGCAATGAGAAATACCTCGTCTGTGAGATAACTGGCTCTCTTTGTCGTCTTTCCGTTTTCGATGAAGGCCTGTATCTCTCCAGGTTGATTCATCAGAGTCAGCCAATTATCTGGGTCATCCGGATAAAGCACGGATATCAATGATTCCAGCTTTGCGCCTTATCAACAACAAGTGATCAAAATGTTGGTCAAACACTCACGTTCTTCTCGATAATCGCAGAGGCACTTTCTTGGCCAAAAAACTTCCAGTACCCCATCAGCGGCCGGCCATATGTCTTAGTTTGCATCTCCAAAATAACATCAATCGGAGGGACCGGGGAGTATATTTGGTATGCGACGACAACCCATGCGAAACCCAAGAACCTGTCAGAGTGTTTCATTGACAGGACGGAGATTATGGGTGCGCCCCTGATGACAGTTGTGAAGTCAGCCGGTGCGTGCGTCGAATTGTCACTCACCAATCATGTCCAACGGCTACGGCTTTTTGGACTTTCTCGGCATCGAGAATGTCAAGCAAGTCTTGCGCGACTGCGGTGTGCAGAAAGAGGGACACATCGGTAGGTTTGGACGTGCCACCGTATCCGAGCATGTCGGGCGCTACTACTCCGAATCCCCTCTCAGAGAAGTAGTTGATTTGATGATACCAATCGTATGAAATAGAGGGAAAGCCATGGACAAAGAGTAGAGTGGGCTTGTCGCCCACAGCTGGCAAGGATAGGTAATGGTACGTCAGTCCTCTGGAGGTGACGATGTCTTTGTACTTTGAGACAAGGCTCTCGTTCATGGTGGTATGAAGATAAGCTATAGGGATGGGCTGTGATTCTTGGTCGATTTAAAGTGCATGCGCCGCAGCAACTAAGTCGTTTATAGGATTCGTTCTAAAATGAGAAATCAGCTGTGCAGGGCGCTCAGGGTTATGATCCTTGTGGTGGAGGAGCTGTATCGGTATGCATATCGTCAGCCTTACTCTTTCTCGTGTGAAGGCGGATGATGAGGAATATAGGGGGTAATGAAATGTCACCAACTACGAGTCGCGTACGTTACCTGCCGATACCTAGGGAGGAAAAGGTAATAGGTGGATGCGCGAAAAGCTGCGAGTTACATTGTCGAAAGCTCGAGGGAAGCGAGCGACAAAAGGAAAACAACGTGACACGTAAATCTTTGGATGACGCTCACTTATCCAACTAGACTTGGGTAACAAACTGTGAAAGAGAGTGGTACGAATATTCCGGAGCATGCAGCCGGAGGACACCTTCCACCGATCATCATGGAACATTAGAAAGGAGCTGAATTTCATACGTCGGCTAGTGCACGGAACAAGCGTGGAAGTCTTCGTGAATCCGGTATAATATCAATTGACCTAAGATGCAGTTTCAAGTTATAGGTGAGCCGGGCACAAGCGACACCCGTAAAAACGGGGGAAACCCTTTGGGCACTTGCTATCGACTCTGTCCCGTTACTAACACTGTTGTGCATCTGTTCGACGACTCGTCGACGACCAGTGATATGCATTCCTCGTGGGAAAAGGAGTGCCTGCCAGCGGCTGGCCATTACAAGGAGTGAGTTTAATGTGCGGCGTGCGCTCACATGGGATCAGGACAAATCGACGCCCTTAGGTAAAATGTCGGTACTAGTAAGGTTGCAAGCTGATGCACTCTGACGAACTGAGCTTCGTCGAAGAGGTACTAGTAGTGACTTCTGTCAAGTTTCTGTGCAATAATCTTCTCCAGGAGTGACCCTGCGATGACAAGCGGGTATTTGGTGAGACAACAACATATGCTGTGATCCTGTGCAGAAGGTCCGTCCGAATCAATTGTGGACTGCATGCGACGACAAGGTGGACAAGCAGCTGTGCAATGGTCATGTAACAAAGTGGATAGACTTTTATGGATTTGCCGACGGAAACAATAATACTGACCGAACAAGATTTCCTAATTGGGAACTGCTTATTGTGCTTCGTCTGCTTGCATCCCCGTTGAAGAACAATGAAGATGCGGCCAGCGGAGGACACGCTGGGACAATGATAATCTGGCTCTCAAAAGGATAAAGAATGGATTGCTCCAGCCCTTCTCTTGGGCTCTTTTTCTTGCTAATTATTCTGTCTTTTTCTCTTCACTGCTGACGATCGCCACCAGTTGGCGACTAGAGTTTTATTCGACGTCGCAGGCCGACCATCATATCATCATCATCGTTGTCGTCGTTGTCGTTGTCGAAGATGTCCTTCTCTTTTCGCACTCAAAGAGGAATATCGCCTCCGCCTGTTTATGCCGCTCATTCTACATTACAGACTTCGAGCACGACTCTCAGACCTTACCTTCAACTCCCACACATCCTTTCCCTCGCCTGGCTAGCGTATCCAATCATTTCGCTCATCTTTGTGATTTTCAGACTCCAGCTATCATCCCAGTCTGCGCAAACTGCGGTAGCTAATGCGAAAGGTGACCTCTTGACCGCGTGCCAAGCAGCAGAGCAAGCTGCCACGGCTGCTGCCAGTGCTCCCCGGTATATGGCAATTGCTTCAAATCAGTTAATCGCAGATGCTATCAACGGCACCATGAACGACGCGCGCGCAGCTCTGATTCTCTCATTGACTGTCATGGAAGCGATCATCAACTTCCTCATTGACATCTACCGCTCCACGTTCTTGTGTTTCCTCGAACTGATTGTTGGAGGTGGTCTGGCTCTTCTCATTGCTGCTGTTCAAGAGGTACGAATAATTAACTTCCGATGAATCTTGTTGACAGTAATTTAGATTACTTCTTTTTTGCAAAGCACCTTGAACACCATTGTGTCAGGTTTGAAGAACGATGCCACTTCGCTCAACTCTGCAATTACAACCATAGTCAACGATCTCAACAAGGTCAATCCTTTTGGGAACATCAATGCGCCGCAATTCGATGTCACGAGCCTGGACTCTCTGTCCAGTATCACTATCCCAACGGATTTCGAGAATGCTTTGATTCAGCTCAACAATTCACTGCCTACTGTGTCGTCGATCAAGAACTCTATCGAATCTCTGTAAGTCTTGCCCCGAAATGTGCATCTGCGTCTACTAACCCGCATTAGCGTCGACACACCTTTCGAGGCCGTGAAGTCTGACATCAACAGCACGTTCCAAGGCCTTTTCTTTGACGTATCAACCCTTCCTGTCCCTGCTCAGAACGCGGTTTCATTTTGCAACAATTTGGATACCTCCTCAGTTGACAATCTCGGCAATGACCTGCTCACGATCACGAAGATTGGCACCATAATTTTGATTCTTCTTCTCTTCGCCCTGCTAGCAGGGCACTGTGCTCTTGAGTGGTACAAGTGGCGCTGCCTGCAGTTCCACCTCCATCGCACTCGTGAGGCATGGGTTTCCGACCCCACCACGGTGTACACCGGCTCCGCTAATGCCCCCTCAGTCACGCTCACCGACCACAATCTCCTCATGCTCCAGACGGATGCGCAACATCCACTACTTACTCGCATAGCTAATTCCCTATCAACCAAACTGCGTATGTCCCCTTCACAGCACACTCACCTGCGTTGGTTCCTGCACTACATTTTCCATGCGCCCGCACTCGCCTGCTTCTTGATCGGTTTCTTTGGTCTACTTTCCGTTCAAGTGCAGCTCCTCGCCGTCGGCCCTTTGGAAGCAAAGTACAGTGCACAAGCAGCTGCGAGTGTGCAGGATCTCTCCAGCCAGATCTTTGCACAGGTGAATGGTTCAATGTACGACCAGTCCTCATCGTACGCTAGCACCATCAATACACGTGTTGAGACCGTCCAGTCCTCTGTCAACAATGGACTGTTCGGCTGGGTTAATGGCACTACCACAACGCTTAACACGACGCTGAACAACTTTTACACCGATGTCCAGAATATCGTCACGAGTGTGTTCAATGGCACCGTCTTGGAGAACACTGCGCAGGACTTCGTCCGATGTATCATCGGCTCGAAGGTCTATGCACTCGAGGAAGCACTCACGTTCCTGAACGAAAACTTGATTGTTGATCTCCCGACTGTCAATGAGACCGTCTTGGTACTCTCGTCGTCTGACGTCAATGAGATCACTCAGCCAATTGCAACCGCCGCGGTTGGTGGCGGGCAAGATAACTCAGGTGGCGTCATCGGAAGGCTTGTCGCGACGTACGTCGACTCCCTGAAGCAGGAGCGCATCATGTTTGCCCTGTTCCTAGGTCTCTGGGGCGTTGTCGTACTCATGGGTCTCGCTGTCGTTTTCTGGCATTCCTACGCGAAAAATTGGGTTGAAGCATACAATAAGCGCAAGTGGCGCAGGGAGCAACGCGACAATATCGACGATATCATAGCAGCCTTCCCCAATGCACCGCCCACCGTCCACATCAGCAAGGATACGGAGAAGGGCGAGAAGACGCCCGACATGGGTCTACGGTCCTTTACGCCTCTTCCTGAGCCACGTTCAGCATTCAGCCTTAATCCATTCGGCCGGTCTGCCAATCACCCGCTGAAAACGCTCGATCCTCGGTTTGAGAAAAGCTGGGATAGCCTTTTCCACCAGGAATCTGAGCCGAAAGTTGAGCAGCAGAAGCAGCCGTCGATACTTTCTCGCACCATCAGCAGGCCGATGCGTTTGATGGCTCTGGGAAAAAGGAAGCAGGATGAGAACAGTGGAGACAGAGAGGACTTGCCGAAGGCAGAAGATGAACAACCCAAGTCGCACTGGCTCAAGCCCATGACAAACCTCTTTGCGAAGAAGGCTGTTCCCGCTGAGGAATTTGTCGTCAATAGGCCGATGTCGCGGCCTCCTAGACCTCAATTGACAATTTCGACAGCGCATGCTGCCTCACTCAAGTTGGATGACCTACCACACATTGAACAGTCTCCGATTCGTGAAGAGCCTCCCTCTGCCTGGTCTGTCTCTCCGACTCCACCCTCTCTGCCATGGACGAAGAACATGGTTGGTCCTGTCAAGAAGTCAACACTCGCTCCTTTGTCGTTCCCTCCACCACCGGTCCATCCAGAGAAGCGCAGAAAAGCTAGCGTGCCTACTGACGTTGGGTCATTCGAGGACTCTGGCTTCACTCCTCCGCAGGCCAAGGGACCAAGCCCGCTCGCTATGCCACTGCACCACGCGTTCGAGCGGCCACCCCCACAGCAGGCAACTGTCCCATTGACACTCTACCCGTCACAAGTGCAAGCTGCGCTCCTCTCCTCGTACAAGGGGAAGAACAAGCCACCAGCGGCCCCTCCCCCGCCGGGCCTTGCGCCGTCCCCCCCTACAGAATCCGTCACGCCCGTAACGCGCCTTCTCACGTCCACTCATGCGCGGCAGTCAAGCAACGCCATAAACCCATTTTCCACACCTTTTGACGACGACGCCCGCGCAGTATCTCCGACGCATATCAAAAGGATTACGAATCCCTTTGCTGGCTTTGCGTTGTAGCTCTGACACAACTTTCATCTATACGACTCGAACATGACGCTTTTCTCTGTATTTTGTACGCTACGCACCACAGATACTGTTAATACCTCTCACTGTGCATTAATGTCGTGCTCTTCCTCTCTTTTCATATATCCTTAACTGTAGCACTTCATCTACTTTCCGATGTCGAGGATCCTGATAGCACACTTCATTTCACATATGTAGCTCTATTCTACTGAATCTGCATTGTTATCCGCTGGTACTCGGACTTCACTCAATCAAATGACATTCGATGTTGCAAACAGGGCGAGTGAATGGAGGGGCTCGGAGGGGGGGTGACCAGTCTGCAGTTGTCATCATTGTATCGTTATCAAAGTCAGTACGATAAATTCTTTCACGCTATCGTCCTCGAAGGTGAAGGAACTTTTCTCGCTAATTTTGACGACATAAATAGTGACGACGGTGACAAGGAACTACCTGCTTAAATATATGAACACGCTGTTTCAAGCAATTCCTATAAACATTCGAGATCCTCAATTTTGTCCCACCGACGCCCACACATAAGAACACAAACGGCGGTCTATAATGGATAACAGTCAAGTCATGCTATGTCCTGAATGAGGTTCTCAGACACAATTGTATTGACTCTTGGATCGATGTCTCCAAGGATCTTGAGGGTCTCATGCTGGTTCAGTCGGATATCAGCCTGCACAATGGTAATCAAAAATGAGCAGGTACGCACCCACAAACGCTTCGACACCTCCCTTCCTTCCGCACTGAGAGTATAATCGCTCTCTTCGGTAACTTCGCAACTCGACAGGTAGTGGCCATGCCGTTCCCTTTCACCTGGCTCAATTGCCGCATGGACAAGTGTCCGACTACCCATCTCAGTCGTGCGAGCCAGTAATGCCCTTCCAATGCCCAGAACGAACTTGATCAAAAGATTCGATTCCAGTTCTCGCACAAGACGGGAGTAGCAAAAACCGGGATTGACCGCTGAAACTGCGACCAACGCTGGTTTGGAAAGCCGAGAAGACAGCTCACGGACGAACATCACTTCGAGGACTGTGTATGACAGTGTGGTAAGCATAATAATGCATGTACTCTATTACTCACGTTTGGATAGGTGGTATCGGTTCCTCATCACGCTGCGGCGGGTTCATTATTGCTGCAGGAAAATACATCGATTGAACTTGCCTAAAGGTACAATACGCCTCATCGTTGATCATTTCGATTATACTAGGCCATTTCTCTGACCCTGTCAGTCTGTTGGCTTGATAATGAACCTCGCTAGACACGATAACTAGTCTCGAAGCATGTTCAGGAGTCCCAGTCTTGATGAGGTGAGGCAGCATCAATATGCTCAACAGAGCAGTCGACAAGTAATTCACTTGTAATCTATGAGAATTCTCGAGGTAAAACAAATGGCGATAATAGCAAAGCACTCACGTGGTTTCATAGCCATCCGGGGTTTTGGTGTACTTCAATGTCGACATGCCGGCGTTGGCGATCAGAACATTTGCTGTACAACCCTTCGCCTCAAACTTGTTCACAAAAGAACGGACTGAGTCGAATGAGCTTAGCTCAAGGGGCCAGGATTCGATATCAGTCATGCCCGACCGGGTCTCCACGTCTATACAAGTCATAAAATCCCTTGGTAAGCTTCAGAGTGTTCACGCATACCTGCTTTTGACTGTTCGCATTTGGCTTCGTCTCTGCTGGTGATCAACAGACTCTTGGGTTTCAGCTGAGCCAAATGCACAGCAGCTTCGTTTCCAAGCCCGACATTAGTGCCGACCACGACCAGTGACTGGTCGCTGATGTCCGTAGTGGAGATGGGGAGTTCTGTCCATTGCTCGCGAAGAAACCCTGAAAAGCTTTGCTTGCCCATTATGCCTTAGTAGCTGTGCAACTTCAGTCTTGGGGGTGAGTGTGAGAGGTCTATTCGTGCGGTCCCAAGGGTACTATTCTTGACTTGAATCCATCATTTATATAAATGGTAGTTAAAGTGAACGATTTTCTCAGAGTCAGAAACGATTCAGCGCGCGCCGTGCGAATCCGGTTACAAGGCGATTCAACGAAAATCATGTCGAAATCGCAGTTACTTTCTCAACACGAGGACCACTCGAGGTGCCGCGACGGACGCAAAGGCAAGTGGTACAGAATCTAATTATGTTTGCATTTCAGGTAAAGAAAAAGCGAGTGCAAATCCACTTGCATCGCCAAGGGAGGCTCGTCGAAAGCCTTACGGGACGTCAAAATCGTTCAACCTGACTACCACTAATAATTTATTATTAGTCGCATAGTGCAGAGCCAGAAGAGGCCAGAAGTCAAACAACGGCGGAATCACTTAGAACGAACGAGTTCAGCGTGACAGAGCGAGAATGCGAAGATCTAGAATTCATGATGCAATATTGCGTCTATACACTACTGCACAAATGCGGAGCCTTAGTATTAATTGTGTAAAGAATACAGCGATGTCAGTAGGGTATCAAAAGAAAAGACGACAAGAAAACTGCGTGGAGGACATCTACATACATGTACAACGGCTGGAACAAATGTGAAGATGAGAGAAAACAACCCTAGACTACGCTACCACCCTTGTCACTCGATCACAGATACCCGCTTACTCGACGAGCACGTCGTCCTAGTAGACGCAACCAGCGTCCCAATGTCATGGGCTCTTCAGAAGACTGTTCGAAGTCGGGTTGCTAGAAGAGATGTTTAATAAATGGCTGATAAAATAGTGATAAATTCACAAGCTGACATAGCTGATTAAGGCATCAGGAACATCTACAGGGCCGTGGTGGGCATGATAGTGATCGTCCATGAACATGGAAGACCCTGAGGCATCGTGACTGGAACAATGAGAACGGCCAGAATTGAAGGAATTCTGGCGCGGTAGCCATGACGGCTCTGTGATGCCACTGTAATGTCTGACAGTCCTGTCGGGCGGCTATTGTACATAAGTCATCGACGGGTATCGAATGTGGCTATGGTGCTCACGAGCTGTGTCGCAGCAGTCAGAGCCAGAATATCAGGATCTTCGCAGTTTGCCCAACTGAATTGCTTTCCCTCGAAATGGGGCATTCTGTGTATGGGCAAGGGTTAGCAGGGGCTGATATAGAACTGGGGAGTACAAGATGCAGAGCAGGGTGCAAACCGCAGACTGAAGGTCAATTATCCTGAGAGCCTCGAGCTTTCCTCGCGGCAGACCACGAGATGGTGTACAGCCGACATTCAGGAGCTGTGCCGATCGCCAAAGATTCAAAGAAGATCTACGCTGCCACCTCAGCTATTGAACGCTTCTGGGGGAAATGTGGATATAGCATTGAGAGTAATACAGACCTTCACGCCCTAGGAATGTCGATATAAATCAACGTGACACACAACCTAATACGATAATAGTATCAGTGGATAGTACCCTCGATCCATACTATTTGACAGCGCCGCAGGACAGATCATCACCGCGATCGCAAGTGCTCATCAACAATACGCTGAACCCTAGGATCGGCTTTGCTTAAGACATCGATCGTCTCCAACTAGATAGTAATTTTGATGAGTGAGGTCCTCAACGCTTAGATCAAATAGAGTGATACCTACCCACAGGCGTCTAGAAACCTCTCTTCCTTCCGTACTAATCACATAATCGCTCTCCTCCTTCGGCTCACAACATGACAGGTAACGGCCATGTCGCGAGAGCTCACCCGGTTCAACAACAGGGTGGACAAGCGTTCGGCTTCCCATTTCCGTGGTGCGAGCGAGCAAGGCCTTCACGGTTGCGACGCCTAATGTTTTGAAGGGGTTTGTTTCGGTAGAACGCGATAAACGGGAATGACAAAACCCTGGGTTGACAGCTGAAACTGCGACAGGTGTTGGCTCAGGTAGCCGGGAGCTGAGTTCGCGCACAAACATCACTTCTAGCACTTGAATCAGATGAAGGATCAGTTTTAATAGCAAATGAGACGTGTAACCTGGCTCTCACTTTTTGAGAGGTTGTACCTATTGCTCATGACCCTGTCTCGTTGTCAGTCAGGGAACGCAGCATGATTTATAGGTCCCTACGAGGAGGTGCAGTAGTCTGGGTCATTAAGCTTCTCCAGAATGCTCGGCCATCGGTCGGCTCCTGAAAGTTTGTTCGCGAGGTAATGGAGCTCGCTTGAAACTATGATAAGTCTCGACGCAGACTGAGGTGTCGAGGTCTCAAGGAGATGAGGCAGCATGAGGATGCTCAATAACGCTGTTGACAAGTAATTCACTTGAAGCCTGTACAAGAAATCTTTAGGGAGATGCAGAATCGACTGAAAAGATCACTGTACGTCGTCTCCCAACCATCCACGGTCTTTGAGTAACGCGTAGTTTGTATCCCAGCATTAGCAACTAGGGCGTTTATCTGGAAGCCCTCCTCTTCAAACTGGTTCACAAATTGGGATACCGACTCGAACGAGCCGAGTTCTAAGGGCCGTGCATCGATCGTATCGATGCTTGCCCGCTGTTGGACATCTTTGTCTCCGTCAGGACGTGACGTAAAGCATCTTTGAAAACACCACGCGCACCTGCTATTGTTTGCTGACATTTTGTGGCATCTCTGGCTGTGACGAGCAAGTGCTTGGGCCGAAGTTGGGCCAAATGCACGGATGCCTCAAAGCCCAGGCCCACATTTGCCCCGACTACGAGGATTGACTTGTCACTGATATCTGTGGAGGCTACTGGAAGCTCTTTGCGCTGTTCGCAAAGGAATTCTGATACGACAAATTTGCCCATGATCAGAGTGCGCCGGACCTTGAAGTGAATCTAGGATTCCTGACGAGCCCCGCCTTTTATGTGCGGAGTACTATTGGCATTGATGCAGTCATCAATAATCGTGCCGTAGGAACACATCATGCATGATGCCATCAGCTGCGGACCCGGTAGGCCAGCCCTCGGTGCAGCCAATCTTCTTGGGGTGTACTGTCATGGCAGGATGACTTTTGGCATTGATGCAGTCACCAACAATTGTGCCGTAGAAACACATCATGCATCAACTGCGGGTTCGGCAAAACCTAGTTCAGTACTGTCAGCCATTGGCAGGATGAACGCGCGTTGCGGGCAGGCGGCCAAACCACAAAACCAAATATCGACATACTTTGCGGCAAGATAAGATTAGATTAGATAAACTGATCTGCGAAATTTTGCGATCGGGCCTGCAAGGAGGTCGCTCAGATCTACTTCCTGTCCATGCTCAGTTGAGAAATTTAGCTGACTGCGGTGAGGATGGCAAGCCAGTAAAGTGAATTTCCCGCTGATATCATTCAGGCATGCTCGTTCTCCCAGGCTCGTCTGCACTCTCATCTTCGAAGCGCCAGGCGCTTTTTCAGCACATCAAAGCCATCAACCCGGACGTAATCTCTGTTGATGCAGTCTACATCCACCTTGTCAAGTCCCCGAGCCAATCGCTGCAGGATGACCTAGCTAACAAAGCGTCGCCACAAAGACAAGCTATTGATCTATTGCTTGACTACGGCGATGACATCAGACTTCCATCGACATCTGCAGCACTTGATTCCGGGCACAATGTCTTCTACGTTCTTCCAAGAGCCGGTTCCATATCACCGTGGTCCAGCAAAGCGACTGACATCGCTGGTATCTGCAACTTATCACAACGCATAGATCGTCTCGAACGCGGGGTCGCGTTCGTCTTCCAGCTGGCAAACGACCAAGATCTTGGGAAGGAAGAGTTGTCTGCGTTATCCCATTTGCTTCACGATCGTATGACGCAGAGCGTTCATATGGCTCTACCTGACGAGGATTTGATCTTTCAACATCACGCCCCAAGCCCCCTGCGGACTGTGGAGTTGAGAGGTGAAGGAGAGGAAGTTGATGCGGGTGTTGCACGTGAGAAGCTCTCGACAGCGAACAAAGCACTGGGACTCGCGCTCGCAGCAGACGAATTGGATTACCTGGTGGAGGCATTTGTATCTGGATCGTCACCGATCAACCGTAATCCCACCGACGCTGAGCTATTCATGTTTGCTCAAGTGAACTCGGAGCATTGCAGGCACAAAATATTCAACGCATCGTGGACAATAGACGAGACCCTTCTCGACCGGTCGCTTTTCCAGATGATCAGGAATACAGAAAAAATCAGTCCGCTTGGAACAATCTCCGCATATTCTGATAACGCAGCTGTTCTTGAAGGCGCCCAAGCTCCTCGATTCGGCGTACATCGTTCTACCGAACATGTCTATCAAGCTTCCGTCGAGAACATGCCAATTCTCATCAAAGTCGAGACGCACAATCACCCCACTGCGGTCTCTCCTTATCCAGGAGCAGCTACAGGCTCAGGAGGGGAGATTCGAGATGAGGGAGCAGTAGGCCGAGGATCGAAACCCAAGGCCGGACTGGCTGGCTTCACGGTCTCCAACCTTCTCATACCGGGCTATGAACAACCTTGGGAGACGGATTTTGGCCGTCCCTCACACATCGCGTCAGCTCTCGACATTATGATTGAAGGTCCTCTAGGCGCGAGTGCCTTCAACAATGAATTCGGTCGTCCAGCCCTTGCAGGCTACTTCCGCACATTCTCTGAATCTGTCCCTGCCTCAGAGGACGGATCAAAACAGGAGATCAGAGGCTATCACAAGCCAATTATGATCGCTGGTGGATACGGGAATGTCCGTCCTCAGTTCGCGATAAAAACGCGGATTTCCCCTGGGGCGAAGATCGTCGTGCTTGGCGGCCCAGGTATGCTCATCGGTCTGGGCGGTGGAGCAGCATCCAGTCAGGTGTCCGGTGCTAGCTCTGCGGAACTGGATTTTGCATCTGTACAGAGAGACAATGCAGAGATGCAGAGGAGATGCCAGCAAGTTATCGACGCTTGCGTTGGCTTGGGAGAGGGTAGTCCTATTCAGAGCATCCATGATGTGGGCGCCGGTGGACTGTCCAATGCACTCCCAGAGCTGGTCCATGACTCAGGACTTGGTGCGAGGTTTGAGATCAGAGACGTACTTGTCGCGGACAGCTCTATGTCTCCCATGGAGATATGGTGTAACGAAAGTCAGGAGCGCTATGTCCTCGCTGTGTCGGCAGAGAAGGCCAGCGAGTTCGAGAGAATAGCAAAGAGGGAACGGTGTCCATTCTCCATTGTCGGCGTCGCAACACAGGAAGAAGAACTCATTGTCACCGACCGCCTCCTTTTGCAAGATGTCATTAACCTCAAAATGTCGACACTTTTCGGGAAGCCCCCTCGCATGTCGCGCAAGGATACCTCGCGGAAGATTGGTTTCACAGATTTTGACACTGCCCTTTCCGCATATCTTCCGAACTCTACCTTGTCCGACCGCTTGCCTCTTGCAGTAGACCGCGTTCTTCGTCTTCCATCAGTAGGGTCAAAGTCTTTCCTGATCACCATCGGAGACAGAACCATCACGGGCTTGGTGACTCGCGACCAAATGGTTGGGCCGTGGCAGGTCCCAGTCGCTGACGTCGCCGTTACCCGGTCATCATATGGCTTTGACGTCCTGAGTGGCGAAGCTATGGCAATGGGTGAACGAACACCTGTAGCTCTGCTAAATCCATCTGCATCCGCTCGGATGGCTATCGCCGAGGCACTCACCAACCTAGCTGCAGCTTCTGTCTCCAGCCTTTCCCGTGTCAAGCTCAGTGCAAACTGGATGTGCGCCGCATCTAAGGAAGGCGAAGGTGCAGGATTGTATGCTGCTGTGGCCGCTGTTGGTATGGAACTTTGTCCAGCGCTGGGTGTTGGCATCCCCGTCGGCAAAGATTCAATGTCGATGTCGATGAAGTGGAAGCAAGGAGAGGAGCAGCGAGAAGTCAGTGCACCGTTGTCTCTCATTGTTACGGCGTTCGCGCCGGTGAACAATGTCGATCAAACATGGACGCCTCAGCTGCGCACAGACCTGAAAGAAACGACTGTGCTTGTCTTCTTCGATCTTGCTCATGGTAAGACGCGCATGGGTGGATCAGCGCTTGCGCAAGTTTTCAAGGAGATTGGGTCGGAGGCACCAGACGTCGAGAATCCTCTCACAGTCCGAACGTTCTTCGATGGGTGTCAGAAGATCAAGAAGAGCCAACCTGATTTGGTTCTTGCATATCACGACCGCTCGGATGGAGGTCTCTTCACAACTGTGTCGGAGATGTGCTTCGCTGGTCGGGTAGGGGCTGTAATTTCCCTTGACACTCTCCACAGTGCTTCTGACCCAGTGGCGACCCTGTTCAATGAAGAGCTAGGAGCTGTCGTTCAAGTACGCGAGTCCCACTTGAGCAAGCTCATGAGCGAGTTTGTCGACGTCGGTTTCCCTTCCACATCCATCCACGTCATTGGGCGAGTCAACATCGACCCTTCTGACCAACTATTCGCCATCAATCACGAATCCAAAGTGCTATTTTCGAGCACACGCCATGAGCTTCAACAGGCCTGGGCCGAGACTTCGTTCCGTATGCAATCTTTGCGCGACAACCCTATTGGAGCACGGCAGGAGTTCGACCTCATCAAGGATCACACTCACAAGGGTTTATTTTATGATCTCGCATTTGAGTACGCACCATCCCCCTCACGAAGTCTCTCATCGCGTCCGAAGGTTGCCATCTTGCGTGAGCAAGGTGTTAACGGACATGTGGAAATGGCTTGGGCATTCACGGCGGCAGGTTTTGATGCCGTGGACGTACACATGTCTGACATTCTATCTGGAGAACTGTCACTTTCGAGCTTCCGCGGGCTAGCAGCTTGTGGTGGCTTTTCCTATGGAGACGTTCTTGGCGCTGGGAAAGGCTGGGCTCACTCAGTGCTTTTGAACGACATAGCGAGGAAGGAGTTTACCCGCTTCTTCGCAGACAAAAATACGTTCACTCTTGGCGTCTGCAATGGCTGCCAATGGCTCAGTCATTTGAGAGAGATCATTCCTGGTGCAGACCACTGGCCCGACTTCAAGCAGAATGCTTCTGAACGCTTCGAGGGCCGTGTATCCATGGTCGAAGTCACCTCTAACGAAGTGACAAAGGCCTCTGTCTTCTTGCGAGACATGATCGGGTCCAAGCTACCTGTTGCTGTTGCTCACGGAGAGGGAAGGGTGTCATTCTCGGACGACACACAAGCAGATGCCCTGCGGAAAGCAGGACTCGTCGCACTGCAGTACATCGATTCTGCGGGTGAACCCACGGAGGTTTACCCGTTGAACCCGAATGGCAGTCCCGGTGGGATTACTGGCGTTCAGACCATCGACGGCAGAATATTAGGTCTCATGCCACATCCAGAACGTGTCGTAGCTTTGGAGAGTTGCAGCTGGTATCCACTCGGGTTTGCGGAGTCTTGGGACGGCTCAAGTCCGTGGTTCAGGCTTTTCCAGAGTGCTCGTGCCTGGGCGAATTAGAGGGTGAGCATGATCTCATGACGTGGTTGAGGTCAGATGTTTATACTTTGCCGTGCAGAGAGCATAGAAATGCGCATACTAAAGTGAAATTGGATTACCGAGAGAATTCGAAGAGATTGTATCGTGATGAGGAAATATGAGCACTGTAGCTGGTCCGGTCGTATATAAAGTGATATTAAATATTTGTTCTCGATCGATGAGGCTGTATAACCACGACAAACAGCGTTTTTAAGTCTTGGCCGCTTGGTATGAAGACGAAGAGTGTGTGACATGTACCTGTGTGACTACTTGTGACAGCTGCGTGGGTGACAAAAGTCCTATTGCTGTGTTCACGTTCGCTACAACTGAGACTGTACCAACGTTAACGACGACATGACAACTGTGTCGCCATTCGCTCGCAGCAGCGCGTTCGACGAGCCCCGCCTCGGCGGGCGCGAACAGACCGTAAGCCCATCTTGCCTCCATCATCCCATTTCTGCTGCATAAACACGAGGAAGCGCTTCCCAGATTGAAGAAATGTACAGCGTTCCTGAGAGCTTCTTAGAAATTGAAGTTCGCAATCCTCAAACACATGGTGAGTGATTCAAAATTTGTTCGATGGGATCCCATCTCCTTACCATCGAATAGGTTTTGGTAGAAAGATGTATACCGACTATGAGATCGTGTGCAAGGTGATATATGCTGCTACTGCAGTTCTAATCAGCCGAGTGCTTATCTTCCACCATCCATATTTTCTGTAGACCAACATTCCCGCTTTTAAGCTGCGCCATTCCCTTGTCCGGCGCCGCTATTCCGACTTCGAGGCATTCCGCGATATTCTGGAGCGCGAATCAACTCGTGTGAATATCCCTCCACTCCCTGGCAAAGTCTTCACCAACAGATTCTCCGATGAAGTCATCGAGAGTCGAAGGGAAGGACTGGAACGATTCTTAAGCATCGTTGCTGGTCACCCACTCCTGCAGGTAAGCGGCTAGATAAGAAAAACCGTGCAAATAATCTGATGGCCTTTTCAGACCGGTAGTAAGGTTCTCTGTGCATTTATGCAGGATCCGGCCTGGGATAAGTCTCAGTGGGTGTAACCCACCTACGTCATACTTATCGTGATCACCTCACAAGACACCCTGACATACATTCTGTACCCCTTCTGCCATACTCTTCTTGTATATTTTACGCTGTTTGTTTTATGTTCTGTTTCGCTATCAATTTTTAGATTCACTTTATATCTGCCGATCACGCGGTGTAGAATGGAAGGGGCTACATCTGATGATGCTCGTGAACGACAATATCTAGGACAGATCTACCGCAAGAGCTCAGTGCGATAATGAGAAGGGACAATCAACGTTCTCTTACCGCAGATCCATGGAGAAACCAGTTTCAATATCTGTGAGACTAAGAATCTCAACCGAATGCACGCCAGGAGTCATTGCAAGGAAGTCCATCCTAACTGACTGGCAGGTAGATGGGCGCAGCGGCCTGTAATCCCAAAAAGCCTCATTGAACATCATCACAACAAATCACCCCAACATACTACTCACCCGACGCGCACGCGGTTTTGCACCGGGAGTATCCCAGGAGGCGTCATCACACTCTTCAGCTCCTCGATGGTCGTCTTGCCACCCCGCGCAGCTTTCTCCTGCTCGATCTTTCGTCTGCGTCGACGATCTGGATCCGGGCAGCTAATTTCGAACCTTCTAGTCCACGAGCTCTGATTAAACACAAAGATATCAAGGGTGAACTGATCGCATGGATATAATTTTCTGGATGAGGAGGAACCTGAAGCAGGGGGAAGCAAGCCAACGGAGACGACGATGGGCTGTCCACCGGTGACTGGGGTATCTTGAGCAGAATCGAACACGCCGCCGACGATGGTTGGTCCAGGAGTTTGCGGTATACCTGCTGTCATTCCGAGACCGCGCTCCCTGCGGATTTCAACACTTGGCCCGGAGGCTCCTTGATGGTTAATCAAGGGTGTTTGAAAGTGAGACGTGGTTGGAACAGTGGCTGGTGGGAATGCAGGATAGGCAGGAGTTGGCGGCGTCACAAATGTTTGAGCTTCTGGTGGGCCATATGGGCCGCCGTTGGGTATACTGACGCCTAACAGGGGCGTGTTCGGCGGTTGAATGCCGAATGTAGTGGGCGGAGACTTTAAAAAACTTTGCACAGTGACGGAGGGAGGAGTGTATTGCTTGTTAGAGAGGATGGGTGAGGCGGAAGATTGGTCACGGTATGGCATCGGGCGGAAATTAGCGTTCGGATTGACCGCACGAATAGCTGTGATATTGTTGGGAAGGGTGTGTCGTTTGTTCCCGGCAATGGATTGCACTTTCGGGATCGCAGATACCAGGGCCGCTTGCCCTGGGAAGGGAGATGCAGGCTCTGGTAACACACTACGAGCACCAACAGAAGGGTCTAAGAAGTCAGGAGGTTCCTCCGGTGGTTTCGATGAAAGATCCAGGATACAATTCCACCGAGAGGAAAAGGTATGTGTGGGGTAGGTCAGGGCAGGACCATCACCGTCCTCAGAGTCATGCTCATCACCTGCCTTCGACATATAAGGTTTGCCATAGATATTGATCGCTACCGCCCGCTGCAGATCTGAGTTTGCAGAGACGCCACTAGACCGCCGACCGACCAGCGAGATATCACTATCTGCAGAAGGCTTGAGGAATGAAACAGCGTATAATAAATTGTACTGTTCCATGGACCCGATCAGAAGCGGGAAGGTGTTCGTCTCCACATCGGACTCAAACGCACCCTCTCCCCAACCGATCAGTTTGGCGGATGCACCTTCGCCACCGATTTTCACAACCACCCTTTCCACTGAGAAACCAACACCTGGGCCTGATTCTCCAGAGTTCTCAACTTCAACACAGAGAACGACGGTGCGTTCATTGTTCCCTGCCTCTCGTTCCTGTGCATCACTGTCATCGTCGTTAAAACCAGTCCCTGAATTCATCTCCGGCAAGAGGATGTGGGGAATAAAGACGGTTCGCATCCGCACCCGAAAACCAGAGACTGTCTGGAGAATTTTGCGAAATGATTTCCGTAAAGTGGCATTAGGTGGACGCTTAGAGCTTAACGTAAGTGGTTGGGTAGATGAAGATTGTACGGGTGGGAGGGAGAATATCTCTCGACGCGTGACATTCCCCAGGCGAGTGGATGGAAGCCAGAGTGGTTCTGAGTTGAGCGCAACGTTGGATCCTAGAAGACGCGTAAATGATCCCGCAACAATGGGATGGCATGAAAGACTACCTGCTGAAAGTCCTTCTAGTAAATTGACTTCTTCAAGCCCGGTCTGATCGTCCTCCTCGCCATTGTCTATCTCCTGGTTCTGTTGCTCGGAGAATGAGCTTATGCCAGAAGCAGAAAGCTTGGCAAGAATGCCGCTTTCCGACAGAAATATCACAAGTGGATGGTTTGCTTGTGACAGTGATACCGACTTGTCTCGTAATGTGGTTGACACGGTCAGGGACAGCAGAGGATCCAAGAAGGAGAGGCGAAGAAACGCTAGAAGAATGTTAAGGAGAAGTCGCAGACACATTACTTGCGCGCACTCACATACTGTCAAGGAGAGTTCATATACCGCCAACCAAGCCTTCTTTGCCTCGGAATACAAGAGAGAGAACTTCTCTTTGGACAAATTCGCGGGCTTGTGACCCCATATGCTAGCAAGCAGAAGAGTTCCTTCCGATTGCGCGTACTTGCGGTCCCTCTCCGTAGAAGACGGTGTAGGATTTGGTGTGTGGGGAGGAAACAAGGAAGGATGAAGTGATGTAGGCCGAGGTTTAGCTATGGATGAAGTGCGAGGTGGGGCAAGCACTCGAGCACTGTGGGGGGTCTGGGGAGTTTCAGGGAGAGTTGTAGGTGTTTGCGAGATGTAAGTGGCTTCAAGCGAAATCTGCACATGGGCAAGAAAGTCGAGAAGGGATGTAGGTGGATCCTTGGGGTCCGCGTCCGCAGATAAACAGGGTATCTGTGCAATCAAGAGAAGGTGTAGTTGCTCATCTGAATCAACCATTCGATGAGCATCGACGCTGACATGTTCGGTGAAATCTTGTACCTTACCGAAGAACGCTTGTTTTCTTTCAATACCAGATGATTTGAGCGCGAGTAACCAGTCATCTGCAGCTCCTGGTTCTGGAAATGCTATGGAGGTATCTGGGGCTATCACTTCCAGAGTGCAAGACCCGAAGAGCTCCTCGAAGCTGGGCACGGACATGGCGAGTCACGTCTGGCAGCGGTCCTTGCTAAGATGAGCGATCAATATTCGGGTCCAGGCTCAAAGTGAAATCATACTAGTGTGTTTGATAACCGGTGGTCCTCGCCGAGCAATGAGTGGTACGGATTCTACTATAGCTAGTACGGAATGAATGAGAGCGTTGTTTGTGTCTGTAGCCGACACTTCTTTCCCCCATGATAACTCCCTGGAGAGCAACACATGTAATAATACATAGACGATTCGATAGTCAAACGGTTTCTTGATCATGCAGTTTCCTGCCCCAGACCTAGTTTCCTCTCGTCGTCTGCTTCTGATCACAGACCAACTTCCAGCTCCAGCTGACTTTTTACTGCATCGATTTCTTCACTTGCACCTGAAGCAAAGCAAAATCGCAAATTGCATTGTTCTCGCTGTCTCAGAAAGTCTCGAGCGCTGGAAATCAGTAGCTTCAAAGGCAGTATGTCCAGTCTTTGCCATCGCGTTGATCTAATACTCAATGACTTCTCCACAGAACATCAATGTAGCCCAGAACGAATCTTTTCAATTCATAGATATCTTCGACCAGCATCCACATGGAGAGGGAAATACGAATGATCTCTCTCTAAAGAGCATCTACGATCTACTATCAGTCAAGTTGTCAGACTCCCGAATCAATGGCCAAATTCCACTGGTAATCCTGGATGATATCACATCACTTGAATGGCTCGGGGTTTCGCTGCTTGACCTGTCCCGGTTTTCCCGTGCTCTAAGGACCCTCTGCGTCAAGGTAAGATAATGTCACCTTCGAGCCATAGCTACTTTACAACCAAAACATAGATGGATGCAGCATTGGTCGTCAGACATCACATCGTCACTCCACCAGAGCCAGACGCGCTCTTGCAGCACTTGCTTCAACTGTGCACCTACCATATCGAGGTCAGGCCTTTAGCCAGCGGGCGAAGCGGTGCAGTGAGCGGAGAGGTGAATTCTTTCGCGTCACTCTTGATACATCAGAACTCATAAAACTATCAAGATATGCGTGCACCTAGGACCTGGCATGAAAGATACGAAGGAACATTTCATATCTCGTACTTCGGCGCTGCAATATCGTTTAACGGAGTCGAGTGCTATGTTCTTCGAAAAGGGTACAAGTACAGGAGTTCTGTAAACGCTGTGTAGACGGACGCCAGGACATGAGGAAATGCGCGATTCATCAGATTGCAGCATACCTGTCGAAGCTGTGGGGCTAAGAAGCGATGTGCGTAGGCACTTCCGAGAATGAGAAAGCCAATACGGAAAGATTCATCCTAGGTTGAAGCAAAGTACAGCGTACGCTTACTACACATACTTTTCAAATAATCCGTGTGCAGCTCACCAATTTAACTATTCAGTTTGTGTTGGGTTGAGCCAATGTTGAGCCCACATTATCATTTCTTCCTAGGCTCGTGAGCAGTCTGGACCACGCCACGCCACGAACCCTTATCGGTACGACCATCATGATGCACTCGCGACAGAAGCGTTAGCTGGAACACGGGTGAGTGCTAGTAAATTTCAGTCATGTTTCAATTCAGATCTGACAGGAGCCTTCGTTTCAGGTCCAGAAGCCCGCCATTCTGTCATATGGATGTTCAGCAAGCTTATGACGATAGCTCTCGCGATATACTGCCTACTTCGCATTGTCGGAGTGGAGGTCATATCCCTTCTCAACTTTAGATTGTTCTTCAGATCGTCTTTAGATTCTCGACTTACAACCCTTGGACACTACATATCTTGATGGTCAAGGTCAGATACGGACAACTTTCGCTCTACACAGTACGGCGGACGTTAATTACATATACTCTTCAAATAATCCCGCAGGCCATCCTGCGAAAACACGATAGTCTTCATCGCCCCCGCATACATGTTCCATACCTCATTTCGGAACTTGATGTAATCATCAATGATCGACTCCTCTATATGTGTGACCAGCACCGACACCGTCCGATCATCTTCGAGGTACAGCCGCAGCTTCGTCACGAATGACCGCAGATCCCGTTCGCAAGCCTCCACGAAAACTTGATGAAGATTCTCTGCGATGGCTTGCTTTGCCCAGTCTTGCTCCGTGAGGAGTGGAGCCTGTTGCCCTGCCGAGAAGGCTACGCGGGTGTCGTTGAATGTTCGCACGCGGTCCACCCACTCTCGCAGAGGCTCACAGGGCAATCTTGCACAAAACGAGATGACTTCCTGGCAGGCACGTTTCAGATCTTGGTCTATGTCCTATATCGGCAGTTAATATCAGTAAGGATGCGGAGGCGGCGCAAGAAATATATGGTTTACATGTCGAGAGTCCGAAAGGGTATCATGTCCTCGGGGCATTCCCAATGAAGCGAAAAGAGCATCTGGTAGCAATGCAGTCGTGCGATTCAGAACCGATGCCAAGGTATCTGTAATGGAGAAAGTCAACAGGATGATCTATTGTCATGAACAAACACCTACCTGTCATACTGCCTATATCAGACCTCGGCTCTGTATCTTTCGGGGTATAATCCAAATTGTTCGCAACCTCCTTCAAAATGAGGAGATGCCGAACGAGAAATAGTTGGCCATCTAGCACGCCGGTAGAACTTCTCTGTTCAACAAAGTTGGACGAAGTGACTAGCGATTGACGGCAAAGGCTCACGGCCTCGTGCGCAATATCTTCAAAAATAGCGGGCTGCGTGAACTCAGCATCCAGTCGAGACGTACAGGAGAAGCAGCTACCTTGACGAAGTCATGCAGTTGAGATAATACCCATACCGTCTTTTGCAAGGTCGGAAACCACGTTTCTTTCTTGTCTAAGGAAGGCAACTGGAAGAGTCGGCTCACACTTTCCTTTTCCATGATTTCGTACTGAGAAACAGGCTTCCGTGCAGCTAATAATGTGTGTCAGACAGTGCCTAGAGCTGCCTCAGATCAATACACTCACCAACAAGCTTATCAGGATAAGCCAGATCTTCTGGTTTCGGTGTGTAATATCGAATATCTGCCTGAATTACTGACTGCGCTTTGAAGAACAACCGAGTTTGTGCATCCTGGAGGACCATCTGCAGAAGGTGACTGATATGCAGTTGCCCTAGACCTTTGGGCTTTGGCTGATCAAAATCAACAACTAAGTTGCCTTCAGACGGTTCCTCTGGGAACTCCGCCACATCGAGGACCATCAGAGCTTGAAGTACCGTGCATACTTCGCAGAGAGTGGTGAGGCGAGTCTCATGCAATATCCGGGGACGCAAGTCATCGTAAAGGTAGTCGCATAAGTTCTCAAGATAAGTGCTTGAAGCCACCGATGAGCGAAAGCAGAGACAAAAAAAAAAGTGTTACTAACTAGAGCTGGTCCTCGCCAGAGTTGAAGAACTCTCGGTAAAGATTGAACTCATCTGTGCAGAGGTGTTTTAGGTAACTGCAACCGGAATTCGTCTGTTCTTGGATGAGTGAATCGCCAAGCACAACCGCGGGCAACTCACTAATTCAACTAGTTCAGTATGTGCTGGGTCGAGCCCACGTATTTCTTCCATCAAGCGTCCCACCAACAAACCCTTGCGCGCTGCAAAATAAGCAGAATGACATTCTGATAGCAGAGCCGACAAGTCATCTGGGTGAGCCTCGGCGCGACGCTCTAACTCGCTGAGCAAAGGAGCAAGCTGAGAAGTGACACTACGGAACCTGGTGTAGAGCAAATGCATCTGTGCTGTCGAAGACACATCCTGAAAAAAAGCAGTGTTAAGAGACGAAGTATAAGCAACAAACAAGCTTTCCTTCTCTGCCAGTCTTCTGGAAACATCAGAAGTCAATGCCCTTAACGACCCAACGAAAAACATCCTGATGAGCGTCATGGCTCTCGTCATACACTGCTGAAAGCGGAGTAGGTATACCTCCGCTTCTCTGTAATATCGCTGGAAGTATTCTGTCAGTTTGGCATCTTGGCTACTAATATAACGACTCACATGAGCCTTGAGATAATCTATGCAGATATCTACACGTTCTACCATGTACAAGAAGTCGGTTTGAAGGACAAGGGACTCTCCAGGATGATTGAGCATGCGCGTTGCGTGTTCTAGTTCTTGGAAGTACTCGATCCTGGCTCCGATTTCCTCCGTGAGTTCAATGAGCCTGTCCTAGTGCAAAATAATCAGTGACTTGGATATTCCAGCGCCTAGTTTCTTACTCTTTCCTCCAGCAGCCGCTCGCATGCGTCCTTCAGATTCTTTCCGCCCTCCTCCACGCTTCGCCAGCCTTCAAGCAACCCACCAACCTCCCTATCAACCTCATCTATACGCTCAATAAGTGTATCCGCTGTGTTCAGGTGTTCCGATACCACCGCGACATGAGCGCGGAAGTGCGCTTCCTGGCTATGTGCTACAGACCTATCGATCTGCGCAAACCAGTCATAGAACTGTTGGGGCGTTTGTACGGGCTGCTTCGGATGGAGCGCGTGACTGGCGAACTGGCGAGTAAATGCTGGCACCGGTGTTGAGGGACGTGACACCGATGCGTGTTTCCCTCGTAGATTGGGTGTAGATGGACGTGAAGACTCGTCCTCATCGACGCTAAACTTAGGTATACTCAGCAATAAGCGCTGCAGTTAATGATTTTGACTGTACTTTGAGCGGGAGAGGTGTTTTCTCGCTGGCAGCTTTGACCGCCGCGACGCTCTTGAGTGCCAGGTCACTGAGCGGTGCTTTGGCTTCCCATTCCTCGATGGTGAGCTGTGGCTTGGGCCGTGGTGTCGATGCGGCAGGAATGCCTGCGCGGCGGTGGGGTGCAGGTGCCTTGGACATAACGCTTATTCTCACCAGAACATGACGTCGAGCTCAAATATTGCTACGGTAGTAAGTATAAGCGCAGAATGACTACTTCCTATTCGGGGTTTCATACTGAGCTTCAGTGCTCTGAGTCTCTGTTTTCTACCACAACGAGCAAAATCTTGTCTCGAATTTAAGTCTTCAACTAGGCCGCATTCCGAATCCCGCACGTTTGCGGCTGGTGGTAAATCATGATATCGTTATGCTCAGGCAAGATATTTCTTGCCTTTACCATGGAACACCAGCTCACCTGGATGGACCGGCGAAATCATATCTCTCTCTCACACAATTTGGACTACACGACTGAGTCCTTTAGTTTCATTGTGGACGAGATCGACTCCCCCAACATTTCGTAAAGCGCGCTAACCATCATTTGGAATTCAGCAAGACATTGTATCGTTATGCCAAAAGGTCGGCATCGTTTAGACAGATCACAGAGAATTCTGCAGGACTAAAGTTTAAACTAATTATTAATTATTATTGAGGACGAGACTCCTTAGTTCATCGCGAAATATCCAGCCAAACGCAGTACCAACCATCCAGTCCTGTGTGGAATGCACTCCAAAGGACAGCAGCACAGTCTGACCAGATCCGACCCCACTGGCGAAGTGTTTGGCGGATTCCATCCAATGCAGACAACCATCTGTATTGTCCTTCCTACAAACCGAACAAAGACGCACTGCTCTATCTCGCATCCGTGATATTGTATCCGGTTCTGATGCTACTCCTTCCTCCATCGCCTCAACTTGAAGTGTTAACGCCTGTGCTGCTGTTCTGTCAGCTGTGGAGTTCTCCAAGTATTTCACTGCTCCTCATGCTGGTACCCTTACGCATCCTCAGGATATTTGGTTTACTCCTCTCCGACGTGAACCGACTCTGTTGTTTTCAGCCAATGCTATGCACGTGGACTGCGATTCTCTTGACGCCGACGACTTTCTGTGTTAAATTGTCAAGTCCAGCCCAGCATTCCAGCCTTCCAGATCCCGAGATTTTGCCAGTACTCCCTAATATTACTTTACTATTTCTGCATCACGCTCCGTCCCAGCTAAATGGATCGACGAAATCATATATCCAGTTGCATAGCACAAAGAACTTAGCAGGTTGCGGTTTTTCCCATTTTCAAGCTGCGTTATGATCCGTAATTGTTTGATTTATGCATTCCAGCTGTTCAGACTGTACTATCATTTGATACCCTTCCCTCACATGGCGCTTCAGCAATTCGTCATCCTTCTTTTTGGATTGCTGTGATGAGACGAATACCTAAATGAAATTCCTATGGCTACAATCATCAAAAGTAAATAAAATCAACAGGCTTCTGGATATGTACCTACCCAAAAATTAAATTCACGGTGGTACTGACATCAGCCCCAAGGGGATGGTTCATCAGGAATAAAGGACACCGACGTAGGGCTACCGAAACCCAAACCAAGGGGAGGAGAAACGTCTGGAAGGTTGGAGGTCGCTTTCTCGATTGGTTGCGTTTTCCGGTGTGACGCTGCAAATGGAGGTTTCGGTGCTTGCTCAAGGGTAAAATCCGTATGATGCTCCGGATTGTCTGACGTAAACGAGGCAGCACTTGCCAAGGACACGGTAATATCGTCAACAGTCGGAGATGAGGGTGAAGGAGATGTCGGCAGAGACTTGATTGCATCTCGCGAAGAACTTCGAGAATGTGATGATGACAGTTGTGGAGTTTTATCCGATACCCCTCCTGCAGAGAGCTGCGCACCCCGGAGTCGACCATTTTCGCCTTCAATCAACCGCAGCGCTTCCTGTAGTGCATCTTTTTCTAACCGAACTTCTTGTAGTTCTTCCTCTGTCTCAACGCGCTTAATGCGCTCAGCCGCGACCATCTTGTTTGCCTAGAGGGTATATATAAGTGTGCCGACTAATTTGTGACGAGTAAAAGCTATACCTCTTCGAAGAGTGCTTGTGATAAGGACTCGAGCTCAGCTTCGATAGCGACCTTCTCTGCAGCTGCTAATGTATGTGCAAGGCGTTCCCGTTCAAGCTGCTCTTGAAGCTCCAGAAGTTCTTTCTCTCTCGTACTTGCTACAAGAGTTGGCAAGGAAGGCGATGTTAAATGAGAAGCGAGTGGTTGATTAGGATGAATAGCGGGCTTTGATCCTGTATCAAGATGTAGATGACGAGTGAATTTTACGAGAACAAATGAACCCTACCACTGTTGAATCTGAATCTGAAGAAACGACCCTCCTGGTTATTCTGGGAAGTTGTAGATGACGTTGCCGGAGAAGGGGTAGTTGGAGATGGCTCTTTATCATTGACAACAATTGATGGAGCACCCGCGGGGTGGGATGGTGTGCCCGACTCATTCAAAGGGCCATAATCGAGGCTCCTTCGATGTTCTTCCTCTGAAACACGTTGCATGTTCTGCGCTTCCCGCGCACTCCAACGCCGCCACCCTACATCTTTCGCACTGCAGGGGGTTTCACGTTTGAGAGCTTCCTCAAGCATCTCATTGTTGGACATCATCAATTGTAAATTAGATTTTGCGACGCTCAGTGATGTCTCGAGTTCTGCCTGAGTCTTGTACGCGATCTTGAGCAAGGACGACTAGCGAATCATGATTGATTGATTACTGCCACAGTGAAGCAGACCTGTCCACGCACTAGCTCTTCCACTCTCTTGATTACACGATCAAGGGCATATCTGAGATCTTCTTCCTGGCCATGAGAGTGAACACGCCAGGCATCGCGGAGCTCATCGTCTATGCCTGCAAATATGGCAGAAGTTGGAGAGGGATGAGGCTCTTTGACTGATGAATAACGCGATTGTGTGGGCGATCCAAACGTCATATTTGATAACATGAAGGAGAGCAGCAATGACTCAATTATATCCCAGAATTCAAGACGACAAACGAACAATACCGTTATTATTAGGTAAGCTCGGTTCAGTATTACCGTCGCTCAAGGCTATAGCTAGTTTCTTTTTCACCACGGCCACCGGTCTGGGAGACTTTGGCAAGCCGCAGTATTCACTGCTCCGTCGTCCAATGTACAGCAAGAATTCCGTGCCATACGTGGGACAGGTGTCGGCGCGCCCTGAGGCCTGAGCGCTGAGCCCTGGCTGTCCAGCCTTGTTGCGTCACTCACTCTACTAGTACTGTAAGGAGGATGTGGATCTTTGTTTCTTATCCCGAGTCAAGGATAGAGAATTTTGACGTCGTCGTTAGCACTCTCTCTCACAAGGAACCGGACGGTAAACACATTATAGGCTGTCCTTTCCGTGTTGATTCATTAATATCCGACAGAGTCTAAATGAAGCCCCAGTAAATTCCCGTAACTTCGCCTGCTAGCGTCGCCTTTCTTCAGTTACCGGCAAACATTCCTCGCAACCGCTTCAGATCCCACCTCTTGGCCTCCGGAATTAGATTTCATGCATTACTCGATAACGCTCAATATACTACCAAGCCGATGATCTTGACTCTCGCTGTGCCGGCGATAATGAATTACCTGATATGTGGCAATCGCCGCTACAACTTGTTCTCAGTTCTCTTCTATGTCGTTGCTGTTTTTTTGAACACACGTTAAGAAGCTCACAGTCACACAGACTTTCATGTAGAGCTCTGGGATCAAGGCTCAAACCTCTTGGTCCTTCGTTCACGATCCGCATAGATTTTCGTGGGTGTGAGAAGGACTAACCGCCATCAGGGGCAGATCGCAGCTGTGTATGGGAATATGTTTAGAATCTCCTCCTCCCCGATTTGATATTCATCCGGGATGATCGTGTCTGCTCCACGCTTTCGTGACGACCGGTCAGTCTCGCACTGCTATCTCATTTCCTGACACGCGATATCATGCGATAGTTGTATGAAACCAGCATTTCCATTCGCACAATACTCGGTCACGTATCGGCGGCCCTCTGCCAGCTCATAGGCTTAATAGCTTGCTGCTCCACCCAGCCTGTGTCTCCATAATTCTCTTCTTGTCGCACTTCCCTTTCTAACCGTCCTCCGCTCTACTTCACCTAATGTCTCGCGGCGCACCCAAGCCTCCCCCACCACACAAACTTACCTTTGCCACCAACAGCGTGCGCAACACTACGTTCGCCGAGGACAACAACAAGTTCTACTATGAGATCGTTACTCGCTTCTGGCACCCTCACCTTACAAAAATAAACAAATACGACTATGAGGCTCGTGTGGTCAACTGCGTCGCAGAGATTGAAGATCCCCCCAAGAAGGATGTGAAAGTCCGCTTCAACTCTGCTGAGGAGGAGGGAGAGTGGATGAGAGCTTGCGACTTTATCAAGAATGACGGTACAGCAGTGTGAGTTTTTAGTCTTTATAGGCCAGTGGTCAACAATTTTTAACGGTCAATGGCAGTGGAGGTACGTTCACCCAGGAAGACGGCACTGAGTACCGCTGGAAAACACACAATCGCTATTTACAAGTTAGCCCTTTTTCCAATTCATGTTTTCTCTGTCTAACTAGCCAAGCTGCAGCTCGTTAAGTCAGATGACGAGGACAAGGTTCCCGTTGCAGAATATCACCCTCATAAACGACACTTTGGTGTCTGGCGCATGTCGCAGCGGGCTTTCCTCGAAGTCAAGCCTGAAGCTTCAGCCGCTTTGGACAAGATCATCGGTGATTCATTTCCTCAGCCATTGAAGCGTTGAACCTCGCTGACTGGGTATCTTCGTTAGTGAGCTATCTTCTTATGGAAAGACGCAGGCGTCAAGCCAAGATCAAAGTCAAGTTGGAGTCAAACTAATTCACTACCGATATCTCTTTCTCCTCCGTGGCACAATAGTCACCACACCTCTTTGTGTCGTGCGATTCCTTACTACAAGACTGCCAGCCTCCGAGATGCTGGATCCCAATGACGGGACTTGCACACAAGGAAACGTCGACGCTTCCGCATTCTTTTATTTGTTTAACCTTGGTTATTCCAGGGGTTTCTTCGTTACAATAACTTTTCAATTTATTGCTGCATTGTTGTAAAACTTGTCGTTAATCGATTTGGATTCATAGTCATATAGATTTCTTACTGGTTCAAAGTCAGTTGTTGTATATACGTGTTTCGCATCCTCGCGGTGATTGGCAGGATCCGGAGTGCAACGGTGAGATACGGCGCTAAAAATCGCCAAAGAGGGAAGCATCCTTGCGAATTCGAATCATGGTCATGCATGATGGCGCCACTGCACCTCCTGATCATGGCATTGCTGATTCATGCTGACGGAGCCTCCGCTTTTCCCTTTGACTTGCTAACGACTTGCGATGGCAGCTAACTTCTCTAGTGTCCCAGTCCTCGATTTTGCTCTCGTGTCCGATAATGCCACGAAACCAGAGTTTATCGCGCAGCTCCGACATGCTTTGATCAATGTCGGATTCTTGTATCTCAACAACCACACTGTCTCACAGAAAGTTACCAATGATTTAATTGACTATATCCCCCGTCTTTTTGGCCTTCCCCAGGAGGCTAAGAACAAGATCTTTATGGCGAATTCGCCACATTTCCTTGGGTACTCCAAGCTAGGTGCGGAGTTTACCAAAGGGAAGACAGATTATAGGGAGCAATTCGACTTCGCGACACCTCATGAGACGCAGTGGAAACCCGGCGCCCCGGAGCATCTGCGCCTGTGGGGACCTTCCCAGGTGAGAGGGCTCTGTATTCAATCATTTCAAGCTGTGCGAATTGAACCGAATTCACTTAGTGGCCAGATGAGGATCTTATCCCAGGGTTCAAACACACAACAGAGATATACCTCCAGCAAGTCCAGGCTCTGAGCTACCAATTCATCAGCTTACTCGCGGAGGCTTTTGGCCTTCCTTCCGATGCATTGAACAAATTTTATGATACCGATGAATTGATGCAACACCGCGGGAAGGTGAATATTAAACGAAGGTCTATGTATTCCACGGAGATCGGGATTCACCTGGTTTCAGGTCGTCAAATATCCCGCTAATGATGGTTCTCTGACTGATCAAGGCGTTGGCCCCCACTATGACGCTGGCTTCCTGACCTTCCTTCTCATCGCATCACCGCATCGTGGTCTGCAGGTACAGAACCTTTCTGGACAATGGATCGACGTTCCTCCTATTCCGGGAACGTTCGTTGTGAACATTGGAAAGGGTGGGTTGAAAGCTGCCACCACGCATTTAATTTCAATTCTGACTTCTTGTCCGACGGTATAGCGCTCGAGTTTGTTACCCGCGGATTGGCAAGAGCTACTTCGCACCGCGTCTTATCTCCCTCTGTGGGTTCGACACCCCGTTATTCTGTTCCGTTCTTCCAGAATATCAGCCTGAACGCTCGCCTCGTTGACGAAGTCTTAGACTGTTAGTGCCCTCGAAAAATTTGCTTTACATACCTTGATGTCATCGTTTGAAATTTACAGTCCCACCTGAGATTCTTCAGCTCAAACAACTTCGAGGAGATCCTGTTCAGACCGATTGTATGTTTTTCTTCGTCCGCTCTCGCCTTTTGCAGCATTTAAATGTTTTACAGCTGTCAATTTCTCAGAGTTTGACCGCGAGCCATCGGGAAAGGTGAACCTCATCGGGCGGGTGAAGTGAGTTCTCCAATTGATTATCTGGGGCAGTGATGTTTAAATAAGTCTCCTCCATCAGAAGTCACCCTGACGTTGCGCAACGCCACTACCCTGACCTTTTCAACCAATACTTCCCAAACGGCCTCCCAAAGCAAGTCAGCGCATATTGAGCTTGAGAAGAGCAGATCCGTAAACTAGATATTACCCCCGCTAAACCGAATCAAGGAATCCTCAATTTGCAACTGGGTGGACGTTGAACTTTACTTAGAATCAAGTTGGAATGTCTTCTACTTAGGCCATTGCAACCCTGAATTTATATTTGGGAAAGAAGATTCATGTCCAGCCTCCTAGTACGATTCACGAGGCACTGACGACACGCTTGTCCATACTAGCCCCTTCCAACATATCCACATTTCCCATTGACCTTACAACCCTTCGATTTCCTCCGGAGGTCCTTGTAGGCACATTGAAAAATTTCTAGCAAGCGAGATAAGAGTCCAACGTGCGAATATACATTGACCAGACTACCAAACAAGATAACAGCACTGCAGGGAAATTAGATGCGAGTGGAGGGACGACCGGTGCAAAGGAGGAGGTGAGCAAGATATACAATGAGCCGGGAAGAAAAGACAATATCGGTTGTAGACATGCAATGGAATTTGGAATAGTTGAATGTGTGAGTGTCAAGACAAAAAGAAACGAGGCTTCGCAAGTCATTCTAAAACTTTTAAGCCTGCCTCCTCCGCCCAACAGGATTGAGATGCAAGAGCATTGCGTAGAGATGAATGAAATAGAAATGGAGCATATAATACACTAACGTGAAGCCTCCAGCATGGCGCAGCGTTAGAATGTTGGCCATTTGAGCGGGTCTGGTAACGATGGTTTGCGCTGTCGTTTGTGTAACTTCCCGTGCAAGCAGATCCTCATCCAGGAATGCCGCAGTCGGCTCTACGATGGAAGCATCAGGATCAGGTGCATTCACCGCAACGGGACCATCTGCAGAGAGTCAACTCGAATCGGCAACTTGGATCCAAACCGCTTCAGGAGGAGTGGAGGGAGGTGGGACGTTTTCCTCGTCGCTGTCGTCATCGGTAGATGGGTCACCCTTGCTATCGTCGACGGAAAGATCTGGAATAGGTACAACCTCGTCCTTCTTGTCAGCTTCGGCCTTGTCTTTGGTCTCTTGTTCCTGGAGCTGCTGTCTGAGCTTGGTGAGCTCGAGTTCTTTCTTCTCAAGCTCAGCCTTCTCCTTCTCCTTTTCCAGGAGTTCCTTGCGCCGTTTCTCGCGCTAGGTAGAGTACGTTAGTTCAGTCGGATAAGCAGGTGAATAGGTGATGCCCAGCGGTGTTGACTACATCCCGAATACTCACATCGAGCTTTTCCTTCAGTTCACGAGCCTCCTTTTCCTTTCTCAAGCGTTCCCTGAGCTCCCTTTCGCTAATCACCCAGGCAGCAGCTCCGTTGGCGGCGGCCTCAGGTTGAGACTTGTTCTTGAGCAAATCTACAGTTGTGGAAAAATGTGTCAGCAAATGATTTCACCTCACTCACCACCCCGCCCACAGTAGACCAAGTAAACCACGATGGAAAGGGACATCAAAGCACAAGGGGCGATAACATTAGAAGAAACTCACAGCCTTGCAGCGCCGCAACGCTGAACTCGTCATCTGGGATCGAGTCTGCAAACATCTTCGCGAGCTGACCGAGCCTGGCACCATCCAAAGGCTTGGCGGAATGCTGGCATGCAGTAAGATGCTCCTCGACCGGAGGCGGCAAGTACGCTTGGTTTTTGGAACCAAAGGCGTCTCGCGAAGGCTTTGAGGGCGAAGAATCCTTGGCGGACGCCAGAGATGACGTCGAAGACGAGAACGAAGGAGAAAGCGACCACAAAGTCGACGACTGCGAAGACGATGATGAGGGCGACTGAGGTGTGGGTGTCGTGGGTAGTTCAATCCCCTCTATGTCTCCCTCTATGACCTCATTGTCTTGATCCGTGGACGGGAAGAAGTTGCGGAACAGAGCCTCCGCTTGCCACTTCGAAGAGTTCTTGAACTCCACCCAAACGTCCATACGGCCTGGACGTGAGAGCGCAGGGTCTAGACGCTCCAAATGATTGGTGGTGCTATAGGTGCATGTCAGGGCGTCATCTAAAGCGAAGAAGGATTTCGGACTTACGCGAAAAGGATCCGACCTTCGGCAGCAGCGACACCGTCCAAGGCGTTCAGCAGGCCGCTCAAACTCAATGTGTTCACGTCGGAGATGTGGTCCTTGTGACGTCTGTGCCTCGAGCTACTGCTCGTCACCGGCTGTTCCGGAGCGCCCTCTTCAGAGCTGTTGCTCGAAGAGTCTGGAGTGCCATTGGAACTCTTATCACGCGTGACGCTGCGCGTAAACGCCGCATCGAGATCCTCGAGAAGCACGATGCAGCGAGCTGGGACACGACCCATCAGGGTGGTCAACGTACTATCGCTGATCCACGAAGAAGACAAAGACACAACGTAAATGTCAAGCATGAGCTCGCCTGCAATGGCATGGATAAGGGAACTCTTTCCAGACCCAGGTACACCATGCAGCAAGTAGCCGCGGCGGAATGGAATGCCGCGATCCGCATACCACTGTGGAGGTATTAGCAATGAAGCACGGTTCTGATAAAATACCGAAATTACCTTCTCGGACTTCAAAAAGTCACGGGTGTCGTTCAGAAGCATCTCCTTTACTCCGGGGTTGAGAACAATGGACGACATAGGGCGCTTATGACGAGAGTCAGTCCAGCGCCAGCTGCCATGTGAGTCTGCGAAGTAGATCTGTATACGGTGGATTGCCTCGGCCTCATATTCTTTCTTGGCCTGCAAGACAAGCTGCTTGAGGATGGTGTTATTCCGCGCGACCACGCTGTGATGCCATCATACATCAGCCACGAGGCCAAAAAATGAGTCAGAAGGGTAATTTGTAAATCACCTTATTGACAAGACTTCGCAGCCGCTGCCGTCTTGCTTTTTACTGCGACGGACCCTGAGCCAGTGACCCTTGTAATAGATAGTATGTGTAGTGTCAAATGTTGGCTGGAATACGACACGTGTCTTGACTTTGCCGGGGGGTGAGTCTTCGTCACCCTCCTCTTCTTCGTCGTCACCAAATGAATTGTCTGCTTGACGAGAGCCTGAGAAGCCGGGAGTTGTGGTGCGAGTAGTAGTCTCGAACTCCCTAGAGCGCTGCCACTCAGGGCGGCGTGAGAGCCACAGCATGAGCCAATCATAAGGATAGTCCTCTTCCGAGAAATGCGCAGTGAGGAAGAATGCTGTGTCACGCGGTAGCGAGTCAGAAAAAAATCGTCAAATGACAAGCGACTCCTTACAGTTGAGGAAATGAGACCTTTTGAGGTGGGTTGTCGTCAGCAAGCAGGTGCATGGCAATGAATTAAGGACGTACCAAGCTGAGCTAGAGGCCCTTCTGGCTGTCTCGACTGTTCCTCCCAGGACGACGAGCTTCATGCCATCAATGACTGAGGAACCTCCTGCGCCTCCGACGAGGGGTTGTACGAGCGACTTGAGAGCGTCCATGGTGATGTCTCAAGGTGTATGGACAAGCCAACGCTGCGAAGAGGGACACTTTGAGTGTAAATAGTGGGAATGTAGGTAACAAGGTGGGTGTGTGAGGACAAGAGGAGGATGGTATCTAATAAACGCTGTAAGCTGATATATAAAGCTGTGTCTGTGTCTGGAGCAAGAGGCTATACCTAAGCAAACAAGTTAGTTTTAGGCTTATTAGCGTCTAGGAAATGGACAAACAAATAGCCAGGTAACAAAATAAGTTGAGGACTGTAGTACTTGTCACTGCAGACCCTTTCTGACTCTACAGCACGAGGAGGAAGCAAGTCAAGAGCCGCGTCAGCAGAACGTGGGTACTCCCAAAATTAAGCGCCCAACTTGGTCACGCCACCGCTAAGATTCACAGCATGGTTCACAGCTTGCCAACTTGTCTGAGAAAAGGTAACATCTACGTGCAGTAGACTGTAGATACATGTACACTCATTAGCAAACTGAATTAAGAATCACGACACCGCTAAGTATAATCCTTCTACAGCAACATTGGCCTGCCATATGCCCAGCTTCCGAACAATTCTGAGAACCATTGGCGCGGGAACCACCAGCACATACGACACGGGGACCACTACCAGCAGAAAGATAGTTAGGAACAGCGTGATACTTGGTTTGATAACCAAGAAGTAAAATAACGCCTGATAGGATGTCCAGTCCGTGAACTATAATAATGGGCGGCCGAACAACGGAGGTAAGAGGGCTTTTGGCTAGAGGGGGAAAGAGGATTAAACACACCATGGCGTACGTGTTTTTGTAGAATGAAGATTCGTGGTATGGTGATCCAGACTCTACGTCAGATGACAGTGGCGGTCGCACCCGCTGGAAGATAGGTCGGGGCGGATAGGGAGGTGGGTAAGCAAGAGGCCCATGGAACGTTGTTTGGAGAGCGAGCTATGAGCGATCCGGTGTCATATTCAATTTGAAATATAAGATAAGAATATGGAAACGAGACGTACTTCTCCCCTCGCAAACGCCCTGGCACCAAGCAAATCAAGAAAACATAGAAGAGCACCCAAAGGTAAGGTTATTAATAATGTTGTACCAGTCTATAAAGAACGGTTAGCAGAGATGCAGACGAATGAATCCCATGTCCAAATTCCAAGCTGATCTCAAGAGACCAGCAAATTGCGAGGTTTGAACACTCACCAAAGTGAATACAAAAAGGTAAACCCACGCAAGAAGGGCATAGGGAAAGTTGAGCGCAAGAAGATGGAATGCAGCCGCATGATATGCTCTGCGAGTCATGGGTCGGAAGTAACGAGACCAGCAGCGCCGAGAAAACAGCGGCCACCGATGCGAGCTTCCCGAATGTGATTCTATGGAGGTGCCAGCATTTTGGCGACGCCTCTGAGGACCATTGTGTGCACACGGGTTGTCACGGTCATCCCCGAGCGCCTCATATGTGTCCACGTCAGACTCGTCATCAGGGTCGGAATGGAGCAGAGAAAGCACTGTTTGCGCTAGAGAGGGCGCAAACGAATTCGATGAAACAATTGTGCTCGACTGCGAATTTGTCCTTTGACGTCCCGACGCACGCTGGATGGAGCCTAGCAGGGAATCACCAAGAAGTGGTGTCTGCTCTGTGGCATCTTCCGTGCGTGGAAACGAATGAGTTGAGACTAATAATTGAGGGGACACATATCCTGCAGCACGATCTAAATCTGATGGCGGTTGGGGAGATAATGGCGCTGGTAAGCGATGCCTCCGACTATGTCGAGTCGTGCGTGAGCGGCGTTCTTGTGATGGGTATGGAGGTGGTGGATCGTAAACTGAAGCTGCTGGAGGGTCTACGTCTGGAATTACAGAACCAGCGTTGGATTCCTCTGCGGACATCCCTCGGGACATCCTTTGGTCGAGGAAGGGTCGTGGTTATGCACGTGATCTAATAGTAATAGAGTTATGACAAACGCTTATGCTAGCATACAACTTTACAATATTACATAATTTTGAGGGCTCGCTCTTCGTCACTTGCTGTCAATTGTGGGCGGAGTCCCGTCAGCTTGAACAGCGGTAGAGGGGCAGTTACCAGGGCTCGGATCGACTTTTTTCCCGACGAACGCTCGCGGGATTGGCTCCACTGACTGGCAAGGATACAGAACAGCTTCTACATATATGTTATATCACAGATCTATAAGTACTACATCATTACAGCAGTCCAAATGCCATTGGCCCAGGTCGGTGCAAAGAGTCTTCCAATTTCAATGGCTAGCAGATGAGTATACAACCACCGAGCTACCAGGTACATTCCCACTGGCGATGCTTGACGTTTTCTATTTTAGCAAAAGACCATAAAGAACTTGTAGATACTCTCGAATGCTCTGGATTAACTGCCTTCGAGAAATAAGTCATTGGGTAGAGTCGTTGGGCATGGCGAAGGGAGACTCTTTGTACCTAAGGGATCAACATTAATTTAATATTAGAAAAAAGTGAGAAGCTGTCACGGGATGCCGAAGTAGGGTGCCGAGAAAAATAATTATGCAAATATAATAAATATGGGTACGGCGACCAATGTTAGCGGTTTCTTCTTTTTGCTTGCTGACCTTCCCACATCCGCTAATTATTGTTGGATCACCCGCTCCTTCGAAACTTTTGATCTCTGTCTTTCGACTTCTTGTGTCTGCCTTCTTCCTTTCTTTCTGCTCACGCGCGGCATTCTCTCTCTCTTCCTCCCAGAAACATGGGTTGCGTTCAATCTACCGGTGTCGACAGCGAGGCCAAAGCTCGTGCGTACTTCTTTGCCTTATTGTCCGCCCCACATCCGAGCGAAACTTGAATTTAACTCGTCTTTTGCAGGCAACGATGAGATTGAAAACCAACTCAGGCGAGATCGAATGATGGCCAAGAATGAGATTAAAATGTTGCTGTTGGGAGCAGGAGAGTCAGGAAAGGTCAGTCACATACTGACCAATCCGCATGCAGCGCTGACGACGTTTTTGCAGTCCACCGTCCTCAAGCAGATGAAACTAATCCATCATGGCGGCTATAACGACTCTGAACGAGATTCCTACAAGGAAATTATTTACTCGAACACGATTCAGTCCATGCGGTGCGTACTAGTCGGGTCAAACTTGATTGTAGCCCTGAATGGTCTTCTAGCGCTATCCTTGAGGCTATGCCTCAACTCGATATATCTCTGTCGCCACAGAATGATGCTCGTCGGGCTGTCATTCTCGCTATTCCTGGCCAGATTGAGGGTGATGTGCTCCCAAGAGATATTGCTGATGCCATTCGGGGACTTTGGCGAGACTCGGGTGTCAAGGAGGCAGTTCGTCGGTCACGAGAGTTCCAGTTGAACGACTCTGCCGTCTACTACTTCAACGCAATCGATCGCATGTGCGGACCAGGGTACATGCCCACAGACCAAGATATCCTGCGGAGTAGAGTGAAGACGACTGGTATCACTGAAACCACATTCAAGGTCGGCGAACTTACGTACAAACTCTTTGATGTCGGAGGTCAGCGAAGTGAACGTAAGAAGTGGATTCACTGCTTCGAGAACGTCACAGCGTTGGTATTTCTCGTGTCCTTGAGCGAGTATGATCAGATGTTGTATGAAGATGAGAGTGTTGTAAGTCCACAGCGCCTTATTTGCGTATCTCCTTTCAGATTGATTGCGTCCACAGAACCGTATGCAAGAGGCTTTGACTCTCTTCGATTCAATATGCAATTCGCGGTGGTTTGTCAAGACGTCCATTGTACGTACTCTTCTTACCCGTGGCGTATTACATACTTATTTCTGGCCCAGATTTTGTTCTTGAACAAAATCGACCTGTTCGCAGAGAAACTCCCACATTCACCACTCGGTGACTACTTCCCAGACTACACTGGTGGTGAAAACTACGACGCCGCTTGCGATTATTTGCTCCACCGATTCGTAGCGCTCAATCAGAATGCGGCAACCAAACAAATATACGCTCATTATACTTGCGCAACGGACACCCAGCAAATCAGATGTAAGAATCCTCCCCTCGCCCGCGTTTCACACAGGCTGACCCTGCCCGCCCTTTATAGTCGTGTTGAGTGCTATTCAAGATATTCTGCTACAGATCCATCTTCGTGAGTGTGGCCTGCTGTGATCGCACCGTAAAGCCACTCTTCTCCTTTTGGTCTGCTTTTATCCCATGCATCATCTGCCTCTCGCACATGCAGTTCGCTCTACCAGCTTTCATCGCATCAGACATTCACACCCTCTACATCTTGTCTATCCATCTCTCTTATTTTGAGGTCCCCACGTCTATCATTGTTATGTCCGCTCTTCTGAACGTACACACATGGGTTCGTAGGAGTGTTTTATATCGTTGTGTCATTTTCCTCCTTTCCCTCTCATTTCCTTCTACCAAGACGTGGAGTGACTAAAACCTAGTATACCCTTTTTACTACGATTCCTATGTAATGGAGACCTTATCTTGACCGCTCGTTAATTCTTTGGGATTGAATCTATCAAATTTCAGGCAACGCATCGGGAGTTCCGGCCATGGGTGAATTATATTAGAGGTGTGAATGATGCGAAGTTTGGGATATTTTTGTAAGACACTGGTGATCGAACACATGGTTCACCCAAGCCACTTAGAACCCCATCAGTCTGATCATGCGTCCACACAACACGCGCTCGGCGCAGTGGTGCTGGATCCAGCGACCGCATCATGTTGGGCTCTGTAATGATTGAGTTATCACAAGAGCGATGCCCTTCCATACCAGGCTTACACCAACGGATTCCAAGTATAACCCCAATTTGATAAGTAGCTGTCATGGGATCTCCTGTTGATATTAATGGCGCAGCACTCTTGAAGTAGCAGTGGATGGCGACGGATGGCGTGCGGACGCCGTAAGCACCTTTCCCGAGGAGGTATAAGATTTAGGCAGGCGCCCATCATCAACGGACAGCTTAAGCGCTTTGCACAGGTCTGGCAGAAGTTTAAATACCTTTCAAGCATAGTAGAGCATCCATTCCTGTTCCAGACCATGAATGGGTCTGCTGATAGTTCCAAAACGTAGATACCACTCGGGGGTATGGAACGCCACACAGCTGGCGAACAGAATCATACCCACACATAGCAGGTAATGATACTGTAACTAGGATAGCGATCCAATAACTTGCTGGCGAACGACTGGTCGGACTGGATCATATTTCCATTCAAAAAGGTATTCGTGCAAAGATAGGGTCGTGATGCAATGGTACAGTGCGTTTGAACAACGATTAATGAAAATTGATAGGACGGCGATAGAGATTGATCAATTTGGGCGAAAGCTATAGATTAGCAAGATTAGAAACTGAAGCAGGCATATCTGTAACGCGTCCGACAATGTTGTAGCGTTTCCTGGTAAATGAAGATAAGCGCCGTGACACGTCGGTCTAAGCGGGGTTATGCGGGACGTACTGGAAAAAAGAGAACCAGTCGTTGAGAACGTTCTTCTCGTTCTCTGGTAGGTCGCTGTAATCTGGTACAGCGTCCTCTAGGTTCAAACTGGACTTTCCAAGTCCCTTTGAGCCGTCCTTCCCGGCAAAGATGTTGTATGATTTTCCGGGACCGTACACGTCGCTTTTACGTGTGACGTCAAAGACAGTGCCTACGAGAAGTGAGCAGGAGGATCATCACCTCATACACAAGGACGTACCCTTAATGGACACATAGATCGGCTTCGAACTGTCGGAGCCGTCGAACTCCTTGAGTTGATCAAGGGTGAAGGGGTCATCCTTCGGGGGGTCGAGGTCGTCTCTGGGTGGTTGCATGATTGTCTTTAACGACTTCTTCTCTTCTGGTTGTGGATCTACTGGAGGAGGCTGAGGCGATGGCGATAAGGAGCGTCGCACGAGAAATAGAAGTGGCAAGGCCAGCACGAGCCCATAAACCACCACCAAAAACATGACAAGCTAACCACTCATCCGGCTTTTGCCGCCCCTCTGTCCTGGGGTACTTGCGGAGCTTCAAATTCGCTGTGTCCTGATCCACTGTGTCCGCGCTTGCTTGTTGTAAGCCAAAGCCCACATCCACTCCTAGGATCCCTTTTGTCCGCCTTTTTGCAGCTTGGATAGTGGTAGTGCTGTGACCATGCCAGTAAAAGCGTCCACATTTCTCGACTATAAAGCCGGGTCTATTCATGATGGTACATACTATCAACGTCTCACAAGCTCAGTGCGACTCCTGTATATTTCCTGTATCCATCATCGTCTCTCTTACGCCGTCCAACCACCATGATTCCTCCATTTTCCATCCCAATATACGAATCGCCCGCCTACGTTCTCTCTGGTCTCACCTTTCCGCAGCTGCCGCTGGACACCCAGCATTACTTGCTAGACACAGCAAAACTAGTGCCCCCTCACGCGCCCCACTTGAACACCATCGAGCGGGAATACAGAGTTATATGCAATGCTCTCGTTAGCAGCCTCGTAGAGAATAATAAAGCCCTCGTGGCATCGCGGCTTGAGGCCCTCGTCATGGCCTATGATTTTCAAAGGGAGAACCCGCCTCAGCCCAGTGCAGAATGGCACGAAACAATGCAGGAAAGGCGCCTTCGCACAGTCTTTGATGTCCTGCTGCCAGAGCGAGAGCTAATCTTCAACGCATTCATGATCAAGTTTGACGCGCTCGTCTGGCTTGATCAAGAAAGATACGAGGATTACACTCCTGAGGATTGGCAGCGGTACAGGGACGCGCTGCTGGAACCTATTCTTGACTATACAAACAGACAACTTGTCGTGCTGGAGGAGCGCGTCGTAAACCGCTCCGAGTCTCATGGATCTCACAGTCTGGCGCTTCCCAACCCACCATACTCACTGGTCAGTTCATACCGCCAAAACACAACCCGCGCACGCTCAAGGATATTCGCAACCCGTAGACCCGACTCCAGAGGGGTTTGGTCCAGGGGTCGGAGGTTAAACCGGCATTCATAAAGGACTTGGATCTTACTGGACACAAATCGAACAATTCATTATCATTATGCAACGAAGCACATGTACAATCATTAACGCTGTTACATACAAACATACTCCTATGTACTTGATTACACTAGGATGATGTCTGTACAGCATTACAATCGTTATCTCTCCAGTGGTGTGGAGTACCATGCCGTGTCCGTAACCTCAAGTGGAAAATACAACTGCCACCATGGGCTTCTAATCCCCTGATCGCCCTCGTAGTGGTAAATCCTATCACCACGTCAAAATCAAGAAGCCTCCCGAACATTTCGGCACCATTCAACTCGCAAAAAGGTAAAAAGTTTGCCTGATCCCGGGCGAAAAGTCGGCAATAATAGTATTGAGGGACAGGCGCACAACAAGCTAATTCGACAGTCGACAGGGTATCGGAAGTAGTACAATACAAGTTTCAAAACGACCAGGTGAGGTAAATTATCGCGAAGCTTGAACAAATTACGGAGAAAGAAGAGTAAGGAAGATCGAATACAGTAATAACCAAGGCTGCAGAAAGCGAAACAATATTGACATAGCATTGGCGTACACTAACGGGGGACACTATTTGCGAAGGATAGTAGGGGAAGAGACATTGGGTATGAAGATGTTGAATCCGAGGATGTTCATGGGCCGCCCCGTAGGAGTGGAGGGAGCGAACAATTGGGTGGTAACGGCACAGCGATATTGACGGTGTGGCAAGCCTCAGTCACTCGCTTCCGTAGGTCGTCACACTTGCTCAATAACACTAAGAATCCCTGTCAGATCAGTGATAATGAGAAAACCTTTAATCACTGACTTGGGCAAGGCCACAACGTGTTCAGCACGTCGACTGGCACTATGACGTCTTTGGCAACTTCCAAAGCATCAAGAAGTGACTTGTCCTCCTCCCACAAAGAAAGACATCTACGGGTATGGTGTTCGTGTTGAGCAAGTGGGGTCTCTAAATGCACGCCAAGACTTACATTGCTACTTGGCTTGCAAACCAAGTCACTTGAAATGGTTGCCTGGTGAAAAGATGCCCATCCTGATCGCCAAGATGGTGAATTGACATTTTAACTCTGCGGATGAAAAGGCTCTGGTAATACACTGTCATCGCCAAAATTACGATCAATTAATAGACTGCGGAGCTAGAGCCACTTACGCCACTGCTCAGCCTGCTTGCGGTTGAACTGAGGAAAGTTTCCCGCCTCTGCATGGCCACTAGATACGCCACTATCAGCTATCTCTGTCAATTTACCAAAAATGGAGACTTACGCTCGTAAAATCTGAGTAATTATGATCTGTGTGCTGCAGAAAATTATTACCATCAATGGAACGACTGAATAGATGAAACAGACGTACTTGTACACGTATTCCCGACACATGTACAACAAGGCCATATCGAGGTTGCAAGTGTGAGTATCCAAGGCATCTTGAATTTCAAGGGTCTCAGCCCAAGCTTCGATCGCAAGGTCGGTTGTCTCTGCGCCGCTAAAAACATTTTTCCGGAGACGAGTGGTACAGAAATTCCAAAGGAGCATGCTGCGGCAATAGAGTGCCCATATTGATTCTTTCGGAGACTGCGCCTTGTGCTCGTTGGACCCTCGTTGTGATATTTCACCAGGGAACAGTAACCGGAACTGCCAAACTGTCAGCATGAGCAAAATGCACAGACAAGGAATTGGATACAAACATTGGAAGGGTCAGTCAGGAAAAGGTCGCTTGGCTCTTTCTGGAACGCGATGCAATGTGACGTGTACCTGGCCACGAGGTTAAGGGCGCTCCAACATAGCCTCCTGCAAGATTCCTTGTGCATCTCCTCAGGGGTCCACGAGGGATCCCAGGGTGGCGTGAATGACCATGAGGACGAAAATTGCTCAGTAGCGATAGATGAGTTGGGTGACAGGGGGATGCAGTCGCACTTGCGAGGAATTGAATGAGGGGGACGAACTCCGTCCTTGGACATTTGATCAAAGGTGCGGCGTCTGTGAGCAATAGGCACAGCGTTAGGGGTGAATGTCGACACGTCTGGCTCATTGCCGTCCAAGAATGTCAAACCTAATTGGCGGACAATTCCGTCGAGATAGGCCAGAGAGCGTCTTGCGCGCTCGGGGGTATAGAGTGGGTGGGCAGAAGATTCATACACAGCGATAATCTGAATAGAACATAAGCAAGAATTGAGAGAAGATGCTGGAAGCATGCTTACAAGAGCAGCCTTCGCAAGGGTCACGTCTATCCATTGGGAATTCCATGACGCTTCTAGCCAAGCCTGCGCCTTATCACGAAGCCAAACGGCGCGCTCGCGACCCGCGGATCCCAATTCCATCTCACTCGATTTCATTAGGGTCGCTAAAGCTAACCCCGCAAAAACAAGTGAAGGTTGCATAAGAGAACGTTCTTCAGGGTTGTACAGGCTGCGGACAAAGTCCGGAACATTCACAAATGATAACCAGTACCCGCTAGTGGTGAACCTTGACAAAAAGTTAAATCAAGCCAATTGGGTCATTAGTCGATGACCTACAATGTTGAGAGATCTGATGCAATGTCTTTTAAACTAATAAATAATGCGTCATTTAATTAGTCTATCCATGCGATAGATAATGCCAATGACGTACGACTGATCCCGAGTAGTAGAGTAGCTCATAACCAAATTATCCCACCACTCCTTGCGACCATATTGCACGGAAGGCGTTGATGAGATGCGGTACTTCTCCACTTGATGCTGGAGAAGTTATCAAGTCAAAAAATGATTTGACAGATAAAACAACAGGGCGAAATTAACGTACCGGATAGCTGTCGTCTGATGCTGCACGCGATTGCATAGACGAAGAGAAGTCAGCGCCAGCAGGTGAAAGTGAAGGCTGGAGTCGAATTCTATCCCCATCAGGGCGCAAAGCAGGAACATTGGGAACTCCACGAGATTCCCGTGGAAGCTCTAGGTCGTCATTCCTAACGGAGGTGCGTTTCCGCTTGGACGGAAGGGTAGGAGGGGATGAGCCATCCGTCGGACGTTTCTTACATGAGCGCTGGCGGGTGCCTGGCCTTTTGTCAGGCCCTCGCCGTTTAGGTGCTGCATCGTATTGGCATTCATTCGAGCGGCGAACACAGTTATGACAAATTGGTCTTGTGGAGTCGCACCGAATTTTCCTCGCACGACTTAGCAACCACGTGAATTAGCAGCCTGAAGAAGTCTATCAATCTAATGGACGCACCATTGCCGACAAGCTATCACTTGATTGGAAATTTCCCTGCGAGGCGTATCCTGAGATGTAGATGCTGCTGGTTGGGCAGGATGTGGTTGAGGTGTTGACTCTGACATTGGTACAGAGGATCTCTGAGTGCTATCTGGAGATTGTATTACAGGGGGTTGTGCTGAACCACCACCTGAGGAATAAGATTGGTGGCGCAAATCTTCGGCAGAATATCTTCGGTTGGGGGGGCCTTGGTAGGAGAGATTGACGGCGCCGCCCTGAACCGGAGGGGGCGGAAGACGAGTATTAGGGTATGCATGGGGGGGGATGTCAAGACCAAGATGATTTCTTTGTGGAAGAGGAAAGTCAGAGTGATAGGAATTGTGGTGGTGAGGATTTGAATGAATATTCAAAGGGGTTTCGAGGAGGTGAGAGTGGGGTTGTAGGTTGATGTTGGCGTAATCGAACTGAGAGGCTAGGATGCCCGCTGCATGTTGTATATCTAGCTGATCTTGGTGATAGCGGACTTTATTGTAGACAACATGTGAAATGACGATTAACGTAGTTCGAAAAGACTACGAGTTTGATAGGACTTACTGTCCCCGTGCGGCTGTGGAAATTGGGCCCCGAAGATGGGAGAGTGAAGACCGGAGCCATCCTCACTTGACTGAGGACCATCCTCCATGATGATGCCCTGGGGAAACGGAGTATAGATATCACTGTCTGTGCTGATGACCATAAGTACTTGAAGAAGGGGGATGAGAGTTTGAATCAGAAAGAAGGAAAATGGTAACTGGTAATACGGCACTGGTTTTCGATGGTTTGCCACGCGAGACTTGAAGGAGAAAGTGCTAAGGGGAACTCATGCCCACGGCAAGCTGAATGCTTATGAAACAACCGAATCTGGATATGTGCAAACTCTCAAGGTAATGGGAAATCATCATATAAATTATATACTGAATTTCAGGGGAATTTCTTGACCTCCATTGCATAGCATTGCATTCGAATCGTTCAGTTGGCCTCAGTCTTGGGTTGAACTTGCTTTTTTTCATCAAATCATACCCACGACGCAACTTCGGGGCCGCCTGATTTCTTGACCACCGTGTACCCGTGCCTGGTTGTCAGGTTTGAAGAACAAAACTCTATTTATTTTCCCTCAAAACCTAGCTCATTGCAAAAATTTTGATAATCCTTCTAATCAGAAAAATCATATCTTGTCTGATCTCGGCCTCCAGCAAGTACCCAAGAGTACCAGAGAGTACCCCCTCCTCAAGTTACCCCTTCCCGCGACGCCTGCCACGTTTGAAAACTTAAAAATTAACCGAATAGCCGACCCAAATTTGGTAGGTACCGCACGCAAACCGCACTTCAAGTTATGCGCTGTTCGTCGTAAATCTGCGATTGAGGGGATTAGATACCCCACACAGATTCAGAATTGCGTTCACATCGCATCTCATTTAGGCTGATTTTGATCGCGGCTAGACACGTCAGCGCGGGGGATTCTCTGGGATTTTGGTGTGGAGTCCCTTGCCTGCAAATCGATAATGTTACCGAATCTTGTTACTTACGTCAAATCCTATCCTGTAAGGTGCGATCACCGTCCTCGCAGGCCCATGCAAGTGTGGCCTCCTGCTACACGGTAAAACTTCACCGTGAGTGCGGCCAATTCCGTAACAAAACAACAATGTTGATCATCCGTACTATTAGTAGGTAGACCCTTCCATTTCAAGTGCGCTCACCCTTAGCTTCAGGCCGCCGGCATCAGGCGCAATGGGGTACTTCATGATAAGCCAATTTAAGCTCTTTTATCCAAAACATATACCTCAAATTCAAGGGTGCTCATGATCCGTGACCAACCTTGCTCGCACTCAGCTCTCTGTAACACACGTCGTTCACCTGTTTCACAATTTGTTTCGTCACTTTATGATAAATTCTAACCAATCACAATTGGCACCGAAATTGCTGTATTAGGTATCCTCTGTATTCGGGGATAGAGCAGTCCTCGTGTCTTGCCTCATCCATGTTCAATTTCTTGTTCTCGTGTTGTGTTCGTCAGCGTCGCCGCGACCCAGTGTGTACAATAAAACGGGTCATGGAACCAATATACCTAACAATTCAGTAGACGCTTCCCGATGAACGCACCTTTCTAATCCCCGCCACAACCGCAAGCGAGACTCCTACGCAAGTGTCCCACAATTCACTCTTCACTGTCTCTTTCTCAAAGTCAGTGCAGGCCTCAGCCGCGGGTGGTCGACCATCAAAAGCTAAAAGAGCGCTTGGGTACCGTAGTCCGCTCAAAAGAAGGGTGCGTTCCCTTTGTCTCCACAATGCTTTCCTACAGCGTGCTCTGACGATCCACTCAGAAAAATGGTCAATGTGAATGTTGCCTTCCCATTTAACCTCCACAACCAGTCCCTTGGCGACCCTCCGTCTCGTAGTGTCTCAGGTGGGACCCTGGATAGCAGTCGGCGGGCATCGCGATCTCCTGCACGTGATTCTCTACACACGAGGTATTCGAGCACTTCACTACACCGTGATGCGGAAGCTTCCGCTTCTCAGAGCAATGACGCCATGGATGGAAGAAGCGATCCGTACAAGCCGATATTAAATGTCCGGCTTGTATCGACTCCTGTGAGCAACGGCGCAAACAGGACAATTAATGGCATCTCTCGGGGGCGACCAGGGCGTGGGATCGAACATGGACGAGCGACGGTTGTCAGTGCTAACCACATTTCTCACCCTGACGAGGACGACGAAGAAAACCAAAATGTGGCTGAAGACAGTAATGCGCTGACACCTCGTCCACAGACTGGTGGGGATCCAAATAATTCGTCTGATACGGTGAGCTCTTAACCTATAGTATACATCACGTGACCTAACTCGTCCCCACAAGGACCCCTCTGAGCCATCCCGTGATGCCAATGTCAACCATACCGAGGATTTCACGATTCGTGACGCTGGTGCCATATCACGTTCCTGGGGGGACTGAATGCTCCGATATTTTATTCTAAAATCTGCACGTTCATTCCGGAACTTGGTCGTCCATGTAAGGTAGTACATAACCCTTGCATGTATTTCCGGGTGCTGCAAGGATTGTTCCGCATAGTCGATCTGCCGGATCTAATTTGATGCTGCATCTGGTTGGTGTTTGCCCATACGAAATATTTCGGGCCGATTCATTGGTCGTCGGAGGCCAGGATGAGCCACGTAGAACATACGACACGGCTATTTTTGATTGAATGATTGGACGATACACTGATACACTAAATCGACTGCAGATATGAGGGTGGGGTCATGAATTCCCTCTTTGGTGTAATGCATTGGTATGGGCGTCTTAATCTTGGCTTTCCTTGTACGTCCCCCGCATTGCGCTCAAAACCCTCGACATTAATAGGCAGTAAATCATGGTTGATGGTAGGCGCAGCGCCGACAAGACGCTGGCACATGATGTCACAAATGTGATCCACAAAAACACCAGGGTTGCAAAAGTGATTATTCACCACCATTGACCTTCTGACGTGATCTATTCAGTTATACCTTAGCGAAGCCGAGGAGAAATGGCTGAAGGAATTTCATCTGTTGCCCGTGCCCAATGGCAGGGCGGTGGACGGCTGTTCATTCTCATCGGCGCCCGATCGTATGGAATTAAGAGCCAACTCGGGTGCGTTCTTCGCTGGGTATTATACGTGTCTCTCCCGATGTGACGAACTAAAAATGACGCGATCCGCAGGTGCTTTAAGGGCTGTTAAGGGGACAGCAGCAGCCAACCCTGGAGCTTCACAGGAAAAATATCCGCAGGCCCAGACCTTGCGGATCATTGCGACTCATCAAGGATCACTCGCTTCACTCGCTCTAGCTTCATTCCTAAACATTGAACCATAAAAAACAACTTCTGTGCATAGCACGTGAGTGTTCACTTGAGTTTTTGTGTATGGGGATGGGGGGATTTCGAGCCCTGGCATCCCCACGTTCGTTTCAATGGCCAACAAAGGTCTGTTGCCACGGTTCATGCCACAGAGTTGCTATCCTTACAATGTCGCAGTGTACTCACATTATCAGATGAGCGTGGCAGCGCGCGTCCAGCGGGAACCTCGCAGGATGCCGAAACAGTTTAGAGTTATGTCCATTAGAGCCCTGACTCCCTGGGTTTGTGAAGAAATTTTGAGTCTCTGTGAGTGTAAGGTACATAATGGTACACAGGTGGATTAAATTAGATTCAGATCACGATTTCTCGCAGTCGCATGAACCAGCCACTTTGTCGAGGGGTGACAAGGTGTCTAGAAGAACTCATTAGGACACGAATCATTGAAACTCAACCATGCTTCCGAGACTCTAATGCACATTGTGCACATCGTGGCCCCCTTTAGCCTCCTTCAAGTCACGGGGAAAGGTCTTTATGGTAAGTCTATGGGGATATGAAGTATTCATGAGCGCTCTGACACATCCGTGATAGATGAAGAACAGCAACTTTAGACAAGGACGGGACATACAGTCTGAGCCCATGATGTGCACTTGTCAGCAATCCCCCGCTGGCCAGACCATATAAAAGAAGGACAGTCCGACGTTCCTCCTTGATTATGACTTGTCAGCGACATCAAAAGCAGCACTGCTGGCCTGGTGCATTGTAGTGATCGCACATCACATCACGAGCGGCTGACACCCCGAGGAAACCGAAATTCACAGTTGCCAAACGACTCGATTCTTCTCATTATCTTTCAACAACAAGACGCACTTCTCTTTACGGAAGGCTATTACTCCATTGCGAAACACCTTACTATCGGTGTCGTCCTCTCCGCATTACACGCACCGCTTCTTGTGGTTTTGTGGCATGACGACTTGAAGTACGAGAGGATTTAATTTGTCAACGACAAACTCATTTTTCATTCGCTCAGGAGCAACCTTCTAGAACCTATTTAGTATGCATGCATGCTCATTTTGATTTGAAGGGGCCAAAATCTCGGGGAAATGTCCAGAGTACAATAGTCCTAGTAAGTCAATATAATTGGCGGAAATTGTCATCGTCCTGAACTGCCAAGACCGCCAGCTGTACTTGGGCTCCAGCAGTAAGCACGCACAAATATCTCATTTTTTCATTGGAAAGATCGGAGGACCACAAGATTCTCTCCGAGCGAAGCCAAATTGTATGAGCAAACAATCACATCCTATCATTCATTTGCGAATTACTACTAGGCTCGGATTTTTCCAACCACTCGGCGGATTTCATTTTCTAGCCGTCGGCATACGCAATGGATGCCCTGTTGTCCTACCATAATCCAGCCACTCTTATCGATCGTATCACCCCGTTATCGCCCTCTCGTCCCACTTCTCTGTAGTTCCACAAGCCAAGCTGAGATACGGTTTGAATTCACTCATGTATTTCACTCTCTGACTTGTGGACGTCCTCTCATGATCAGTTCCAGGTCCTACGGTAACGAATTCCGCAGCGAAATTTCACACACGCTGAATCCCTCTGAATCCTATCACTTCAGCTCCACAGATAACACCGAAACTCATTTCGTTCCCGGTCTTTCGCTATCTTTTTGGTAGCTTCGGTTCGTACACGAATTATCGTCCGTACCATCTTCCACTGAAGTGAAGCTTCGTTAATTCATCGCAATAACCTTTCTTGCGTGTACAAGCCCAATCTCTTGTCTGCCAGCGAGGGTGTTACTCAAGGATGTCGTTGCAGTAGGCGGACTGGTTCTTATCGTGTGTTCTTGGATGAGAAGACCTACGGCGTGACGCGGAACCCGTCGGGTGTGCCGTTCGAGCTACGACTGACGTAGGGGCAAGAATCTTGTCAATTCTGCCGGAAGAACCGTGCGGCAAACACTATCTGACAACATGACGACATCCACATCTCCACATTATCCATTATGGGGAGGGGAAGCGGGACTGCCACTGCGCTCTTATCGTCGACAGATTATGGTTACAAAATCCTTGGCCAATACACTCAAATTCCCAAAAAATATAGTAAAACCTCGTATTGCAACGCCTCATTCCATCGATTAGCATTTGCTCCATTGCTTCTTGCACTCCGGTATAGCGGATGGTAGGTCGATCCCCATATAGATTCCGGACCGGCGAAATCGTTGTTGAGGTAGTGGTTCCCAAGTAACATTGGCCTCTCCTAGCAGGACCAGCAGTAGCGCCCAGAGTTGTCGTTACTGCGTTAAAATAATTAATAATAAAGGGCAGGTCCTGTAGGACGTCTGGCCGGCGTGGGCGTACTCGTGAGTCTATAATCTAATTTTTACAGACCTACATGTACAATCGATGATTGTCTGAAGTAATTCATAATAATCAAGAAGACCATTTTATGGTCCATATGCGTTTGTGGGCAGTGCACCAGAACCGATGCCTCACAGCTGTGTTTGACGTTCTGCCCATAAGAACCTATAAGAACCTGCCAACAATCCTAGTGCCTGTGACGCGACGCTTGCAAAGCACGCCATAGGGGTATGCGGTACCCATTTTGGCATGTGCGTCGGAGTTTCAATGTGTACAGCCTTTAGACTCGTAAAGTTCTTGCCGACGACGACTTAAATTTACTCCAAGACGACTTCCCCCCTCAGCAAGGCGTCCGAGATTAACTGCGTAAACTCCATGAACGTGTTACAGCGAATTTGGTATCAGATATGCACAACTGAAGATGATATGCTACAGTAAAGAATAAAATAATAAATGTAGTAGTACAACTCCAAAATTCCAGGCGTTTGTCACATCAACGTACTGTACATCAAAGGTTGTGGGCGACTATATGTCTCATAATTGTCAGAGACGCTAACATCTCTGTACACTCCAAATCAGCATTCTGCCGCTAGATAATTGAAAAATTGGGCATACCAGCTGCAAGGTGGGGATACGCCTCCTCAATGGTAAGCACGCACCCAGAGGACTGGGCGTATTCTGGCTCTCCAGGTACTTTCAATGAATAAGACGCAATATGACGGTTGCTTGCGTTTGTGCACTAGGGATTATGCATAAGATTTTGAAAACACGCGTGAGAATTAGCACCTACCGTCCACTCCTCCCCTTGGGCGGTTCGCCAACTCCATCGGTACTGTTGGCCATCGGACCCAATGAACCTCCTCGACTTCGCGCTGGATGATCGATAAGCTCGGAAGAAAACTACGCGCGATCGGGACTAACCTTCCAATGGGAAGTGATTCGAGGAAGCTACTCATGGGTACCTGCGGCCCTGATCCAAAGGCTATTGTTCCGAGGGAGTTGTTAGAACCGAAGGTTAGGGTCGCGACTGGATCCGTCCCGGATGTCATGTTGTATATTATGTATGTTGCGTGTGTAGATCCCCAACTGGTGCATCGAAGTGTGAAGCGCAAACGATCATTGATGTCCACGAAGTGCGACCCTGTCAGCTTGCCAGTCTTGTCCTCCAAGAGGTATGGCATTCCATAGCTTGTCATGATGGGACTCAAAGGAGTGATAAGATGAAAGATTTCGGCGAGGGGATGATGAAGGAGAAATTCAGCTACATCTCAGGTATTTCTGCGACCAAGACATGGCAAATGGCCAGCCTATTTCGGCAGCCACGACATGTCAGGAGACCTTCATGGTATCCGGGCGGTAGATAGGAGAAATTCATACTGGTGAATAGCCGAGATAAAAAAAAAAGACCGTTAAGCGGTAAGTCTGAGAGGGCACGTTGAATTCGGGCGCGCGAACTCGGACTGACTGATTGAGCCAGAAGTAGAGGAAGCCATGCGAAAGAGGAAGCGTAGATCAAGGATCAGGCAAGGTATTCGTCATGTACGCCATTCGCGAAGACCTGATGAACGAAATTAACAACGTTCGTACCTGTGATGACGTACCAGGGAGGACAGACTCTCAATGTTCACTACAGGCAAAGCCTAAATTTCATCAGGTCCACGTCATTCATGGTCGATAAAACTGAAAGCATGCGACCGGCGTGGCTTTACTTCATCCTTGGTTCATACAAAACGGCAGGGGCCTAACGCGTTTTGAGCACTAGTATCACCACACGTTTGACAGGCGCTGAGACAGGCAACGAGGCAGAGTCAGGTGAGGCATCAACCGGGACGAGTGATACGGGTGTGATTATCGCATGGGGAATATCTCGAAATCGCATACAGATCTAAAGCCAAGAATCTCTTAGGCAGACCGCCAATACACACCAAATCCGGCATCAAGAGGTGCATGGATCAAGGCGCAACTCAATGCCTTTGATTGGCGGTCCCATGCTGAAATGGTGTGGCTTCAGTGCACAGGTATTGACGTCCACCCCATGTACTGCAGTTGACAGTACCTGGAAGTTTCGTCTTTTGTTACGGCATTAAAAGTTCCAATAACTGCGCGGCCATTAGCGGCCGGTGCCATGATTCTTCCACGAGAAGGCGAAATTTGATGAGTTAGTGCGGGGCAGATGCAGTGCGAGGTTCTAAGTGCGTAAATATATGAACATATGGCAGTCTGCTGAGGCATGACATACTTCTTGAAGAAGACTCGACCGAGTTAATCTCGCTCATAACGGGCACTCTGCCTGTCCCTTGAGTTCAAGTCCCATCGCTGCCGGTCTCTTCCGCGGTCTCTTTCGCGTGCGATTTCATCATAGTCCTTCACACGTCGAGTAGCATGAGGTGAACGACTGGCTGGTGGAGGCGAACGACTGCGCCGCGGGTAACGACGCCTCTCGTTATCATCGACTTTGCTGGGTCGAGGTGAGCGCGAACGGGTCCGATCTCTACGGGAACGCCGTTCGTAATCAGTATGGCGAGACTCTCGATGTGCCTCTTTGCGAGCTTTCTTTTCTTCCTTCCGTTCGGCTCTCTTGCGGCGCTTTTCCTCTTTCTCTGAAGCATGCTGTCCACCATCTACAGCAATGGCATTTGGCCCTGAGAGAACGCTTGAGGGGGCCTTTGCAACAGGAACGGTACCAGACGGCGCGGAGCCAAACCCACTGGGGAAGTCATTTAATACCGGGCGGTAACACGTTAAGGACGACACTCACAGTGCTGCAGCAAGGGCCTCTGCTTCTGCTTCCTTGATCTTTCTTATCTCTTCTTCCCTCTCAGAGTCACCCTTGTTATCTCTGTTGTACCAGTGAACATCTTTGTTCTTCTGCCATCTCCCGGTCGGGGCATTAATACTGTGACCCAGATAGTTCTATTTGACAATTCAATACCATTGGAATAAAACGCGTAACAGTTGACGAACCTCTCTGTCTTTGTCTGCAGAGACATCGGTCCATTTGAATTCTGCCTGGCCTCCTCGAGTTCCTCCCCGAATTGGTTCAAACATTTGAAAGAGAACGTTGAGAGAACGTGTTGAGTTCGGTTACCCTGACCGAGGAAGCGTGAGAACATGATGAGCTAACGAAATTTATCCATTCCATCTCGGGGGTAGCAATATTCCTAGGCCTCGTGTCCTAGGCTCTACAAACATGCTATCTTGACGCCGGTGCCTTCAGACTCATCATTTCTTCATGTACCTCAAGGTGATGCGCAGGGAGGAACTACGCCCGGATCTATCGTACATACTTCCGGCAGACACTTCGATCGGTCTATCCCTTTACCGCCTCCTTATTGTGGGCTTGTTTTACCTCGATCTCGTCATCCTGAAGTCTAAGCACAAAATCTTACTGCGGTGTGCTGGCGATTCGTCGGTCATTGAGCCTAATTCTTGTTGTTTAACGCGTATCTGGCCGCACACAGAATGTCGTAAAGATCAGGCTGATGCGTTAACTGTGCAGGAAGTTAGTATGAGGCATGATTATGGCTTGTGATAAACCATGAGGCCTGACTCTGGCATGCGGATTCCAACTTCGTGCGGTACCACCACGCCAGCGTTAATCAAAAGCTGATCTGTGTGCGCTAGAACGTCGTATACGCCGTATGTTGGTCTAAGACGAGAAAAGTTTCCCATGTAAATGTTCCCAAAGTTGTATACGGTGTGGAAGTTGACTCGATTTTATTCAAAAATAATTTGTTGGTTTATTCTCTTGTTGCTTCTGCCATCATATCTGCTGGCTTCTTTCGTCCCAATTTGCAGCTGCTGTATAATACATTGCAACGGTCAGAACACAGATCTGGATGCATCGAACGTTCATTTGGAATCCAACGCGGCATTACTCCGATACCCCATCGAAGTCGTGCAATCGCTGCAAGGGGTCCTCAGCACACTCCTGTGTCTACTTGAACGTCCAATCACCATGCCACAACCAGTGCCTACCAGTGATGTCCTACGGCTTCTATGCAGTTGCTCCCGGGCCAGTGCCTTGCGAATGGTCATGGGCGCTCAGGGCTAGCTCTGTCTCTACACTCCTTTCGACACGAGGTCATTTCTTGGGTTTGAGGTAAGTAACCGAACTGTTTTTTCATGACCAGAGTATTCATCACTGCACGTCGTCGATAGTGCTAGGGCCCTCTACGAAGGCTCCGCTGGTCGTCTTGATTTCTCATGATGTGCGATAGGTTGGCGCATTGCACTTATCCTTATCCAAATAAGGCAAGCCATTAAATTATTCCAAGGTTTATCCGACCGAACGGCTTCAACGGAATTCTCGCATAACGGTGCAAATGCTGCGAAGTAAAGATTGTATGGAGAGGATACGACTGCTCGATGCATTTGCCTTGACGTCGAGTGCTTGTTGCGTGCATTTCGATTTCGACTGCAGTTTTTGCGGAACTATTTTGCTGATTTGAATTGATTTATTTGTCATTGATCGATCACGAGGGCGCACGGGCCCTCGTGGCAAGAAACGGGGGTTTTGCTGCATGTGGAAATAGCCGAGCAGAACCTTCGTGTTCTCCTCAACCATCGTTTATCTGTCGCGCAAACCTCGACCGCACTTTACATTTGTCTCCTCCATTTCTGCGCCATCCTTGACGATGAGCAAAAAGGGCAATAAAACGCAGCAACCAGAGACTAGCTATGCAGAACGTGATATCGTGCTAGCCAAAGTACGCGGCTTTCCGCCGTGGCCAGGCATGGTATGTCGCGTCTTTTGAACTTCTTTGAAAGACATTCGTGCCAATGGCATGTGCAGGTAGTGAACCCTGACACGGTCCCCTCCGCTGTGTCCAAGGAGCGCCCAGCAGGCAAAAAAACTACGTTCCACTGTGTCAGGTTCTTCCCTGCAGGCGACTAGTATGTCAGTACTGCTCTTCATGTTGAACTTTGTTGAACTTTGGCATCCAGTGCTTGGCTTGTGTCCAAAGACATATCCAAATTGAAGCAACATGAGATCGAAGCATACATCAACGAACCCCACAAGAAATCTGGCGACCTTCTAACAGGCTATCGGATTGCACTGGACCCCTCGAAATGGGAAAAGGAACGTGAAAATGCAGACCTGGCAGCGGTAGAGCAGGAGGATAATGCTCCAGTTGATCAGCTTGACAGTGACAATGAGGAAGATGGGGCAAAAAAACCGGCCAAACCCAAGAAGCGAAAGCGAGATTCTGAGGCGCCTCCTCCCAAGCCTAAGGCCAAACCCAAGGCCAAAGGCGAGAAAAAGGCTCCCTCATCTAGAGGGAAGAAGAATGGCACCAAATCGAAAGAAATGGTTGAGTCAGAGGACGATGGCGAGCCAGAAGCCGAGGCTGAAGAGGATGAGGAGGCAGGATCGAGTGCTAAGGCGGCGCCTCCCCCATCTAAGAAGCCCAAGCGGGAAAAGGAGGATGATGTCGATCGTATGTTCGCCATTTGCAACCACGCCACGCCCTTTGTGCTCATTTCTCCATTCAGCTGCCTTGGAAGGGGATAACGAAGCTAAGAAAGTCCGAGAATGGAGACATAAATTGCAGAAGGCGCTTCTGGGGAGCAAAGGGTTACCTGCTGCTGAAGTACGTTCTCTTTGTTATCGGCCAATCAGTCGTTAATCAACATTTCTTCAGGACATGCCTGCTCTTGATCAACTTTTTTCAACTATTGAGAACTACGACCATCCCAATCTCATACAATACCTTTCAGTGCGTCCTGTATCCCGTTGTTCATGTTTGCAACGTGTACTCATGGCTTCTGTTCCCTAATTTTCCCTGCAGTTTTCCAAAATCGGTAAGGTCATGCGTCACATTGCTGCTTTATCCACGGATAAGGTTCCCCGCGACGACGAATTCAAGTTCCGGGTACGAGCGAAGTCTATGGTCGACAAATGGCACGCTATTCTTGGCGCTAGCAAGGGAAATGAGAATGTGGTTGAAGGCGCTGTCAACGGTGCACCGGCAGATGCTAATGCTGCAGAAAAGAAAGCCGATATTACGCAGACGTCTCCGGTGGAGAACGGCCCTTCCGCGGCGGACACATCGTTGGGTGATGTTACGATGACAGAAGCATGAAACACTCATAGGCCTCCTCGATGCATTCAAGCGTTGTCCTTGTCCTTTCATATTTTCTTTCGAACGTGGCTTGTCCCCTCACGATCGAGGCTACGACGTCAACTGTATCACTCGCACGCTCATCGTTGAAGCTATTTTACATTTTCACTTGACACATTATTTCTTCGTGACAACATATGCGGTACATATGTTCCAATGCTATGCTACGTCGTCCTTATGCTCTATGTCGCGGGTTTAGTTCGAACGTACGTGGCGTGAGCTGATTTTGTGCAGTAAACCGCGATGGAGCATCTGCTGAACTTCCACGATTATCTACATGTCAATGCAATAGCAGGGAGTACAGGTAAAAGCAAACCTAGTGCAGATCATTGCGAGCGGTTTTGTTTTTGTCCACAGCCCAGCATCTGCTGGCTGAGGCAGACGAATAATATCAGTATGAGAGAGGGGTCACTTACTACGCACCACCCCAAGATCCACGTCAAGCTTGTTCAAGTACTTACGTACAATAAACCGATCATATATGCTCCGAATGTGGACAAACACACTTTTCTTCCGCCTGGCACCGACCAGCCAGCACATTGTCGTCGTTCAAAATTGGGCTCTATGATGCAGGGTCCTCTCAGATTACCCGGCCGGCGCATGCTCTTAACTGCGCAGGGATCATTGCATCGTGTATACTGCAGGACCCAACCGACAGTCGAAGTGAAAACATCATGGCGCCAGACGCACATGCGGCAGCGTGGTGTCCGAAGTTACGCAAATTCATCCATCGACAACAAAGAGAAGAAACATGAAGGTTCCCGAGAAAGTGACCAGGTGATCCTTGGTGAGTGGGTCGACTCTTCGGTTTGTTGTTGATGAGTCATGACTAGCTGCAGAGAAAATGTTATCTTCAGCAGGTATTATCCAGATTTCCGACAGCTTTGAAGAAATTTAGCATCTATAATGTTTAGACACCTGCACCCCAAACCAAAAGCCGACGTTCCCTCTCGAAGCACAGGATCTTCCAGAAATACCACCTCTTCCCGCTAGACCAACCTTCCACATATCCCCGAAAGATATCACAACGTATATCCAACCATTGGTTTCGCGCCGGTGGAAAATCGGTCTTATCTACAGAGGCCGCGATGAAGATGAAATGCTCACTTTGAACAGGCGTTACGAGTTCAAGGGCTTCCGCGGTGTCATGGACTTTGTTCAAGGAGTCGCAGATATCTCGGGGACAGAAAATGCGCGTATCAAAACTTCTCCATATCTTCTCAAGATAATTGACTTGTCATATTCAAACTAGCATCACGGTCGAATCGTGCTCCAGTATAACACTGTCGACATTATCTCGCACACGCATTCAGCGTTCACCTTGCACCACGTAGAAAATGGGGATTCCAAGCTCGAAAAAGTTCCTGGGCTCACACGGCGCGATATACGATTCGCTATCAAGATCGAGGAGTTGTATGAAACATTCAAGGAACAAGGGCGCACGCCGGAGTCCGTACCGGCAGCCCTTGGCGTGCTGCAGCACCAGTCTATGTATTCAGTGCTACGAAGATATGGCGAAGAGCGGACCGTCGCAAAGACGGAGGATGGTCAAAGTACATCGACAAGCAATGCGATGGAATTACAGCGTGAGGCCTCATTGAATGCTGCTATGGTCGCTGTTAAAAATTACCAAGGTGACAACGATAAGCGAAAGATAGCTACAGAGGCTGCGCCAAAATTCGCGCGGCGAAACCATCGTGCTAAGGATCCTCTCAAGAATTCTTTTATTCAATTTCTAGGTTCACAACTAAGTCAAGAACGAAGAAGATTACATGAAACGAGTAGACATAAAAGACACCCAGAAGATCATTAGAGCGAGGGCCTTGACTTCCAGCCTCTTTCATACTGCCCCTCTGCGACTCTGAGTCGTTACTGTACGTCGTGATAGGCTTCATTACCTCTTCGTCCTAGTAACAAGCATCCTGCGCTACAACCACACGCAAATTTACTGTCGCAACCAATGTCGCGATCGAGGAAGAGAACGACGAGGACCGTTGATTGGACCATTAGCTAACATCGAAATCCCGCTTCGTCAAGCAACCGAGAGGATGTACAATGATCATGTATCATGGCCGACTTTCTCGAGGAATTGTCATAACTACAGAGCTTCACAACTATTGTTGCTATTCTGTTTTATACATTGTTCTTATCTTCAAATTAAAGTAAGTGGTCGAAAGCATGCACTGTTTTCCTCATCTCCATATCAGATCTACAATCCTTTTATAATCATCGAGCTCCTCCTCCTTGAACACTATCCGCTCTGCGGCGAGATCTTGCTGCATGTGCAATTCACTTGTGGTTCCACTGAGGGGGACGACGTTGTTTAGTTGGGCGAGTTTGAAGAGTACCTGTGCGGCTGTGACGTCTAGCTTGTGGGCAAGAGAAGTGGTGTGCGAATGCGTCAGTAATGCCGGTGAACCCGTCAGTGTCCAGAACGACCTAATTGATTGACTGTCAACCGTTGGACAACTTTGCAAGCTGAAACTAACTTACTGGTAGATAATTCCATTCTCCTTACAGTACGCCCAGACCTCTTTATCCCAAGCATTGCCTTCATACCACCTGTTTTGTACGATCTGGACCTTTCTTTCTTTCTCCAGCGCTTTCAGTACTCCAACGTCGTAAACGTTGCTGATCCCAATAGTGCGTACAGTCCCCTCGTCTTGTGCAGTCATAAGCGTACGCCAGGCTTCAATCGTTAAGGGCAAAGTTCGGAGAGGAGAATGGAGAAGGTAAGCATCGAGATATGAAGTATGCAAGCTAGCCAGTGATTTAGAAAGGGAACTTTTGATCTGGGTAGGGATACTGTCTCGGGGATTATATGGGAGGGGCTTGGTTGGGTCTTGACCAGAAAGGGGGGTGAATCTAATGAAGCTTCACTTCAAGCTGCTGAAGAAACCTCCGACTGAGTGGACGTACTTTGTTTGAATGTAGACATCCTCCCGCTTTATATTATGCTTGTCTTGGAGAACCTCCAAGGCTTCCCCCACAAGATCTTCCCTGTGGCACGGCTAGCATTAGATGAACTGATGATGTACTTAATGCAATGCTTACCTGTAGTGTTTTGGCTGACATGCTATTCAATGTTCATCGTTCACTATGAACAAAATTCAGCCGACTTGGACACCCACCTGTATCTACGGCGCGGAAGCCTTGGAGGAAGGCGCTTATGACAAGGTGAGCTGTTTTCTCGCCCTTCCTACTTGCCAATTCAGCATGCCACATTTTCGCTCGCTGGATGCTCACCATGCTGTCCCATAAATCAATTTTGGCGCTAGATTCATGAGAGGAGTCGGTCTTGCAGAACCGGCAGGACTCGGTATAATAGAAGTATGGGGTTCATAAGGCGGCGTTTGCATGTGAGCGCACTTATGAAGTAAGTTACCGACATCTCTTCCGTGTCAATATCTCGTGACGACGTCATAATAGATCAGCTTTCCACACTGATTCCCCCTGGCCGATAGCTTCATGCAGTTATCACAAGACAAGAATCAAAAGCCAGTGAGAGCTCGATAGTTGGTCTATATCGTGACCTAGGGGATCCAAGTACTCAAAAGTGAACGACCTTCACCTTCGCAGAGTTTCCGACAGGCGTGCCAAAGGCTTTCACCGTCCCTGTGTATGTTCCAAACTTTACATCGGCCTTTTTCTTTGCTCTCTCATCTTTCTTTATATCCCGGTCTACGTCTGCATTCCGCCGCTTGAAAGTGTGGAAGTCATCTTCATCTGCACCGGCGCTTTCCCCTGTCCCCAAGAAAGTTGCGGTTCCAGATAGAGCTACATCACATACGTGTTACTCAGTCGATCACGGTAGATTTGTCCCAAAATACATGCCTTGTTTTCTCAGTCCACAGTCCTTGGCCAGATGAGATGTTTCGCCACAGAGTTTGCAGCAGCCTCCGTTTGGATAGACACCCTTGTCCTTGTTTTGTGGACACGATGATGCCAAGTGACCTTTACCAGAACACACGAAACATGATGCGAACGGAAGCGCGTGATGAGGGTCTTCTGGGGCCTTGCATCGCGAGAGAATATGCTGATTTGAACCGCAACTAACGAAACCGAGTCTGTTATGTCGATCCAAGAGACAAAGTAGAAAGAGGACGCACCGATAACATATTCCAACACTTCTCGCTGCACCACCACTACCACGGGCTTCACTACGTGTGGTTGGACAGTCTCTTGCAGCGTGCCCTTTTTGCCGACATGCAAAACAAGTAGTGTCTGCGTATTTCTCCGCAATACGTTTCTGGCGTCTCGATTCAGACCGTTGGGCAGGATCTGGCCGAGCTGCAAGCGTTTAGTAATGATGAGGAAATACTTTCTCGCAACGAAAGATCTACCTTTAGGCTTCCGTTTCTCCTTCAGTTTCTTCTTGGGTACAACTTTCGCTTTTTCAGAATCACCCGCGTCCTGTGCCTTGTCCTCACTTGGTCCAGTTCTTTCGCCGCCATCGTCACCAGTTTCTTTTGGTTTTTTTGTCCGCTTTCTTTTCTTTTTTGGAGGAACTTGATCGTGTGGTTGGCTCTCGGATGGTAAAGTGGATGTCGAAGCTTGTGGCTCTGTTGGTTCTTCCACAGGCTCGGAATCGTCAGGAAAGCCTGCTTGCACATACGTGCGCTTTCGACCAAAATTTGTGATCCGCGTCATCGTTAGGGCGCGGTACACTGGCAGGAGGTGTGCACTTGATCAGTGATCGTTGCGCAAATTGGTTTGCACCAAATTTTACACCCTGAGCGAATTACCTTTTGGGAAAAATACCTCCTAATTGTGAATCCCGCTTGAGCTCATCATCACGCTCAATCGTCGATCTAGTGAGAAGGACAAAGCATGCTTCCAAGACTACAGTAATAGTCATATTGCAATTCAACCCTATGGATGTCTTCTCAGCGCGATACTTCGCGGTACTTGTTCGTTTGCTCATCGCTTAGCTGTTCTATTCAGAATGAAACATAAGATTGCATTGAAGTATATCTATATCCTTCAAATTCGAAGAAGTCTAGAATTAACGGGAAAAAAAGACATCGAGGCTTTAAAATTCCACCAACGCAACCCCTTGAACCCTACGAGGTTGCCGACAACAAACGGTTATTCTCTAAAGCCATTCCTTGAACGCAAGTTGATAAAGCGTCTTGGCAACATGCACGACCAAAGCATAACCGGTGATCATCGCTGCTAGGTATGCGAAGAAGACGGGCTCAGGCGGAGTTAAATGCAGGGCTGTGTTTACCTTCGGCATGTATGGGATTGCAATAGCAATAGCAGCGATACCGAAGGTGGTGCACACCACTGGGGCCGATGCGCGGGACTGGATGAAGGGGAGCTTGCCCGTTCGCAGGAAGTGGATAATGAACAGCTATCCCATGATCGTCAGTATCTATGTCGCATCTGTGGAACTTAATCAGGATCGTACCTGCGTCAGGGACCCCTCGAGAAACCAATCCGTTTGTGCGCGGGGGACGAGTGGGTTGTCGAGCGTACGAATGTCGTAGTGGAACCTAGAGCCGCCCGGTAACGTACGATTATTGATCGTGCACAGATTTACTCACCAGTTGATACAGAATGTGGTGATATCAAAAGGGCTTGAGAAGGGACCCATGCAAACCATGAAACGGATGATCGACTTCGCTCCCCATGTCTTAGGTGCCACCAAGTACTCGGGGTCAACATTGTCCCTGATATATTCTGTTCAGCGTCATACGTTCGACTAGATGTGATGATGCATACCAGGGAATCGAAGCCTGGGAGAAATCGTACAGCAGGTTCTGGACGAGGAGCTGCAGCGGGAGCATAGGCTGGTATGGAAGCCAAGCAGAAGCAACTTCAAAACCATATCGCATCAATGGACGTCGGCATTAAAGACCAACAGCAAACACATACCCAAGACCGAAAATATATTGCCGAAGTTGGAAGAGGTCGCCATCTTGATGTACTTGAGAGTGTTAATGAGCCTGCGCTTCTCATTCAGCGTTCTGCGCAAAAGCTCGCTTCAAATGTACCAACGTAATCCTCCCCTCGATCACACCGTCAGCGACGACACCAAGACTCTTCTCAAGTAAGATCACATCTGCCGCTTCCTTCGCAATATCGGTTCCTGAATCCACCGAGATCCCGACGTCGGCGCCGCGTATAGCAAGAGCATCGTTGACGCCGTCTCCCAAGAAGGCGACTGCTCTGCCACCATGACCCGCGCGTAGAGCTTTCACGACCTCAAGTTTCTGGTAAGGCGAGAGTTTCGCAAAGATGATGCAGCGATCAATGGCATCCTTGTAGGCATCTTGATCATCGGCAAGCGCCGCAAGCTGGGTGCCAGTGAGGATGAGCCCTTCGTCGCCCTTATAAGAGGGAGAAGCCTCTACATCCTTCTCATCCTCGGCAATCGATGAATGCTGACGAGATGGGATAAGCCCGAGGTCACGAGCCACCTTTGCAGCCACCGCAGGAGCATCACCAGTGAGGATTCGAACCTGTTATAAATGGAAAAAAAATTAACTGCATCAAAGGAAAGCGTGGAGGAAATACATACCTGCACGTTCAATTCGGCCAAATCTTTGATTGCCTTGGCGGCGTCAGGTTTCAACGGATCAAGAAGCCCAATGAATCCAACGAAAGTAAGTTCGCTCTCGTCAGAGCAGGTTATGGTCATGAATGGCTTGATAAGCTGTTCTCGGCAGGCCACAGCGACAAGACGCAACCCCTCCCCGTTCAAACGCTCGGCGGTATCGAGAATCTTTCGCCGCTCATCTGCTGTGAGGATTAACGTCATTGAGGGGGAAAGATCCAAACCAAGCGGTTCCGAGGCATCTGAGGAAGGAGATGGTTGGTGGTTGTAGGTTGACACGCACCGGTCCAACACTTCTTCTACTGCGCCCTTCGTGATCAACAGCCCGTCAGAGCCATCGCCACCAGGTCGCGAAACTAAGATCGACAGAAGGCGGCGTGACGAATCAAAAGGAACTTCGCCTTGCTTGACCCAGCCGTCTCCGGGAATGCCTGTGAAAATGTCCTGCTCACTGTCATGGACGAAGTCGACGATTGCGTGGTCGATCGGACTACGAGAACCGGTTTGCAGTGAGGAATTGATGTAAGCCAACTTAATGGGAAGTTGTGAAAGGTCTCCTGTGCCCGTCGCGGACATTGAGATGCGCACGAGGTCAGCGGTAAGCGTCCCTGTCTTGTCTGAGCAAAGAATCCGAACTGCGCCAAGGTTCTGGATGGCATCAAAACGCTTCACAATGACTTTTTTGCGTGCCACACGAACAGCAGACAGCGCAAGGTTAGATGTCTGCATTACAAGTGTCATTGAGAGCCGCAGCATCAGAAAACAATTGATACATACCACAATCATTGGCAACATTTCTGGCGTAATGCCGACTGCGACAGCGATCGCGAACATGACCGCGCCCTTCCAGTCTTTACTAACAGCACCCTGAACAATGAACACGATTGGAGCCATAACCTGTTGAGAGGAGTCAGATTCATAAATACACCAAAATCCGATAAAATATCGACTCACGCCCATGAACGCCATCAAGACATAACTGACTTTCTTGATGCCAATCTGAGTAGCATTCTCCGGTCGTCGTTTAGAGAGCTCGCTGGCGATAGAAGCCATGTAGGTGTCCTTGCCAGTTGAGACGACAAGCGCGTGTCCGTTCCCCGTGACAACAGATGTGCCCGCGAGACAAACATTATCATTGTGCAGTAAATCAAGCTGTTCTCCAGGTCGGGGGGCAGCAAGGCGCACGATTTTCTCGATGGGCATCATTTCTCCTGTAAGCGAGGCCTGTGTGATTGTAACAGCCTCGGCCAAAATGAGAACGCAATCACCAGGGAAGACATCACCGCCTATTATGGAACACAAAATTAACAATGATGAGAAAGAGAAATGCGATAACCTACTGGTGACAGCTATGATGTCACCTGGAACCACGGCCCGTTGATCGATTTCGAGCTCTTCCGAACCGGAGCTTCGGTAACGAAGAACGCGGGTGTTCGTCGTGACTGACTTGATCAAATTGACTGCTTGAATCATGGACTTCAGTTCTTGCCAATACCTGGGGCGACATCAGGCTATTTCTAACAGAGACAGGGTTCACAAACCTTAAGCCGGTCGAAGCGATTACCATTGCAATCATGACGACGAACGTAGGAATCTGTTGGGTGGCAGCACTGACGACCGCGAGGATGGTCAAAAGGATGTTGAACGGATTGACAATGGCCCCCCAAAGCATCTGCAATGCAGCGAGAGGACGTTCCGCTACCGGTGTGTTAGGTCCATGAGTTTTGAGCATCAGTGAAGCCTGCTCGTCAGAAAGGCCGCTGGGGCTCCATCCGGGTTCCAATCTGAAGGGGGAGAAAACGAAGATATAAAACAAATGAAATGCTGTTGAAATGTCGGACATACACGAATATAGCCGATACCGGGACCTGCGCGAAACGACTGAGCGAAGCGCAGATGATCTGTTCCTGCTCCTCCCTTGCTACCGGTTGTGACGGAATGGGAGACTTCTTACTCTCGATGTTTGGAGTAGCTATGTCAGGTCCATGCCTTTCCAGATTTCCAAGGGAGGAGCGAGGGGACAAGAGCTTTGTAATGGTGCTTATTGAGGGCATCACGGAGGCTTCATCGTAGACAGTATGATGAGCACACTGGACGAGTCAGATTGTGTAGCGGGCACAAACCTTCTTTCCGGAGCTGGATCTACTGACGGCGAGAAGACCTGGAAACATCCTGGTCACTCCTTTGAACGAAAGACATCAAAGAGAAGACTCACTGTATAGCGGGAGTTGGATGCGAGATACCATGTATGTGGATGTAGAACCAAGGAGAGAGCTTTTATATCTGCGTTGAAGCGTGCCTCCAGGAGGAAAAAAAAGAAACTGAGCTCCGATTGATCTCCAATTGATCTTGTTGATCTCTTGTGGTCCTCGTGTCATCGAAGCAGCCAATGAGCAGCGACGCGTTGATGTCGTCAACCCACGGATTAGTCGGACCGCTTATTAGTGATTGGCACAATTTTAGCCTCCTCTGATAGATCTCTTGTCCATACAGTATCATGTATTACATCGATGGGCTCGATAATCGAGTTCAACGTTGAGGCCGAGGATTGTTGAAATGCTCAAGCAAATTGAAGCTGGCTACCTTCTTACCCGCCCGCAATTCACGTGTTCTTCGTCGCCGGACCTAGGGTATTACTATCGATCTAGGTATATGATACCGCCCATATCACGACCAGGGTCTACTAGGATCAGCTCCCACTGGTCCTGAGTTTTGAGAATTCGAAGCAACGTGTTAATTAAGAACAACGTGCATGCGCACGCACTGAAGATTTTGACAGATTGACGCGAGGTTGACAGGTTTAACGTCGTATTCTTACGGAGAGATTCGGATAACCGAGCTGATCGGGCTACGCTACAGCCTGCAAGTGAGTGACCACGGTATAATTATGCGTTCACATACTATGAATGAACGGCTAGCAAGAACCTTCAAAGAACCTTATTTGAGCATTCCCTGTGATGTTTCCTGGACTTCCATCCCGGTGTTGTCATGTCACCGATCCACCTCACCATCCCGAACCCAGATCTTGGCCCTAGATTGAGAGGTCAGCAGCTGCCGACAGGTGCTTGAGCTGGGAAGAGGTGGGATCGAGCATCATCTTGGTTCGGGTGCTGGTATCATCGTCTCTCACCCGTGACGAAATTTCTGATCACGCAGCCAGCCAAGACGAACCCATGACGACATGATGCCGAGGTGTTACAAAGCTATTTGTTCGAAGCCAGCCTCATGATGTAGGCTTCATACGAGACATCGGCCGAGATGACGCACAACTTCTAGGGTCCTCCTATGAGCGCCCGATGTTCGATCATGTGGCAGACCACACCAGATCGACCACGAGAAATGGGTCATCCGTGCATGCGGGTACAACTACAACACGATCCCGCAGCGCCAGGTAAGCCTGGTCCACGGGTTTTGCCCCTGCACTTCACCAGATCGGACAGTCTCGGCGAATGGAAGATCGCAAGTGCGTACAGTCGCAAGGTCCTACCTGAGGACTTACCGGTGACTCGTGAGTTGTGCAAGCTATCGAATCTACCAACACCTGACAGAACCTCATCATGGGAGGCCCCACAGAGACCACTTAACGCATGGTGGCCATTGGTATGAAGGACAACATGCCAGGTTGCATAGCCGCGAGCCATTGTCTAGCGACGCCTACTGAGACGGGTTCGAAGGGAATGGTCGCAGCAGAATAAAGGTGGAAAACAGCTCGAAAGAAGGAGGGGGACGGACGGAAAATGTAACGCAGAAAGGATGCGATGTGTAGAGCCGGGACCCATGACTGGCTGTGAGGGATGCCTTGCTTGTGAGAACGGCGAGTCGGATACCTAGAGTTTGTCAAAGCGCGTCAATTGGCGTGTGATCATCGTTGAGTTCACCTTCGAGGGATAGCATAGTGTCCTATACGACAAGGTCTTTGCCTGACGGGTCACGGCAAGCTTTGATAACTTGAAGCTAGCTGGACAATAACAGCGAACGCCCATAATGTATTGGGGGATAACCCGTAGTTTCCTTGAGCTAAAATATGCAAGAACTGCGCGGACGACAGTGCAACCACTGAAATCCTAAATGGTAATTCCTTGTCACCGCGACGTTTGCCTGGTGAAATGTGCAGCAAAATACACTGAGCCGCCAGCTACTCCTGCTTGATGTTTAGAGTACGTTATCATGATAATTGAGTATATTAGCATGGCACGTTATACAAACTCTACCTCTGGTAGAACTGCAATGGGTCGCGGATCATTCATCCAATTTCCAGTTATTCTCCTTCACAATTTTCTCGCGCTCAAGAAGGTACTTTCCTATAGCACATAAGATAGTATTAAGCCACGATCTATACAAGGACTTGCCTTCTTTATATTTCTGAGATAAATCGGCTGCTTTATGATAGTACCATCCAACACGGTCATTGCACCCCATGCAGAAGACGTCAGCAACGGTGTGGACACCTGTGCTAGAAAAAAAATTAGGGCTGATCAAAAGGGACAGACAGTAAGGGTTGCACGCTCACAGAAGTGGGCGATCCTCCTTCTTTCCCAGCTTCACATTGGTTGCTGAGTGCATGAGGCTGGATTGCGAGAAATCACGTTACACATTTCAGTAATGAAGTGAATACGTGTTACTGACAAGCCCCTTCCTTCCCTGCCTGAGAAAGACTTGCTAATAAGTTCGTCCTGCAACGCCTGAAGATGCATCATAAATGTATGGGTTAAGCCTTTTCAATATCATCACGCACCAGTACCGCTGAACAACTCGCACAAATGAATCTGGGATGGTCGTGGTAGGTAGATATAACATGGCTGCGGGTGTCAGCATTGGGGCTCATGCTGGAAGCCATTGGTGTCAAGTCCCATCTTGGAGGAAGAAAGGTATCACAGGAGTTCAAGCTCAAGTCGCTGAATTGGGTAAACCCTGCTTGACCGGAAGCAATTGGCTTGCCGCGTTATTGCTACTCTGCTCGACATTGTTGACAACATTAATTACGCGGAACACTTGCTCTCAGCAGCTCGGTTATCACCTCGCATGTCCACACGTTCGACGCATGGACGCCATGGACGTGCTGAACTTCCTGAAGAGGTCATTGTTGCAATGCAACGCATCCTCGAGCTCAATCCAGAGAACGAGAACGATCCTCTTGATGTCCTGTCTAATGAGTTTGATCCAATAGATATGCTGAACCAGCTTTTCCCAGATGGTATGTCGCGTATAGAGGTGTAAATTGCGCCAACTGAACAAGGTACTGCAGAGGCCTCACTGAGCCAGCTAGAAACAGTTCAAGCGAGACTATCTCAAAATGAACGCGACTTGCAAGGCGAAATTGATGCACTTAAGGAAGAGCTAAGACGTGACCAGGATCCCAACCGCATGCAGATGATCCAGGAAATGATTTCGGTATGCCTACTGTCCAACTGCTGGAGTCCTCATTGAAGTGTTATGAACAGGACCTCCTTGGGCAAATGTCACGCATTCGGGAGAAAGCGACGGAATCCGAGGCTGTCGTGCGCGATATCACGAAAGATATCCAGGCTCTTGACCTGGCGAAGAAGAACCTCATCCTCAGTATGACGACACTCAAACGCTTGCAAATGCTAGGTATGTTCCTTGACATCGCTGTCGCAAATGTTTCCACTAATGCTTTAAAGTCAATGCTCTGACACAATTGGAAGACCAAGCGAAAGAGAAGAGATACGGAGACATTTCACAGACTCTTGCAGTTCGTTTCCGTCTTTCATTTTACAGTAGCTCTCTTGACTCGTCCGCAGGCTGTGAAACAGATATCTGCCTCCTTTAAACCTTACACATCTGTCCACCGGATCAACCAGGTCTGGAGACGGGTACAGCAAATTCAGGGTGAGATTCGCACTCAACTCGAAGCAGAGTTCGACGCATTGTAAGTTACTTTCTGAGTCTGCCGAGTCCTCGAATTGTGATTCTGTTTAGCTACCTCCAGGACCCCGCTAAATCACCAAGACCTGCTCAAATCATAGATGCTTGTGCTGTCGCTGATGTTTTAGGCCTTGACGTTCGGAGACACTTGATTGACCGTTACGTTGCACTCGAACTTAAGGAGTATCGGCGCATCTTCCGTGCCACAGATGAGGCGGGACATCTAGATAATATAAGCCGGAGGTATGCATGGTTTAGACGTGTGCTTGGGACACATGAGTTGGAATTGGGTCGTGTATTCCCTTCAGAGTGGAAGGTTGGATGGGCGCTTTTCACGAAATTCGTAGCTATCACAAGGTTCGTCACGCCATAGCACATGCGCTTTTAATTGATATCTTTATTTCCTCAGAGATGATCTTGCAGCATTACTTTCTAAAGCGGGCTCCTCTTTGACAATCAAAGCCTTGCTCGAAGCCCTACAGCAAACAGTAGAATTCGAGTCGTCCATGGCAAAGAAGTGGTTAACGCCAGTATGTCAATCTCAAGCTTACCTATCGCTTCCTTGTTAATGCTAGACCCTTGAACAGCTTCATGAGATATTAGAAGCAAGCTCACCTCTATCTTCAGCGACAATTCAGTCGATGTCGTCTGCCTTTGAGCCACATCTTGGTGTCTTTGTTGATGCTCAAGACAAGTCTGTTTTTTTTAAAATATCCATATTCACCATATTTACTGATTGCCAGAGCTCTTGCTGACATGCTTGCCACTCACCGAGCATCGAGTTCAAAACCACGAACGTCCCTTGATACCACCTCACGCACTTCTGCCTCTACAGATGCAGATGCGGCTCCTCCACAGACGGTACTCTCTTCGTCAACAGAACTATTTTATTTTTATGGCCAGAGTCTTGAGCAATGCGCCAAGCTCTCGACAGGACAGACGCTGTTTGATCTGTGCACGGTACACAAGAAATGGCTGCGCAAATACGCCGGTGAGATGACCTAGGTATCTATCACAGTCATGTTTCTGATGCACAATATAGAGGATGTCCTTGCACCACGGTCAAAGCGGTTTGTGATGTGTAGCCAAAGACTATTGCATCAAGCGTCTGACGTATTTGCAGGCCGCCAACACAAACACGAAGGTCCACAGACTCTCGTTTTGATGTTGCGGATTTGCAACAGGCTGGCCTGTTAATCAATACAGCGGACTACTGTCAAACCACGGCTCTGGAGGTCAGTCTATCGCAGCTCGTGGAACTTTTATTGAGCACTACTGAGCATTGCCCGGATATAGCTCGAGGACAATATCAAAGAGAAGATCCAGGACGGCTTCAAGGAGAGAGTAACATTGCAGGCAGAACGTGACTTGTTCATGAAGTATTCCTGTTATTTTGCTGGTCTATCTCTGATCGCTAACGCGAAGCCAGTGCTATTTCCGTCTCTATCATGACACTTTTGCGGGAATTGGAGGCTGCTTGCGAGGGTGCTTTCACCACGATGTCCCGTATGTCGTGGGAGAAGCTGAACCAGGTCACTGGACAGTCTTCATACGTGGATGATCTTGCCCGGGCTGTCGAGAGCTTTTGCGACACTATTAAGCCGTTAATTGAACAAAAGAAGTACTTGAGGAATTTCTTTGACAAGGCATGCAGGTCGGTCTCGTGTCTTTGTATGGGGAGAGATGCTGATAAACGGGCAACAGTCTTATCCTAACGAAGTTTACGAATGCAGTGGTGAAGAGCCGACCTTTGAGAGAAATCGGTGGAGAGCAGGTGCTTTGAAGCTTCTGATTGATTTCCTCTCCATCGATCTAACCTAAAATGCTCCAGTTACTGATCGACCTAGGCGTTATCAAATCTTACCTAATGAGACTGCCAGGAGAAGCACTAGTAACGCAGGGGTAAGGATGGCCCCCTGTTTCTTGAGAAAGGTTGGTTAGATCACTTTGTTGCATAGATATACCCGCAGCCTTACGAAGAGCACAATGAGGCTCGAGGCTCTGCTCAAGGTCATTGTGACACCGGTGGTAAATACCTTTTCTCCCACCCTTTGTTCTGTCACTCACAATATATCAGAACCCTCCGGAAGGTTTTATTTTAAACTATACTGTCCTCATTGGCGATGCTTCGTTTTCAAATTTTCAAAAGGTTAGGATTCATTGATGCGGACCCACCTCCATTCTCTTGGCAACGTTTCGTTAATTAACGTCTTCACTTTCTCTGCTTTTACTAGATCCTCGATCTGAAAGGTACACCGAAGACCGAGCAGAACAGCCTTCTTGATTCATTCCTCACCATTACGAGCACCAAGACAGATCTCGACAGTACATCATTTCTTTCTGCCCTCGATATGGATCCTCCCTTGACACTCGGTGCGACATTCGGCAGCCCAGGCTCCAGCAGAGTCACCCTGCCGTTGTCAATCACGCCAAGTGGAGCGGGCGCTGGAGCGGATAGCATATTTGGGTCTCTTGGGTCTCCACCTTTAAGTGGACCGCCCACGGGATCCAGCACCGACGGAAGCACTTCCAGGGGTCTGGAACCGGGACAGAAGCGAGAAGTCTTCTCTGACATAAGGAGATTTGTCACTTTCGGTTTGCGGCGATCGGAGACCTTACCAAATTCCTAACTTCCTCACTTCTTCATACACTGTGTACTCGGGCCGGCGGAAATATACACATCACCACGGAAAACAAAATGTGATAAGTGAAAAAAAATGCAGTAGGGTACAGATGCGTGAATGATGACCCAAGGGAGCGACAACGAGCTCGGTCTGAGACCAGAGCACTGATCATGCAAAATGGGGTATCCCCGAAAACCAATGGGTAAATGAGAGAACATCAGAGATATCGTCCAAGAAATCGTCATCATTATGTCTGAGAAGACAGCAACCCATCATGGGCTCACTGATCACCACTTCGCTGTCCACGATTCCACGAGCCTTGTAGAGGTAGTTGCAAATTTGGCGACCCAGATTGAGTCGAAGGCCGAGGTCTAGGACCAATCAGCGAGCCCATCCGATAAGGAGCTCTGGAGGAAGATCCCGTAGTAGGGGATGTTCCAGGACGCAATACCCGTTCTGCAATTGTTGATGACGATTGGGTTGCAGGACCTGCCGCAAGACGGGCCGCAGGAAAGTGCGGAGTGACTGGCGTCATTCCGAGCACACGTTGTACAATGTATGGTGGTGGAGTGTTTGGCTGTGAGCTAGGGAGAGGCGGATGTGGAGGTAGGGTGGAGACTGCGCTCTCTCTCCGCGAGTCAATGTCGGTGTAATCGGAGTAACTATGTCGGAAGTAAACATCGGATACAGAGAAAGGTACGCTCTCTGTGGGAGAGTTCGCGTCCTCTAGAAGATTTGAATGTCGGGGTTCTGGGCGAGCGGGCGTTTGCTGGGGTACGGGGGGTGATGGTGGACGAGGGGGTGAGAAGGATTGGGGCTCCTCGCGTTCGCTTTCGCGCTGGTAGTCGATATTGAAGGGGTGTGGCATATGTGATGAAGGCGGAATCGTGATAGGGAAAGGGAATGAGGATCCGTGAGTAGTGTGTGTAGCATGTGCAGACGGCGAAGAATGAGTATTGGATTTATCTGAGGGACTATCTGTAGGAGATCCCTGAGACACATTGGAAGGTGCATCAGGTCCAGCACGCATTGCTTCACCAGGTGTATCGCGTTCAATGCGCACCATCCGCATGGACATGTTATCGCTCCATGGCGTACGGACTCCGCTGTGCCCCAATTCGGCTGCGGCTGAGCTTAGCGTGTTTGTTTTCGATTGCCGACGTAATGATGAGTGCGAAGAGGTGAAGTCGAGGAAGGAGTAAGTGCCTGAGGCAGGCGCGTCCTCGCTTGAAGGCGGGTCTGATTCTGATTGGAGCATTACAACCGGGACCGACTCAGGACTGTGGTTCTCAGGCTTGTCCTCGTGGATGCTCTGCTTCCCGTCGTCTCTGTGAGCTTTTCGGTAAAGTCTAGCACACACCCGAGACCAGCTACTACTCCCGCTCCCGCTCGTCCGTCGCGAGTCCTGACGTCCCCTACCGAGAATAGCTCCCACGTCTACCCTGAATGGGCTCGTCTCTCTCACTTCCAGAAACCGTGAGCCCGGCCGAGACGACACGGTGGACTCCCTTTCATCATTCTCCATCACGGTGCCGTCTATCCCCGCAATTGAGCGCATAGTGGAAACGAGTAGGCCTGGCGCTTCTGACGTCCGCGGGCTAAGGGAAAGCGTCGCGGCAAGTGTTTCATCCTGCCGTGACGTGAGGGTCTTGGCATCCGCATCATCATCATCATCAAACACGTCCTCAGCGCCCACCTCTTCCAAACGTAATTCCGGAAGCGCCAATCTGTGGCTTCCTAATCGTGTGTGTCCTTTCCCCATAGAGCCAAACGATGTGCGTGCGACAGGATTAGTCCAACCTGGCGCTAGTTTCTCGGATTCTGGTGGAAAACCCAAGGCAGTGAATTCCATGGTGAGGGTGTTGGTCGAGAAGCGCTTGTCGTCGTCTCGCTCCTCGTGAGGAATTGCAACGTGGGACACGGAACGTGAGCGTGTGTTGTCAACATGGCCGCTGCTGCTGCCCCCGTTTTTCGTTTTGCGGACAAAGGGGAAGGCACGTTGTAGGCCGAGTCCGAATCCGTACCCTTTGCTGGTACTGAAGCTCTCCACTTCGGTATCTTCCTCGCCTGGAGGAGGGCTGATGTCAATGACACGTTCTGCGTCCACCACTTTCCTGGAGCGGGCGGGGCTCCGTTTCTGCCTCCTACGAGCACGCGGGCGAAGAACGAATAGCCAGTACATGAAGATACACACTAGGAGGACCAACAGAGCAGCACCGAGTACAATAGCAGCAATGGTCCCGCGGTAATTTGAGCCGCTTGACGAGGACAAGATGGTAGTTCTAATGAATTGGTCAGCATCTGAAATAACACTCTGAAGAGGAACACGACGCACATAGTGGCATTGCCGAAGGCGGTAACGTTCATCCCGCCAACTCTCAGAGCAAATGTTGTGTTCTGAGTGTTGGTGAGGACGACTGTGTGAGGGGTATCTTGGGACAAATCGGTAGCGAACAAGAGCAGCGCGTTTGAATTATTATAAGAAGATAGAGCGGAGAAGCTAGTGGTGATGTTATCGATTGTGACAGAATAGTTCCCAGAATACGAAGACACGAGGCCGTAGACAGTTAAGGCCGATCCTTCGGAACGGGATCAGGAACAAAATAAGTACAATATGACTACAAAGCAAAGAATAGAAGTGAGACTTGCCTATGAACGTGGTCTGAGCACGGTCGCCGGCAGTATTGGATACATGCATATAATTTCCCGTGCTGTCAGTGACATAACTCCAGCGGCCCACGAATGCGATGTCATTGTCATCATCGATGGTCGTTGAGTTAGCCGTTGAGCTGAAAAAGTAATATATCAGCAAATCAGGAACGTAGATCAGCACTTTAGCTATGGCGGTGAGAGCTCACTTGACGATGCCAAGGGGGGCTGTATAGGTTATGAGCGCCTTGTCGAAAGCTACAAACGAGTCTGAAGTAGTTTGATTCGTGAGAGTCGTCAACAACAAAGTATGATTTGTGTTGTTTAAATCGTGAAAGGAAGCAAGGACGAATTGTGGGTCAGATGTGTTGGGAGAGATGTTAATTCCATCCAAATTTATTTGATAGGATGCATTGAGAGTATTGCCCAGGAGATCGATACCAGTGCCTGGGTAAACGATGAGCAACCTAGTTTACGGTTTTGATGATGATTGGCGAGAGCTGTGCTCACCGTTCCATTTAATCATAAAACTTGCATCATTGAGGTTGGTAGAGTGTAGACTGTATCCTAGACCAACCTGACCTGGAGAAGAAGCAGCGCCTGAATGTGAGTAGAACTGTTCCCAGCCCGCAGAAGCATTCGGGCTGAGGCTTGTGTCCACGAATGGGTAGTAGACGATCTCCGGTGAATCGTCCTCAACGTAGAACTGGGATATGTTACCTGCCATTCATATGACCGTGAGTGGCAGAGCTACGATGAGGGGGAGACGGAAAGGGAAACAAGGTGTGCGAAGAGTGTCAGTTATAAGAAGAAAATGGCGCTGAGGAACAGCAGGACCTGAAGACGCTCGGTGACCATTCGGCTGCAAATTCTGCCTCGAGGTTCGATGATAAAACGCCGTGCGAGTGTCATGATGGACACATTCATGAAACCCGGGCTACTTAAAATAATGACATATAGCCGGAAGCTTACAGATGAGCACTACTACTAGTGTGTGAGAGAGACCTACCAGCAGACAATATTTGCTTGTATACGGAGCAATCACCATATCAACAACCAAGTCACTTGACCTCCGAGTCTTCCGGCAGCCAGCGGCAGCCTATCCTGTGATAGTGTGTATCCGTGCACGTCGCGAACACTCTGATGGTGACAATCATTGATACCGACAATCTGCCAAATCCTGGTTCTACATTATTCCTGCCGTCCTTGCTTGCCCATATACGTGCTGCTGCTCCTGGTCTACCGCTTGAACCCATCATCATCCAGGTTTTACTTCTTTGTATCGTTTCAGGGGATAGAAATCTAATCCTGCGGACCCGTGAAGAGGATATCGGTCTTGTGTCCAGACTTGCGACTATTGTGAGCATGCAGAAGCTTTACGAACCGGCCATCTCAATAATAACCTGCCCATTAAGTCACTCACATCTGTCTTCGGTTACATCACCCACAAACTTAGATGTCATGTTGATGCCAAGTCTCAGACACCCGCTAAATTTCTGCGATCTCTCTTTCTCCCACCCCCAGCTGCCATCGCCACCGATGGCTCGATATCATCCCCGCATAGGCACCATCGTTCATCCACGACAGTGCACAGCAGGAAGTCTTCTTTTCCGATGTCAAGCTCTTTTTCAAGCGACATCGCGCGGTCCATTCAGCGTACCTCGCAACTAGCCTCTGATGATCTGACTGCCGGTACTGATGGCGGACCCTTCACAGAAACACGCTCGATGTCAACGCGCCTGAGCCTCCAAACTGAGCCCTCCGTGCCCAATTTTGGTTCAAGTGGCAATACCACGATCAATGCCCGTCATGCATCACATGTCAGCCCAGACGTGCCTAAGATACCATCTGCAATTGTCGTCTCTGGATTAGAACATGCTAGTCTACCTGCGCAGCGTGCTGTCTTACGGACTCTTGCAGAGAAGAAGCTCGTCGTGGCGGACAACCACTCAGACAACGAGCCAGAATTGCTGCTTGATCTGCCAGACGACTTTATCATGGTCTATGTATGTCGCTTAGATCCACATGAGAGACCTCCTATATACACTAGCCTGGTATGTACATTCTACGTGGTGTCATGTGCCATCTTATATGTTCCAGCTCGACTGGTTTGCTATGAGTACGCCTATCACTGTTCAGCTATCCACGCGAACCGCGATGCATCATTATCAACCTCACCGCTCTTCAACACCATCCACAGCCCTATCATCGCCCTCAATTCCAGGGTACCCATTCCCAAACGTCATTATGTCAGGCCCGCCAACCCCTCCTCCACCAAACAGCTCCACGTCCGTAGTACCTGCCACGTTCTTGGCAAGGCTAAAAAGCTTGTGTGCTACCGAAGTTCACATGCGCCCGCCGCTAGAAATATACCTCGCAGATTTATTTACCGCCACGCGGCATTTTGGTGCACTAGATGCTATAATGCTCACTGCGCGTGCGCGACAAGACGCGGAGGTCCTCGCGCGGGCCGCTCGGTTGCTCGGGGTCGATCAAACAGGGGCAGAGCTGATTAAGGAAGTGGCGATCGGTGCTCCCGAGCGTATTGATGAGGACAGCCTCACCGAACGCGGATATCCCCATTCTAGCACGAACACCCAGAGCTTTGAGGCACTTATCGATGGCTCCGCACTGCCATACGATATCCCTGAAGTGACTAGTCTCCATACTCACCGCAGTATGCGGAGTGCGCCCATTGAAGATGAAGAGCTGCTAGAACTGGATGTGTCCGAAGCGGATGTGGCGAGGATTTTCCCTCGGGTGGTGTCACATCGTGTCAGGGTGAGAGACTCGCCTGTGGATGAAATTTTGAGTAGCGCAGTTTGCGGGGCTGTGAGTCGACCGGGGTTCATGCCAAAAGGACTGAATTCAGAAGACTGGGAAGAGGGGTCCACTGATGTGCATGATGCAGATACCGTTTGGGAGCGGGAAACAGTCAAAGATATATTGGTATACGTACTTTCCAAAGTATGACTGTTGGTATGGTACTAATCTACCTGTCTAATCGATGAAACATCTTCCAAAACAGTACTTATTCGATGAGGCGATGACTTGGAGACAGGAGCAATACAGCCGTCATTAATTAGTGGCGGTAGAAGCACGAGGACATCACGCCGTGTGAGTATGAAACGGCTTGGTCCCCCGAACATCTAACCAGTCGCGAAATTTGAAGATCTTTGCTGGTTCTCTCGTCCTTGTTCAATGACTTGCGACAATTACCATAAAAGGTAACTTTGACCCCTCGTGACTCTGGGAATGAGAAAAACATCCTATAAGAGACGGCAAATAAGCTCGAGGAATAACAATTGTGTGAAGCTTCGGGTCAGAAACAGAGGAAGTTGAGACCAAAACCGTATTACCGGACGTACATGCCACACGATGACGATGCGGGGAGCAGCTGGTAGTAGGCATGGCGGTCAAACTGTAAGTACATGCTTTGTTCGTAATACTGAGCTAAAATGATGCAAGCCCAATCAGACCCATGGCGTTGACAAACTGCATGCATATGACTAGGATTGAAATAAAAAACTGCTATGGTACCCAATAGTACTTGTTGTTATTCCAATTGGGAACTACGCCATGCTCGCCTTCCTTAACATGTCTTTTCTGCAGGGCTCCAGTCACATTTGTACCATGTATCTGGAGACTGGGCCGCGGCCTACCTCCGATACCACGCCACTGAAGGACCAGCCTCGACGCTGTCACCGATCCCAGACCTTTTAAGGATGGCCAGAAAACTGACTGCCCCAGCACTCAGAGTCGTACGAACATTAAAGCGTATTGGTATTCCCGAACACAAGAAAACGAATGTGCTTTAAGGCTCTTACGATGGTTGTCAGCCGGTCCCCGTCCGGACTCCGGGCAAGACTCTGTAGGACTAGGGTGATCTCAACGCTGCGACCGGGGGCTCAGCGCTCAGGCCTCAGGGGTAGATGTCGCGAGCTCCGGGAGATAGTGCAGTCGCAAACCAAGGAAAATGAAGCGGCCGCCATAAGTTCTACCGAAAGGGAGCCTGAGTGACAGTCCCTCGCCCATATATAGGTAGGTACTACTTACGTAATACGCTGACTCATCATATTTTGCCAGTTCGTTCGAACTGTTCAGTATAATTGAATGAGCTGATCAGTTGGACAGTATGCTGAAGGGCAGGTTGTTCTTGCGAGGAGCACCATTGCAGCGCTAGCAGCAATATGACGAAGTGTACATCCTACAGACTACCTATAACTAGTTTAGTGACCAGTAAACCTGTGATATAACCACAACTTCAGTCATCCCTGCGGTATTGACCAGAAGTCATTAGTTGTTAACACTTGGCACTGACTTGCAGAACAGGTAGAACCGTGACTGTACATCGGACAGAAGAACCTACAACACCATGACAAACGGTCCCCCACCCTCCCAAGCAGGTCCCTCACAATTCCAGTCCAACCCATCTGAAACGTCAGTACAACAGCCAGCTCACGTAGTCCCTGTTCCAGCATCTACCACGACTTTGCAACAGAGTGCAACAGTAAACCCTACCTCGCAGCTTCAGTCTGTACAGTATGGACCAGCGACTCAAGGACAAAATCCTCAAGGATACTACGCGATGAGCTACACACCCGGTGGGTGGCAAAACGCGTGGCAAGTCCCCTCTTACCCGTACATGGCTTCCGGTAGTGTACCAGGCCAGCAGACACACTACACTCAGGTTCCCTATGCTCAATATCAACCTCCTGCGGCTGTGACCTACCAGCCGCGCCAAAGGAATAAGGTTGCACCAAGACCGCGTTCGCCGACACCAGAGCCTGAATTACATCGCCATTGGGATGAGGTCATACGGTCGTTTTTGAAGAAAGTTGGGATGAATCAGGCTTTGAAGGGGTTCGAGGATGATATGGTAGTTATGAATGCAGATTGGGAAAGGCAGAAGGTTCCTGGTGCTATTGGGGATTTAATGAAGGATCTTATGGTGTGCACCTCGTTTATTTGCTATGTTTTCACCCTAACATTCCCCTTCTCAGAACTTGGGAAAATCGAAATCCAACGAAACACTCCCAGAACGACCACTGGAAGAACGAAAGCTCGATTATCTGCATCTCTCTAGCGGTGCTGAGCCCCAGTCTCAGACGTCGGTGAGTTTTCTGTCTATTTGACTTTCGTCGCAGCCTCTCACCCTTTCCAGATAACAAAATCAATATCCCAATTTCTCGCGCAAAATCGCGCGAGGAATGACGCCTCTAACCGCACAGAGTTTCTTGAATCTCTCGCTCAAAAGAGACGGCGACTAAATCTTGATCCAGACAGTACCGAGCACATACCGTCCTGCGCACGAACAGATGCAAAGCACCTCGACCGTGACGTGCAGATGAAATATGACATTGCAAAGAATGAAGATGGACCTCTCCGACGAACCATGAAAGGTGTAACCAGTGACAAGGGCAGGCAGGCAGAGCTTCTCGCGCTACATGATGACGCAGAAGGCGACCAGCAACCTGCAACAGATCAAAGGGTGAACAATATCGAAGAGCATCTTGCAGTCCGCTATGGTAAGTAAAGAATCATTGTATGAATGTCACATTCTAAAGAGAGATGCAGTCCCTGCTCCACCACGAACGCTTCTGTCCCGTCTCCGACTGCTTGAGGACCATATCATGCAGCTCGAGAAGGATTACCCGCCGTGGGCTGCTTTACATTTTAATCAGCCAAATCGCGGTGTATGTTTTTCTTTTGCCAAATATTTCAGACGTTCACTCACACGGAATCTAGTGGCCTCCACCTCCACGCCAGACCCCAATTATAGTTCCGTCACACATTACAACCGCGACAAAAGACCCCAAGACTGATGCTCCGCAACAAGAGCTATCTTCTTCCAGCCCTTCTGAAGAGACGTCACAAACAAAAGTCAAGAACAAAAATAAATCTAGTTTACACCGAGCGGTGATGGAGAAACTGGAAATACAAAAGGCGATGAGTGATCTTGCAGGGATTCGCAAGTCCAGTTGACATATGCCAAAGGATTAATGGGGTTGGCGATCACCAAGTTGGAAAAATCCAGGAACATAGTTCCGGGTTTGAGAATAGGACGGCCTATGTATATGATCGGCAGGAATGCGCTCTTCGTGTTCCATCCGCAGTCGCCCTCGAACCTCCTATTCCACAGCTTTTCTCCCTGCCCTGGGTCTGGAGCTAAAAATAAACAGGATTTTTGAGGTTGGTTCAACCGAGGCTGGGGTCGGGTGGTGCCGACAAACACCTTGCTTGCTCCATTGCCCCGGCAGCACATAACGACCGGAGCACGTAGATGGCACAATGTTGAGACGACTTGACACAATGATCTAACGTCCCTGTCCATAACCGTTTCCGCGGATATATATTATATATTGCTGTTGTCGAGCTTGCCCGCCTCATGGTACATAGATGTTGTAGTCACGCTGACGTAGTGCGCGTAGTTATGTAAGACGCATAGATAGCCAGGCGTAAGTCACTTAAGCAAGGCACCGAATCATCCAATGTTGCCACACAGCATTGCGATGAACTAGATTGCATCTGCCGCCCCTCCACGTATATTGGCATGCCCTGTCTTGGGAGCGCGAGGGTCGTCTTCGACTTCCCGGCAGTTTCAGTCTGGCCGTCTCTGCGCCGACCTCGCTCCTCACCGCGTTCATTTCGCGTTTCCTACTCTAGCTCCATCGCCACCCCGACCCGTTGGCCGCCACGTCGTGAGTTCTCTATCATGGCGCATCTTCGTAGCGACTTTTTTGAATACACGTCAGGGCGGTGGATGTAAGTCTCATACATGTTATTCTATGGGGTATATGTCTAACTCGTAATCTAATATGTTCAGCTTCAACGATGACCTTCGCCACGCAGAGCGCAGACGTGTCTTCAAGGTCGACGAGCTAAGTCGACTTGCAGCGGAGGCCGTTAATCGGAGTCCTGATGATATCGTCCGCCTGGAAAAACTAGCCGAGGGTGGGTTCAACCGTACCTTCCTCATCACGATGCGCTGTGGCTTCCGAATGGTGGCGCGTATCCCGTACCCGGCTACGATTCCCAAGTACTTTGCTGTCGCTAGTGAAGTGGCTACTATGGCCTTACTCCGTTCCTCTGGGCTGCCTGTACCTGAGGTATACGGATACTCACCTACGCCGGACAACGCGGCAGGGACCGAGTATATCTTCTTGGAATTCGTACAAGGCACCAACTTGAGCGACATATGGTTTGACCTAGGGGAAGGAGAGATCATTTCAATCTCACGCCAACTTGCTGAACTCGAGTCGAAGATGATGTCGATTACTTTCCCGGCTGGCGGAAGCCTTTACTATACTGAAGACTTGGAGATTGCAGCCGGGAGCGCCTCTTGGCCAACTAGGCCGGGAATCACACTAGAGGACCAGCGTTTCTGCGTCGGCCCAGATACAAGTCTGCGTCTATGGTATGGCAGGAGATCACAGCTCGACTTAGATCGAGGACCATGTGGGCCGCTCCCTGCCTTTTCTTTATTGCTCCCTTAAACCAACTGATAACTATAGACGAAAGCGCCGAAGCAGCCCTCGTAAGGGGGGCAGAAAAGGAACTAGCTTATTTACGGCGGTTCGGTCGACCGCTGCTGCCGTTTCAGCGCGTAAGGAGGGAAGCTTACAAGTACCAGGAGCGGCCGCCGTCAGATCACGTCGAGAACCTGGACCACTATCTCCTCATCGCGTCGTCACTCATCCCCAGGAACCAGGCCCTAGGTCATTTCCGCATCCGCCATCCCGACCTCCAGCCGAGCAATATCATCGTTTCTAGGTCGCCCGACTCTAACTTGCACGTCGTCGGCCTGATCGACTGGCAACACACCTCGATCCTACCCCTGTTTCTCCTTACCGGTATACCACAACAACTACAGAACTACGATGATATTGGCTCGCAATCTATGACGCGGCCTTCGCTACCGGAGAAATTGGATGACTTGGACGAAATTCAGCGAAGTGGAGAGATGGAACTTTACCGTCGCCGCCTCGTCCATTACCACTACGTCAAAAACACGGAGGAGTACAACGGGCTTCATTACGCGGCATTGACGGATTCCATGGGCGTGCTCCGCCGCCGCCTCTTCTGCCACGCCAGTGACCCATGGGAGGGCGAAAGTCTCGCGCTGAAGGTTGCTCTGATACAAGCAACGAAGAACTGGAAGACGCTCACGGGGGGAGGCCCGCCGTGTCCTGTGGTGTTTGATCCCGATGATGCACGCGAGACAATGAAGCTGGATGCAGAACAGAAAGAAGCGGATGAGTCTCTAGAGGCGTGCCGGAACGTGATTGGCTTCGGGCCGGAGGGCTGGGTGCCCGTCGAGCACTACGAAGAGGCCATGGCCATCAGCAAGAAGCTGAAGGAAGACGGATTGGCAGCGGCTGAGTCGGAGGAGGAACGGGCTCAAATCGCGGCGCACTGGCCCTTGGACGACATGGACGAAGAGGAATACATGTAATGAATCGAGCTAGATATTCCGCGGTTGTTGTATTTTGTCTGCTGTATTTATGGCCCGCCGGCCTCCCGTAAGAACCTCCACTCTTTCACCAGCCCTTCCCGTCTTGTTCCCCGTAGAAGAGAAGTAATGTTAGTAGGAAACTTCTTGTATCTAGAGGAGTCCGTCGACGCGGCCGTCTTCCGGCTTCCCAAACACATCTTTATTTCCGATCGCACTTGTTTGTGATCCTTCGCGCTAGCTGTTGCGCATGGCACCATTTGTAATCTATAGATCGTAGCATTTCTATACAACACCGTACACAAGGTAGAATAAAAGCATAATGCTGCAGCCGTGTCTGGCGCGCGTGCTGATCGATGCAGAGCGAGTGTGGTGACTGTATGCTTGAAGAGTCGACGCTCAACCGGGGGCCAGAAGTACGCTCGCGCGCTCCAAGCTGCTGCTCAGGGGTTGCAAGCCGCCAGTAGTACTTTTTGGGCCTCAGGGTCGTGGCTTCAGAGTTTGCAGAACGACAGACAGAAAAACACGCTTGGGTGCACGGAAGATCAGTACGACATTCCATACCTCGAGGGAATGGGAGTAGTTCTTCTTAGTCGGCTCTTGTAGCTCCTTGTAAACCGGCTGGTCGAGTGGGCATTCGACTGACAGCTCTTTATATCGGGCCACACAGAAACGGACCAGATCTTGTCACAACTTGAACGTACATAACCCTCGTCGCGGTAGTGTGCTATGCTCCCGATGCTGGAAGTGCGCGAGACCAAGTAGGGTGACAGTGCTGATTTGCCGCCTGGAGACACGAAGGAATGATCGCAACACCGGCCTCGACCAGATTCGCTATGTACAGCTGCCATCTCCGTCGACGAGCTCGTCCAGAAGCGGACGAGGCAAATATTGTTGCCCACTCTGAGGGTATTTGATGGACACAATGACTGGCTGTGGTCATTCGCCCGTATCACCAAATGACACGCGAATTGCGAGCAGTGGAAACAATAAAACCGTCATCACCTGTGACGCCGGGGGCGGGCGGGGGGTATTCGATCCGCTGCTGAAGAATACAGACACGAGAGACTTTGGTTTCTCCTGTGCAAGAGTCATCGTCCTGGAAGCATACCTAATGAGGCCGACCTGGCTGATTTCATGTAGTGACCCCTGAGGAAATACAAACTGACCGCAATCATAAACAACTGTGACGGACAACGCGACTGCGGATGTCCAGGATCAGTGGAAATAAATGATGATTGAGACCTGAATGGACAAACGGCCAAACTATTCCCTTGGCTACGCAGCATAGATCATGACCGCTGGTAGATCTTGGTACATGTCCCGACGGTATTCCGGGCGCTCCGTGATTTGATTTGAAGAGTCAAGAACTCCGTGGTCACTTGGAATTTGAAGATTTGATCGCAAACTTGGTATCACGGGTCTGCATAGGTCTGCATTGAGTGAACAGCGTAACATAGAGCCTTGAGCTGGCAGCTACACTGACGCCGCTTTGACACTGACGTGCCCCTTGATACGAAGTATTCTGAGCCGGTCATGGTTTCCTCAGTTTAACGATAAGATCCGCGCGCCCCAAACGAATTGAGCTCGCGGATGGGCAGTACCGGGGGGTAAGCACGACGTATTGTTTAGGTCACAAAGAACGTATCTTCCATAGGACCAAGTACAATGACATGGACAGCCAGGACAGGCTGTTCTATCCAAGGATATTACCAATGTGAGATGCAGGACTGCCCACCTCCGAATCATCCAGGGGTAGTAGCTGGTAGCAGTCACTGGATTTGGTATGACGCTGAAATTTCCTTTGGTCCGACAGCTAAATAGAATTATATATGTTGCCAGGAACAGGGGGACGTGGGGATCATACCAGGAACGTATGCGTCGAGTTACGTTGCATACACACAGGCGATATAGATAATCTGTGGATACAATCAGCTTTGGTTTGTTAGGTATTCTATCATGGAGTCGGTCCGAAATTCAGTCATTCAAAAATATTCGGAACAAAGAGCTCAAGAGCTTCTTGTATTGGTAATCCGGACGCGCAAATACTAGTACTTGCTGAAGTGAAACAATGAATTGGATATAATTAATTATTAGTAGAAGTACTTACTTTAGCATGAACTAGCGTAACGAAGGCTCACATTCCGAGGCTGTTGCAGGTGGGTTCCAAAATCAGGCCTCAGGCCTCGTGCATAATCAGTTCAGGCCTAGGTTAGGTCTCTCGTGGAAAGATGGAAAGGAAATAGTTGGAAGTATGGATGATGAGTCAACCAAAAAGGAAAAGACTCCACAGCCGGAGCATGAATACATTAGCCGACCAGAGCCGACGACCTCTGTCACTGTGCTTGCTGTGCAGCTCTGTACCAACTGCGATGACCACGAACCCTTCACACATCTTAATCGCGCGAAATTCACGAGGGCCAAACAATATCAATCCGTCGGCCTCTCTCAGTTCACCTACCGAAACCCATGCAGCAGCGTCAGGTATATTCCGTTCCTCAGGGTCACCTCCGTGGTTGCTCGAAGAATGCGAGACCGACGATCTGGTCACTGAATTGAGCTTGTATGACTCTGAGGAAGGTATAGAAATCGATGAAACGTTTACTCGCAAAGGAAGGTTCCCCGGAACCGTCAAGATTGTGGTCGAAAGTACCACTTTCTGGTGAGTGGCATAAAATACTGCAACCTACGCGCAAATATTCATTTACGAATTTAGGGCACATAAAGAGGTCCTTATCTTTGCATCACCCTTCTTTGAAGCTGCGTTGAGTGGCAGTTGGGCCGAAACGGGAAGACCGCAGTCAATGTCCTCTGTCATCACTATCTCGCAGCCTCCCCCCATTCCAGGGGAGAAAGGCATTATCGAGACGCCCACAGAGATGACATTCACACGCGAGGATTCATCTGATACGGAGTCTCCTGTAGAAATTGAAAACCCCCCGAGGAGTGATACCGACAGTGGCCAAAGCAGCAGTGAGGATGGCGAAGCTGACGGCAAAGCCAATGCTCGCGACAACAGTCTTGCGAAGCTGCAGGGTGCAACCAAGAGTCGAGAGACTTTATCAAGTCGCGACATGAAAAGCAAGCAGAGAACGGACGATAGACCGTCGATCAGGCGAGGGTCTCAGACAGCACATGCAACCGTCAAGCGGCGCCGGCGTACCAATTGTCATGACGCTGTCATAGTACTCAAAGAGGAGAAAGTAAGTTCAGACTTGGATTACACGTGCAGGTTACTGATCTCGCATAGGCTAATACCTTTCATGATTTCCTGAAGTTTGTCTACCCTCAGTGAGTAGTGGTGTCTTCATAATTTACCGTTCACACCAATCCTTTCTCAGTCTACAGTGCACTATAACCTGGAAGAATGTAGAAGGCCTCATGAACATCTCCCACAAGCTTTGTGTTCCGACGCTCCAGCAGGAATGCCTCACTTTCCTCCTGACCCACGCCGCCGGAAAACCTATAAAGGCCATGCGGATCGCAGAACTATTTGAAGAAGAAGAGCTCTACCGCGAGTCAAGTCGCTTCGTACTCGATAATCCAGGTGGATGGTCCGAAGAGGAGCTTAGCACTCTTACGCAAGAGACTCTACTGAAGCTAGAGAAACGGTGGGCCTTTTGGACGATATCATCGTGCACACCTGATCTTATGGTGCTATTCACAGGAGAAACTGGTTCCTTGAGCGGGTGCTTAAACTGGGATTGACCCCACTTGCGAAGGAATATCAATGCGTAAGTCGCCGTCGGAGTAATGTTATCTTGCTGATGCTTCTCAGTGCACCACTTGCCCTGATTCTGCGATTTGTGCTCGTCTTCTCGAAGAAAAATGGAGGCAGGCATACAATGCTGTTTTCCGTTTTGGTGGGTTGGCCTCGCGCGCATATGTACCGCGTGTTCAATGCATCCTCAGGTCCTTGTCAACCATCTATGGTATATCGCTATTTGAGAAATCTGGAGGGTGTTAGCCCGCCACTCGCGCTTACGCACCTTACATGCCAAACGACAGCCAAAGCATTCACCGCAACACGTGAGTTACATCGTGCTTGATGAATAACATTACTTGATTGTTTCGCAGTTTTGACAGGATGTTCTCCCTAGGCATCCGCAGTGATGCCAGCGTTGCTCCACTCGGCGCACGTGTTGCTGCGGTAGCAGCTGCAGCCACTACTGGTCCTCGTCGTCACTTCCTCTTCTGTACCCTGAAACCCGAAAAGGCTGTCCCTCGCACCAGACGATCTCGAGAATTGCTCTAGAACACGACATCTCGATTGGTTTCCAGTGCTTTTTGCGTTTCATATTTCCATTGTTGTCCACTGCTGGGATCCATTTGTAAACTTCCATAACATCACTACTGGAATCCGTGCTAATATGCTATCGTCATCATTCCATCATATATGACTTATGTATTCCATAGAATTCTTATGTATTTTCCTGTGTTCCACATCACGGAGACTGGGATTACTCACTCCCGATGGTCGTGTGGACCAGAATATATGTTGTTGCTCTCAAAACTTCCAGCGGAGACCCAGGAAAGCGGGTTTAACCCCCTCTCGCCATCCTTACTGTGGATTTTCTCACTAAGCAATAATCCCAGCCCGTCGTCCTAAACACATCCAATCGGATCACTTATAGGGTCGGGAGTACCGGGAACAACAAATCATGGTGAAGAGTTGTCTCGCCGTTGTCGACGACTACAGAAACGCTCGCTTCACCAGCACTCGTCACCATCATCAAATACTGTCGTTACCACAGATGATGTCAACGCGCCAAGACGAAGAGTTGCCGCTGTGGCTGAGCCATACGTTACCATGCTCGACTGTTGGGACCCAGATAAAACTCGAGCTAGCGGGAGGTCAGCCCCTCTTTCAGAGGATAACAGGAGTCGAGAAGGACGCACCGAACGAGGATCCGGACCTGTTCAGAAGTGCTTCAAACTTGACTTCTCATTCCTTTGTAAATCCGAGGAGCTCAAACTACTCTCAGCCAACCTCAAGCGAACCAAGGAGATCCTCGCAATGGTCCCCCGTGCATGGAGCTGGGGGACTCCGCTTGTCCTAAGTCGTGAGATCTATGCCCACGTAGCGTAGTGAGGTTTGAATAATTTCAAGTATTCGACAACAGCAACCAGACAGTTGCTTGATCGGGTTGCAAGTCAGGTGGTCAGGTGCAATAGTATCTGATCAGTGGCCAGCTTGAAAAAAAGTACATACCGTGTATATATAATTTGGGGTTGCAACGTCGAAGTGCAGCTTGTTTGACAAATCTGCCGCTAAAAGTATTGAGCAGATACACTAGCCGGTATAAAGCAGAAGACAACCATAAAGACAATGTCGTAGTACCCGAGAAAATACGAAGAATACAATAACATACGGGAAGTCCATCCGGAATAGAATGTGAGAAATCAACGGGATATTTGCGATTGGAAGATGGAGGGTGCGTTATCTACGAGCCATTCAATCATCAAGGCCTTGCCAGCCATGTCACTGAACTCAGAACCAGGATCGGAAGAACGCATTAGCGTGGCTAAATTCAAATGTTAGCTTTGAGTTGAAGCAAACACGAGTAAGGAGGAACGCACGTCCAAAAACGACTCCCAAGTTCCTTGCATTCATGAGGTTTTTGTCGCTGTGTTCCAGTACGCTGTGTACTGAGGTTAGCCAAAACGTCTGCGCATTGCAAGAGGATTATTACCGGTGTAAATGCAAAACAAGCAGGCGTAGAGTGTGATAATGCTCGCTGGGAAGGCGGTTAATCAATTCCTGCAGGTATTGATTTTTGAGCCCAGCGTCTTTAAGTCCAGCGGCCGAGATAAAGTCTCCGTGAAGGTCAAAAGTCAAAAGAGGGACAGGTAATTGACGGAAATATGTCTTTAAGACGGAAGTGACGCTGCAGATATCATTGAAACGATCGTCATCGCGCAGATCGAATGCCCCATAGTCCCCTCGCTCGAATAGTTGCGTGATCACCTTGGTTTGCCCAGTACCGCCAGTTTTGCGGTAGATACCCTCGTAGTCCAGTGCTGACATCTGCGTCAACTAGGTACAGGTTGGTATAAATCATATTTGCTTACCGAGGGCCTCCACCGCGTCGATGCATTTCTCCACAATAATAGGGACCCTCCGTTCACCCCATTTTGAGTCCGATTTCACTTGTTCTACAAGATCACGACCAAACATGGAGGGAGCTAAAGCATGATATTAGACTTGAATGATGTTAAGACACTCAAATCACTCACGAGGTTGTGTGATTACATCGTCTCGACGGGGGGGTTGTTGAGAACATGCCACATACACTTGATTCAAGCAGCGAGGATGAACGGATATATGACAAACTAAGGAACTGTGAGTAAAGCGGACATGAGGGATCAAGACATGACATGCCTGAACATCGAAACTGGGATCCCCATAGCTTGTCTCCACAATGATCACACCGCGTAAAGCGGAGTACGCTCGACTGGTTGAAGGAATGAGCTACTCGACCTTTGCCTTTCTGATCAGCTGACGAAAGTGAAGGATCCCGGCCTCTACCCATAGGCCACTTGAACTTTGCAGATTTCAGCGTTGATGGCAAGGAGTCTGGTATCTCGGGGCGGCTAGCCTTGGAAAACTTGGCCTCTGAATCCTCGACCAACGTTATCGTGCTGGGCGCTGCCAAGCCATTGAGTGATGAAGACATTGATGGGATGTCAGGCTGAGGGCGTTCACGGTCAAACGATGTACTCTTCTCGCGAACAGAGTTTGCTGCTGATTCGTCCTTCGAACCAAGGGCCTCGATAGTAGGTGTCGTAGAGCGAGAGGTCTCTATTCGACGCACATATTGAGCACTGAGCTGTGCCAGTTCTTCGTTTCGAGCGTTAAGGACAGTCGTCTCCTCGAGGAACTGTTCGCGGGCAGCTTTCAATTCCCCCACCTCTCTGATGAGTGCCTCGCGCTGCTGGGTGAGAGGAATGAGCTCGTGCTTATACTGCGTCTTGATGTTATCCAAGCGCATGGTCAAAGACCGGCTCATCTGTGCGGTAGGTATCTCGCCCGAGCTTGTGACACTAGGGTAACTACAGTTCTAAAATCAGTGCTCGGTGACTTCAAAGGAAAGATTGTGACATTACTTCTTTGACGCGCATAGCTCTTCAAGTTCTGCTAAAGTCATGTCTCGCTCCGCTTTCAGATGGGACAGATCGTGTTCCAACTGATCCAGCTTTTTGGCAAGGTCCTGGGAAACCTGTCGTCGTGTTTCCGACCTTTTTTCCTCGCCGTTGAGAGCAGTCAACTTGGCAGCTTGACCAGTCAGCAAAATACGCATGCGGGTAACCTCTGCCTCGGCATTCCGTCGAGCCACAAGTTCACGGTCATGCTCCTTCTGGGCAACGGTAAGACCATCGATATATTGCTGACTCGCCCTCTAAGGAAAACATTAGAACGAGGGACCATGTGAAGAAAATTGTATCTACCTTTGTGCCGTCATACTTGTGTTTGAGTTCCGCGTGCTCTATCCGTCGCTGCTTCATCGTCGTAATAATGGTCCCAATGAAGTTCTTGTCCAATTTTAATTGCTGATAGCCATGTTCGCTTGCGTCATCGAGAACCTCATGAAGGCGACGAATCACAAGATCATATGATTCGCTGGAAACAGGTGTTGAAATGGTTGAATCGGGTGAAGTGACGACGATGCGGGCATTGGGATTCAACGATGCAGTCGAGTCGAGTCTCTCGTGCCTCGCTCCATGATTATGATGAGATGGAAAATGCGACTCGGAGGAAGAGCGGCTTCTTGACGAGAAGTCGTGAGACAAGTTTGAAAGCAGGTCTTTCGCCTCAGCATCGAGTAATTGAGAAGAACTTGAGGGATCTCGTTGATGATCATGCGGCTGCCGGGATGCGGTAGGAATAGCTCGCTCCAAAGGATCTTTAACCCCGTTGATGCGGTCAACACTGGCCGCACCCCCTGGGCTTCGTGACTTGCCATTGGAGCCACTAGGTGCTGCTGCTGCACTAGGTAACGATTCATCCTTACCAATACCATCTCCCTCGGCTATCTGATCAAGCGATTTGAGAGATGGCATTCCGCCCACCGACCTCAGAAAGTCTGAGAAGTCCGAGCCCGTCATGGAAAAGCGAATGGGAGGAAGAAGGGCGGGAGCGATAAACGTTGCTACAGATGTGCGTTCGACTGGCGAAGATTCGTCCGAGTTGGAATCCATATGCGACACAGATACATCGGGGTCAATGTCCAGCTTGAGCTCATTTGCGCGTGCCTTTGCCCTGTACTCTTTGGGTGGGACAGGAGGAGCAGAAGTGGGTGAATGGCTGTCGTCTGAGGACCTGCGACTATCGCCCTCTACATCCGTGTCTGTACCACTCTCGATCCCGTGAGGGACATCCGCTCTATGAGATGGGGACGTTGGAGTAACTACGCCAGAGCGATCTGATAACGAGCCACTGGGTATATTATCCAGGCGCAGCGTTCTCTCGCTCGCAGGGCCAGAAGGGGATAAACGCCCATCAACTTGCTGAGTATGTAGGCCGTTAGCTGAGTTGCTTGCATGATTATGTGAGTCTGGGCGAGTAGAAACTTTCTCCAAATTAGAATTTGTCCGACGTGATGGGGTCGTCGGGCGGGTATAATGTGATGCGGACTGGGGTTGATGGTGGTCGTGGGACATTGAGCGCATACGAATATCAGGTGTTGCTCGCCCATTTTCTAGAGGACCGGGAGCAGGTGATGGAGGAGGGGAATGGTATATGGTCGAACCTGAGGCGTTGTCACGAAGTAGACTGATATTGGATGCCCGGCGTGATGACAATGAATCGGAAAAGTATGGCTTGGAGGGAGATGGAGCAATGGGTGAGTCGCTGCGGTTTGCAGGTAACGTCTGCGACCGAATCATCTGTTCTGGCAGGGAAAGTCCGGCTGCGGCAGGGGGTCGGGACAAATTCTTATAATCTAGAGCAAGTCCTGGGTTGATGGACCGCCGCTTCTCGCTGCGAGAGGTGACGCCATTCGTTATCGGTACGCCCAGGCTAGACTGGTCCAAAGAATCCTTCTCCGCATGTCCTTTCTTTCCAAAGAGGATGTTTAGTGGCCGAACCCCGTCATCATAGCTCTTTCTCCTGGAAAGTGCGCTAGATGGATCCACAGGACTTAACAATGTTCCTCCAACTCCATCCTGAGCTTGAAGACCCTCTGAAGGCGTTATAGGACTACTCTGATCCTGAGCTGCAGACTGAGATGATAGCTGTGGGCTTGACGGGCCCGAATCAAGCCCTTTACTACGATCAGCGCTGCCACCGTCATTGTTGTCGGGGGGTGCGATGGTTACTGCGAATGATTGTGACTGTGCATCACGTGATGATCGTGAAGATGTAGGAAGATTATGCTGGATCGGCCGTGGGCTTGCGGGAGGGATCGGCGGTTGCCCACCATTCTTGGCCGATGATTGGGGAGGTTCATCCTGATGTGGTATTGATTTTCGCTTTCGTTCCAGCGTTGACAAGGCGTCCTCTCTGGGTTGATTGAGACTCCTCATGGACGGAGTATCACGAAAAGTCGTCGCTGAAGGCTTTGAACGCACAGACGAAATCGGCAAGATAGCTTGTGGTCGATCGGACACCTATAGATAACGTTAGAAATCGGTCCAGAGCGGTCAGCCCCGCTATATGTCTCCACCTACCACGTTCTCTGCCAGAAATTCTCGTGCCTCGCGTTCTCGTGTCGAGGATGATGCGCTGCCTTCAGCAGCCTTCTCCCGTTCGCGCTTCCGTTGTGCGTGACGGCGAATCTTGGCCATGCGTTCGTTATGACAAGTCATGCAATAGATCCCATGACTGGTCTTGGCGAATACTAGTTCGTCAATTCTATTATGGCAAACCTTGCAATTAAAGCAATGGGCGTGGTATGAGTCGTCTCCGGTCATGATGGCTTCGTCGAGGATGGGTTGGTTGCAAACATTACAGTTGTAGGAACAGTTGGCGCAGATTGGCGAGCCATCTGAAAGCAGTAGTAAATTCGTGTCAGCAGTCACCTGTTGATGGCATTTCGCGCATTTAAAGCAGTCGACATGAAAAAACGACTGTCTAAATACGCGATGGGTGATCCGCAGCGCAAGTACCGTTAAAACGCGTATAGACGATCGTAGTTGTTAGCTCACCCAAAAGCGACGACCAAACCTCCATTCTCGTTCACGGCATACTGCTTGCAGCCCGGGCAGATTCTATTCTCGAGGGACGATATTGAATTCAGGGCGACCTGTTGAGACATTGAAGTTGTGTTCCTCGGTCAAGAATCGTGTAGCGTAAGCTGAGAATGATTCGGATATCTTTCCCAGATTCCAAAGAGAGAAATGACAGAAAAGTGCGAGCGGCGGGGGTATGGGATTTGAGCCAGCTCACGTAGGACGTGTAATGTTGAACGAAAGACTGTTGGCTGTCGGTCAAGTGCCCTGACGGCAGCCGTGTATTACGGGGTGGACGGCGGGCACGATGATGAGGTATAAAGGCTGGGGTATGTGGTCGCGGTGAGTGCTGTAGAGGTAGGCACTGTTGCTCCTAGATAGCCAGTTCCAAGTAGAATAAATGTTTTTTTATGTAAAAGAAGATAACCATTTATTGTTGATGGGGGAAATACATTTTATCCCACGCTCTCCCACACCAGGTCGGGCCCTATCGATATCCTTGGCAAGTTGCGCTCTTCATCATAGCTTCGAGTTGTCGCTAAGAAGCCAGAAACGCGACTGTCAGTCTCATTCAGTTTCACTCATCGGATTGTGCATATCAGACAATACATTTCATTTTCGCCCTTGCAATGACCTGTGTAGTTACAGTGTAGTGATATCTAACAGGTAGTAGTGCAAGAGCCCCCATCTACTGCTCTCAGCAACGCTCCATCAAAAAGGTGATCCTTCCCAAGCAGTTGCTCACAGTGCATAGCCTTATGATCGGGGGTTCGTACGAGCCAAAGTTTGCGTACGGAGTCCTACGGACAGTTTGAAACTTCCTGAACCACTTCATTGGATTTGGAAACCGGGACCGTCCTGTTCCACCCAGTTCTAGGTCTGGAGTCTAGACCGGTCAAATGAAGCCAAATGGCGACACCGGGCAAGGGCCTGTCATTCCTTGGCCGCACTCCACCCTTCCCCCAGTCGTCGAGCCTCGAGGTAAAATGTGTGTAAAATTTCTCGTCGTCTTGACAGTTTGTGCGCGGCCGCTAAAATAAAGACAACGTCCAGCGGCGCCCGTCGGTGGTGCATAGATTTTGGGGCTCGCAACCAACCACTCTTTTGTGCGGAGCGTTGTCTGGAGGATGAGGTTCAAATGACTGATTCATAATCACATGCCTTTTCGGTCGCTGTGGTAATATTAATTATTCGCAGGACCTTGGTCCGTGCGCAAGCATTTTAGTATATAAGGGGTTCACTTGGGAACAGATTCCCCATCTCTTGTGCTCGGGCATGTACTGTCGCCAGTGAGGTCTTTACCGAGGCACAGTCTTTTGCTGATTGCAAATTACACATCCGAACCCGTCTGTTAGCTTCGGCTTCCAGCAATTTTTGGAAAACACTTATTTCAGGCTTCGTGCTTGAAACAGAGTATTTACTAGTTAGCGCAAAATAATATATTGTTTGTTTAAATCTTAACACTGTTCGTTGGGTGAAACCAATCATGTCAGGTGAATACTTCATAATCGTGTAGAAATCACTCAAGCACACCATAGTTACCAAGTCCTCCAGTCCAAGTTCACATCTACAAGGCTGCAGGTGATGTAGACATCAGGTGGCTTTTCTTGAAACGAGGGTTATGAGCCGTGGGTTGATGAAGCTGGCCGCGGATCTGAACAAGGACAAGTCTTGTATCCATGATCCGAATCCTTAACAAGTTAATGCTGGTTGTTTTAAAGACGGCGACATTTCTAATGCCGGATTATGATGGGTTGGCTATCGTACAGCATTGGTGGCTGAATGCGAGAGTGTGATGACAAGCGCATTCTCTGCCATCCACCCAGAGTATCCAGAAAGCATATGCGCGCGCGTCCCCTTCATGCAGATGGGCATATATTCTGAGCACGGTTCGAAGTTCTCGAACTCTGACCCCATGAATTGCATGCATGATCGACACGTGCACAGGAGTGCTGACGAGTTGCCACTAAAACCAGAAGCGACGATCCATGATGGGAGTGGGCGACTCACCCTCGAAGCAATCGCAGATGTAGCTCTTCGATCTCGAAAGTAGACATGCGTACCAAGCTTCTTGGCACGACAAGATAGCTCCATATAGACTTTGAAGCTTGATTGTCACTGACAGTCAGTCGACAGCAGTCGACTGTCAGTAACGTTAGTCGACGAGTTCGGTACGGCGTAGTACGGCTTGCTCACGAAAAGCGATAGGAGTGGTGGTGCGTTTACGCAAACCATTCCGATATCATCGTCGAATTGAATTTTGTTGCGTGGATTTCATCTGGATGAAGCTAGCGCTGCGATGATGCACACTTGATACTACGCCAGTATGATAGTGGGTGGAGCTATGGATAAGACGAATTTCTATTTTGGGAACCAAGGAAAACGGGTATCGTGAAATGACAACACCGAACGGAAGCAGTTTACCCTGCTTCTGCTCTTGTTTCCCTACATAGGTTTCTCCCTCCTCCGTTCTTGACGCTCTTCATCAAGGCACCCAATACAGATCGGCGCTCATCTTTTTCTTGCCGCTATCGACAACGTTGCTCTGGAGCAAGCTGCAAGGCTTCTAGCCCGCCGCCACCTGGACGTGTCTTCCCTGTGCTACCCACGTTCTTCACATCCCTGAAGCCTGTCAAGGATTAACTGAACTCGTTCTTTTCACTGGCACACTGCCATTATGCCACTTCCCAATGGCACGCTGCTTTCTCTGCAAGGCCATTCTCGCCCTGGAGATACTGTCCAGACTAAGCCGAAGCACGCTATGATCGTTCGGATGTCGGCTGAGACATTGGAAGCTTTGGAGGACTTGTCTAGTAACCCTACAATGAATTTCGAGTTTGGCGATAGTCCAGTCAGTTCAAGCACTTACAGCCCACCCACATCTAACACATAAATCTCAGGGCATTTACATTGGGGAGACATTCTTTCCAATGCGTCCTCTGAAGGAGAGTTCTCCGCACGAAATATACCTCAGGACATCCTCTGCAGCCAAGCCAAATGCTCCATTGAAGCTCTATGCCAATGTCATGGGCAAATTCATCGTTGACCGACAACTGGGCGAGAAAGTCACCGATAAAGTACGGCAGCAAACCATCGAAGCGAAGAAGCAACATTCCGAGCGCCAAACCATCATGCTCGATGCGCCCCTCATGTCTGCGGCAGGCGCAAAGAACTTGAAGCGGAAAACACCGGGTTCGGGAACGGTGGTAAAGAAAAGTGCACCTCGCGACACCCTTCGCACCCCTGCTGCATCCACCCCCGTTGCACGCAAAATCTCGCCGATACCACAGACCGCTTCTTCAAAGGCAAATGCGGATGTTCGCAGGCGTCTAATCCACTTCCTTGCAGTTGAGGCTCGCGAAACAGATCTGGCGGTAGCTAGGGTTTGTGGGAATAGCTGTGATGCCACTGCAAGGGGTAATCTACTTAGAGTCTTAGAGGAGGTGAGTTATGTGCCACTCCACTTTATTTCTTTCACTGAAATGTGAATGTACAGGTTGCTGAGCAAACCCCAGCCCGGAGAGGCGACAAGTCTCCTCGGAAATGGTCTCTCAAAAATCGTACATGGCTTGAAGTGCGTCCATACGAATGGGAGACGTACAAACCGTCAGAGCGGACCAACATCGCACGGCGAGGCAGGGTCGTCCTCGATGCCCTCAAGATACCCGAGTCTGACTCTGCGTGGGATCATTTTCGCTTTCGAAACCTCGCACCTCCTACCGGAGCTGCTCCTCATCCTACCCACGGAGGTAAGACCATCACTGGCCCACCTGCAGGAATTTCCCAGCCGAAGCCGGAGCCAAAACGACCTGCTATATCGAAAGATCTGAAACAGAAAACAAAGGCAGACTCTTCTCGAATAAAGGGCGACATACAGATGAAAAACGAGAGTGCGCGGCCGAGGGGTGACATACAGATGAAGGACGAGACCGTTAAGCTCCCTAGGGTGGCTGCCATTAAGCACGAAGAAGCCAGTCCATCGCCCAGCAGTAGCACCAGCACTAGCTCGAAGGCAGCATCCAGACGGTTGCCGGGCTCGGGATACGTTGCAAAGAAGTCCCCTCAGCCTTCTCCCAGCGTTGAGACTCCATCTCGCGAAGCTGCAGGTCCAGCCGAAGTTCGTCCTCAACGACCGTTACCCCGACCTTCCTTACCTTCCAAGCCCGTACCAGTACCCCAGCCGCCACCCGCAAGTCAGGAGAAGACGCCTACCATTCCAAAGATGACGAAGAAGACGCATCCACCCGAGGATTCCGATAGAGAGCGTGAGAGACATAGAGATAAAGACAGACCGACGAAGGATAGAGTTATTACTGGCGTGAAGCGGAAGAACGCCACCCATGATGTAGAAGACACGCAGGACGGGGAGAGGCACAAGGCAAACTCGTTCAAGAAGCGCAAAACGGAAGGGGACCCATCATCTACTGCATCCTCCTCTTCATTAAAAGCTCGAGACTTGTCTCTTCCAAAGAAGCCGGTCGAGGCCGCATCTCCTGTACCACCTCCACCGAAGAAGATCAAGAAAGAACCTTCTCCACTTCCGCTTCCACTTCTAGTGCCACCGCCACCCCCTCGCTCCACATTACCGACGCAGCCACCACCACCCTCAACCTCACCTTCCAAAACAGATCAAAGATCGAAACTCAATGGAGCCTCAAAAGCTAGACGAAAGTCACCAATATATACCTCGTCGGATGAAGGAGAGATACCAGAGCCTCCGCGGAAGTCCACACAGGATCCTTCCACGAATGCTGATCGTTCTAAGGGCAAGGAGGGACGTGCCCGCCCTCGATCTTCATACCCACTACCCCCTGATCGCAACGGGCTACGTTCGAGGTACCAGTCTAAGTACGGAAATTACCTGGGCACATATTCCCAAATTGTCGCACAGAAGCGAAAGATCGAGGCGATCTTAAACGGAGAATCGGAAGCGGAAGGAGAGATCATGGATCCGGAGGAGCTGAAGAGGCTCAGTGCCGAGCATAAGAATCAGAAAGAGGAGTTGGAGTTCATCCAGGAGAAGTGGATGAACGGGTCTGTATCGGAATAATATGGATCACATCGCAATTGACTTGTACGTAAACTTCTACAGCACTCAAGGCGGACATGACATACTCATCAAGACTATCTACGCCATATTTTCTTGTTGTACATCGTCTTCACATCTTTTTCGTTCATTGTTTGACTGCGCTGTCGCAGAATTGCAGTTATGGAAGCTATGCATGTATACGCTGATACATTGACTAATTACGACTGTTGAATCATTTTGGGCTTCAATAAGTAATGTCCGATGCCCCATCTACGTTCGATCAGCTCGGAAATACACATCAAACAATCGGTCACTCACTCTTCGCCGCCATGAAGGGCGAAAAGTTCCGAACAGGCCATGTAAAAGACACGAAACCTGAATTTAGAACCAGTCAACGAGTTGTAAATACCGCTGTAGTGAGCGATCATTACCTGTAAAAGGCCTTACGGCCCTCCTCCTTGTTGAGGCCCTTTGAGACTGCGTCTTCTTCGAGTTCTTTGATGCCTGCTTTAGCATTAAGATCCTGTTTCTCGAGCCACGCTTCGAGTGTACGGGAGTAATGTTGACCGTTAATGTACCAGCTTCTGACGAGGGTCAGATCTGACTGGAAGTATGCCTAAAAGGATGTAAATTATTCATTGGGCTCGACAGAATTATCAATAATACATACCAGAAGGTCATGAGAAGGCATCGTTCCACCTGTGAAGGTAAGCTTCAACAAAGGCACGTTTCAAAGCATGAACATCTTGCCGGTGAAGAACGTTTGAGCCATCCACCCATCGTCCTGATCGAAGTGATATGGGGTCATCTTGTGGCAGAACAGATGCACGAATAACAAAGATTCGCGTGCGTGATTTGCAGAGGTTGGACGCAACCAAGTGGATATCTTTTGAAGAAGCACTTCATAATTTTTCATGTGCTCAAACATCTGTTCCTGATAAGGGGACTAGCCATTTGATATGGTACATAAAACTCACTTCGATGGACAAAATACGGTCAAAGCTGAAATCTTAAATCAGTATGTACTCAGTCTACACTTGACAGACAGGCCGTCACCGCTTAGTTTCACCGAAGTCAAAGGTATTGACATCGGCAGTGATGATCTATCCGCAATGAGATTGACGCGAGTGCGTGTTCGTTTTGCTCCAGGAACTAACCTTGACATTGTTTAGACCCTTTTCTTTCGCAATATCGTCAATGTACGATTTCTGGGTTGAGGAGTTGGATAGACCGGTGATTTGAGATTTTGGATATCTCTGGTAGCGAAGTTAAGCATATATATTCGAAAAATCGTGATTGGCTTACCTGAGCAAGATAAATGGAGAGACTGCCCCATCCTGCGAAGCTCGAGATGCAGTATACTGAAGCGCACACCATTTATTGTGACGTACCGCAACCAAGGTCAAGGACATCCATCCCATCTACTAGCTGTGCCTTCTTGCAGTAGCTTTCTAACGTCAAAATTTCTGCCTGTTCCAGTGTTTCATGGCCAGTTGGATACAAACAAGAGGAATATTTGGCGTATGGGCCAAGGCAGGAGAGAATAAACTTGGTAGACACCTATCAGCGAGTAAGCAGTGATCAAGGGATCCACAGGGAAAATATATCTCATACCTCATAATGTTGCTCGTTGGCTGTCTGCGTGGCGTCTGCAATAGAGGCACGCGCGCGAACGTCCTCAATCCATTTTATCTTGGCAGCATGGTTGAGTTCAAACGATCCATGATCAATTGTTCGTAGACGTTCACGGCACAGGGCGCGAATTATTACACGAAGAACGAAGTCTGGGACCAGACCCTTCCATAGTACGTACAGTTGGTGGGCGGTAGGAGGTCACTGGGACGAAATTCACTCACCTTGTCGAGCAGGCCATAAGCAAACTCCGTAACGTCGCAAGTCATGCTGGAGAAGGAAAACATGGGTCAAACCGTGTCAAGCCTACGGTTCTTAAGTACCCTCACTGCCAGGGACTCGGAAGTCGTCGTGATTCGACAGCCCGTAAATGGGAATCATCTTGCAGAAAACCAGCCACCAGTGACTGGCAGTGGTCACTGACTGGTTGAGGGTATGATAGGATACTCGATAGTTCGCAGTAACACAGTCCTATTTAAAGAGACTCGTCGTATAGTGTTTCTGTGATTCGTTCCAGATGGAGTTCGTGGTACCCCCCTTTAGCAAACCATAGACGAAGGGAACATAGTCGTTCCTATTGCGTTCCTAAGAATAGTGGCTGCAAATTCGACGGATGCTTAATAAAGTTATATCCAATCGTGAGAAACACTTTCCTATAATACGCTTGTCTGGACTTTCCTCATTACTTTTGGCTCCTCCACCGAGAACATGTGCGCAACATGACTGCAGCACCATCCTTTGCATTCAGGACTCTCGGAGTCCACCTTGGCAAGCGCACAAATGTTAACATGCTACTGCATACAAGCCGTGGATCTCTCCACTCTGATGTAGATCGCTACAACACTATCCGCCTGTTTTTTCAGCGGCAGCTTGCGACACATAGTTCTACACCAATGACGCCGCTGCCGGCCTGCAGGAAGTCCACATTCCACACAATATTTACTCCAAGTTCGTCTAGGTCGTTTACCGGACGTGACTTCTGGGAAATGAGGTCCCTTCATTCGCGTCATAACCATTCAACCAGCGACAAGAGAGGTAGCATATACGAGAGCGATCTCTCCCGCCAGGAGGGCAAAGCCCAGTCTCCCAGCTCCGCCAGTTCAGTTAAAAGCGACTTAGGACAAGATACGGATGTTCATCCTCCACCTCCACCATTAAATCTCGACAACTATCCCCGTCTATACCGCAGATTAGCTCTATCCCTTTCTCACCTTCACCGCCCTACACGAGACGACTTCCTGAAAGTAGCCAATGGGTTTTGGCAACGTCTACGGATCCGTTTCAAGTGGTTTACTATACGTTCTTTTCGGAGATTTAATGCAGATGATATTTCGGCTTTTATAACATGGTTCTTAATGAGCCAAACTCTATGGATATTGGTCGGAACGTGAGTTGAAAATATCTGATGTGAAAATTGATTACTCATTCTATTCAGAACAACATTCTTTTCCGTGATTTTTGCAACTGCCAATAGTCTACAACTGCAAGGTATGCGTCGCCCCTATGCAATCATATGCACGTATCTCACTAGACGTTGCAGAATATGTCGCACGCGCCATAAGCAACTATCTCACCAGCGAGACTGGCGTCACAGTAATCTTTGAATCTGCTATCGTTCCTAAATGGAAGGACTCTCGCATATCCTTCAAAAATGTATATGTATCCCGCAGATCATCGTCCACCGCCCGTCCACCAGTGCCAAAAAAACATATTGGACATAAAGCGGCTGTTGGGTATGATGTCAGCAGCCACCCCGCGTACAACAACTTTCTGGACGACGACGACGAAGTAGTTGAGAGTCATACCGAGGATGATGTCAACTATTCCATGTTTGACCTCAACATTGACTCCATAGACGTCACTTTATCACTCCAGCACTGGCTGAATGGCAAGGGCCTTGTGGAGGATGCTGTGATCAAGGGCGTTCGCGGGGTATTAGGTGAGCATGTCTGTCCGTCATATCAGCTTGAACTGATGTCTGTAAACAGACCGTCGCTCTGTTTTCTGGGACCCAGAAAATCCACTTGACCCGGCTGCATTCCGTCATGTTGCTCGTCAAGGTGACTTTGAGCTGAATTCTCTGCAGCTCGAAGACGTCCTCGTCACCATGTATCAACCGGGTGATTTTAGGCCTTATACGGCCTCGATTTTTCGTGCGGACATAAGGACTTTCCGGAAGCAATGGCTCTTCTACGACTTTTTGCGTGCCGAAAACGTTGTAGGGCAATTTGATAACTGCTTGTTCAGTCTGCACAAACCGCAAAGCATCGGCCGAACTACTGACCAAGACCTCAAGGATGGCAAATGGTCGCGGATGGTAATGTCAATTGACCCCTATCTCTGGCCAGTTCTGACAAATTAATTATAGTCTAGGATCCGGATTGATGGCGTCAATATCGATCATATGCAAAACTCTACGACATTGGAAGGTGGTCCCTTGTCGTGGATAACATCTGGCAAAGTGGATGCTGTGCTGGATATCAAATTCCCTAGGGATGCGGAAGACGAATTTGCGTTAAATGCTATTCTTGGTGAGCTCGCAGATGCTATCACCACGGCAGCTACTGCTTCTCTACCCATTGAGAGAATACCGGGGCAGCGAGAGCTCGCGAAACCGCCTCTTACTGCACCCACGACCGATGACGATAAAGAAGCCGATGATAATCCGAAGGTCGTCATCGACATAGATTTGCGATTTAGGGATCTCAAGGCTGCTGTTCCGCTATTCACATCGGATCTCTCATATGTCAACAGCGCATTAATAAGACCCATAGTGGCATTTATGAAGTGAGTGAAGCATTCTTTTTGTGCTTCATCATCTCGTTAATTTATCCAGCGCACATCATACCTTGGTGCCTATTCACTGCAGAGTAGTTAAAGATTTGAGTGATTATGACGGTGCTTGGACTGTGAGTATCTTTCTGGAGTCTTCGCAATTCCACTTATACTGACAGGCCCTTCATAGATGTGGGAGAGTATGTTATTTCTCATGTGACCACTTATTACCACTGAACACCTATTGTAGCTGGCCTTATGGATGAAATTTCACAGAAGGTAGGAAGTAATTCAACTACCAATCAACGTGAACTGATAAGCCTTGCTTTAGATATACGATGCGCTTGCTTATCACGTCTCTCAAGTCAACTTGAACAGGCGAGTGAAAGCAGTCAGCATGTGGTCATTGCAGATGACGGCCAGCGCTGTATTGTCTGCGCTGAGAAACCTAGTGGATCCAGTGTCCATGCAGGTTCGGGATCTGTACTACGTGAATGGTGTTCCATATGACGCCTTAGTTCCGGGACCGTAGCTTGGTAATTGTTTTGGAACTATCGACAAAACTTATTCCACATGGCGCCTCTCTTTGTCCAACAGGGTTTTACGTGACATATTCGTAAATACAGGCGGCGGTTCGCACGCTTCCTCCTCATATGCATGTTCGAGGAGCTGCCGCTGCATCGTCCGGTGGTTCTGTTCTTTAGTTGTGTCTTCTAACTTTCCAATTGAGAGACCTTCTGACAAGGGAATCACGCAGAATTGCCAATGGTTGGCATAACAATTGATTCGATCCCCACCTCGTTTCCAGTGATACTAAAGGTCGCTTCTACTACAATCCGACGGGCGTTTTGGAGGTTTTGGGATGCAACCAATGGTTTGGTATTGGTATTAAGGGCTGGATGCGACCGCCAGCGGAAATGAGCGGAAATGTCAACGAGCAGCTTTAACGCCAATGCGCCAATGGCCAGAGAGGCGGCAACAACATATGCCGCTCGGCAATGTAAGTACAGGTACAGGAAACCAATAGAGAGGTATTACCTTTGGCCAACGTCTGCGATATGTGCATGCGTAGACATGTTGACTTGTCATGCGGCCATATTAGAGGCCATTACATTAGCCAAGTGCTTTTGATGTGTGGCAAAGATTCTGCCATCTTCACAAGCGTTTCTTGCTAGAGATCACACTAGTAACGCTTCACGGACGTCTGTGAGTAATGACGTGGACACTGAGGCCAGGCTTTGACTTCATAATGCTCACAAATATAAAATTCTGGTTGAATAGGTGGCTATATGTGGATGAGCTAGTAACTCGTCATTATGTGGCGACGTGACGCCCCGGATTCCCCATGTTCGTGCAACTCCTTTTAGCACCGACAATAGCGGTACCACTGTTTATCACGATATCTCCATTTATGCTGACGAAATATTGGCACAAGAGGAGACAAGAGGCTACAAGAGGATGGAACTTCTGATCCTGACACGTCGATCAGGGGATTCCGAGTCCCCGTGGGCTCGCGCAGAGCAGCTTCTCGCGGTTTCTTCCCCCACTCATTACGGACCGACGTATATGAATTGTATGAGTAGGGGGGACCTGGTGGACTTCCGTGTTGAGACCGAAAGGCTCAAACGAGAGCTGATTATCCCGTACTCAGCGCTCAAGTTCTAACTATAAAACGTGTTATTATTTTATCCTGAATGCCAGCTCCCTCCTCCTGGCAATACAAGCTTCAAGTGGGAGACCATGTCTCAAACACCGCATTCAAATTGGATCGAGTCCAAGCAAGAGGATGGGATCCGCAGTAGTGTCTCTGACTTGGTCATCGCTAGACCGGACGGTCTAGTTGGATTCAGAGCCCTTTTTGAAAATAAATTCATGTGAGTGGTTTGGAGAAATGGCGTGGTATAAATGATGAGATACATTTATGGCGCAGACTTGGTATATCGTTGTTCTCGACTCTCGGAGGATTCGTGAGTTATGTGTCACATCATAGATGATCGTCAGTAACATCGTGCCTTGTCGCGTATGATTAACAGCTCTTTGGCTACGACCAGGCGAGTTGGGCAACATCTTCACATGGTATGGCACTCGTCTAACTGCGCATCAGGGAGTCGTGAGCAATGTGCTTGCCATCGAGTCTTTTGGAGCGAAGTTCCCGGAGATATACACGAATGCAGCGCTGAAGGTAAGTGTGATATTCCAATATATTTCGGCCCTGTCAGAGTACATCTACCTATAGGGATGGTTTGTCTCCACCCTTTTGCTGGGTAAGTCAACGTGGCAATGTTGCAATAGTCTATCAGCTGATCGACCTCCGCAGCTGCCTGGTTCGGATCTAATGTCAATGGCCCCGTCTGTGACAAGGTGAGATCTATTACAATTTGGTGAGACAGGACCGACTGTGATCAACTACGACCCAGATCGGGCGAAAGGTAGACATAATTTGTAATGTGGTGATCTTTCTTCTCGGTAGTTCACTTCAAGCAGGTGCAACGGCTCCCGGTAAGTTCCATCCTGTTCACATTTCTCAGCTCTTCTGAAGATCCTTTTGCTAGTCTATTTATTCGCCGGTCGCGCTGTTGCCGGTCTGGCAATCGGTGCCCTGACGCACGTCATCCCGATGTATCTCGCCGAGATATCCAGTGCCAATATTCGTGGATTTTTAGTCTCTCTGCAGCAACTTTCTATTACATTTGGGGTGAGTGAAAGAACTAGTACTAAAGTTATGCATTTGACGCCACAAAATGTAGATTCTTGTTAGTTGTACGTGACAGTCTGCTTTCAAATATTCGTATGTGCTCAATACTCGAAGACTGGATTGCGTATGGCACGGCACACATCGGGGGAACCCGATGTGCACCAGAAATAGCATACACTGGAGCGCTTTTGAACGGCAGGCCTACGTTCGATCCTTACACCGATGTCCCTCCTGGTGGCTGCACTGGTCAAAATCAAGCGTCATGGAGAGTTCCGCTTGCATTTCAAATATTACCTGCTTTGGTGCGTTGGTTACATTTTCTGCATCCCCCTCATACCTATGGAAGTGCAGTGTCTCGGCATTGGCATGCTCTTCATGCCATACTCGCCCCGTTGGCTCATTGAGCAAGGCCGCGAGGAGGAGGCTCTGGCAACGCTATCGCGTCTTCGCCAGAAGCCTGCTGAAGATCATTCGGTTCACATTGAATTCCTGGAGATCATGGCTGAAGTTCGTTTTGCGAAAGAAGTCATGAAGGCGGCATATCCCAATGCGGGGCCAGTCAGACAGATAATTAATAAATACTTGGTATTGGTCTCCAGCTGGCCAAAAGCCAAACGTGTAACTGTTGGTTGCCTTGTTATGATGTTCCAACAAAATATGGTGAGTTTTCAAAATACAGTCTTTCCTCATCATGTAGTGATTTGTGGTTTGTCAGGGGGTGAACGTGAGTCGTGGTTCATCCTTCTGGAACTAACGTCGCTTACTTCGCTTAAGGCTATCATTTATTACGCACCTACGAGTAAGTTTTATGAAAGATCTTAACTATTCAGAGTTGATGACTCTCATCCAGTCTTCGGCCAACTGGGGCTTGACCCAAACACTACCTCCCTGTTTGCCACTGGTGTTTATGGAATTGTAAACGTAAGTTAGAGCATCGATAACGTTACGCGTACGCCCCCCTGAATTATTCCAAGATGCTCTCTACTTTACCTGCCATCATTCTTCTCGATAAGGTGGGCAGGCGACCTTTGTTAATCTCCGGTGCCGCCGGATGTTTCACTTGTCTGGCAATCGTGGGTTCTCTTGTAACCGTGTACGGCAAAGACTGGCCTGCACATGCAGTGGCGGCTCGCATTGCTATTGGTAGGTGCACTGTGATTATCTTCAGAACATGTTAAACTGTTTTATAGTCTTTGTGTTTCTCTACGACGTCAACTTCTCTTATTCATGGGCCCCGATTGGATGGGGTGAGTGGCTCGTTTTACGTCCTTCAAGGATTTAATGTCTTCGCCAGTTATTCCCAGTGAGATCTTCCCGTTGCACCTCCGGTCCACTGGTATCTCCCTTACCACATCAACCACGTGGTCATCGAATTTGTGCGCGGTTTTTCAATTTTCCTCCGTCTTTTTGGTATTGATATGCTTTAGTGCGATTGGGCTTTTTACGCCGACGATGTTGCAAATGGGTGGTATAGCATACTTTACCTTTGCCGGATTTTCTCTTGCTGCGTTACTCTCAGCCAGTACGTCAAATCCACAAATCGTGCCAATAAGTATGCTTAGCTCGCTTTCCAGTATTCTTCTTCCCAGAGACCAAGGGTCGGGTAAGTTTTGGCGTGCGCATGCCCTGTCGAACGTGGCTGACGGCGTTGTACAGACCTTGGAAGAAATGGACGCTGTGTTCGGTGACAATGCTACTGACAGGGAGCGAGAACACATGCAGGGTATTTGTCGGGAGCTTGGTCTGCCCGACCGGGCGCTTTTGAATGCATAGCCACTCGAAACTTTCCGGCTGATCCAGGTCATTGAGTCGATTCATTCATCGTGTATATTATGCACTCCTTTTTTTCTTTTTCTATCCCCAACATCATGAAGAAACGCCACTTGAAGACGGATGCTGTCTGAAACGGATACCCCTTCCGCTCGATTTGTAAAATTTTACATCATGCAGATCAGTGTATGTTCTCCTTCTCCATGCTCCAACCAAGCCCTAAGATAAATTTAACCTCATCCATTCCCGTCCTCTATGATTCACAAAAAATCATACTTCAGGTCTGACATTCTAAAAGAACTTCAAAGAAGCCGTTCAAGCGCCACCCGATGCTCCTGAGCAAACACCTCATGACCTCGCGCGTTAACTCATCCGGACATGCCAAACTACACACGGGCAAATGTAGTCGCTCGTGTTGTGTAATTATATTAACAGCATATATGATATGCAAAGGAAGCCTAAGTGAGCCCGCGAGCTCGCATCAATGATATGATAACGGTAGAATTGAGCAACGTCTTATCTCGTCTCTGCGGATATGCAGGGGAGGAAAAATGGCGCATTACCACAGCTGACCGTCGTATCTCCCAATATCGAGTACGGCGAGGTCATATATAGAATACAACGGCGGTACTTGTATACTAGAGCGAGCGCCGACTCGGAGTAGGGGTAGAGTTCGCTTGTGTGCTTGATTCTGGCGTGCGTGACATCGGTGGCACCGTTTTGCCCCTCCAGGCTCAAACCAATTTGGCGAGGCACTTTTCGCACAAGGGGGTATGTATCCATGTAGCCAACCTGCAAGAAATGTCGTATCGCTCAGTACTCATGCACAATTTTTTGCTGTATTATTTAGCCCATTTGGAAGCTAATGCTCCAATCCGAGGCCCTGCCTCAGGAGTCAGCGGGCTTATAGTAAATCCTACTTCCGATCCAGTTCTCGCGACCCTATTAGCCCCAATGCAACCCCCTGACTGGCGTGTGGGTCGGGTTGGCTTCACTAGACCTCCCCCGTCATCCCATTGTTGTGGGTTAGTCCTTATGTGCTCTCCTCATACCGCGAACTGACGAGCACTATAGCAAGTACTACTATAGTGCTCCTATATTAGTACGAATGGCAGCACCGTTCCTGCAACCTCACCATCACGGAGTTCCAGTTCGAACTCCGACTGCTATCCAGCTTGTGCATCCCTCACCTAGCCTAGTTGTATTATTTAATGTTATTGGAAGCGAAAGACGTGACAATGATCTCGATTATGAGCACAACGCAGGTATTTCGCGGTGTCGTGAGGGCAAGCACCGGGTTCGGAGGCCTCGAGGATTGAATGACGTGCATGCAGTACTGGTTGGAAATTTACCGAAAACATCAAACATCAATTTGCATTCATCGCGACCACATACACTACAGACTGAACTATGGAGTAAAAACCTGACACCCGACAGAAAAGGACGAAGAACCCAATCCTATCCACAAGCAGCCCAAATCTCAGACCACAACCACACTCAAGCGCTCACCACACACAAGCTCACCCAATTTCATCAACCCCTAGGGGGAGAAACGAGAGAGACATGCGGCGGGAGACAGCGTCGAGGAAGAAGAGACAGAGACAGACGGGAGTTTATGGGGGAGAGGGGCGGAATGAACAAGGGGGTCGGATACAGGTGTGTAGGCGTAGGTGAGTGTGTGGATGGTAACAAAAAGCGAGTGATGCCAAATAAAAAAAGGAAGACTAGAGAAGACCAAGAGAAGTCGAAATAAAGCAAGATAGAGTAGGAGATAGATAGAACATAGACAGCTTTATGGGAACGAAAATGATGATGACGAGTCCGATGAGTGATGAGATGGATGCGAAAGGCGAAAACAATGATAGATATGACACGGAGTCGCGGAGACTGATAATGTTGGTCGAGCGTTTGATGAACTGTGATCTAAAGAGGTCCACCATTTTAGTACACGCTAACCTCGTCCCACACCAGCGCATCCGAGAAGTCCATGTCGACATCAAACGTGGTGCTCGAGTCGATAGCAACGTCCTGCGTACTCGGCAGCATCTCTAGCAGCTTTTCTATCCCCATCTCTACACGGACTTGTTCCGCCCAGTCAACTGTGTCTATTCCACTCGTAACCAGCCCTAGGCCGAACTCCTCTATAGGAGTAGTCTCACTCAGCACCTGCGCGATGTTCGCGTTTTCTGCCGAAGGGCAAGTGCCTGGAAGAGCGCAAGTGCCAGTCGGCGGCGACGCAAGAATCTCTGCCCACAGGCGCGTAAGGGCTGCGTCTGTGGCTGCCTCGTCTTCAAGCTAAAACAACATAACATGAGTTTGTTTTGTATGCTCAGGAGTGGGAGGTGACTAACCTCGATCGTAGCACTGTGGTACATCTGGTTGCTCTCGCCGGTTCCGTGATTAGACGTATGCTGCCCACCCGCTGCAGGGACACTGCCGCGTGAACGGCAGGGGTCGCCACCCGTGCTAGGTGGCGAGTGGGAGCATGTCCAATTGAGGATAGGTCGAGAGTTTCCTGTGGTGTGTCAACAGGTGCTGGTGAGTCGGAAGGCGTAAGATCTGAGAGAGAAAATGCGGGACTGAGTGGGAAGTCGAATGAGTCGCCTGAAAACATTATGGGGCTGTCCATGAGAGTAGAATGTGTGGGTGCAGGTGATAGTGGGTAAGAAAGTGCTGCAAGGGTAGTCGATTTAGGTGACGAGGGGGTGGGAGATGCGGAGTCTGTTGCTGAAGGAGATGTTGCTGACGCAGGTGATGGTGCGCAAGTGGATGAGAGGATTGGGGTCGAGCTGGAAGTCTCGTGGAGAGCAGGCGGGTTCGGGCCTTGAGTTGCCAACGTCCGTAACACTGCCTCATACCCCATCTCAAGCGTTCGAATGCGTTCGCGCAGCTCGAGATTTTCACGTTCCCGTTGCTCCTCCGCACGTTTTCGCTGGCGCTCCTGCTCCTGCTCAATGGTGACAACCTCGGGCTCCGAGGTGGAGCTAACCGAGGGCGATGCTGGGATGGCCATTGGAACGCCAGCGCGAAGACGTCTGTTCTCTTCCTCAAGTTCAGCAACTCTGCGCTCGAGAACGGAAAATTGGGCCTTTCTGCGGTCGCGGGAATTTTGTGCCGCAATGCGATTGCGATGTGCACGGGCCTCTTTGCGCTCTTCGGGTGTTATGGCTGAACGAGGACGCTTGCGTGGAGGTTCCTGTATGGATACATCTGGAGAGTCTGCACGAGATGATGAGGGAGATGCAGGACGCTTCAGGGAGGAAGAGGAAGGAAGAGAAAGGTTGGATGGGTCGACGAAATTTGGAGAGTGTGATGGCGACATGGTTACACGTATGCAGTCAACGTATTGGGCTTGGCGATAGGTGCTAGGCTAGTCCTTTAATGCTCGTATGTATATCGTTAAATGGGATGCTAGAACCAGCTGCGGAAAACCAGGAAGATTCAGTAACTGTGCATGTTGGACGACGTGGCCATGAAGAGAAAGAACACGTACACAGGACACGTAGACAAAACTCAACACAGCCACAAACATAAATAAACTGCGCACAATTGATTTTTGGTCATCTGATCAGGACACGAGAATAAATCACACCATATGTAAGCAATTAGGATCAGAAGGCAAGCTAGAATCTGGAAAATATCTCGCCCGCACAGCCCAACTCCCTCACGGTACCCACAGAGGGCTCTCGGGCCCGTAACAATATAAATATCTGCACAGATCCCTCTAGCTCCGCCAGCGGAGAGATGCTCGACGGTTCCATGACTCGAATACCCCTCACCTGAAAGGATTCAGTCAAAACCTAACAAAACAAAGTTTCTAGGACTCACCATAGATCGCCATCATTCGAGAGACTGACCCGTCAAAAATATAATACATCCAACAACACCCTCAATATGTACGTTTGAATGGCGGGATTGCCTTGCATTCATTCTCATCCAGAGTCTTGTCAATTACACCGCGGTACTTGAGAGTGACGTCGGGTAAGTTGACATTGGCCTGCCATGTGAGAGTGTGCTTCATCCAGTTGTCGTCGTCACGCTACAAATACAGTTTAAAAAGATCCACTGAAAGGTGTGATGTAAACACCAACCTCAGGATAGTCCTCGCGAGCGTGAGCACCACGGGACTCCTTGCGAGCCGCAGCAGCTGTCATAGTTTGAACTGCACACTGCAGGAGGTTGCGCAGCTCAAGAGTCTCAACAAGGTCACTAAGATAATGGCGTGAGTGAGGAATCAGCATTGTTTAAACGCCGGCCGTACGAGTTCCAAATCATGCTTCTATCCTTAATGCCAATGTTGTCAAATGATTTGTATATCTGATGGACCTTCTGAACACCTTCGTCGAGACTTTGCTGCGTGCTGCGTGGACGGTCAGTTTCCATTTGTTCGCACGAAGTTGGTGGAACACACCGGAAGAGAGCGGCATTAGATTGCATGGCTTTCTGCATCTCCAGCCTTATATCGGCAGTAGCCTTTGGGCCATCGGCATTTCTGATCTGGTCCAGGAACTCTACGCTTTCGAGGCCAGCTTCTTCAGGAATAGCCCTATGAGGCTTTCCGGGAATCAAGTTCTCCGTGATATGACGAGCACACGCGCGACCAAAGACGACGAGATCCAGGAGGGAGTTTGCACCAAGACGGTTCGCGCCGTGAACGGACACGCACGCAGCCTCACCAGCTGCATACAGACCAGGAACAGTCTTGTCCTTGCCATTCTGACCACAGCTTATGAGCGGAGTGCGACGAGTACAGCTAGCGCAAGCTCACCTCATCAACCGTCAGCACCTCGCCAGTATACCTAGTGGGAATACCACCCACTGTCAGGAGGTCAGCTACAGTCCAAACAGCACAGTAGAGACACCAACTGTTATAATGGACAGTAGGTAGCACTGGGATAGGCTCCTTTGAGACATCGACTCCAGAGAAAATAGCTGCAGTCTCAGAGATACCGGGCAACCTCTCGTGGAGAATTTCAGGGGGCAAATGGCTGAGTTGAAGGTGTATGTGGTCCTTTTGAGGTCCAGCACCACGGCCTTCACGAATCTCAATCGTCATCGAACGAGATACGACATCACGCGACGCAAGATCCTTGGCAGTGGGTGCGTAACGCTCCATGAAACGCTCACCCTCACCATTCAAGAGGTAGCCTCCCTCGCCACGACAACCTAATGCAGGTTCAGCCATGAGGAGGATACCCTATAGAAAGAAAACGACCCTCAGAAATCAAGCAGCCGGCGCCATAGATACCAGTTGGGTGGAACTGGACAAACTCCAGATCCTGTAGAGGAAGACCAGCACGAGCAACCATTGCATTACCATCACCCGAACAAGTGTGTGCACTCGTGCAGCTGAAATACGCACGACCATAACCACCGGTTGCGAGCACCGTTTTGTGAGCCCTGAAGCGGTGGAGCATACCGTCCTCCATGTTGAGTGCAATGACTCCAACACACTCGCCATCCTGCATAATCAAGTCCAGAGCAAAGTATTCAATAAAGAAATTCGTGTTGTGTCGGAGCGATTGGCCGTAGAGGGTGTGGAGGAGAGCGTGACCGGTACGATCGGCAGCCGCAGCACAACGGTATGCTTGACCGCCTGTGCCGTAGTTCAAAGACTGACCACCCAGGGCACGTTGGTAAATCTTTCCATCCTTGGTACGGGAGAATGGAACACCATAATGTTCAAGCTAGAAACAGATTTAGCCTGCCAAACAAACACGTATGTAAAATCTAACCCTACCTCGATAACTGATCTGGGAGCCTCGCGGCACATATAATGAATAGCGTCCTGGTCGCCAAGCCAGTCAGAGCCTTTTACCTGTGGAAAACCATTAAAACGACTCGGGAGCATAACATATCAAAGGCCACAAACGGTATCATACATGTGCCATCGCCAGTCGTCTTCTGTCATGTTCTACAGGTAACTCGTTGGTGAAAAGAACATTAACACATCAAGATATACTTACACCGAGAGCGGCATTGATACCACCCTTGAAAACGTGATATGAGTGTGCCAAATACTGCTGAACATCGCTGCAACATACCTGTGCTGCGACAGTGTGACTCCGGGTTGGGAATAGTTTTGTGATGCAAGCCGTGTTGAAGCCAGCTTCCGCAAGACCGAAGGCAGCGCGAAGGCCCGCGCCGCCGGCACCACTAAAAATGACACATACTCGAGTCTGCTAATTTGTTAATGGTTCGGAACGCTACTCACACGACGATAGCATCGTACTCATGCTCGATGAGAGGATATTTGCATGAAGACCAGGACTATAAAACTCTTAGGATGTCGGAAAAGACATGGGAGCTGAGAGATATACTTTGACCCGGGCCTCGGGCTCTGCCTTGATCGGATTGGTTGCCGCGGCTCTCCTGACGGGCAGTGAAGTGGAAAAAACGCGCTGAGGACGAAGTAGAGCCCTAGAGGGTACCGCTTTGGACACTGACTCCCTCAACATCGATGGAGCTGTCTGGGCCACGAGAAAGTTGACACCTGAAGGCTTTGAAACTGAGAAATTACGCGTCGGTCAGTTGTTGGTCAGCTGAGGACGTTCACGGCAGTGACGGCACACCGTTGGTCACCAGATCAAATACTGTAACTAGCCCTATACATGCCGCAATCAAGTCCAACCAATCACAACGGGAGCGTATTTAGCAAGAGAAGCCACCAACTTCCCAACCAATTCAGACTGCGCCTGTTTCTTCAAGTCCCTCATCTTGACCTCGCGAACAGGCATCCCCGCCGCTTCCCTGATCTGCAATAGTTGGAGTAGCAACGACCACTCAAACTGCACGTCGTCAAACAACAGCGTTCGCAAATCTGGGAATGCATCTCGTCTGCCAGCACATGAGAGGAAGCCCATCAACTGGTTCACGATACGTTTGGAGACCGAGAGTGTCGTTATGCCTGGGAATGCGTGGGCAAGTGCATGCCACCCGTCGTATGCCATGGACCTGCTGCACAGCGTGAGAAGGCGTACAGAGGGAAAGGGTGGTGCTCCACGCTTCAGCTTGTCCATGAGCGACTGGAGATCACGTGATGGGGTCGCGGCGTGGAAATCAAGTACTAGCTCACGTAGGACGGGGGCTCGTATCGTCCGGAAGACGGTAGGGAGGTACGTCCTTGAAATGTTTGGCCCGGGCTTTAGGACCATTGTCTGGAGCAAGGGTATTTCGACAACGGGAAGATCCCTGCTGCGAACATAATCCACGGGTTCACCGACCAGCGTGAGATGAGTCAGCGACGTGAGATGAGAGAGAAGGTTGCTGAAAGTCTCAGGGGAAAGACCGGAAACCCACAAGCCGCTTAAAGTGAGCATGGTAAGGCGGTCTGCAGAGAGGAACAGATCTGAGGAGATGGATAAGAAATGTATTAGTTCGGCAAGTGTGAGTGAAGACATACCTTCAGTGAACAAAAGATGTCTGCTATTCGGGATGTTTAGCGGATAGTGCACCATGAGTTCTTCAAGCATTGGTGCCTTTATGCGCTTGATCCCGTCTAGAAGTGTTGGGAATGGGAAAGCCCCATGGACTTCTAAGCGGCGGCAGACATGAATGTGCGAGAGAATAATGCGGGATATGCGCAAGTAATCTGGGTCAAACTCAGGCGAGCCCTGAAAATCGCAAAGAATGCCAGTGAATCGCATGTCAAGCAGCTGTCCTTGTGAGCGCGACAAGTAAAGATTGACAAGATCTACATTCTGCCGGAGGAAGAGTCGGATCTCCGTCCAAAGCAACGGCATCTCGAGCGCCACAGCTCTCCAATGCTGTGAAACACTCGTAAGCAGAAGCTCGGGCCTGGGTCGGAGGCGCAGACTGGTGAGCGCGCAGGAAGAAGAGTGGTCTTCATCCGCTTTAGTGGTTGCTCTGACTGTCTCTACAAATATCATCTCGAGGAGCTCGTTCGGGATAAACGAGATATACGACACGCCATACGTCACTAGTTCTTGGTTGGGGCACAGGGCCTGTGCATCCATGATGCACGACGTTCGCTTTGCCTCCCCCTTCAGTCTCGCAAGCCCTTGCGTCATGGCGACGAATTCTAGCGTTATAGTCCTAATCCGCCAATTTGATTCATCAGACAAGCACATACACGAAGCATGTCACTCACATTGTCTGCCTCCTGGTCGTCTTGGTGGAAGCTCACACAATGCGGTCATTAGTTCTCAGCATTGAGAAACCACGCGTTTTATAGTCGAAACATCAAACCGCATGCAGGCACCGGGTAGCTATTTCACCCAATCACCAAGTGACACCGGTCTTGATGAGGCATATCCAGGGCTTGAATACCCGACTAGGAGGGCGGAGACGAAGAAGCGGCAAAACAAGCTCAGTGGAACTTGTTATCTGTAACATTTGTGTAACATGAAGGTTCTGCTATTACGTGAGCTTTCCCCAGCTCATGAGCGAGCGCTCTCATTGGTGGAACTGAGATTCCGCGGTTACAAGAAACGGCACATTCCGTGGACTAGTCCGACTATGACTAACCCTGAAATGGGCGCTCAATGAACCTTGTCAACGAGCGGCACATCGAGCGAAAGGCTTCACCGCCCTCTATTCATACTTAGGGACGGGCGTCATAATATATCATACGATCAATGCCCATGCATCTGATATGCAGTCAGTCTGAATCTCCTGATTCAATAACCATATATACAGGTATTCAGTTATCGAATATCGCCACTACAGCCTGTCAGGCTGTGACAGTAATTCTCCGAAGTTCGCATTGTACTGTTCTTAGACTTCTTCTTTATCTTCTTCTTCGTAGTACTACACACGCGGGGGTAGGAACATGTCTTACCACGTTGGTAACGGCACCGCCATTCTTCAAGATTTGTCAAGCTTTTGTAACCCTCTTGAAGTGTTGGCTCCATCCTTCAAACTCAAAGATAGAATCTCGCTGAGGGCATTTCCTTCAAGGTCGGATCAAAGCTGCTGACAATTTGCGCCGAACTTCTTATTCGTTGGCGCTTCGTGGTCAGACTGGGAAATCATTCGAACAATAGAGACGCATTCGAGGGCGTCGCTTGTTGCCCAAATCGAGTGCGCAGCGCGCACACAGCAGCGTGCATGCTTGCGTGGAACATAATTAGCAACGGAGCGTGGACCGGTCTCCCAAGCTCAGAGTCAGAATAGCTATTTGGGGCGCGCCACTGTATCAGCGAGCCGTTGCAGAAGGTCGAGGGCACCGTGTTGCCAAACGGTCGACCTTCCGACTCGACCGTCGAAATGCCAGTGTGCCACGCAGTGACAGTGAGCCATGCTACACTGTTTATTGACCATCAATCATTCAAACTGGAGAGAGCAGTCAGCTTTATTCATCAATAGTCCGTTTGAGACACTCCACCAAATGACGACATTCAGGTCATCCTCATGGCCTTAGCCTGTTGCCAACATATACCCCATGTACACCAGAAGAAACTCCTTTTGGAACCACTACGTAGCATTTACAAGTTGGCTGGAAACTCTCCACGGATTTTGATAAGTGGTGGGCAGTCGCCCTACATGGGTTTATGTTGGACCTCGGGCCTTGGCACGGTACACAGTTGCGCCGTACTGCAGTAGGACAAATTCACTTGTTCATGGGAAAGGAAGCAACACCCTCAGATCCCTTCAACGAGGGAATATCTGCCTGTCAACGTCACGACTTACTGACGAGTTAAGTTTGCGACTTGCTCTCAAATCTAGTATCTTACAGTTTGTCTCTAGGGATGATGGCGTGATAATCCTGTGAGACCCGAGGTAATCCGCTCATTGCAAATGTGCACTCAGTCCACAAATTCTCTACAAATTCTCTACAACTGTTTATCCATCGACTTCTGACTGCGTTCACTACAGACATAGCTTTGCTAGCAGAGGCTACCAGTTGCTGGGCAATGATCTTATTATCCCGGCAGCTGCCAGACAACCAAATTGTTCTCAGTGTTTCTCTTCTTGAGGAGGCATTATTGAGGTCCCCATCCATCAAAGAGAACCCGACTTGTTCTAGAGCTGTCTGGTCCCCGGCCCGCTCTTGGTTCTTGAGCGAAAGACGGTGGACTTAAACAAGAAACACCGCAAGGTATACTGAGGGATGATCTCCGGACGAAACTTGCGTGAGTTTCCGCCTGAATGAGTTTCCCGTTATGATATTGGCGTACAGTCGCAGTTGCTCACCTTCCACGAAACGCCAACCTCGAGAAGTTGGCACTCAACCTGCTCTCGATTTGTGCCCCGTTGCACTACACGAGTTCCCCCATGCTTTGTGGCGTTCAACCGACTGAGGTGCTAAATATCATTTTCTGCAACTAATACCGGGACACGAATTGTTGTCCTTCTAGATTGTATTCGTATCTCCCCCGAGACTCCTCGCCCAGGCGTGGGTTTTAATGGTTCCAGTCAGGAACAGCGAACGCCGCTAGCTCTCACAGGCAGGTGCCTATGAAATACCCCTACTGTATCGAATGTCCTTACAGCAAGTACGTGAGGCATCGTAAGTACCTTTCAAATTAAAGTTCTGGTTTTCTACTAGTGGACCCATTCACTGCACAGGGTCACTGAGTAAGTATTTCCGAAGCCCAAAAGTGCGTTCGCGGGAAACTAATGGCCGTCGTCGGTACCGTCAAGGAATAATCCAATGCATCAACAAATGCGTGGACGGTGGAATGCACGGATGGGGGATTATATAGAGCCACGGGTATGTGCGTTCAACATCGCTCTACGGGCAATATCATGATAGCTGACTTTCGGGCTAGTAAGTTTATATCCAGGTTACACCATGATAAGCCTGCTGATATATGAAAACTGTTTGTGGTTTGATTAACATACATCTGGCTGTGGTCCCGTAAAGATTCTAAGTGCCTCTTGTCTACACATGAAGTGAGTGCGTTGGTGGCCGCTCCGTGTTGGTGATTGTACCCGCAGTCAAATTGGTGCAAGGTTGGAAGCTGAAGGTTAAATCGCTAGAACAGTCACAGAGGACTCTCCGGCTGCAAGCATAGTTTGGTCAAGGATTAGTACTACTGCACACTAGGGCTATCAATTCAAAGACGACAGTCACGCATTACGAAAAAAGAATATAAATAGTTGGCTAGCCCTGCGCACAATTGCAACGTGACTGATCTGTCAAGAACAGTTTAATGTTCAGGTTGGCGACAGCAGGAGTGTGAGAGAGGCGAGACATATGAGACGATGAAGTGAGAAGTGATCAAGTGATTGGGCCAGAGTCGCGTAAGAAGACCTTAGCGGAGACTAGCGGAGACTATAGCTGTACACTTCCTTTGGCAGTGACGAAATATCGTGCGCGCTTTACGGCCACCCATCATGTCCTTGTCCCCATCCGCGACAACGTCAAACGTCTCAAACATCCCATCCAAACGGCGCAGGACACACAGTCTTATCGCACAAAGTAGCAACCATAATCATCAAGACATGAGCCAATCCCCAGCGGACACAGCCCATTCATCACAACAGCCGCAAGCTTCCGCTCACATACCCAAGAGAGGCGCAAGAGCTTGTACTGCTTGCAGGAAAGGTAAAAACAGATGTGAAGGAGAGGTACGTCTATTCAAGACCCGCTTGCAATCGCCCCCTCTGCTCACTGGCCCGCCTCTCCCGCCCCGGCCCGGCGTCACATTCTTTAGGCTCCATGTCGTCGATGTCAGTTGAGTGGAACTGCTTGTGTTTTCGAGAAACCAGAGAAGAAAAACACCAGTGCTATGCCTGGCGCCAGTGTTGAGTGAGCTTCAGCCGGCATCGGGCAAACTTTCCCCGTCGTCACTTACACTACTCAACAGGCGCCTATCTCGCCTCGAGGGTCAATATCTGGTAAATATTCAACTGCTTCAGCTGTCTGTTGCACTTTGAGGCTATCTGACAACAACACACTTCAGGTTATGCAGAGTCAGATGATTGGCATGCAATCCTCTTTGGACCGCATCTTATCGGCTGTCCAGAGCCAGGCCTACGGTACCCCGAGTCAGCACCAAGGTTACTCTGGGGGCATGGCTTCTGGGCCCAGTCGCGATGGCTCTGGATTTATGTCGCGCAACGGGTATGATACGCACGGGCATGCGGGAGGGCAAAGCTCTCAGCCACGCTCCCAAACGAGGTCATTCCCGCCGCTTCCGGGGTTTGCTCCACCGGTTAGTTCGCTTGCGAGATCAGTTTATAAACATGTCTGATAAACTTTTAGCCTCATAAATATGCAACTTATGGCATTGTGCCCAGCACAACACCATCGTCGGATGACGAATCAGAGGATACGTTGCCTCGTGCTTCGCTCAACGCGCCGATTGAAGCTCTTCAAGGTTTGGCAAATGCTGCTGCAGAAGCAGCCGCTGCGCCATCAGCATCCCCACCAAGGTAGTTGTTTCATATTTGTGGGCTGCACGAGCATGCTGATCACTTGGAAATCAGAGTTAAAAAGCGTTCGCGAGTGGAGCCCATCCCTCGGAATGCATTCCCTCATGTCATTGAAAAGGTGAGCTGGTTTCGAAATGCCGGATTTTTGCACACAGCATAACATTGTTGTCTAGGGCCTTGTCTCCGAAAGTGAGGCGCGCGAGCTCTATCATATGTAGGCGTTTCATGGATGTGGTCTTCTGCTCCTTTCTGATCATTGTTGAAGTTTCTTCGCTGGTTGTCACGTCTTCATACCTTTGTTCGATCCGAATTATGACACATTCGAGAGCCTGATGGAACGCACTCCGTGGACATTTGACGCGATACTTGCCATTGCAAGCAAAATCAGGAGTGGCAATGGGCCGCTCAGCTCAACATTCTACAAGTGTCTAGAAGAAGCGCAGGGCATTGCACGCTCGTCGTTATTTGGCCCGATAGTGCGGAAGGAAGCTGTTATGGGTGAGGGTTTCGTCTTGAATATCTTGCTGCATCATGCCTGACCAGTCCAAGGGATGCTGCTGTTGGCCGCATGGAGTACAAACGGATGGCTCCCTAGTGGTCATGCAATGCGAATGGCGTTAGATCTTGGTCTTCACCGAGCACTGGAGAAGCTTGCTGATGATTCAGGGAAAAAACGCACCGAGGAAGAGGAGCGTGACCTGGGTATGCATTAGAGCAACTGTTTTTATCGTCCAGAACTGATTACCCTCCCAGTCGTGTCGGCGCGTATCTGGCTATGCCTATACTGGTTTGATCACCAGTAAGTCGAAGAATTTGGTCACCTTTAACTTGTGTCTCAACAGTCTTTTCCAGGATGAGTCTTGGCACTGGTCGTCCTATTGTACTGCGAGACGAGAGCTCTATTCGACACTGTCGTATTCTTTTGTCGCATCCGATGGCATCACCAACCGATGTAAGGCTGATTTCGCAAGTGGAGCTGATCGCTCAAAAAAGTAAGAAACCTTTCATGAGGAGATATTGATACCTACATTCGTTATTTGCAGCTCAAATCTATGAAACTCTCGCGCCTCTCAATGGGCAGGTTAATCATAATACGCTCGCCTTCATCCGGCGTGCAAATGTTGCGCTTGACAAGTGGTGGCAGGACTGTGACAATCTTCATCGTTCGTAGTTGACTTCGTCTCCTCTACCTTCCTGATTGCCTACGCAGGCCAGACAATGGATGAGAATTCTCTTCCGAGGAAAATACTCGTCGGAGAACTGCATTATGCTAAACTCTGGCTCGTCTGTGTAGCTCTTCGAGGTGTATCCTGGGATAAGATGCCTTTTGAGCAGCGTGAGCTTGCGTTCCAGGCGAAAGATGCGGCTTTCAACTGCCTCTCTATTTTCCTCAACTCCGCTGAGTACCGGTGGGTTTCTGTTTTGATCGTGTCCCGTTGCTTCGCTTAAATATGATCACAGAGCGGCCTTGCGATATGCAGTCCACGACAGCCTCGTAACGGCGGCATTTTCTGGTCTATTCCTGCTCAAGATGGCAAATTTGTTCCCTGCGGAGCTTGACCTTACAGCGATCACAGCACAAGTCGAGCAGCTCGCACAGCTTCTCTCTGACGTTGCAGCCGAACGGTTCGTTTCCCCGCTCTTTCTCAACTTTCTAGCTAATTTCTGCTTCTAGTTATGCATTAACGTTGCGTATAATGCTCGCCAACCTCCGGCGCAAAGTCGGGATGATCGCAGGGCTGAGTGCGCCTATGACCACCATGCCCCCACCGGCCTTGAACGAAGGACTTGTTGCACACAGTTCGGGGCCTTACATTGATCCGTCGGGAATGTCTGCGCCTTTCACTATGGAGGAACTAGGTTTCGCATGGCCGAATGATCGTGCCACGTTCAGCCCGAGCGCGATACCTATGTGGTTGCAGGAGAAGAACCTGACGGACCTGGGTTTACCCGTGAACGGGAGTGACGGCATTTTCATGGATGTAAATGGCATGCATGGTTGGAGCGGAGACTTTGCGCCGATGCCAGGGGCCTGGTGAGGACGCGACTGTACATATGGCAGCGACGGTTACGCGCGCTGAGGGTTGGTAAAATGCATATTATGTGTCTGATACTCTATGTTGGTCTTCGCCGCTCGTTTGTGTCCCGTTCTTACACGTTCTTGCTTGTCTCTTGAATCAGTAACGATAGTGGTATCTTACGAATTTAATTTGTATCATCACATGCTGAACAAACATTGTAACATTGCAAATGCAAATTGTCCTACGGCGCACATACGGGGAGAGAAGGTGAACAGCAACACGGCAATACACATCTAATTAGAGAGCGTGTCAATCCATACGTTACTCTTCGTCATCTTCGCTTTCTTCTTGGTCCTGAAGGAACTGGAAATAATGACATAAGTTTGGTGCGTGATAGGATGGAAGGGGGATCTGTGGACAAACCTTGACCAGGCCTTCGGTGGCCTTCAGGAAGTGCTGTCTTCCTTGTGGCTTAGATCCCTTTTGGTACCAGTAGATGATCGCCTGGTCAGAGACACAGTCCTTATTGTACAATACCTGTGCAATTCGGTAAGTCATACATGTATTGCCAATCACCATATCTAAACAGACTCGGAAAAGGGGTGAGATACAAGCGGTAGGATCAGGTGCCTACTGCCGAATAGGTCGACACGGCGGCCACCACACCACACCCAAAAGGGCCGGTGACAGACGAACAAAAGAAGTAAGACTCGAAACACACCTTCAGGATCTGTGGGAAAGCTTTCATCACACGTGTATCGTCATAACAGTAGACCTGTACGATATTGATCAACGCGACCTCGGTTTTGGGGCCTTTACAGAAGGCCACGAGAACTGGGGCGAATTTCTACAGATGGCAATGGTGTCAATGGAAGCTTCAATAATAGGAAAATCGAGTCACTTACCCCGACCTCACGTAGTGCGAGGCCTTCGATCTGGTCAGGGCGTGCACTCCAGTCTACGGAAGCCATGAGGCCCTGCCAGATGCTCTGTATAAGCTCCGTCTCAGGGAGCTGTTGCTCCTCTAGTTTAGTCTGGATTGCGGATATGATCTGTGTGAATCATGAGTTCCATGACTGAAAACGGGCGATACGTGTGCAAAAATGACGCACTGATTCACTATCATCACTGCGTTCTACCACTTCCTTTAGTTCCTTCATGATTGCGTCTTTCGCGATCGCATACTGCTTCTTCGTGTACCAATCGGCCACGGTAGGGAGGTTTTTCTCCCGGAAGAAAGCATCGAGAACCTTAGCCTCCCTTTTGTTTGCAGGGAAGAAGAGGAGTAGATCTTTGATATTGCCGCGTTTGAGGGTCGCGGCAAGGTGATCGATCGACTGGTCGGTGAGGTATGCACGAAAGACAAGCGCAAGAATGTTGATGGACTGGTCTACGGTGCGGATGAGAATTTTTGGGGTCAATCGGCATGGAATGGTGCGTGAGCTCACCGTTCTTGATGAGGTGATCCTTGGTCAGACTCTGCAGACAAGCTGCGGTCACAAGGCCCTGCGAAAGGAGGAGACCAATTGTCATGGCGAGTTTGTCGCGCTGCTCAGACGACCATCGGCCGATGTACTGCAGGAGTGTGGGGAGACTTTGCTCCTCGAAGGGTTTCTGAAGATATTTGAACCTAAATCCCTAATCAACACCGCATATACGATATATCGCGGGGGACCACAATCGCATGCACCTTCGATTCAATTTGTTAAACACATCAACATACTTCTTCAACTCCTCGATGTCGGGCGGGTTGCGTGCGTTGAAAATGGAGAATGGCGACATGGGCGCGCCATCATCAAGATATGACCCACCTGGCTGGATGAGCCCGCCAACGAGGAGGATCTCAAACAAGGCGTCGGCATATTTGAGATACTCGAGTGTACCACCAGCCTGTACAAGTTTAGCGCTGAATCCCTCGAAATCGTTCTCTGTAACTGTTTCAAGATGTTTATAGAGCTGGTCTCTAAAGACTGGAGATCGACATAAGTAGCATTATAGATTGATCGGAACTGGGCAGTCTCACCCGCTGGCTCGTGCTTTGCTTGTGCTTTGACTTGGCCTTTGCGTGCTTTTATGCGAACCCCCTGGAGTGAAGGCTTTGGGACTGCTGATTGCTGAGACATCCACAGTCTGCGAGCGATGTCTAGAGCGTGGATCAGACGATGGATTGAGCTCAGCTGCCGTTTAACAGGATCCAACAAGTGCTTGTTCGGAGATATCCGAGTGATCAACATCGATGAGCACGTCTGCGACGCCAATATCATAGTGATCCATTGATTTCTTAAGCTACAAAAACTCTTATAGTAGTACATGATGAGGCTGATATAGACACAGCGTCTGAATGGAACCAATTCCTTTGATTGTGCCCTTCAAGCAGTTGTTGGCGATAACAACCTCACTAGAAATATTCGCCATGGGAGACATTGGGAGTGCAATATCATATATTTCTCCGGCGGGGGCAACAATATTGTCCTCTGGTGAACTCGGGTTCCTTCCAGTTGAATATGAGGAGCAGCGCGAGGTCGTTGGCGGTAATCAGCATCAAGTTTGGTTACATCTGTGTCCACAGGTTCCATGCGACGTTATAGTCATGGCAATAAACCTGTTCAACATATGATGATCCTGCCCGTCTAAGCTACAAAGACTCGGATCGTAGTACTTACCTCTTCGTTGTTCGTGTGACATCGCTGTGGAGAATCACTGTGGATTCAAGCTCACGTGAGGAAGTGGATCATAGTGGCTCACTCAAGACAAGCTGTGCTAGTTCTCCTCTTCACTTGTCATCGTAAATAATTCAGTCCAAGTATCAACCAATCCCGACGACGGTGAGTCAACAATATTCGTCGTCAACGTTAGCGTTTAACGTTTATGAACGTGTTCATGCCGTAAAGGAGCCGCGACACCGCTTGCTGGTCGCCTTAACGTATGTAATCATTCCAGCTTGACACTTTGGTGACACTAACTGAGTACTTATCCTCGATAAGATCTTTCAACTAACGCGCAGCACGAACTCCATGAACCTCCGTTTCACAGACTCTCCAAATGCACGCTCAAAATCAATCACGACTGCCGACGGCATAGACACATTTGGTGTGCGTATTACCCATACTGTAGCACTCAGGGAGACTCATTGCACACCTAGATCTTGAATCAGCACTCTACAGGAAACGCTGCCTACCAGGTAGGTATATTCGAGGATGTGGGTACACGACGATATATGGAAGATGCACATTCATTCGTGGTCGACTATGCTGGTGTGCGAGGGCAGGGATTCTTTGCTGTTTTTGATGGTCATGCAGGAAAACACGCAGCTGAGTGGTGTGGCGCCCATTTTCACGAGGTTCGTATAGCCACTATGTTTTTGTGCTAATTAAAACGCGTGATCATGTGCAGTATCTCCTCGATGCACTCCGCACTTCCTCCAGCGCCACTATTCCGGACGTTCTAAATGAAACATTCCACAACGTCGACAAACGCATTTCTCGCCTCAGCGAAGAATCCGATGGTAAGATCCACTCAGGATGCACAGTTGTAACCGCCTTCCTTCGCATCGAGGATGCAGATGGACGGCAATCCTTCCTCCCTACACCTCCACTTTCCCCGCCGTCCCCTACTGAAAGCGGGAGCCGCAGTGGCAGCGAGTCTCCGACAGAACCAACGGATGAATCTAAGGAGACAGGCAAGAAGACAAAGAACAAGTCCCCTGCTTCGGCTTCCCGTTTTGCAAGGGCGCTCAAATCCCTGAGCGGCTCCTCACAAACCTCACCCTCTCCCCCCTCTGTACTCTCCGCCACACGTAGCCCGACCTCTCCACCTTCCATGCACACACACACAATTCCAATCGATCCACCAGTCAACTCGCGGCGCGTGCTTTATACCGCCAACGCGGGTGACGCACGCGGGGTACTCTGTCGTGCGGGTCGCGCAGTGCGCCTCACTTACGACCACAAGGGAAGCGATAAGCAGGAGGCAAAACGTATCACTGATGCCGGTGGATTTGTCATGAGCGGGCGCGTCAACGGCGTTTTGGCAGTAACACGGAGTCTGGGAGACAGCAGTATGAAGGAGTATGTCGTTGGGAGTCCATACACGACTGAAACCGAGTTAGGAAGCGAGGACGAGTTCCTGATCCTCGCTTGTGATGGGGTAAGTAGCCATGTTTGGTGCCTTTGCTGCGAAGTATTCATTCTCGTGTGATTGTGCAGCTTTGGGATATCACGGGCGATCAGGGAGCGATCGATCTCGTGCGGCATATTTCGGATGCACAAGCAGCCGCAGAAACGCTCGTGAAGCATGCTCTAGAACGGCAAACAAATGACAATGTCACTGTCCTCGTGGTGAGGTTAAAAGCGCTCGGATCCGCAGAATCCGTGGTACTCGCTTGAGTTTGAGATGTTGATTTGCTTGGGAGGGGGGCAAGTGAGGGGTGTTATTTTTGCCATGGCTGACGCCTTGCTGTTGTTTTAGTTGGTTCTTGTAATCGCTTCATTTCGTGCACGAGCATTCCGTTTACCTTGACTGCACCCGTACTCTACTAATATCCGTTCAATGTAGATTTTGATGTGTCCAGAGCTGATCAATATCCGTGAATTGCCAAAAACACAACGAGATGCATCCCGTCGCCTGGGCATACGGAGTCGCAGTGCTCCATGAAGCATTGAAGCTTGTATTAGAAAGAGAATATTATGTGAGCCCATTAGTTTGTTATACAACTGTACGATAGTTTAAGGCTACCGCACATACTGTAAGTACAACTTGTATATGCATGCATGTATATATTCGTGTATGGCCAAAAAATGCAGGTGATGCTTTACGCACAGCCTAGCAGTCAGATGCTTCAATGCCCCGCTCCCTTACAACGCTGAAGCCACCAATAATGCTATTGACTAACGCCCATTGCTCCATCTCTGACTGCTGCTGGGCCCTGAAACGCGTATCCCAACAATCAAGATCGACCTTCTTCAAGTAGGGGAAGAGGCCGCTGATGATGAGAGCTACGTCCACTGGGGCCTCGATGCGTGAAATTCCCAGGGCGAGGAATTTGATATGCTTGTTGCGAATTCCACCACCGGGGCACCTGAGATCTATGCCTTTCAACTGGGTGGTATCTATGGCAAGAACGAGCGAAGTCAAAGCAGGACAGCGCCGAAGTAAATCAATTAGCCCACGGAATGTCGGTTTTGTTTTATCGGCGGCATAGCACTGAATTTGGAATAATTGGAGCTTAGGCCAGGCTATTGCGAGCTGGCACAACTCCTTGTCGGACATGGAAATGTCGCAGACCCTCCCAACAAGCAGTCGAGTTAAATTGTGGCATGCGTGCAATGGTCTGAGGAAGTTCCGGTTGGTTGCCTGTCTTGAAAAAACTCCATCAAGGCTGACGATTTCAAGTTTGTCGTTATCGCATCTCTCCTGAACGATGGCGAAGAACTGGGATATCATTGTAGATTCACTCCCGGAGGAGTCCGCACTCCAATCCGCGAATTTGACCTTGATTTCTTTGCTTCTGACGACCTCAAATGAGCTCAAGAAGTTCGAGGCGTGCTCGACTTTACAGGTGGAAAGGTCCAACAATTTCAAATTATGAAAGCCGGGTAATGGTGGAAGCAACTTTGTGTCCCAAGTTGACTCGGAAGATGTTGTCAAGTCCAAGCTCAGTGACTGCAGAGCTCGCAGCTCCATGTAATGCTTGATGCTTTGGATTCCTAGGTCCCACACGGATAATGAATGAAGATGGTAGAGCTGAGAGATAGGTCGTAGGATGAAGGGTGAAATTTTAAGCAATGAGCCATCAGATGCACTTCGAACGTTCATAGTCATGTTGTGGAGGTGAGGACACGAGCTCCCAAGAGAGGAAAGGACCGATAGAAAGGCAAAGGAAGGTATGGAAATCTGCATGTCCAACTCCACTAAGGACGGTACAAACGCCATGCGCAAGAACTCTGCAGCGCAGTGGGTTCCACTGCCACGCCATTGTAATTTGCTAAGGTTCGGAAACAAGGATGCAGGTGCCGAAGAACAAGACAACATGAGCATACAGAGGGGCTCGATAATGGCCAAGTTGTCTGATTCCGATACAGTGATTGAGTGCACGCGGGACGTGTATTCGAAAAGAGTAGCCCACATCCCGTCGTCGAGAGGTTTCTGTGATACCTGCGCAAGTGAACTCAGTCTGAAGTCCAGAACCTTATGCTATGATAGTACACCCACCACCGCTCCTTTATGACCAACGCCAAACCGGTCACTTGGTAAACATTTGACAAGTGGCTTCACGGACTGCAGATCCCTCCACAGGGCATTAAGTGCTGGGTGCTTAAACGCGCGGCATGTGGATGCAAGTGCAGGAAGCGATCTGCGTTGAGTGTACGAGCTAATCGTTCATATTATTTCAATGTTCGTCAAAGCCGGGTGCATCATGACCAACGGAGATGATAGATTCAGGTGGGATAGTTCCGTCATAGTAGTCAAGAGACAAAGATGATCAATAAAATCTGGCGAAGGCGATCGTGACCGTCGAAAGAAGGGAACAATTGGTCACGTGCTCAAGCGCGAGTTAGGCTTGCCCCCTGAGTGCAAATCCCATCGCCTGGGCCGCACACTCTGCACCATGAACTTTTGAAGTTCATATACATCGAAAACAAGAGAAAAAGAACTCAGGATTAGCACGCGAGTGCATTATACAACGAATCGTACGATAGTCTAAGTCGCAGGTACTGTAAGTACTTCCAAGCACATCAGGAAATCGTTGGAGTGCTTAACACTGTGGAGGAGACTTGCCGCAAAGTTGCACGAAGTCTGAGTCAGAAATGCCCCGCTCTAATTACCGTAAACGCTGAAGCCACCAATAATACTATTGACTTGCTGTGAACATTTGCGCATATCAAAAAGTGCAGGTGAGAATTATAACCTAGATATCCGAACAAACACATGCTTCAACGCGCTGCTCCCTCACAAGGCGGAAGCCATCAAGAAAGCTATTGACTAACGTCCACCTATCCGAACTCCAAGGCTCAGGCTGAACCTGTTCAAGGCGTGGGAAGAGGCCGCCGATGATGACAGCTACATTTAGAGGGGACTCCATCGGTGAATTTCCGAGGGCGAGGAATTTAAGATGTTTGTTGCAAAGTCCACCGCCGGGGCGCTTGAGATCTATGCCGTCCAACTCTGTGGTATCAATGACAAGAGCTAGCGAAGTCAGCGCAGGGCAGAGCCGAAGCAACCCCATTAGCCCGTGGAATGTGGGAACTGCAATGGTGTTGGCATATCTGCTGAATTTGAGAACTTGGAGCTTAGGCCAGGCTTTCGCCAGTTGGCACAGCTCCTCGTCAGACATTGGAATGTCACAACCATTCTCAATGACCAGCCGAGTTAAGTTGCGAAATGCGCGCAATGAGATGAAGATGCCAAATTCCGTGGGTATCCTCTTCGACAATCCAACGAGAGAGAAGGATTCAAGTTTGTCGTTATCGCATCTTTCTTGGAGGATGGCGAAGAATTGGGAGAGCATCTCAGACCCACTAGCTGAGAACTCCGCAACCCGGTATATGAATTCGACCTTGATTTCTTTACTTCTGACGATCTGGAATGAACTGAAAAAGTTCGAGGCGCGCTCAACTGTACGGGCAGAAAGGCCCAAAAATTTCAGATCGTGAAATCCGGGGAGTTGCGTATCCGGCCGGATGTCCCAGCTTGACGATCCATTGAAGTCCAAGGATAATGACTGCAGAGCTCGCAGCTGCATGAGGTACTCGATGCTTTTGTTTCCTAGGTCGCATACCGATAATGTGTGAAGATGGTGGAGCTGGGAAACAGGTTGTGTGATGAAGGGTGAAATTTTACGCAATGAGTCGTCCGTTGCACGTGTCAATGTCACAGTCATACACTGGAGATGGGGACACAAGGTCCCAAGTGACGAAAGGACAAGGAGAGCAGGAGAGGAAGCAGAATGAATCTGCAGGTCCAATTCCACTAACGAGGGTACGCAAGCCATGCGCAAGAACTCTGCAGTGGATCTGCCCCCATCGTCGTGCAATGATAATTTGCGAAGGTTCGGGAAAAAGAACGCAGGTGTCGAAGGACAAGACAGCATAAGCAAGCTGAGGGTCCCAAGAATCGACAAGCTAGCTATTGCAGTGATGGAGTGCACGCGTGACGAATATTTGAAAAAAGCATCCCACACCTTGCCATCAGCAGGTTTCTGCAATGCCTGCGCAAGTGAACTCAGTCTCAAGCCTACGGTCATACGAAATCAGGACACCTACCAAACCCTTGCCACTGGTTTGAAATAGACCACTTGGTAAACAGCTGACAAGTGGAGTGACGGACTGCAGATTCCTCCAGAGGACATCAAGTGCTGGATGCTCAAATTCGCGACATGTGGATGCAAGTGCAGGAAGCGAACTGCGTTTCGTGTATGAGCTTATCGTGCAGAGTACTTCAAGATTTCGTAAAGCCGGGTGCATGGCCAATAAATATGATGGCTATGTAACACTTGTTTGTTTCACAACAGGAAACACGCTAAGGTAAGGTAATGTAAGTACAGAGCTTGGTGCAAGATAACTAAGAAACGCATACCTCAGTGTTGTGAAACAATAACTGACGCATGCAAACACGATGCAGACGAAGTACTTATGTGCGATGTAGACGGAGATTGAAAACATAAACGAAGGGGCGTGGTTGCCCCCAACCCCGATGACTATTAATGTTAATCTGCCCAATGCAGATAAGTTCCTTCTCGGAACGATTCTCCAACAATACTGTGGATCTGGAGGAGACTTGCAAAGTTGCATAAAACCACTCGAAAACCTGCAAGCTAACTCATGCACGATTTATATTTACAGTTAATTACAATATTAATTGTAATAATCAGTGGCAAGTACACAGTGTCCTCCATCCTTGAGAGGAGCATCCCATTTGGGCCCTGGCCCTCAACTAACCACTCTAGTACTAGCACTGTCACGATCCCCTCTTGGTTCTTCTGCTCAAGGTCTTCTTGGAATGTTACTCAAAGCGCTTCCGAGTCGCTATATTCAAAATGCGTGAAGACAGCCCGATTCTGCGTGCATCCTATTCGAAGATGCAAAGAGAGAGAAGCAATTGAGCTTGTCGTTGTCGCATCTCGGTTTGGATTATATGAAAAAACTGATAGCATCATGGATACACCTTATGCGGGGACTGCGCAGCCTGAGGAATGAAAGAGGACTGTGATTTCCCTGCTTGTGACGACCTCAAGTGAAATGAAGAACTTCGAGGCGTGCTCGATGGTGCTGATAAGGCCAAAAAATTAAATCATGAAAGCTGGACAGTGACAAATGCAACCGTCTCTCTCAAGCTAACGTTGCTGTTAAGTCTAGCCTCAGCGACTGCAGAGCTCATAGTTGCATGATGCGCCGGATGCCTTGGTATCCAAGGTCTCATACCTGCAATGTGCGAAGACGGTGGAGCTGGGAAATAAGTTGCATTGGGTGAACATTCAAAAGGCTACTTACCTGTCGATTATAGAGCGATATCGCAAACTCATGCCCTGGAGGACCGAAGAGACCAAACTGCAGCGCCGTAGGTTCCATCAGCATACCATGTGAATTTGCGGAGGTTTGGAAAGAAAGGTGTCAAAGGAAAAGCCAGAAGTATTTAGACGTCGAGTTGTCCATTTGTCTGACCGAGTTCATGCGGGATGTGTATTTGCAAAGAGTGTCCCACATCTTGTCATCAAGAGGTTTCTGCTGTACCTGCGCAAGTGAAGTACTAATGCTTTGAAGCTCATGTACTAATCATGATACATGTGAAGTCGGAACACCCACCACATATCCGTGCTCAACGGTAAACGGGTCATCGAGATTGGAGGGCACATGTTGCTATATATGTAAGTTGCATCAAAGTGTCCGTCTTTGTGCTGAGCTCGTCCAAGACGAGAGAAACCCAGTCAAACCTCGAAGAAGGCTTTTAAGCAGTCATTCTTTCTTTTCAAGGAAAAAGCCTGCAAGAACTAATATTTTCATTGCGAGCTTTCATTTAAAGAAACACTCATCAATACTTCAACGCCACACGCTACTGTCCTTCTCCCCCATCCCCGAGAGCCCTCACCACCTCTCGCACTTGGTCCTCAGTCGACCACTCTATCGACACCGTCACCACCCCCTCCTCATTCTCAGGGCTTTCCAGTGTCTTCAACTGACTATCCAACATCGCAGCCTTCATGAAATGCCCCTGACGTTTCATCATCCGGTCCATGAGCACCTCCCGCGAACCTTTCATATAAACAAACCACGTCGGAAGCTTTCCCGAGCATTTCGACCCCTCTGCTTCCGATAAAGCTTCGCCCCTTAGCACTGACCGGTAACTCCCCTTCAGCGCCGAACACGCGATGATGATCCCCGGTTTCTCCTGGCCTTCATCCCTCGCGGGACTTGGCAAAACACTACTGACGGCCGTCTTGCGGATAATCTCCAGCCACGGCTCGCGATCTGCGTCCGTAAGAGGTTCTCCACGTGACATCTTGTCTACGTTAGATTGCGGATGGAGGTCATCGCCGTCGATGAACGGGAGACGGAGAGCCTTTGAAAGCGCAGCGCCGAGAGTAGATTTGCCTGTCCCAGATACGCCCTGAGAATGTGATGAGCATGTACCGAGTGATGCCAGTCCTCGGAATTGTGATTGAGGAGCACGTACCATCACCACCAAGAAAATCGCATCGCCCAAGTCTCGATCGGCAACACTAGTACTTGCAAGATCTTCCCCTCCATTTGCGGTATATGACGGCGTCTCGGAGTACGCATTCGGATGACCAGTAGAAGACATGATGAATCACGATAGATGGCGTTGCCAGTCACGACTAAAACCAGTGCCTTAAGCTCGGTGTACTTGTGCACCTTGATGTGTTCCTTGGTTGACCGGACGTCTGGAAAAGTAGTTCCACGACGAGATGATCACTGACGATGGCCGGCGAGGAGACGCAGTCTACTATATGTAGTATGTAACTTGGAGACGTGTTTGATCCTGGGCCGGAACGATAAATCGATCAATGCAAGTTGCAACGGCTTTGGAAGGATTTGCGGACCGATATGATATTCCACTACACGTCATATCTGATGGTACATCAAAAAAGATCAGCATATGCATTTGTGACATACCGGTAAACACCAACACCACTTGCTGTATAGCGCGAACACCGACTGTCGCAGCAACGGCTGTACCCAGTGACTTGTAAGCAGTCAAACTTTGAGTTTTAATTTTTTTTTGTGACATGTACTGCTCGTGAGTCACAGTGACTAGGATACAGATACTTTTTATACCTTGTGCTCTAAACGGCGAGAACCCAGAAAATGCTAATGCTATGGGGGAGGAACATAACAGGAACAAGAGCGACCGATCGAGGGAGCTTCCGGGTCCTCGTCGAGGCTGTAGCTGTCGCGAACGTTACTATGCACGTTGATGCGAGAACTGCATGTGCCATGTATACTAGAAAGCTTAAGGAAACGAGCGCGATCTTTCCTTGGGAATAAGTATAGGATGCACGTCCCTGGTAGATCCATGGTTGTAGTATTCATAGTACAGGCGCTGAGGCACGCATCATGGATCCGAGCTTGCATCATGGCTTGCCGAGTCCGACGTTCAGCGTTGCAATCGGCATTCCTCAAGTCAGCAGTTGCGCTTTTTTCGCAGTCGACTTTATCAAAGACCAACTGCCGTGCCGACCGCGCAGGACATTTCCTTATAAATGATACCTTGGACACCAAGTAACGAAATGAAATGACTCGGATATGGACACAAAGTACGAAAAGCCGTGGTCTAGAACTTACTGCCGTACGTAGTAAGATGTACGAGATGTGAGTCAATGATTAAATGACTTGCCCCACGTTCAGCGCGGCCTCGAGTCAACAGGGTCCTCTTCCTTCTATAGTATAGAGTTCTCGTCTTTGTTCACGTCCCTTGCGGTTGCAGTAACAGCAACAGTAATAGTATTCGTGATCCATCCAGGCGCTCCGTGATTAGGCACACGAGTCTGACTGGACCCCGAGCTTGGGACTTCTTCGTGGCCATTGGTATTTAGAGCACTTCCCCCCCACGTTCAGCGCGAGTTCTTGGTCAATAATTATCTTAGCCCTGCATAAATAGCTGCCCAATTGTAGCTCTCCCCCGTCGAGAAAACATGTGATCACCCGCCCCACGGGCCAAACAACCTCGATCGGTGTAAATGAAATGAACCCACACGATAGCGTCCGTGGCAAGCCAAGCTTCCCAGCACAAAAGTACAATTGAAAGGTACCAGAGAACGTATTACTATGTATCAGATAAGCAAAACAACATCTTTTGATGTATCAGATTCATAAAACAAACATTGTATGTATATATGGGTTGGAATATATGTATGAGGTGAAGATCTGATCAGCGGGCGTGCCACAGATCAATCAATTGAATGAGGATTTCAGGTACATGGTCAGTGGGAGAAAGAATGACTGGGTCGAGGCGGAATTATAGAGCCAAGGATGTGCGTACAAACAACAACAACAACAACTCGAAAAGAAGAAGGAAAATATTGCAGGCTGGAAATTAAATGCAAAGATATGTTTTGAGGAGGGACCAATCACGATTTCGTTGCGGGAAAGACTTCTATCATTATTGACGTCACGTATGATATATCCATAAACAGTGGAATGAAGGACAGGGTGGGGGTTCAACTGGGATTCGGTAATGCGCGGGAGTGTGGGGGCTTTGAGAAGTCAATGGCATTGTACGCGGGCGGCGGAGCTTCTTCCAGAACCCCGTGGCGGCCCTCAAGCTCCTCGCAATCAAGCGCGCGTCGGTGATGGTGCGCTCTCGTAACGTTACGAACCCACCCCAGCACCTCATCGGGATCCTTCTCTGGACGGTTCCTGGTACGCGGCTGCTGTGCGGTTGATGGCCGTGTGGGCATCGTTTCTGATATCGGAGTCTGAGAAATGATGTTGGACGAGTGCGTGTAGCGATGCCCCGTGGAGGGCGAGCGAGGTATGGAGATGGGCGTAGGGGGGAGCGTACGCGCCAAGGTGGGGAGGCGTTTCGTCCGAGCAGGAGGTGAACTGGCAGGGGATGCAGGGTTTGAGGGGACGGTGGGCAGTCGGCGACGAACAACAGACCCGGAAGAAAGAGCACGGCTGCGTGACTGGGGCGTATCGCCCACACCGTCCGTATCACCGTCTAGCGGTGTCGGCGAGGCCAGCACCCCATCTTCTGTGACTAACCGATTGCGCGCGGTTGGGATAGACGACAATCGGGGCGACGATCTGGATCGGTGAAGCCACGGTTGTGATCCAGGCGGGGGGTGCCATGAAGACGGCGGCGCGGGAAGCTCTCGCCGGGTACCTGCACGTGGCGAGGGGGAAGGCTGTGATGATAGTGCCATGCAATCAGATGCGGGGATCGGCGATACCGTTGCAGGTGAAAGACTGAGGGGAGCTGAATATCGCGCGCTTGTGTTGATCCTTGGGACGGATCTGTCTGATTCATCAAAGAACGTGGATGTGTAGAACCCACTGGACGGCGCAGAACAAGGGGTTGCGGGATAGCACACGGACTCTGAAGAGATGCTTGCGGTGTCCCATGCGGTACCTGGGCGTGGGGGAAGATCAAGCCCGTCTGCACTATGAGGTCGTAATGATGGGTATAACGGTTCGCCATACACAATTTTTCGCCATTGATTTACGGATGTGGGAGGCGGTGCTGCACTTGAGATATCAAGGACATCTGCATCTTCATTGCAGCGAGTGTCGACTGCAGGGGTCTTGAGGGATGGGTAGAGAGGCTCGCCGTACATTATTTTGCGCCATTGACGTGCAGAAGCAGGAGCGGATGTGGATTTAGGAAGGGAGACGGTATCTGTAGCTGGGGTATCGAGAGAATTGGGATTGTGCCTTAGAGTCATCCAATCGTCGGCTTCTGTAACGAGGAGCAGAGCGGTGACGAAGAGGTTATCTAGTAGGGAAAGGGATATTCCAGCGTGTTCTACTTGTGGAACTGATTGGTGGACGGGACCAAGGGTTTCAAATACTTTAAGTCGTGGAGTGTTCTCGTCGTCTTGTAGTGTGTCAAGGGATGCGATGGGGCCCTTGCAGGATGAAGTTGTGCACTATTTAAAAGCGTGAGCGTAAGCGGAAATATGTCATGAAAAGTGAATTTTACCTGATACGTGCGACCAGTTCGCTTCCACTTTAGCACATGGGGATGGTTTGGTAAGCTGAATTTGCGGGAGCTGCTGGAATAATAAAAAAATGGCATGAGAGGATGGAAGGGGAGGGAATGCGAATAAACATACTTTCCAAGGCTGGCATACTTGAGGTAGCTGTCAGTGTCTTTCCAGCGAGGATCACCCATTTGTATGAGGGCACCGTGGGTATCCCTTCCTTTGCCCTTGAGAGGGAGTTCTTTGGGCCAACATATGTCTGCAATCTTAACAGAGGCACCCCAGGGATCTGAACGCCAGACAGTAGTTGAAGAGCCGACAGTTTCGACTGAGTATAGAGGAGTTTCTGCTACGAGGTCTGTAGCAACGGAATCGAGGAAAGAAGGAGAGGACAGCTTGAGAACGAGAAGAGGTCTCTGTTGGCGACGGGAAGCCATATCGTCGCGAATTTCGAGGCGGTGTAGGTAAGGGAAGATAGCAGAGGGATTAGAGGTTGATGGACCTGGTACGGGAGAGGAAGAAGTGAGTGATTTAGTAGGCGCCTTGAGCTTCTTTGGACAGGCTCGCGGGGGTGGACTTAAACCTGGAGTCGATGATGATGATGGGGGGGAAGGTGAAGTAGACTTGTTAGCACAGCTTAAAGATACAGACGGGGGAAGGGAAAGGCGTTGAATAGGCGGGGGAACGAAGGGGGAGAAAGACGGTTTGTCAGAATCGCCGATGGAAAGGGACATGAGCGCCCGATGCATGACAGTTGCGGTTAGTAGAAAAGGACGGATGGCCGTTAAACCGGTCACTAACTAGGATGTGGATGGAGTACGTAGACGATGAACCTGGTTAAGATGGGTAAAAGTGTTACTTGCGAGCCTTCTGGTAGCAATAAGAGAGCTACTAATAGCCAAGCTTTTTGATGGTCAGCGGTCCTTGACGGCCCTACGTTACACCGTTCTTCGCTTATGTTTGTCCACGCAAACAGGCACATATCCCCGACTACCTACTTAATTATGTCATTATAAAACTGCTGTATCACCAATTGCAACCAACTCAGACTGGGCTATACATCTAAATCTCAACGGCGAGCTCTCCCTAATTAGTCTCTCATCTTGAATAAAAAAATACTTCCATGAAACATCTTCTCGCTCCCACCCTTGACTGAACTGAGCTCACACCTCAGAATAACAACGGCATGTACCGAAACCTCGAAGCTTTATTGTACAAACATAATTCAGTCGTCCGGGAGATGAGCGCTGAGCGCTCTTCCCTTTTGTCACCCTTCACTAAATTATTTATCTCACTACCAACCAATATTACTCGTTTATAACTCCGCTTTAAAGGCGTAATGGCGCGTCAACACATCCAAATATCGCCAACGCGCTCTTTTCCACACGATTGCCACTTCCCCTACATCGCCTGCAGCTGCGCATAAGCTTACTTATCCTTATTGTTCCCATCATGTCCACAGAACCAAAGTAAGTTCGATACAGTCAGCGGCTATTCGGCGACCGAATCTCATTTTCATTTTAAGATCCCCAGCAAAAAAGGACGCGGTTACCTCGCTCAAGTCTCCCGATAGCAAGGGCAAAGGCAAGGCAAAGGTTCCCCTTGAGGACGTATCTATGGAGGAGGAAGAGGAAGACGAGGAGGAGGAAGACGACGACGATAGTGACAAGGAGATGGAGGAGGTACGACTTTCTTTGTTCATATTTCTGATAGCACTGAAACTCGCGTAACAGGAGGAAGAGGAAGATGATCACGAGGAAATTGACCCTAGCGCGATTCTTCCCCGCCGCACCCGGGGTACACGCGTCGATTACACATCCGAGGAAGCCCTCAAAAAGGCCGGCCTCACAAAGGATGACCACGATGACGATGAAGAAGAAGGCATGGAACAATAAGTGTGTCGTGTGCAATTACATTAATATCGTTCTCGCTTTGCTATGCTTTTGGTCAAGGGGCGGGGGGGGCTGTAATATTTGGCTGCCAGAGACTCATACCTTTGCATCATTTCATGTTGAAACCCACAAAAGCAATTCCACATCCTTGCTTGGCACTTTATTCGCATGTCCAAATACAGACGTCGCACGTCGCATTCATGCCCGCTTCACTTCGGCGATGGCGGCCTTAGTACTCCAGGTATTTTGTATCGAATACTTGTAATGGTGGTAAGTTACTAATAAAACACTGGTACTGGGACCTGGAATGTAGATGTCGGCAAGCTCAATACTAGTACTCGTAGGAGAGACCGCGGGCACAACGCCGAAGGTCCTCGTGTAGGCTCCCGCAAAGTCAATCAATTATGATGGCACTGCCTTCAAATATAAACATGCTCCGTTTGCTGCGTCTTTGTCACTGCAACACCTACATCTTTGAGGCTAGTACTCCACGGGCGGTCCACAGCTATATATATACGCTACAATAACGCTAGTGGCACAGTAGTGGGCCAGCTGTACTTAGTATTGTAACTCAACTGTATCCGGAGTTTGAAGAGGGCCAAAGATTCCCAAGTATTCCCAACTGGGCTTTGACAACCGAAACACCAGGATCCAGCCGGAGCAGTCTACATACTTCACTCAACACAATGGATCACGGCTCGATGGATCACGGCGCGCACGAAATGGCAGCAAGGTGCTCGATGCACATGCTCTGGTACGTCCCACCCAACCCCAAAACCCCACCTTCACCAACCTGGTGACATCCCATATCCACAGGAACACCCAAATCCTCGACACATGCGTCGTATTCTCCCAATGGCACATCCGCTCGCACCTCCAGTTTTTCCTCTCCTTCCTCGCTATCGTCGCTCTAGGCATGCTGTACGAGTACCTCCGCGTGTACTCGAGGGACTTTGATACCCGCATCGCGGTGAAATTGAGAAGCGGGCGTAGGACCCCGCTTACGGCGAGTGGGCGCAGCTCGCCTGAACGTAGCGATGCTGAGGAGACTGGGTTGTTGAATGGATTGAGGGTCGCGAGGAAGCAGGGGTGGGTGTTGGGTATGACACGTGGCACGACTGAGTTGACTCACTTTGTCTTTGATAGATTGTCGGTGCCGCCTCTCTATCGTGTTATGCGTGCTGTGCTCTATGGAGCCAGCGTGGGCTTGTCTTTCTTCTTGATGCTTGTGTTCATGACGTACAATGTATGTTCCACTACTTGTTTTTTTTTCGAACATTGACTGATTCGTTGGCACACAGGCATACCTCATTTTTGCAGTCATCCTTGGTGCCGGGGCGGGACACTACATCTTGGGTGGAACTATGGAACCCAACGGTCCTGTTGAAAAGGGGATGGCATGTCATTGAGCTATGTACACCAAGGAGGCTGCTATTATGTATCTCATCATGCTTACTTCGATTAGTCTTCGTAGAGTCCATAGACGAAGATACTCGTTCCTTCTACGTGTCGATATATAATATACCATGCTCACTCCAAAGGTCGAAGAAAATTGTTGTACACGAATACAGCTAAGATCTATTACTTCATCTCCGTATCCTCATCCTTCTTCGCAAGCCCTTGCGCCCGAAGCAGGGCATCGATTTCTGCTGGCTTGTAGATCTTGGCTTTTGGTGCTTTCGCCTCCTCATCATATGTGAGGACGGCAAATTCGACTGTGGATGACAGATCAGCGCGGGATCTGAAAAGAAAGTAGGACGAGAGCTTACGCTTTTCGCTCCCGAGAGTTGTGCTGTCCATCGTCTTGCTCATTACCCTTAGTACGAGCCCGATCGCCTCCTCGACGCCCAAATCGTCCTTGTACTCCTGCTTCAGTAAGCTCTGTGCTGTGCCATTGTTCGCCCCGATGCATGTTGCTTTCCACCCGGAGTAGTTACCAGATGGGTCGGAATGGTACAGTTGAAAATGGTAATGTGGGTCGTAGCCCGCATATAGCAAAGAGACACCGAAAGGACGCAGACCTAGACGACATCGTCAAAAGACTCGACAGACGAACAAGAGGAAACAACATACCTCCAAATTGCGTATATCCTTGCTTCATATCGCACAATCGTTGAGCAAGAAGCTCGACTGGTATATCATCATTATACTGCAAAAGATGCTGCTGTGCCACCGTCCGCGCATAGTTCACCAACGAATTCGCATCGGACGTGATGCCTGCGACGCCTCCGATCACATTTCTGCAGAACCCAGAAATTGATAAATAAATTTGGTGGGTGGGTGTGGAGGGGGTGCTCACGAGTTTAATAAGAACATCTTCTCTCCGCTGCCGCCGTAGCCCCCGCCTTCCTTTGCGCTCGAAAGATCAAGGAGCTTCCCTGTCACACGTTTCTCAGCGGCCAGGACAACACCGTCCTTTGCGAGTACGCCGAGGACTGTTCCTGCGTGTGAGATGGCTTCCATGGCATATTCGACTGGAATAATGAGGTCAGGTTTTGAGCAATCTGCGACTTTCTGGTGAGCGTACTTTGGTAAAGCCGGCCTGGGTAGGATGAAAGCGAGTCAGATCAGCACTATTAGTCGATGATAACAGATGCGCACCTTCCGGTGAGAATATTGTCGTCCGACCTGTAAATCAATGGATAGAGTAAATGGATTCAGCAGCGTTGGGGCTGCTATGATACGTACTGTCATATCTTCGGGCCTGGGCAAGTGATTCATGTGAGCGTTTGCGTGGTAACAGTGTTTATAGGGTGTACATACCATGGTTGATGAATCAGGGGACGAGGAGGAAGGAGCGCACTAATAAGATGGAACTTGTCACTGACGCGTTCCCTCGAGATTGAGTTGGCGTACGCGTCGGGTCAGGTGGGGGGTCGCCGGCATTTGCCTGACTGTACTTGTTGACCCCTCTCCATTTTGACATGCCCTGCGGCGTGCGCACACCGACCCTCAACCGACCTCACCAATGCATCACAATGGCCATTACAATTTAGCTCTTCATGCAAACATCTTCTTTGGCCATTTCACGCTACTGAAGATTTGTACATGAATGAATTTTCTATGTGGGAAGCCGAGGAAATCAGTTGCTCTGCTCCGAGGAGTCGGCTGCTTGCTAATTTCGAGCACACTGGAATCGGAACTTGGTCTCTCCCGTTATGAAGAAGGAGCGGCTTTCTTAACTTGTCACCTGCAATATTTATTGCACTTTGAATGCAAAAAAAAAATGATATTAGCGAGTGCGCATTAATGTGTTCTCCTGGGCAACTCCTTGGCACTCAGTTCTACGTCTCCAGGTTACATGGGCCACGTCTCCTCTTCCTTGCCGGTCATCGTCATCGATCATCTCCTCATCTTGTCGTGGAATCACCTTTCCAGACTGGTCAGCCAAGGAACGCGTAAAGTACAGCAAGGTACACAACTTGTACGCCAAGCTCGAGGTGCTATATCACGCATCGACGTTGTGGCAACGCCATCCACCGTGACTCGCCATGTCTCTTCCTGATCGTCATCATCCGAGCGGGTACGCCGAGGCACCGATATATGCCGAAAACAGAGGGAAATCATGCAGCTGTCAGATTTGATTCTTCAACGGACAACACTGAGCCTCTTGCTAATCGAAACATCAGTGATGCGATATTCTTGGTGGTGATGCGTACGTCTGCTTCCTCCTCAATCACAATTCCGAGTACTGACATCATTCAAAACATGTTCGTTAATATTACATTCTCAGGGCGTATCTGGTACAGGCAAATCTACTCTCGGCGCTGCGCTATCAAAGGCACTCCGCATCCCATTCATCGACGGCGACGACCTCCATCGTAGCCAAAATGTCACGTGGAGAGCCACTCACAGACACAGATCGCCAGCCCTGGCTGGAGATTATTCGCAAGACGGCCGTCAGTAGCGTCGATCAGGGGCCGGGTCCTACGAGGGATGAAGACCAGAAGCCAGGGATTATCATAGCGCGCTCAGCGCTGAAGGGGAGCTACAGGTCGGCGCTAGGGGGTGAAGCTCTGTCGGAAGCAGAGGGGTCGAAGCACTTCGGAAAGCTTCCGACGCGGTTTGTTTATATGAAAGTTCTCATGGACCGGATGATGAAATGCCAGGGGCATTTCATGAAGGCTGCGATGTTGTACAGTCAGTTGAAGACGCTGGAAAGCCCTGAGAATGAGGAGCGGGTGGTGACAGTGTCGATAGAGTGGTCGACTGAGGACCAAGTGCGGGAGGTGGTGAGGGCTCTCAGCGATGGAAGAGAGCACATGACAGCGAAGCACTGATAAGTGTTTCTTTAAACGGGAACTTGAAATAAAAATTCAGTTCTTGCAGGTTTTTTCCTTGAAAAGATGGAATGACTTGTCAAGCTTCCTTCTGAAGAGGTCTGACTACTATGGGTAGCAGGAGACTAGCTAGGTTTTTGTTTTTTCTTCGTCAAGGACCTCAACATAAAGGCAAACATTAATATTATGTGTGGCACAACTAGCCATCTGTCGACATGTCAGCCCCTATCATGTGTGGCGCTGTGTGCTGAGCAGTGAGCGCTGATCGTCACCCGAAGAAGTGATTATTAAAGTTCTTGCTTCCAGCTAATCAGCATATGTGGGTCTTCAGCGCTGTCAGCTACGAGAGCTACGCGATGGTGCAATGTCCCGACCTTGTTGCAAACTCCTCATTGTAATTTAGATTCTTAGACATCCATGGCTATGTGCATGTGTCGATAACCCAAATTTCTCGCAGTATACATAGCCGTATCTAGCAGGAGTAGAATTATATCCTGCTATAGTTCCCACGGGTACCATGTCAAGGTCTCATCAATTCTCTGATGATCATGGGCCATGGCCACTGCCACTGTTTACATCACCCTCAGCGCTCTATTGATTGATGTCATTTGCAAAAGTGAAATACTGGGGTCAACAAGTCCCTGTGTTCACGAAAGTCTGTGTCTGAGATCTGAGAGCTATACCACACCCACATCTGACGCTGACGGGTGCCTAGGGTACAATCAGTGAACCGGTGAGCCACTGATATTCCCATATTTTTTAAGCCGAAATGCTCGGAACGTTCCTACACGCGACGTTATAAAACGATACAGGTACTACTTTTAAAGGCCACTTATTGTTTTGTTTCTCGTACGGACTTGATGAGTACCGCTCTATACGTCGACGCTGGCATTCAGGCATCCAAGGTACCGTGCGAAATTTGTGATGCGTCTCAAGGTTACTTATCGACCCCTTCATGATACACCTAGTACTGCAATGGTAAGGATTCTTATCGACTGTTTTTATAGTACTGTCTTTGACTGAACCAATCCAGTCGGAACATTTGCTGTTTTAGTTAGTGCATTGACTAATTTCTTGGGGGATGCGATGCTAATATCACCCAGATTTTTGACTATTGCATCACACTGGAGGCAGAGGTATGTGTAGTATGCCAATCACAGAATCCTTCAATGACCGCCGGAAAGTCCCAATGGGTCTGGCACCGAAAATGGACGTTTGTGCGATCCATATTTACCATATCGCGGTACTTGCCATTTGTTGGCATTGGGATGACATTTGCGGGTGAGCTACACTGTTGACTTGATTTTGCCGAAAATTGCTCAAGGTCAACGGGTAGCTGCGCTTCGAACACAATATTATCCAGGTGAAAGTGTGAGTTATGCCACCTCTTACACGCGCAAAGATTCATGACAACTGTGTAGTGTGTTGTGTATGGAAGAGTAACCACTGGTTAGTGTCTATAGTCGGCTGTGTGTCAATTTACTCATTCATCCAATGCTCAGCTTCGCACGTTCTGTCCATATTAGCCGCAGAAGGTTTGTAGTGTCTTGAATGAACCCTCAAAATTGACATGTCCTCTAGGATTGCTAATTACGAGGATATATGCTTCATGGAACAGCAAGCGTCTTTTGACATCCTTACTGGTTTTTGCTGCAGTCAGCCTTTGGTTCGTCTTTCACCGCGAAGACCTGATGCTGAACTACATGGCCAGATTTGTGTGGTCACCTCTTATATCCTCGCGGACACCAGTTTGGTATCTAATTCTACGAACACGGCCGTAATTTACTTACCGAACATGATCGAGGTTTCCTTACGTTAGTGAGGTGGTCCTCATTTCCGTGCTATTTATGCTCATTGTTGGCAGTGAATCCGGGCGACTGTCTTTTCTTCGTCAAGCGAAACAATGTCTTCGACTACGCCGTGCTGGGACTCTATGAACTGGGTCAGTTGTCTCGTCTCTCAAGATCCCTGTACTCACGCATGAGTCAGTTCTCTCCTGTTTGATGGTGTTCATCAGGTTCAGAAGATACCACGGCACCGTCGGACCACTCCAACGAACATTTTTCAATGATACCATGATGTATATGATCTGCATTATGAGTGAGATAATTTCGTTCCTCAACGCAGGCCCTGCTGATTTCTTAATATCAAGGCATGTCCGTGTTCAGTATCCTCTTGACCATGTTGGCTCCGGTGCGTTGTAGGAGACCTAGCTTGATCTTCATGCGCTTAATGTTGAGTACAGGATACATGGGTTTCTATTACAAACTCGTGAGTAAAACAACCAATAACCCCGAAGGGCACTAACATAATAAATATTTAGTCCACAGATCATCATTCACAGCGTCCTGGCCTCTCGGATACTTTTCAGCCTACGAGCAAGTGAAGGATGCTTGGGAACTCAACACGCATCGGGGGAACTTCTATCTGAGATTCAGTTCGCGGGAGGCCAGCTCTCGACGCTGAGAGTCGAGGATCCATCTGTGTAGTGCGAGGCTAGCACGTATGATCATGAGGGTCCTTTCACCACAATCCGAAAGTATGTACGGATATGTACTGCCATCTTGACGTACTTTCGTTCTGAATGAACAATAGTCCACTGGGGTTTGAGAAACATTTTGCATCATGCCGGTGATGCATGTGCATGATGGAATTTCGTCATCTGTGCCAGTGTGCATGACTAGAGAACAACAGCAGCCTATCCACGAGGCTTGAGTCAGACATAACGGAATCGGCGCAAGAATTAATCTCTCACTGGTATCAGTCGGTTCTAGATGAGAACTGTTGGTAGACAATCGAGTTACTTCTTTGCATCCCCCGCTGCACTGGAGTACTTATAGTATGTATGTGTGGCGCAACTAGCCATCTGTCAGCCCCTATCATGTGTGGCGCTGTGTGCTGAGCAGTGAGCGCTGATCGTCACCCGAAGAAGTGATGAAGTTCTTGCTTCCAGCTGGTCAGATAACAATGTGGGTCCTCGGCGCTGTCAGCTGTGAGAACAGAGTAGTGGTGTTGACTGACCAGTTGCTGACCAGCGCCACTCCGAGAAGTGATAAGGTGCTTATTTAGTTTTTCCAGGTAATCAGCGAAGTTCGATCAGTGGGTGCTCGTGTACACCTATTGAAATTACTCTGAGCTGTTATCATTTAATAACCCCTTGTGAGCCCTGGTGGCGTGTTGTTGATCAGATAAATACCCAGCATGCAGAGTATTTGTTTTGCCCCACCACCGAGTCACAGCACAGTCATAGCATAACCCTTGGTAAGCGAAAAATCCTTTGCACCAACGTATCTTTTCATCCTCACTGCAGGCATTTGTTCCCAGTGCACATTAAGTTCAAGTTGGAAGATATTCGCAATTTCAAGCCCCCCCCCCCTCCAACGATGCGAGAACTCGTCAAAAGTTATGAAGCATGGAACCCTACATCTGAAAAGATTGACCATGTTATGATTGTATGGAAGGAGAATGACAACTACTATCAATCTAAGCACCCTGAAACTCGGGCCACATCATTCGACCTCGACAGCCTTTCTGCTTCCATCCCCATCCCCATGCATATCTTCAAGGGCCATTGGCATCCATCTTTAACCGAATTACCTCCTGTGGCTCCCACAGACTCCTTTCTAAAGCGCCCACTCATACTCCTGGAAGATTACGACGACGGACAGGGCGGACATGACTCCCGGACACCTGGAGATGATCTGCTCAATGAGGCCAAAGTCTACGAAATCCTCAAGCAGCACGCTCACCCTAATATTTCCATTTACTATGGATGCGTCCGTGACGGTGATTGCATCACCGCCATATGTTTGAAAAAATATGGACGCACGCTTATGGACGCAGTCTGGAAAAAAGATCCCACCCTGAACCCTGCCGCAATTCTTGACGGTATTTCGAAAGGGCTCGCTTTCCTGCATGAGACGCTCGGTCTTGTGCATAATGATATCAACCCCGCTAACATCATGCTCGATGACGCGGGAGATGCTGTAATAATTGATTTCGACTCTTGCAAGCCGATTGGGGAGGAGTTAGGCAAAGCGGGGACATTTACCTGGACAGTGGAACCAATGCCGACCATCTCTCTTCCAGAAAATGATCTATACGGCCTTGCGCAGATCGGCGAATTCATGAAGGGAAACCGTTCATAGATGTGAGTGTTTGCATCATTTTCTGTGGTGCTGTTCATGACCGTCTGCGTTCTTTTCGCACCAATCCTCCAGGGCAAGAAGATCAATATGAAAGGTGGAATGAGATTAGAATGCTGTGATGCGCGCGGGTCAGCGTTTGCGCAACTAAGGTCAGGGAGGTGGCGTTCTATACCTGCTGTCCCAAGCGAGATTAGCACACTGGCGTTTCAAAGAATGGATTGTCATGGTTGAGAATTCTAGCGCGATACTAAGAGACAACGCACAAGTGGTATTCGCGCGGACAGTGTCAGTCCGGGGAGTTGTTTCAACCAGCGCACTTGCACCATGAATCACTGTGTTGAAGTCAGTTCTAGAATTTAGAACGACTCGCCGATCTGCATTCTGAAGAACAGGTGTGGGTAATGCTCATTGCCTCATGAGCCGGTCCAAGGTCTTTAAATCGCGCTCCAACGACATGAGATATCTAGTAGTAATATTGTGTGTATACTATGTATGCTGAGTGAATGGGGATGTGCTCTGAGTTTGTCTAAAATCAGCGAAACGTATCGAAAGCGGATATAAGTAATCACAAGTGGTCAACTCGAGCCTCCTGCATTCCCCTGTGCTGAACCCGAAGGAGGAGCAGCTCCAGGAGGCGGAGGCGTTGAATCTGCTTCCGTCACAACATGCATCTCTGCCTCGATACGTTCACGGGCGCGCACAACTTTTGACTGGAGGTAATGCGAGTGTGTAGGCGGAGCAGGTTGTTTGCCCGCTCTTGCGCCAGTTGCCGGTGGGTCTGGGGCTGGCCGGGGACCATTTACTTTGAATAAATGTTCATAATTCTGGCATGATAGTCAGTATGGTATGCAGTTGAAAAAATTCGACAGAGCAATACGAATTTACCTTCAACACTTTCTCAAGGGTTTCTCCTTGCTTTAGATTCAGAATGAGATGGGCCTCGTCTAGTGTCATGCGGTGTTCTCGGGTGAGTTTATCTGTCAAAGAGCCAGAGGTGGCATTCCGAACACCCGCAACATCTGATCCTATTGCGCCTTCCGGGGTGTGCTTTGCATCTGCAATTGACGAAACGAAAAATGTGAACACCGGGGAATTATCAAAGATTAAACGTTTAAGTACGCACTTTTGGCCGCCTGCTTTCCTGCTTCAAATAGTGCCTTCCCAAAAATTTGTGCACCTGTGACGAGAATTTGTATGATGATTTTTGGGGCCGACTGCATATAACGCCCTTCAGTTCACAGGTCCGACCCAAGAGCAGGAATGACTCACCATCACAACCCCTTTAAAACTAATAAAAAGAAATTAGAATGAGTAAAAATGGACCATAAGGACGCTGCCGCAGCGTCGCCGTTGGTGTGATGCAACAAACGAATTTCGTCGGCTACAAAATTACATAGAGTCACATGATCGATACTGTCCAAAATTTCTGCTAGGGCTGAATGTCATATGTATCGCGATGACCACTCCCATCTCATTATCTGCCTTAAGTCAAAACAAGCGGAAGCATCGTGTATCGGACGCAGACCCTGATGCTCCCAGGAAGAAGAAGAAAGAGAAGTTGAAACTGGACAAGGGGAAGTCCCGCACCGAACCTTCAACAAGTGAATTCCGAGTGACGAAAGCAACCATAACACTCTCTGTACCTCCTGTATTCGCCAGTAATCTACGCGCGGGCGCGGAGGAAATGTTAGATAGCATGATCATGCGGTGCGATGGTACATTTCTTAGATATTATATGTGATGCTGAACTGCATATGAAGATATATCCCGTCCCTGTGTGGTGTTCTCCTGGCTCATTCAAATTTACATTTCCTGAGTCCAACAGCGAGCATAAATGCCGACTGTCCTTTCTCTATCTGTAATGTCGCTTTCGATGCTACGGTCTGGAGCCCAAGTATAGCAATGAAACTCAGTATGTGCTTCGTCTGCTTTATGTCCTTTGAATCAAACAGCACCCTCCTCAATAGTTGGCAAAATTATTCTGTATTCCCCCGATCATGTCTCGCTGCTCCTCCACCGTACATTTAACGTTTCCATACCACGACATCACATTCCACAAGATGTTTGGGAATTCGAATACGGTCCTGCGGAAAATGATCCCGAGTATGGAGAGGGTGCTGTAGGGTCCTCTGTCGATAAAGAAGGGGATGCAGAAATGACGCAGAGTAATGGTGAGAAGGCGGAAGGCGAATCGGTACCTGAGGCGAACGGACAGTGGATACACCGTTTGACGGGGACGAAGCTCGGCGGAACAGATGGGTATCTAGAGTTCACAGTTATTGGGTGAGTTCACTGTCAGTTTCAAGAAAAGAAAGGTCGATCAACTTCTATGACAGAAAAACTGTGGCGAACGAAATGCTCTCCCTTCAGGGATCAATACAGCCTGATCCCTTCTCTGAAGAACACTCTGCTACACAATCAAGCAAGAGCTCCCACAAAAAACCTGCCAAATAAATTCGGATCGTCTAATGTGCTGTTGACTTCTGGAAGTGCCTGCTATGATTCTGCATTCGAGCAAAGCAGTTTAAGTCAAGCATCCATGCAACAACTGCAACGTTAGATTGCCTGGGACATGCTCTAGATACACAATCCGGAACCACTGATGCATAGGCATACAATGATGAACGTGACAAACGGGAGAAACAAATAGGACCTAATCATCATCATCGACAGCGGCAGGTGAATCCGGCCACTCGATGGGCTCGTCATCCACGTCTAGAGGCTGAGTATCCATCTGTACGTCTGATGGGTCGGGATGAGCTTGGCTATCTACTAGCGTGGCATCCTGGGTTTCTACATCCATGGCTTGAGAGTCTGCCGGAGGGCTTTCATTGGCCTCTTCGGGTGTAGCATCGACTTTTTTTCTTCGCTCGCTTTTCCTTTTCTGCAGGAGGTTTCGAAGGCAAACCAAAGAGCGTAGTTTGTCTTGAGGGATCCTTCTTGTCCTTTTCTTTTTCCTTGCCTTTAGTCGCTGCCGGACCTGTTCATCATGATTAGCAAGCGAAGACAAGAAAACCTTGTTTCATTGTTGCTCACGTTTTTCTGCGACCTCCACCTTGTTGAAAAAGCTCTCGCTCTTCTGAATAGGCTTGTTGAGCTCGGGTTTTCTTGCGAAAGGATTCTTCTTGACTTCTTGCCCAGTCTTCCGAGAGAATGGGTTGTCTGTCGTAGATGATCAATTTACGCACCCCAGTTTGAATAGCTATGCACGCACTAGGCTTTGGCGACGGCACCACGGCATCAAGCTCACCAACGGCCCGCCTCTTTACCTCGGCGTTGAATGCGTTAGATGCGAGGTCATCATCATTGTCGTCTCGTTTCCTCTTTCCCTCAGGAGACGTTGAACGGGAAGCAGAAGCCTGTGGTGCTCGCGAGCGAACTGCTCTGATCGCAGCACTAGACGCAGTGAACTCTGTTTGCTCGACGACCCCGGCAGATCGTGTCAGACCAGGTCTGTCGACCTTGGGTGGTGGGTTGAAGTTCTGGAAAGGCTTTGGTCGAGCCAATGGAGCATCCTCATAGGCATATCCCTGTCTCCCCTCCCTCGCCTCTTCTGCTGGTGTCGCGTTCTGTTCCCGCCATAGTTTAATTGCTTCTATCTTCTCCTGCAATCCAATGAGGCGGTAGAACTTGGCAAGTTGACTTGCAGCCGCGATTGAGTTTGGAAAATGTAACCGCTTGACAAGCTCAATCACACGCGGGGCCTTGTCCGCCTTGCAGGCAGCCTGGATGAGCTTGATCAATTGTTTGTCTAGTTCAACTTCGCGTTTGTCAATGTCGGGAGACGTTAGTTCATCACCAAGGGCATCGCGAGCAAGGTTAACGTATATTCGCTCCCGAGCAATACTGATCAGTCGCAATTCAGTCATTATCAATAAAAGCAGAGAAAAGGCGTACCGCTCTTCAATAAGTGAATCTACGGGGTCTTGATTACGGAATGGCAGGCGGACGGGAAGCTCTTGTATGAGAGGTCGAGGAAAGCCAGGGTGTTCTTGACGACCCTTGAGATGGAGTCAGTAACGATGGGTGCATCGAAGACCAAGCTGTCTACCTTGAGAATCAGACACATGAATGTGTCTTGACTCAGGCCAACAGGCCAATACGACTCGTCCTTGCCCTGCTTGCGCTCCAGCGAGCCAGTGTCCATGAGACGCGCCCACACAGCACGATTCGGACGCCGGTGATGTATCATAAGGTGTATGTATCCGGCAGAATCATATATTGCTGGGGCCTAGCACGCAAATTAAGAAGAGAGTGCCAATGAGGAGTTATACGTACCCCTTCATCCGTAGTTCCGATCCACCTCAGAGTATGACCTTTGGGTATCGGTAGTGGCTTCTCTTGAAGAACTTGAAAGTCGTCAAAAGAGATCAGTGTGGCGACCAAACTTTGGGAACCTGTAGGAGCAGATCTTTCAATAATGTATTCTTGAACAGGTCAAGGGCCGTACCATCGATGGTCGTTGCGCCAGGCCGGTGCACCACAAGGACATATTCCTCAGCAGCAGCCATTGTCACATATTCACCTTCTACGCCGAGGACAATTCTTTCCATACCAGAGCCGCTCAAGAACGTGAGGTCTCCAGAACTAGTCGCGATCACGATGTTCCCTTGTCCCTGGATATCACCTCCAGACGATGAAGGATCTCTCAGAGATCGCATTGGCCTCTCACCACCTGCCGCGAGGCCAAGAACACGCTGACCCTTTGGGAGGGCATATGTCCAATCTCCTTGCGTAGACCAAGTACCGTAAGGTTTAAATATTACTTGTGCCGGGTGATCGAGCTCAGGGGGACAAGCAAAGAGTGCGCCACGTTCACCTGTGCAGATATTAGGCTTGCTCGTGGAAGTGGCAAAATGCTAACCAAGAGAGCCAAGGTCATATTTGAAGTGATCGGTGAAGTGGTATCCCTTGCGGGTTGACCGGTCGTGGAATTCGACATTGACGATGTGATGAGTATCCTGGTCGGTCACCTCAATGACACCAACCATATTGTACGCTATGCTGAAATAAGTATGAGTTGCGACATGTCAAGAAAGGTGTCTTACCAAGGTAACGCTTTTTATTTTCCATAGGCGTTGATCCTGGTTGGAAAGCAGGTTGAGCCTTCGTGATGCTCACTGAATGATAGTTAACTTATTGTCAACACCTCCCGGCGATATGGGCTCACCCATCTCCTTCACGAATCCATCACCTGCGCGCGTTGCTCTTACAGCCTCAGGCTCATCTTCCATCCCATTGCCAAGGTCATCGATGATCCAGTCGTCGCCGTATGTGTCACCCCCCTCCACATCAGCATCAGCTTCTTCACCCCACAATGGGGGAGTGGACTTTCGCTTTGTTGTCGTCCCTTGAGCGCTGCCTGCAGCCATTTGGCGGACGGGATCAGGAGAGCCTGCAGGAATTGCATCCCGCCACCGAGAGAGAACACCTTCTGTATCTGTCCATGCTAAGAGGTTTTCTGTAGGTGAGAAGGCGATTTGAATGGCGAATGCATTTGGCGTGCCCGGGTGCCTGCGGAGAGTTACGAATGTTGCAGAGAAGACAAACACAAAACTTACTTCCAAAGCACCTGCTTCGTCTGCACACTCCACACTAATATCTCTTGGTTGCAAGCGCTGGCAAGGTATACGCCATTGGCTGAAAGCGCTAATGCTGTTGTTGCACCGACGGTATTTGGATCAGATAGAGACCAAGTTTTGGTCCATGTGCTCCTCGAAATCGCGACAATTTCTGATGAATCGTGAGTGACAGTGTGACTTTAATGCTCCGACCACCGACCATGCGTTCGTGATGCTGCAAAGAAATATTGTCCTGACGGATGCCAAACGGCAGAGCAATCGTGCATGAATTCCGGAGACCTCGTGGAGAGTCAGCAAAAGTCTCTGCGAATGAGAAGAATGATACTCACTCCGGATCTACCACTGCGGGTATTACACCATCAATAACATTCTCAACCTTGGCTTCAGCATCAGATATATTCCATGCCACTATGGTCCCATCTGAGCTACTTGTTGTCTGAGGGATTTAAAGTCATGAAGAGAGTAGCAGCATGAATTTTATCAAACGCTCGTACCAAAATAGAGCCAGATGGATGCCACGTCGTCTTTCGTATGCGTTTCTTGTGCCCTCCTTCCAGTATTATCATATTCGTTATTTCGTCCAAATCAATGATTTTAACTGAGAGTTCGCTGGAGTACGCGAGAGCAGTCAGTACACACGAGAGCTGACGCATGCATAGACGCACTCAGAAGCGACAGCAACGCGCTTGCCAGACGGATCCACTGCTAAAGACCTGATCGATGCTCCGGCACCACTCATTACAAGTCCATCGAACTGTGCCTTTCCAGGAAGGTACTTTCGCACCTCAGAGTCGTGGCCTCCAGAGAGCCAGAAGTCTTTCTGTTTTCCGGAGTCAGCTCAGATGAATCCAGGACACATGAAGAGCCACGCACGGCAGCGGCGACCGTCGTAATTCCCTCATCAGCTTCATACGCAGCTTCTGGTTCTTGGTCCTCCCCTTCATCAGTGTGCCATATTCGCACTAGGGTATCCAAGCCTCCCGTATACGCAATCCTAAGGAAAGAAGGTTGGGTCGGCGGCTCTGGTCTAAAACCCACTACTTACTTCCCGTCACGCGAGAACGTGATACATGTCTGTCCTTGCTGATGTGCCGAGTTGCTGATCGCCTTCGAAGAGCTTGCCATCGTGGCTAGTCAGGGATTCAAAGTGCAGGGCTGAGGACAACGCTTCACGAGTTCCTTGTACGAGCATGTGACGCAGACGCGGAGGTCACGATCACGTGTCTGTGTGACAAAGCGTGCATAATTAATGGTCGTGGCTTCCATACGGTCACTCATTTCGTTTACCGATTATGCACAGCACATGCTTCCTAGTCTTTATTTATGGCAATACAAACAAAACGATAATTGTACAACAGTACGAAGTAGACGCTGGCATAAAACTGCCATAGATGATTAGAACATGGAGAAGGCCATCATTGCCCCAAACATCGTATCCTTATAGTGCGAAAGCCGTCAAGTAAGCATTGACCGACTTCTATTGCTCCATCTCCCGTGGTTGGCAGAATAATGAATGCAGTGGGCCACCAAACCAAGGGGCAAGATTCACCTCCGCCAAATTAGGGAAGAGGTCGCTGAGGACAAGAGCCACGACCAATGGAGAGCTGATCAGTGAATTACCGAGGACAAGCTCTTGCAGACCATCATTACGAATACCATTGCCGGGGGATGCGACGTCTATGCCATCAGGCTGCGTGGTATCGATGACAAGAGAGAGAGAGAGACCAATTCAGGGCAAAGCCGAAGCACGTTGATGAGTCCATGGAAGGTAGGCAGCGCAGTACTCTCGGGGTGGTGATAACAACTGAGTCTGAAAATTTTGAGCTTGGGCCGTGGGTTTACCAGCTCGCTTAGTTCGTCATCGGAGATCGAGAGGGTGCATGCTGTCTCGATATCGAAATGGGTTAAATTGTGAAAAAGTCGCAGTGGGCTGAAGTCACTTGGTTGCGCGAATATAATGTCAAAGGTGTTGTATAACTGTTCGCAGAGTTTTATGGTCTCGAGAGCGTCTTTGTCGCATCTTTCTAGGAGCATACCGCAGAACCCGGACATAGAATCGGATTGCTGTCCGAACACGGTGCTTAAGGCGGCGGTAAAATGCTTTGTTTGAACGGTCCGGAGATAACATAAGAAGTCTGTTATATGGTGGAGTCTGGGAGCTCGAAGGCTCAAGTAATCTAGATGTTCAAAACCAAGTGATTGTGGTGACAACCCCGTGCGGCGGAGAAAAGTCGGCGCTACGTAAAGCCAAAATGTCTTCAGAGACTTTAGCTGCGTAACGTGCTTCATCCCTGGATCTTCAAGGTGGCAGATAGTCAAGGCGGAAAGCTTTTTGAGCTGGCATATCACATGTGTCAGGACGGGCGCAAAGTCACGGTTCAACTTCGGGTCATCCATTTGAGGTCGAAAGTAAAAGTAGGTGAGATTAGGACATGTGGTCCCGATATTGGACAGGATGGACTTCAAGACCGGCGAAATTGAGGTAATGCGTAGATCCAAGGAAACCAGGGAAGGCACCAATGCCATACGTAAGAACTCGATGGCGAGGTGGATTTGATTGGCATTCCAAGTCAAACTTCGAAGATTTAGAAACATGGTCGAGGGTGGATAAGGGTAGGCTAGCATTAGCATACGAAGATGTTCAAGAATGAACGATGGATCCTTAGATTGTGTGATCGAGCGCACGCGCGACGCGTATTTACGAAAAGTGTCCCAGGCTATGGTATCGATGGGCTTGACCAATTCTGCACAAAATTACTGAGTAATCAGCCGCGCGCGCAAGTATGAAATGCTTACCACTTCTCTTCGGAAACTGAAGCCCCAGATATGCGTTGGTAGACAGCTGACGAAAGGCTCTAGGAATGGAAAATTCCTCCATAAGGCATCAAGTGCTGGACCTTTAAATGTGCGACATGTCAACGCAAGACCAGGAAGTGAGCTACGATCAGTGTGCCAGCTGATCTCTTGCATAATTTCGGGAATGCGCAGAGCTCGATGCATGAGGTTGAAAACGGAAATACAGATTCGAGGGCGTGATGAAAAAGAGAGCTGGGATAGGTGAATGGAGTAGGAGTACTCGGTGCGATGGCTCTTTAAAGACAGATTGCGCCACCTGGTAAATTGCAGTAGAAGACTAGATGAACACGAAACAGAAAAGGTCGCCACGCATGAACCATGTAGGCCACATGTGCATAGGTTCGTGACAAGCACTATCGACGGATAAGGGTCATTCTGAGTCCATTTCTGTAGAGGGCATTGAATGCAGTGACAAATGCTATTGAAGTAAAGAGGTGCTGTATAGCACAACCGGATGGTGGCGGGGAATGTACGACCCAGCGCCAGCATGTAAAGCTGTCCTCGTCACTTGAAGGCTGGAGAGTAATCAGTTCTACTGGTGATGCGGATACTAGGCAGTACTTGACAATTGTCGAGTGACCGTGGTCGTCGTGAACAATATGGCTGGTGTGTATTTATAGATGGGGTAGGATTGAATTCGATCGATATATTCATTACACAGAAGTTGGCGCCAGGCACCAAACTATGTTTCTGTCAATTTGCCCTTATAGTGGAGGCTCAGCGCTCAAAGCCAGTTGACTCTGAACGCAAGAGGTGCTGTGATGCCGAGAGTGTCACCTGCAAACCAGAGTCGACCAACCGCATGCACGAAAGCGTCGTGGTGCAGGCCATAAGGCGTGCTGGGTGTCCAAGCGACAAAAAATACGATCAGACACCTCAGAAACGATGCTACAAAACTCACTGGGATGTAGGTTCACATTGTTGAACAATGTTGATGCATATCCATAGGCTCGGAGTACACCGTGTCACAATCACGTGATGTTGGTCGAATCCATCTACGAAACTTTGATGCCCGTGGAATCTATTCGCGTCGCCTCCATCATCATGAGCGCGCTCCACTTCAGTCCCTTTGATGTTCCACTCTGACTCGGGCGCCGTGTGCCCCGTTGAGACTTGGAGCTCTGGAGATCCACTCGAGCCCCTTTCATGCCCTGCAAATGTTTCATGACTAACTCACACACGTTGCCCCACAATAAAATCATTATTTATTGCATGATTAAGAACACTGTGGCTGGCAACTGGATGCTAGTATCTGCCCACAATGGCATTGCACCAGATGGAAAACTGAGACCGTGTATGTAGTACATTCACTGTCTTCACTTCTTCTGACCTGGCATACAGTCAAGGGATACACTAATCATGCGAGAATTCATATTCATACTACTGGACATGAGGTTGCCTATCCGGACGGGCGAGTTTGAAGTGCCGTCGTCTCGTGGAACCACCAAGTTGTTGAGGTGCGGCGAACGCTAAATGATTCTACATTGGTGCGGGGTGCGGTGATTAGATTGGCAGCATCATATCATTGGGGTTTTATTCAAGGCCCGATGCACCACTTCATGATATTATCACATGCATGATGTGACACTACCTACATTGTGGGGCAGGAACGGATACCATCTCTCCGAGTCGATCTCGCCCTGGTGATCCAAGCACTGAGGGGTAGTATATCTAGCACGAATGTCATTGTCGTATGTCGACCAAGTTCCCCGCTCCCTCGCGTCCGTCCTCTCGTAGTATGACCCTGGTCTCAGACGACCCTAGTTATTGGCCACTCATCAATTCATATCGTATTGGCAGCTATTTTGCAGGTTCGTGAAAGCAGATGTTGACGCTGATATCTCAATCTAACCTTGACTGTGGTTTCGCAGTTGCCGCCTGTGCTGGAGTGACGTATGATTGGGGTGAGCATGATAACATTAGTAAATTGCTCATTTCATACAAGTATTTCCAGCCCTTACACTTGAACAAGAGGTATGTTGATGCTATGACCGGAGCCGCCATCTCGCTAAGAATGATTTTTTTTAGGTCGAACTGGTCTGGGTGAGCAGAGTTCCACGTCAGAAGAACAACGTTGATTTGCGACAGAGGCAACGTTGGTCCCTCATGACCGTCCTCTATCTGAGTGTATGTATCTTGCCTGTTGTGAAGTTGTACTGACTTGACAATAACCTAGGTGCGCTATCTTGGAGTATTATATATCATGTATGTTCAGAAGGTCAAATAATTGATGTTGTGCTAATCGGCCATCTCTCACACTCAGCCTCGACATACTGGGTATGTCTTCTCACTTTGAGATTGTTTGTTTCTTCTGACCTGCGGCATACAGCCAGTATTCCGGCGGTCTCGTTGACAGATGCAGTGGGTCATCTTCACCGATGCCTGATATTCCCCTCCAATTGACCGCGGCGCTCTGTAGGGGTGAGTGTCATTATTGACCAGCTTCTTCGTTCACTGTCATGAATTTCACAGATGTGAGTCTGTTTGGAGTGTAGGATCCACCCGAGCCTGATAACTAACTGAATTTTTCAGGCCGGATAGTGTACATCATGTGGGATTGTGTGAGCGTTGTGGTATTCCCAATGTTGTGTGGTGAGTTGTGCAATTACAAGGCCTGTGATATTGAGTTGACCGAAACATCTTGCAAGTCATCATGATCGCTCGGTTACATGCCATGTATCAACGATCCAGAAGGATCCTGATACTTCTCGTCGTGGTGTGCTTGGCTGTCAACATTTTCGACGGAGTGGCCGCCGTAATGACAATGTGGTATACTTCAAGGGGTACGCTTAATTTTGAATGGAAAACGTGCATGGGGCTCATTGATGAATACCAGAGGAACTCGTTGTCTCCGGCACCCATATATGCGAGGCCACTAGCCATCTGCATGAAGTCATAGTTCTGGATGGCATAATTTGGATACTCAGCCCTATATGGGAGGTCCTCGTACTGTGTCTTGCAGTCTGGATTGCTGTAAAACACTTTCGTGAACTGCGACAACATTCGGCAGGAGGGGTTATCAGGGACTGTTTCGCGGTGTTGATAAAATCTCACGTGCTTTATTTTGCGAGGTGAGCTCATATTGTAAATATCGTTCCCTTTTCTGCTAAATGATTGAACGTGGTAGTTATGTTACTGGGTCATGCATCAACCTCGTTTATTATTGGTCCCCAACGATTTCAGCGGTATGCCAATCTTTCACTGACCTGTGCATGCGACTACGGTTCATCATTTCTATAGAACCGATTTTCCCTAGCAACTCAGCTTTTTATTGGTGTTCTTCAGATTTTGACAGTCGTACAGTCCTTTGTGCTGGGACCACGCCTCATCCTCAGCATTCGAGAATATAACGCTAAGCTCGTGGTCGACTCCGACACAGCAACCGGCATGACCTCAATCGCTTTCCAGGAGCGCGTGCATGTATCGACTGGCAGTGGTGTGTAGCACAGGAGATACTTGATGAAGTTGATGAAGTTGATGGTAGTCTGGTGCTCTGTAGGGAGCAGGAGAATTTACTTTGTTCTTGATTTCAAGTTTCGTCGTGGTACTTATTTATTTGGTGTTGCGAAGTGGATTTTGCAAGCAGACATGCGTTCTTGGCAAATATCTCGTTGTAATATGTATTAATTTTTTTCTGTTTCGAAGAACGTTGAAAGAGACAGGACGAGCTATTGAGTCCGAATGCGATAGTCATTATGGAGTGGCGTGAATATCAATTTTTGGTTCTACGTACATAGTATCGGTGCACACGCACGGGGAGTTCCCACAGGGTGAAGTCCGCTCTTCACTGGGCTTGACATGCTTGACACTCCGCATATGTGGCTGTGCTACATACTCATCATCAGCAAAACATCCCAAACGATGCAAACCCTCTGGCTGCCAGTGCAAGGCATACAAGTGCCACATTCTCTACAATGTCATGACAGACTTGTACGTATCGATACAAGTCCGTGCATGCGACCTCGTTCAATGCATACTCCTCTAAGCCTTGTTTGCATTTGTATACTCCTACAAGTAGTGTTTGCATTTACATTCTCGCACATGCCTGATTGCATTTGCACCCTATGGTAGACCCTTGCATGGGTGATGAAATTCCTACCAGCACAATATGTATAATCAATCAAAACATGGCAGTAATATTATCGCGCTTGACCAATTTAAAGCACGGTTACCTAGATCTCGAGTTGTGGCATGAAAGTACATCCGTTGCACAGGTTGGACTGGATTAGCACTAGAGAATCATAAGCCAGCTTTCGCACCATCTCTCACAAATTGCTACCCCAAGAGACTCCAGGATCTACCTATTGAACATTGCGCAGCATTATGCTGTTGGTAAAACAGGGCCAGCTTTCCCACTTTAATATTGCTCAGGATATGTTTACAAATGGTCAGTCATTTGGCATCTTCACCGGATGGTATCTTGTACCACAGTTGTTCGGAAAATATAGTCTTATGAGGTTCACAACATCCATGGTGAAAAGTCTTCAACAATTCAGAAGATATAGTTTCGTGAATTTGCCACATATATGGAATGAAGCCTTCACAGGTATAACATGTCCTTGAATATTCATGCTTCATATTGTGTGGACATTGGCTGATGCGGCATCGCAAATATAATTGGTATCACAAGTAGTTTCACTTGGATTTTGCTGGACAAAGTGCACAATTTAATCAGATAACACTACGAAGTAAACAAATGGATCTTTGTGTAGATTTTTACGGTGTAGAGGTCTGGCGCTACAGATGTTCAGAAAATGTGCATTTGTGAATTGGTTATATTGTCGAAGCTAAGTTTCCATTTGTATTGCAAGCAGTTTATCATAGATCTCGCCAGACGAGGTGTATAATTGAGCCAGACTAGACCATCCAGTAAAACATTTAACGCAGGGATCTTTGTTCCGATCTCGGAATCAGATACATTTCAAAAAAAATGGGTTGATCGGATCAATTCAAATGCAGCATTACATAGCCAATATAATTTATTTAGTTTGCACTAGTACTACATCGCACAATTGGCCAGATATACAAAGTAAAGTTACGTGTACATCATACTAGGTTATGAGTCCAGGACAGTTCAGGATTCACAGAGTTCATTGGGAAAGTGCTCATCGGGCAGTAGACGTCATAGCCACTGACAGCCGTTCGGTGTTCTGGGGTCGATATTCTGACATATTCCTGCGCCCAAACACTTTCCTGTTGAAGCAACAATGTTAAGCTAATGAAATAGAGATGGACGCTACTTACTGATTCCACCAAAATAGGAGAGTTTCCACCTCCTTCGTTGCTTCCCGTGAGGGACAAAGCTCAAAGTAATCAACCACGTTGTGATAAAATTCTTCGTGGTCGAAGTCATCATCCACAATGCGCCATGATCCAGCACTGGATAGCGCAAACCGTAGCTGAGTCATCTCAGTCAGTAGTGAGCGCCTGGAGGTAGTAGATCATACCTGAACTGCTGTGTACGCAATGGCCCTGGGTTGCACTGATTTCATTCGTAGTAGTCCCGCAACATCATGTCGTGTACGCCTCTCGCCTGTGGTCCTCTGGCGCTTAGAGAGATTCTGCACAGAAGCGAACCCCAGTGGATCATCAGCTGAACTGGGAGACGTGAATATGTGCTTGACTGCCTGCGATCTATCCTTAGTACAACAACAATAAGATGTAGTATTGTTGGGTGTACGCACCTTCACAAGCACTTCGCCTTTGAACAAGCCCTTCGTAGGGTTATTTGGGTCATAGTGTCCACCCTGATATAAATACGAGGGCCAGGAGTAAGACGTCACACGGTAGTCAGGGTGGCAGTTCCGAATGGCCTCTCGCACACTGGCATATTGATTAGCAATGGAGTTTCTCAACGATGAGGACTTACATAGTATCATTCCAGTCGTAATCGACGGGGCATAGCAGTTTTCCAGTTACGTCATGGTAAAATCCACGATAAGATTTGTCACGGTGTGAAATGACAGGGTTTGGAGTCGGGCTGGCCTGCATCAACCACGAAGCCACAGCGAACTTAAGGCTGGTTGTATCATCCCCTCTCGCTGCATCAGCACTCCGATTAAGCTATACACAACACATGAGTTAATGGATGTGTGGCGGTGTAGTCTCTCACCTTGCTATACTCGCTAGCCAGCTCAGAGATGTCGGCTGAGGACTGCATGAATTTTTGCACTGATGGGCACCAAATCACCAGCTTCTTATAGGACCTGTACCGTCTGTTTTCTCTAATATCACAAAGTAACATCGTCATCAGCTATCCTCATGTACAGACTGCACACCCACATTGCGGAGGATTCAAAGGATCCAGCATCAGAGTCGTCAGTAATATCAAGTGTGACACGCCGGTCAAATTCTGCAACCAGGTCTTCAATGGAGTCTATAAGACACACAAGCCTTCGAATAACACGCCCTTCAGGAACCTGGCTTTTATTGTAGTAAATAAGTAGTTTATAGTGGGTTCGTGGACGTGGCACATACCTCTTCCTTTCCGCAGGCATACTGAGTTCAGCATTTTGCTCCTCTAACATAGCGATACGCCTCTTCAAGGACGAAAAGGTTTCAGCAGGGGGGCTAGCACAAGGTGTCAAAGGTGATAGTGACATCAGGTAGATTTGATGAGGAAGGTCCGCTGCGACTGAGCGGCCTGTATTTAACCCTTCAGGAATAAATCATCTCAATCAAGTGAGGGTTTTGTTGGTAGAGATCTTAACGTAAAACTTACCTTCAGAATGCTCCAGTTTGCATGTTAAAATTGAGCAATGATTAATGATTGTCCAGGAATTCGCTACTGATCAGTGGAGTTACATTTTTAAGTTGAGATGGAAGAAAGCCTGCATACATTCGGCGTCAGTACCTTAGATGTGGTCGAGATTTGAATGACTAGCGGTTATTAACACTTTGCGCTCATTAATAACTTGAAGAATGTAGAGTGGGAGATCTGCACTAACTTGATCTGTGTAGTCCAACATCATGTGGAAGTTACTGCCACGGGCCTCATACCTTGTGATATACCATAGCTCGCAGAGTGAGCCATGAGGGAAGTGGTAGCTTGTTCGTACATTTCATACATTGAAGAAAAATCTGATAGGCTCCCAACGAAACAAAAAGAATTTGTGTGACACAGCTGTGACACAACCCCCTGTGTCTTGCACAATTTATGCTGTGTATGTGAACATTCACCGCATCAATTTCACCTGGCCCCACTGGCGCCACGGTGATTCCTGCTACGTCAGTCAATGTTCAAGAACCTTATTCAAGTCTTAGGCGCAAGATCCAGTATGAGTTAGCTCTATTTTCTGGTCGGATCTGACATTGATGATCGAGGGTGGTGGTATGTTGCGGACTTGACTCTGATCGTCCAATTCAGTAAACATGAGCGCACATCATTTGCAGGGTGCATGCATGCAGCAAGTCGGAAGACTTTTTGTTCAATCTCGTATGGCAGACACAGCATATCAATGTCAGGTCAATGTTCGAATATTCACCCGCTTGGACTCGGAAATACTGGTTAGTTTCATGTGTAATCCCGACGCCCACCTTGATGTCATTCAATTCAATTCACAGCTTCCGACTCGGAGTCGATTCAATGCGGATCTTGTATCAATGACACATTCCCGATTGGAAATTCCACTACATCCTACCTAATTGCACTAGTGCAGGGCCAACCCCGCAATGCGTGCAAGCCTAACCACACCTGAGCGCTGAGCCGTCAAAATCATCATATCAGCCTTATAAAGGCAACGTTCCACTAAATGATATCATTGTGGTGCTGTGCAAGCCGCTGTTAGTTTTGACCATCACCGGCAAACCTAGTACTACTCACATACTCATTCATTGCGATGCCTTACTATGATCCAGACCAAAGCTCTGAACACAGCTCACGAGGCTCAGGTTACAATGACGGCGCATCAGAAATCCTGGGAGTTGAGGACAAACATCGTGGCGGATGGCGCTTTCCAGCCAATGGTCAAGGAGCACCAGCGGACTCGCAAGGAAATTACGTCTACACCAGTGAACCACTGGCAGGTCCCGGTGTTCAAGGGGCTTTAGATTCTGCAAAGTCGCGCTCACCATCACCAAAGGCACCCAACATTGCATCACTGGCAGGAGACGACTCGGAAAATCATGCTAGTAACCAGGTGCGTATGCCGGTACCATTTCATAAATTATGAACTGACACAAAGAGGCTCGAAAACCATGTTTACTAGCATCCTGTCAATATCCCACATCATAATTTGAAGCGTGCACTGTCAGGCAACGAGTCAAACTCTGATGTGAAATCTGATGCAGTGAGTCTTCTCTTACTCCGTTGATATAAATCATCTACTCACACTCGTGCTCAGAGCCGGCACTTCGCTGACAATATCACGAACTCCCTGCCCGTGCAACCACCCACCAAGAAGCGGCGGGTCATTTTGTCTGACAGTAAAACTATCAGCAAGGCTGCGGATAAAGTGGATGAAGTCATAGAGAATCGAAAAGAAATCGTCGCGGTGCTTCGGGAACAGACTGCTGTCCTGGCACGCCTAGTATGTGTTCTTGAAGTCGTATTCGGTGATACAATGGACGTACCACGGTGGTCAACACTGTAAAATCATATTGATGTATTATATTGTTCATATCTCCTCGGTGTTCGCAATGACTGGCACATCTTCAGACCACGTGACTAAGAGACAAAGTTCAGGTATGGCGAAATCACAACAGAGCGGGTGTAGCAGTCCAGCGGCCTCAATTTGCAAGCCTATTCTCATTTTATATGATTTATGGTTTCAGTTCCATGACCATCTAATGCTTTCCAATGGAAAGCGGTGTTAGCAATGACTGGCACATCTTCAGACCACGTGACTAAGAGACAAAGTTCAAGTTCAGGTATGGATCACCCGATCGAAAAGCTCTTATCCTCCGCCTCAACCCCAATCCCACGTGGCTTGTGGACAGTGCAGATTGAACACACACCTTCTACCCTAGCCCTTTTTCCGAGAAACCATTTGAAAAGCTCTGGCTGGATAAGGTTTCTTGTCGAATACAGAGACTCGTATGTTGGACCTTGGGTGTCACACATCTAATGTTTTCCTTAGAAACGGACCGTAGGCATGCCCAGTCGTGAGACATAAATAACACTTCTAAGAAGCGGGATGATCTCATATTACAATCTGAAGTTGAGTGAGGCTCTGTGAGGCTTTGCCGTCAAATTATACCTGGAATCGCCTACTCAGTGGCCTTGTCCTGAGCGACGGTCCTAGAGCGACTTTAATCAGGCTCGTTGGGTCGATCCGAAACTTGAAACGTGACGGAGGTTCTTGATCTTTTAATTATTCCTAGCCGTGCCCATTCTCTGTGATGTTACAAGTCCATAGTACTAATGTCACCTATGACTCTCAGTGGTACTACTTATCGACTCATGTTAAGACTCGTGCAGTACTCCTTGGCAAAAAGCAGCTCGACATCCATATGGACCGAGTCTGAGGGCAAGTCCGCGTATGGAGACCGCTGAAGGATGGGCAAACCCTCGGCAAGGAACTTTTTGTAGAAGTCCTTGCGCGTCTGCTGACACATGAGGACACATCGACTGCGGTCATCTTCCATTGGTCTGCAAGCGCGACCCATCATTTGTAGGACGTCCATGACTGGGTAGTCGACATATCAATGCTCTTTGCCCTCGTAGTATTGCACGCCCGCTATGATCACCATGTAGCTTGCGACGGGTAGACTCCATGCAGTGTCCTGCAAACACTCAGTTGCTAGTCAGTAGAAGGGGTCGTGGAATACAGACCTTAGACGCCACCAAAACTTGTATTGCTCCAGACTGGAATAAGCGTTCGACAATGTGCTTGTCTTTCTTATCAAGCACCTCGTGATAATACCCAATGCCATGTTTCAGGCATTCGACAAGACCCTTCTCGTTGATGTAGTCGAGGTCGGGCTGCAAGTCGGCTTCTTCAATATTCAAGAAGCGATCGGGGTTACTGTCTGCTCCGCAGTGGACCAGCAAGTCGTCAACCGTAAGCCGGCACTGGCGTCTTGATGGGACAAATATGACAACAGGTTTGGTCGGTGAGTGCTCAACAATAGCGAGGTAGGCAGGCTTAGACATGGAGATCATCAGGGAAGAGAAATGAGGGACGGTGGAGCTTTGGAGATGTATATCCATGTCCAGCGGCCTCGAGCTGCAAAGTATCAGTGAGTGGGCCGAATGTCAATTA